CTGTAGTTTCCGTATTTGTCTCTGCGATTTGGCTCGCTCGGATTGAGATGATCAGCCGTGGCAAGGTTCAAAGGCTGGAAGGCACCTTTCACGAGAATCATCTTAGTGGGTTAACAATAACAGCGCTCTTAATTTAACCAGACAGGAGTCGAAAATTCCTCTCGTGATACTGGATTCTTCGCATTTCTCCCAATTAGTCGGTAGGTTACCAAATCAATGAAAAAGAAAACCCCATCTCTCCTCAAAGCTCTTCGTCATGGCCCACGCGTTCGGATCCCAGCTCGCGGCCCCCGGTTTAATTACGAAGCTCTCCTTGGTGAAGATATCAGCAAAGAACTCCTCCTCATTGAAGCCTTGACAGCTGAGGCGAATGGCGTGTCTCTCATTGTCGGGAATGGAAAGCGATCAATCCAGGGAACATGGAGAACCTTCATTTGGAGCTCGGTGGGGTGGAGGCTTAAGGGAACCTGCTCAGTACAAGGAGGCAACAGGATAGGTATCTGAATGCCGCAGCGAAGCCCTAGAGCCATCCCGTTATCGAAGAGTGCGGCAAGAACCGACGACACGCGGTTGGATAAGTGGTCCGGGTCTGTCTCAGCGCCTGGAGGGCTGGGCCCTGACAACGGTGGGGACGATGAAGAGGTAGCCAGCGACGGTGGGCAAGTATGGTTCGATGTTTGGTCCACGATGAACGTTCCTTCTTGGTCGATCGAAGCTGTTGGTCCATGTAGAACAATGCGATCCCCGCGCTGGACATCTGCAGAAGAGGATTCTTGGCCTCCAGCACCACACCCGGAGTTCGCCACACGTTTCCCTATTTTACAAACACGTCAGGCGACTTGCATTTGCAGTTTGGGATCATGCGAGTGCCCTTACTCCTCGCTCGCTGAGCCAGGCGGTCCTCGATCCGCTTCCGTTGGTTCTTGTCCTGCACATTGCACCAGGCCTCTGATTCAATCTGGATGTTAGTGGTCATTATTCCCCCGTAGGGCGTCAATTCACCGGCCTCAAGCATGGCTCTCGTGGTGTGTGTTCATTCGTACTATGCATGGAGAGGAGAAGATGGGAAGTCTAGGTAAGCTTTCGAGACCGATGCAGGCGAGTTTCGTGTCATGGGCCGTACTATTTCCCAGAAGAGGTTAAAAGGCATTTCTGACCCTGCATAAGGTTGTCGACAGTATAGAGTTTCTGACCTTGCAGCTCAGCAGACTCCTCAGCCTCGGAACTTTCCTTTCCTGGATGATGCACCAGTGGAGCCTCTCCTTTCGTCTGGCAATGCCTCACAGCTGGAATCTCTCCAGAATGAATCAGCAGCCTCTTCTGTAGCCTTCCACGAACATAATGACATGCATACGACGACTTCTCCGTACTTTTTAATGCATGCATGGGCACTTGTAGACGACTAAGGACATAAGCGAAAACTGTGTTGAGGGTTGCTCTCTGGCTCTGGATTTCGCTAATTCATTGTTCTCAATGGGTAATTTCAAGGCACTATAGACACGTGGCTCCCTTCTGCTCCGAGTAACCTCTCAGCCTCGGCCGTTGCCAATTAGACGCAAAAGTACTTAGAACCCAATCGTGAACTATTTTTGAGCGGAGTATCCCTCAAGAGCTTTTCTCAGAGCCGCAGTAAGAGACATCTACTACTTTGCAGCATTGTTCTGTGCTCGGCTTACGTTTCATATCTCACAATGGCTTACACAAATGGTGTCACGAATGGTGTTTCGCAACCTGATCACACAGCCATCGTCATCAGAGCGGGTATAAGTGGTGTGCGAATGCTGTATGAGCTTCGCAAGCGTGGCATTGACGGCAAATGCTTTGAAGCTGGCTCAGGGGTCGGCGGGGTATGTGTCTGAACCTTTTCAACGTTCGAGTAAACACTGACTCCAAGCTTTACTCGACGTCAGACGTGGTTTTGGAATCGCTATCCCGGAGCGAGAGCCGACAGTGAAGTCTGGATATACATAATCTCGTTCCTCGAGGATATTGGGATGCAAACAAAGTGGAAAGAACGGTTCCCCACTCAGCGAGACCTGGAGGCGTATTTGAACCAGGTGGTTGACTTCCTCGATCTCCGGAGGAATATCGAATTCAATACTCGGGTCGCCTCAGCTCATTATGATGAAGCACGAAACTTTTGGAAGGTGACTACCGCCCATGGTAAATCCTATACCTGTACTTACCTCGTGACCGCCACCGGTCCGCTGTCAGCACCAATCAAGCCGCCCTTCCCGGGGCTCGATACATTCAAAGGGGAATGATACCACACAGGTCTTTGGCCGGACAGAAAAGTCGACTTCACAAATAAACGGATCGGCATCTTTGGGACCGGTGCTACCGGTGTTCAGATTATTCCGATTGTGGCACACGCTGCTCAGAGACTTACGGTCTTTCAGCGAACGCCCAACTATGTTCTTCCGGGTCGTAATTTTCTTTTCACCGAGGACCAAGAATGTGAGATCAAAAACGACTTTCGAGGAATCGCGGAACGCGCCCGGGCACAACCATTCGGGGCCGATATACCTGTTGTTAATCGCAGCTCTCTTGACATTGAGGACGATGAGACCCTCCGGCAAATTCTTGACTATGGTTGGGAAAGAGGAGGCTTTCGATACGTTTTCGAAACCGTCGACGATATGATGACGAATGCGGATTGCAACAAGAAAGCGAGCGAGTTTCTATGCCAGAAAATACGGGCCATTGTGCAAGATCCAGCTACCGCGGAGACACTGTGCCCTTACTATCCCCTCATGTGTAAGCGGCCACCGTTGGGACATTTTTATTACGAAACATTCAATAGAGCGAATGTTGAGCTCGTGGACCTCAAGAAAGATCCAGTTCAGGAAATCACTCCCACCGGCGCCCGAACTCTCAGTAAAGAGTTTGAGCTGGACAGTATCATTTTTGCAATTGGTGAGTTCGATGGCTTTTAGGCGGTTTCGGTTCCCCCCGCCCCCTTTCCAACTATCCATTTCCTCCTCTTCCTAAAAATTTGTCCTTCCTTTCCGTTTTTGCCATTTTTTCAGACTGAGCTTATAGTGAATGCAGGTTTCGATGCCGTTACCGGTCCGCTTGACGCCATTGACATTCGGGGCACGGATGGGCAGTATCTCAAAGACTATAGGAAAACGAACCTGGAGACTGCCTACGGGATTACCCATGCTGGATTTCCCAACCTCTTCATGATATTGGGACCGCAATCCGCATGGGCCAATCTCCCGACCATAGTCGACCACACTGCAGATTGGATAGGGAGAACGATCCAGCACATGCGCGTCAACGGACTGAATCGGATCGAGACCAAGAAGGAGGTTGCTCGCGCATGGGCTGAAAAGGTCGACCGAGCATTTTCCTCCACGCTGATGGAAGAGGGCGCGAAACAGACAGGGGCGTGGCACGTGGGCGGGAATGTGGAAGACAAGACGGTGCGTTGCTACTACTACTACTTTGGGGGCGTTCCTCAGTATATTGCGCAGTGTGAGGATGAGATATCATCGGGCTATCCGGGTTATACGTTTTCGAACGCTTCGATGTGAGCACATCAGGTTGTCGCCGATGGAAGAGCTCTCTAGACCTGAAATGTTGACGATCCTCCTCCCAATATTGTGACTCTATTACCCAAACTCTCTCAACGAGAATAGCGAGGGTAGCAAGCATCTCAAGGGATAAAATTTCGAAGTTCAAATGGTACCGACGATGACAAGTCTATTGATACTATTGACAGTCTTTACACACTGTGGTTACCGGGGAATATAGAGACGTTGTCAACCTTCAGATCTCCATGGCTAACGCCGCCAGCATGCAGGATTTCAAGCCCAGCAGCAATTTGATCGGCCTGTCCGAGTTTGTCACGGGGCCAGACTTTTGTCCTCCAACAGATGGTGTGACATGTTGCCGTGAGTACAAGTCCAGGTACAGGATGGAGAGGCTTAGACTAGCTTCCGCAGCCAGGCGGGTCCACGAGAGCCCGATGAGGTCGACAATGGTGGGATGTCTGTGCCGGTCGTGCTGGAGAGCGTGCTGGATAGTGACGCGGCCTTCTCCTTCGTAAGCCTCAGCGGTGTCCAGAGCGGTGGCTTTCATCGAATGCTCTAGACGTAGGATTCCTGGTCGGTGAAGTCAATCTTAGGCTCCATGTACACTGGAACAGACTCGTAGAGGAGGTCGGCGGGGAACTCCAAGCCGTATTGTCCTCGGCAGAAGTGTTGCATGCGAGGAAAGAGGAGCTGTTCCTCGTTAGTGTAGTCTGGGACCGGATGGAACTCAATCATCGACACGCATTCAGTGCATGGCCTCTCTTTTTCGTGGTTGCAATTGGGATTCTCCAGACGCCACGTTCTTTGTGACCAAATTGTATCTTTCTGCGCGGACCATGTATAGCATCACACATCATCCAAAGAGGCCTCTCCGAGGGAACGGAACGTAGCCGCATACCTAAATAAACCCTCCACAAGGATTTCCTAGATTTTTGGCGAAAGGCCCCATCCTATCCGCAAAATCAAGGTCGAAGAAGGCCACCTGCAGGGCGCTATCACGTAATAACCTGCAGGGGGCTACTGCGTTAGGAGCTATGGGACGAATTTGGGGGCCGGTTTCTAACGAGCCTGCCATAATGAGTAGAAGCCTTCTGATTGTCAAACTTGCAACCTTGCCACTTACTAAGAGCTCATAGTGTACCCCGCGAGCCCGCATTCATCAAAGCAGACCCATATTGTGCCCCTCTGACCGAGTTTCGACACAGGATGTTGTTGCTACACGAGTTATAGCAGGGATAACTAAAATCTTACCAATGCATCATTTACCGGGAAGCAACCGCTGGGAAGCAACCGACGGGCCGCTTTCTTCACCTCTTATATCCGAACCCTTCATGTCCAGGGAATAGCACAAGAATTGAAGGCTTGTTTTCGATCACGATACGCATCCTGGGTATTCAAGGCCTGTGTTTCTCCCAAGGTTACCTTCGTAAGAGGCCTTCGAGCGGCTCTCATTCTTCGAAAATGACGGAAACTTCTCTAGCAGCACTCTGGGAGAATGCTATCTGCGAATATGAGAAGAGTATTGGCCAGCCTTTGTTCAATTCTGACTTGCAATGTGCTCCCGTAAACTTCCAAGACACCAATGGACGAAGCCTTCAAGCGTTTCTCGAAGCCCTTCACGTAAATCAAGACCAGTTCACGGCTCACCGAAATGAAAAGCGCAGAGTTGTTTCAGCCTTCCGCAAATGTATCCTCCCGCTGCACTTCATCCTGGATATTGCAGATCGAGGCCTTCAAGCAACACCCGCGGCACCGCTCAGTGCGCTTTTCTTTGCAGTCAAACATATCTTGAATACATGTGAAAGGGTTAGTAACGCATACGATGCTGTGGAAGAGTTGTTCCAACGAGTAGCCGCTGTTACGTGCTCCCTCGACGGTTACAAGGACAGCTCTCTGATCGGCACACATCAGACAGTCGTTGTTGAGGTGTTGTCATGTCTTCTGAAAATCGTCGGAGTAGCACAGTCCAGACTGGTCAAACCGTCAAGACTACGCCAATTTGGAAGGTCACTGTTTCAGAACGATGAAAGCATCAATGAAGCCCTTGCAGAGCTGGAGAGACGGGTGCACGATGAGCTGGGCTATGTCGTTCGCCTGAATTTTGGGATGACGCAGCGAATGAGCGAAACGACCCTCAGCATACATAAACAAGTCCTCGAAATCAGGCAGGAGATTCTGAGATCTAGAGCAAATGGAGAATTTTTGGATGCCAGGACAGATCTTGTCGAAAAACTCAAGAATGAGTCGTGGGAAGAATTGCGAAATCATCATCGAAAAAGTGCCGATGCCATTGCCGCCACCACGGGGATGTGGATCCAGAATGATTCGATGTTTGCAACGTGGGAGAACGGCAATGGTTCACTGCTTTGGATTTTTGGTCGCCCGGGAGTTGGCAAAACGGTTCTTGCTGCTGCCACGGTCGAAACTCTCAAGAACAAATATTCAAGGCACGCTGATAATGGTTCAGTGAGGCCTACAGGCTACATGTATTTCAAGGAGGGCCAACCCAAACTCCAGAATCTGAGCGATATGTTGCTGGCTGTTGCACTGCAAATTGCGAAGCAAGATCAGCGGTTTTATGACCATCTGGTGGAGACCGTCAGAACTTATCCTGACATTCTTGGGAAGGCAGCGTCAGCGGAGTCTTTATGGGATCGCCTGTTCCTATCCTATGACCCTCTCTTGGAAGATCATGAAGAGGCTGGTGGACTGATCTACATAATCATTGATGGGCTTGACGAGGCCAACGACGAAGCAAAGCATTCCTTGTTGACTTGCTTGAGAAGGCTTCTTGCCTCCCAGCCCAATCATGAAAGAATATCCATCCAGGTGGCCGTCTTTGCACGGCCAGAAATTCGAAATCTCCTTGACAATACTGATGCCGCCTTCCAAGGAAAGGAAAAGATCATCGACATCACCGAAGACCAGACGAAGCAGGATATTCGTGTCTACGTACGGCACCACACAAAGGCCATCGCCGCTGTCAGAATGATCCGGAAGATGGAACCGGAGCAATCTCAAGCCTTCGAGGCCTTCATCGAAAACAGCATAGTGACACGTTCGCAGGGAATGTTCTTATGGGCCAAATTAGTCATTGACCAGATTCGAGACAGCCCTTCTGCGGAAGCGGTTGAAGAAGCCCTCAATGATGCCCCTTCCGGGTTGATGGACATGATTCATTTGGTATTTCTCAGGTTGAACCACGAAAGCGACTTCAGGACCCAGTACCTGATGCACTTACTCGCCTGGGTCCTTTGTTGTCGCCGTCCGCTGACAATTGCCGAGCTTCATGTCTGCCTTCATGAAACACTTGGCCAGCATTTCATAACTATCTCTGATGACCTGACAAAAAGGTACTCCAGTCTTTTCGACGTCATACGGCAGTCAAATGGTGACGATGCTTCGAAAACGATAAAGTCAACGTCTTCCTCCAACAGAGAAGAATCCGAAGACGATTTAGACTCTGTCGAAAGTGACGATGGCGAACTAGCGACCGGCTACACGCCATCAAGGCCTTCATTTAAGCAGTTTAGTTTCAAAAGAATCAGCGTCCATGCAAATAATGGAATATTTGACGAATGGCACCGCAGCACGGTCACCTTTGCTCATGCAAGAATTCGCGACTATCTTGTCCAAGAAGGCAACCCCTTGACCAAGAAATGGAATGATTGTCGAGTGGTTCCGGGACAGATTGATCATTTCAAGATGCAAATGGTGCAGGCTCTGCTTGACCTCGCCATGAAGCCCACTGCCCAAAAATACGGCGTACATCTTCTCAGACAGTATGCGGCAGATAATTGCGTGTCTCATCTGGTGGAGATTGACCTTGGTGCAATGCCAGAAGACCTTTGTGGTCAAGTTGGTGCCAAACTAGCCTCGCTATGTTTTGACGGCAAGATGTTCTACGATATACAGAATGGTCTATGGCAAACTACGATTGATTCTTGGCTATTGGACCGAAAGAAACCCGATATCGTCCGTGCATTGATCGCAAAGGGAATCCACTGCCTCAGCACCGAAAATCCTGAGATTCGCCCGTGGGCAATGCAGGCGGTCGACTCCGCCAGAGTTCTCCTACAGCCTTTGATCAAAGAATGTGCCCGTATCTGGCTGGCGAAAAGGTCGTGGGATGACTTGGATTGGTTCAACAAGTGCGACGGAGAAACATGGGTATTGCTTGCGTATGAATTTTTGGTAAGCAAAGTGGTCTGTCGCCACACCGGCCGTTGCTGACGTTTAGTAGACTCCAAAAGGAGACAATATTGGCCCTGTCAGCATACTTAAAGGAACACGACGAGTCGGACGCATTACCCTGGATCTGATTGAGCAAATCGCCAGAAGTCAGAACTTAGAAGAAGACGAATATTGGTGTACCGGTGTTGCCTGGACGATGATGGATGGAGGAGATCCTAGGCACACCCGAAGAGCCATCGAATATTTCCAAAAGGCAATCACTCTAGCAGAAGCTCGTACGCGAGAGCTATATGGCGTCGAAAAGCCCACAGCTTGGGTCGCGTACGAAGGCCTCAGTCGGTGCTACGGCGATAATCTTGGACAACCTTTGCCAGCTCTAGAAGCAATTCAGAAAGCTATCGAAGCCTTACCACCGATCCTTCTTAACTTCGGTGTTGATTTTTATTTCAGAGCACGGGCAGCTTATTGGCAACTCCAAACCGGCGGAAATCACGAGGATGCCACTCGTGTCGGCAGGGAGGCGTACGAACGATGCCAGATGTATACTTTCGGCACAAATTCCCCCTCGGACTATATCATCATGGATAGCTGCAAGCTTTACATTGAGATTCTGAGTCGGACCCAAGATTATGGCTCAATATCAGCAGTCTTGCGCCACCTTGCAACATGTGAGACACTCTTGCCCGGGTGTTCACTGCTTCACTGTCTTTTGAGACACAAGTTTACCGAACGAGAGTTCAAGCGGCTGACCGGTATCATCGCTATGGTTTTGTATAAAAGGCCAGACCCCGATCTGCAGAACCTGTTACAAGACAATTTCAAGCGTGTCGCATACATTGATCTTTCAGGCAGGCCCAAGTGGAATGATCTGCGACTGGCGGTACGCTCTGCAAACTTCTTGCTACGACATTTCAAAGACGTCGCTGGCGCGACCAAGATCTTCACAAGCATCCTGTCTGTGATTGACTCGAACGATGAGTCTTACCGTCAACGTTTGAAGCCGATTCGAAACCAAGCGGCCGCATTCGTTAGCTTTCGTCGTTTCACCGAGGCGGTGGAAGCTAGGCTGTCAAAACAATCACGTTATTCCCAGCCCGCGGAGAAACTGAGGAGTCTTGCCTTGGAAGACAAACGGCGCTATCGCGCCTCTTATTCGGCCCTTCTGTATGGTGTCTGGCTTCGAGATCATCGATCAAAGTCTCCGAAGGTGTGGAGGCCGATTTTCGAACCATCTATCGCTGAGGCAATCTATAAACTACACGACGACGATCCCTGGAACGACGATGATGCCTACAATCAACTTGGAGAGGCGTTAATGATGGGCAACGATCTCGAAAACGCTGCAACTGCCTTCGGAATTACCATGATGCTAACAGATGAACTAGCCACACAGCCTGAAGTACCTGATGAAGGAACCGACTCTGATCATAAGCTGGGAGAGAGCACCGGTGGGGCGGTATACAAGTACGCCAGCTCCAGGAAAATTCGCCACTGCGACGGGATTTGCGATCCGACCAAGGACGACTTTGCAGAACTCTGGTGCTGTTGCCTATGTGAGAAGACGTGGCTTTGCGGAGATTGCCTTGTTCTGCTCAGGAAACAGGACCCAGAGGCAGACTCGTACGTGATATGCTCGTCAGATCATAGCCACCTCCGAGTCTACCCTGTGTCTGATCGCGCCAGAGATATCGTCAGCGGCCTTCGACGGAACAACTTCGACAAGCATCGCCAGTGGTTACGAGAAGTGCAGGCGGCCTGGAGCACGGAGTAGGGAACTGCGCATCGTGTCTCCGGCAATCGCTCTGATCGGGTTATGTCTGCGATACCAGCGGGAACGCATGCGACGACGCTCGTGAACCACAGCCTGGTCAAGTTTGTAGCTGTTCTCATCGTCCTCGGTGCCTGACAGAATGCCAGGCGCCTCGTCTAGCATCGCACCCAGGGCTGATTTTCTCTATCGTGGGATTGTCTATCATCCCAATCGAGTAGGCCCTGTTCGTTCACGAGGGGTTTCGGGTTTCGTGGAATGTCTATGAGACTGTGCCTCAAGCATTCAGACCCCCGGAATTATGAATTGTTTGTGTTGTAAACGAAGTGCAAGGGGAGGGGCTAGTCATGGTGGGAGCAAGGGACCAGTACGGAGTACTCGGCGCTTGATAGATCCCGAGCATACTCGATAGTTACAGGCGAGCAGGGGTAGGGAGAAAGAGTTGTCAGACAACTTTCCATCACGGTAATGAACGCCAAGACGCTAATGGCTTAGCGGCACTAACGGGGTTGTTGACGCGTGTCGGCGCGCCGAGAACATTTGTCCCCACTATTTGGTACCGACCGCGATCAGGCACTCAGGTCCTCCATCGTCATGCTCGATTGTCTTCGCGAATAATCACAGTTCGCGGGGTTGGCCTCGCATATACATTGTCGTGACAGACCCTCGAGGCCTCAATGGTCCCCAACCATCATCATGGCTTCTCACAGTCGGCAAGATCGCGCGCTGATGCGGCAGCGTGGTGCTGGGTATGTTGACTCTGCGTAAACAGAGTGAATGAAGCTGACGCTGACAATCTTAGATCGCGCGCCGTCGCAACCGCTGATTTTGGCATCAATTTTGGTATGGGGGACAGTAGGCTGGAGCGTCAACAAATGCGACAGAGGGGCGCTGGGTACGCGATCTCTCCCACTGAATTCAACATCTCTGACGTCCCTTGCTTAGGTCTCGCAAGATTGACAATGTGGACTTTGGCATTTCCTTTCCGACCCCAGCGCAGCGCTCCCGCAGCAAGACACCACAGTCTCGAAGGTCTAATTCGCGCCAGCCGTCAAATACACCAGCCAGGCGAAGCCGAGAACCGACGTCCGCACGATCGGCCGGACGAAATTCCAGCGCACTGAAGTCGGCTCAACCTCCAGCGCCTGCATCTGAAGTAGAGTCGCTACAACCGAACGACGGGCACACACCAGCAAGTACTCGATCTAGCAAAAGAAGGAAAATATCTCCAAGTATTGTTACGCCAACTCCACAACCACCAGCAGATACAACTAGAGCAATCCCCACAAGCCGAGCTTCGCTGAGGAGAAATTCGACCCGGATGTTCGCAATTGCCGAAGACGATGATGCCGGAGCGCATCCCTCCCTCAGTCATGCCGGAGAACCCTCTCACACATCTCCCTTGTTCATCCCGCAGGGGGAGCAGGAGAAGGAGAATGAGACGCCCAACACCATAGGATCAAAGACAAACCCCGTGGAGTCGGATTTACAGACTACAAAGAGCGGACGAATTCTGCTTGCACCACTTGTCTTGGATGAAGATGTCTCTGAATCTGCTTTAGAAGCCCCCGAAATAGAGGGTGAAGGGACGCTTCAACGGATGATAATGAACGATACATTACCAGATTCAGATGTGCCCAGTTCTTCTAAACAGCGAAAGCGGAGAAAACGAAGATCCCTCACCTTCGAGCGCAGAAAACGTCATTCGTCGAATCAGAGTCAGCCTTTGAACGCCTCAAAGGAGGACTCGCCAGCTGCCGTTCCTTCTCGAGTCCCGTCCGAGGAACTCCCATCACCCGCGGCTAAGCCTTTAGCAAACCGAATCGCCAAGTACAGCAAACTTGCGAAAACAAGGAATATGAGAGCAATTACTCCTGTCTCCGACCGAGAGCAAACCCCTAATCAAGGAGAGGAGGAAGATGACTCGTACGTTGAACAGAGCTCTCCTGAAGTGCAGACGCCGGCTGCAAATAGGAAGGGCAAGAGAAAGACTCGCCAACAAACTTTCCGAGATGGGTCGGCCGAAGTTTCGAAGAGCAACAAGGGCAGACCTACCTTCCCTATTCTCACTCACCGACTGGCAAGTGTCTCGACATTGCCGACCATCCACGAAGATAGTGAAGCCCAAATGGCGGATGTACTCCCTGATATTACAACCGACCGAGCTCAGCCCAACGTGGTGGACGTGCTAGCCCAGATCTGTCGCGAAACCATCACAAACGCGATTGACCGCATCGCCGACACTCTACAGTCCAAGAAACGAACATCAGTCAATAACAAACGGAACGCCCTCGAAGCATTCGGCCAAGACCTCGATGAGGAGTTATTCGCGATGTCTGAGGCTGTGGAGAACCGCATCAACCTGGAAGCCCGTGTTCGGAAGACTAAGCGGGAGAAAGCAGCTCTGCAAACGGAATATATCGAGTTAAGGAAGGAACGTGAACAGGTTGCACTGAAGTGTGACGCGCTCAGACGCCGTCATTGGCAGTGCGAAGAGTCTACGAGAGAGAAATGGGCGCTCAGTGAGGCGGCTCGGCGCGTGGAGCAGGAGATGGACCGAAATTCAGGCGCCGATGACGAAAGTATCGAGTTCCTTATACGGAGCGTGACGCCGGCGGTCAGCAGTGCATCGGGACACGGTATCTTGGACAAAGTCAGGTCATTCAATGCTCAGTTGGAAAACATGGCATTGATTTTGGAAGGAGGCAATGCTTGATGTTTGTTGTTCTATGGATGATTCACGAGGTTCAAAATCTGAGACGATTGATGGCTCTTCAGGGTTATGCTTCTGGCAGATATGTGGTTTGATACCCGGCTAGTAACTGGAGCTCATGCTCGTGAGGGCAATGAGTTGGATATACAAAGCCCTTATGAGATGTTGAAAGGATGGCAACAGAGTCCTCCACGAAACTAAAGAATAAATCTACACTGCCTCCTTGGTCCTCATCCACTAATATTGGGGCGGCGGAGGAAGTGATGCGAGAAGGACGTTGCGACTATCGGCTTGCGGAGGCACCCTCTGAGGGAGTCATCTACATGTACTTTGATATGTCAGAGAGAGCCTTTACGTGGACCGGCATGTACTGTCAGTTCGGGAGCTATGTAGACGCCCTCCAGCGGAAGGTGCAAAGAAAACGAGTCCATTCTCTAGAACATGGTAAAGTGATAGGGTGCGCGTCTCGTGGCTTTCACAGCCGATGCTAGGTCACCCACGCAGTGGATGTTCCTTGCGCGGTCAAAAGGCTTCGAGCAGAATGTTGTCTCATGGCAAGGCTGAGGTTGATCCGATAGCGGAGACGGGGGGGTTCAGCCTTGCGCCCAAGCTTCTCCAACTGGGGGATTATTTTCTTCTCCGCCTCGCGCAGCAACATAGTCCTCTTCTTTCATTGAAGTTGTGTTGTAGATATGGCAGGCCGAACGTTGCGGATAGGTAGGACCTCCTACCAGAACTGCTGGATCTTCACACTGACATGCGCACCAACAAACAGGTCTCATCCCCGGCGACGGGATCGGTCGCGAAGTCATTCCGGTACGAGTCGCGCTGTCTCCCACCTCGCCCATTGCCCGCTCCATCCAAGCTATGTGCGTGTCTAATACACTGTGCTCCAGGCCGGCAAGCGCATTCTTGAGTCGCTCCCCTCGTCGCTAGGTTTGAAATTCTCCTTTGTCGACCTCGATGCGGGCTTCGATTGCTTCAAGCGCACGGGAACTGCGCTGCCAGATAAAACGGTGGAGATGCTGCAGAAAGAATGCGACGGCGCCTTGTTTGGGGCTGTGAGGTGAGCCATATATCAGCATTGCGTGTGATTGTGTCCTGCACTCCATCTGTTGCGCTGGGAAGGGGGAATTACCGCACCCCCTTTGCGCGCACGTTCCTGACTTCAAACCCATTCGACTAACCATTTTCCCTCTCCTCCTCCGCCTAAACAGCTCCCCCACAACCAAAGTCCAAGGGTACACGTCCCCGATCGTGGCTCTGCGCAAAAAGCTCTCCCTCTACGCCAATGTCCGCCCTTGTAAAACCACTCTCTCCCCGGCCTTCCAGTCGCCCGTCCCGCACCCCATCGACATGGTCATCGTGCGCGAAAACACCGAGGACCTCTACGTGAAGGAGGAGAAGACCTACAGCGACGGCGAGGGAGGCGAGATTGCCGAGGCGATCAAGAGGATATCGAGCAAGGCCAGCTGGCGGATCGCGAACATTGCAGGCGAGATCGCCTTGCGACGGCAGCGCATGCGGGAACAACAGGGATCGTCGGAGAAGAAACAGGGCATGGTCACCATCACGCACAAATCCAACGTGCTCTCTCAAACGGACGGCCTCTTCCGCTCCACCGCCCGGGAGTGTCTGGCCCAGCCCCAGTTCTCCTCGTTGAAAATCGAGGAGCAGATCGTCGACAGCATGGTGTACAAGCTGTTCCTCCAGCCGCAGTACTACGACGTCATCGTCGCGCCGAACTTGTACGGGGACCTACTCAGTGACGGAGCCGCCGCGCTGGTCGGCTCGCTGGGCCTCGTGCCCAGCGCCAACGTGGGCGAGGGCATCATCATCGGCGAACCCTGTCACGGATCCGCCCCGGACATAGAGGGCAAGGGCATCGCCAACCCGATCGCGACCATCAGGAGTGTGGGCGTCATGCTGGAGTTCTTGGATCTGCCCGAGGCCGCGCAGGCGGTGTACAATGCAGTGGACGCATCCTTGGGAGAGGGCAAATTCGTCTCCCCGGATCTGGGCGGGACGGCGACGACGAAGGAGGTGGTGGACGATATCATCAAGAGGCTCTAGATTCGTGGAATGAAGAGGCGCTATAGAAGTCAGCCTGGAAAGAGCGGCTCGAAATTGAAGGCTGCGAGAGACCCGTGACCGGGGGCTTGTGCCCTTTTTTCCCTTTTGCTTGGAGGGACTTTCGCATTGGTGCCCTTTTTGGAGGCCGGGTCAAAGAACAGGGTCAAAATCAAAAAGTTGAAGTACACATAGACACCACTTCGTAGGAGAGTTTTCCTCGTATCGCTGGCAGATGGCTGTCTCCAACCTTTATGCGAGGTCGGGCGTCAAAGGTGTTGAAGGCTGCCTTAGACAGCCTCTCCGGCTCGAGCTATTTGCGTCAAACTGGTAGTCTCTACATAGGGAGCCTCCTGCGTCGTCTCTATTAGTGTTGCCGCCCACTTTGGAAACGAAGGGGCTTGGAGAGCTACCGGACCGCATACCAGCAGCGATAAAAGAAGACCCAGCCATCATACGGAATCGGTTCTGCGCGCGGCTTATCATAAACAGGTATGACATTAATAGCTATACATTCCCGCCGGGTTATGATCCTCGGCCAACCCATCCCCAGAGCTTCAAATATAGAACCGCACATTGTCGAGATCACCCATTCGATCTGACATGCGCTGCCGTCTCAGTCACAAAGGTAAACATCCTTCGCAGGACCACGTAAGTCGAAGCCGAGTGCTCTATCCGTATGCGTCAACGTTCAAATCCAATAATTCGATCTCTCATTGTTTCTTCGTCGCGAGCTGTCCTTGCTCCTTGTCGAACGCCGCGTACGTGACTTGCAGACTGGCGACGCCGGAAATGGCAACGTACAAAATCGATAGGAGAAGGAAACCGACGAGGAAGCCCATGAAGATCCCTGCACGACAACGTCAGTGTCCGGTGAAGCCAAACTCCAGCAGCGAAGCAACGTGGATAGAAAGGAGAAAAGGAGAATACACACCAGGAGTGAAAAACTGGTACTTATCGAACAACGGCCCGTCGATCATGGTCTGATTATTCCCAGTTATGCTGGCCGCCCCCTGCACACCGAGATCTCGCTTCAGATCGAGATGCATGCTCTCTTGTATTTGGGAGTCCATATCATATCCCGCAGCTTCTTCATCATCCGCTCCTTGCGCGACGAACATCCCGTCTTGTAAGCGGCCTGTGGTGTACAAAACAGTGTAGTTCTGCGTTGGGAGCAGGTCTATCACAGAGGCCAGGAATGCGTCGTTCGAAGAGAGGTCTTGCACTCTGTTTGAGCCAGCAGATGGCGCCGGGAGGACAAGTTCGAGCAGACGCGGCGACGGGGTTAACTCCTTCGTCGGAATACCTCCTCCTTCCCTCGAGGCATCGATTGACACCACCGAGACGCCGCATCTCGTTTTCAAGACTTCAACCCACGTAGAGCTGTCTAGGCGACCGAAAACATCCGGAACAGTCAAGCTGCTCCGAACCGCCGATCCTTTGGACTGAGAAGGCGATAATGCTCTTGCAAGGAAAGGTGTAGTTCTCTTGGAATTGGAGTAGTCTTTGGTGGACACTCCTGGTTGCGAGACCAGTATGTAGTAGTCTGAAGGGCACGAGGAGAGAGCCAATGCCACGTCGGAGGTCAGCAGGGGTGCCGATTGAACGTGGGAGGTCGTTGCTAAAAGTCTAGATGTACAGGGGACAATGGTCAGTCGAGATATGCCTGAACTTGACGCAGGGTACAAACGTACTCGGAGGTTGAGAACATGAAGAAGGGCGTTGTATCAAGGTAGCCATGGGCGCATTCAGCGGCCAGCGCTAAAGCGCACAGCCGAAAGAGACGCATGGCGCTGGAGTTGGCTGAGGATTGTCGTCGTTCAACACTCAACGGAGGCAGGTCTTGAAGCTTTGATATGATGCATGGGAGCGCAACCTGCATCTGCAGTTCTCCCGCTTCATCGTATACCCAGGGCACAGCTAGACAGCCAATCGGAGAAGCATATATCTTGGCAAATTTGGGGTGTTTACACTGCTCGATAAGGCTGGACATTGAGATAAATTTTCCTTGCGAGCTCGGTCTGCATCCTCTGCTTTCATTCTACGGCTTCATCGCTCTTTTCTAGAACCTATGGGCCTCCGTCACGACCGCATAAATGACAGTGACGTGAATATCTCGATTCCAATCATTCATTCCGTGGCCCCAGTGAATCCCGAGTGGTTGATACCCTTTCAAGACTTTATCATTTCTGCCTCTAGGAGATTCCGTTTCCTTCAACTCGTGTCAAGGTACGTATAAGCTCTGGCTTCAGTGTTTCCTCTCTATTCGAAAAGCACTCAAGAAAAACAATCGTATGATGATACAACTTCTAGCTGATTCACTAATTATGGTCGAGACCATTAATGGGTCAATGCGAAAAACTCTTTCTTTCCCCTTCTGATGTTCCTTCCCTCTTGATACATACCGAGCACCGATGTCGTTGGTCCAACCTTGCTGACTCTTTTCGGATGGTAGAGGCTGTGCAATAGCGATTGTTTAAAAGATTAAACCCATCATCGAATCTCCGAGCATTAACTCATGTACTTGTTCTTGCATGTCGCTCCATGGCGAGAAAGCCACCCTTAACATCTCCGATCCATCTCCACTTCTTTTTCCGCACAGCTGCTTGTTCTGCTGCCGCTTCAGCTTCAGTTCTTTCTATCAATTTCTGTGCTGCAATTTGACTATCGTTTCCCCGCTGGCAAACGAAGTATATTGATGGGAGTTGTTGTTCTCCGTCTGGTGTCTCCCTTGCTGGGCTTGGGGGGATTTGATCGGACTGGCCACTTGGCTTCGTGGGGAAGCTGTCGTGCCTTCTAGCCACGGGGATATGCGACTCCTGATCAATCAACCCTCCATCTGGTCCCATCTCAGGAGGCGGGCTAGCATTCGCTGCAAACCCAAGAACACCAAATGCTTCGCTTCCGTGCCTCAGAATCTGCGAGATTGGGATGTTCAAACTGTTCCGAACCTTCGGACCGAGTTCATACTCATGCTCTTCACGCACGTCGACCACAATAGGCTTGCTTTTCCTTTTTCCACTTCTGTCAGGAAGTGCTTCCGCCTCAGCATGCTCCCTTAGAAAGTCCTTTGCGTGAATTCTGTTATTCTCGCCGAGCAGTTTGACATCTTCGAAAACGCCACAAAACGCCTGATAGTCCAGTCTGCCGTTTGAGATCACTTCTGCCGTGACCTTGCTTAGACCTCTTGTTGCCAGAGCTTCGTCATCGCCGCATGCGACGCAATCCTTCCGCCGACCCCGCAAGCCAATTGTGCGGAACATACTTCGTGGATCAGCGGCGTAGGTGTTGTACAGGAGCATTGTATGTTGTGGCTTCTGTCTCAGCGTTTCCGTGGAAGCTCTCGTGCTGTCCGCCCGCCGTTCTGCTTCGGTTTGACGAGAGAAATGTCCGCCGCTCGTGATTATCTTGATAGCCTCTCCAGCCATCAAAGTCCCTATCACTCCAACAACCGGGCCTAGAATTCCTATCTCGCTGCACCCTCGTACTGTTTCCGGGGCCGGCGGGCGAGGAAACACACAGCGATAGCAAGGGCCCTTTTCGTCGCCTTCAAACGAAGTGGGCGGGGAATTGAGGACGATGAGCATACCCTCACCTCTCTGTGCAGCACCACTAACCAGCACTTTCTCCATTGCCACGCACGCATCCGAGATCAAATAGCGCGTCGCGGGATTATCTGTGCAGTCGAGGACAAGATCATACTGTGACACGACATCCAGAATATTGCTCGCGCTGGCGGATTCTTCATGGCAGATGTAAGCGATCTCGGGGTTCAGCTCTCGACATCTCGTGGCCGCGGACTGGACTTTACTCTGCCCCGAGCGTGCAGCAGATGCGGTGTGGACAATTTGACGGTGGAGATTGCTGATTTCCACATTGTCGCCGTCCATAAGACCCAATGTACCTATTCCCGCGCCGGCTAGGTACAGCGCCGCGGGTGAACCGAGCCCGCCCAGTCCAATAATGAGGACTTTGGAGGCTAGCAGAGATTCTTGACCGCGCAGTCGGACTTGAGGAACTAGCATTTGGCGGTTGTATCTGCCGGAAGCGAGAGATGGAGCAGGCAGAAGAGGAGAGGGAGATGATTGGATTTCCAGTTGGGAGGTCAGAGAGGTGGATCGTGCTTCATAATGTCCTTCTTCTGAACCTGACTGGGGACGCGCTTTGGGACCCGACATGTCCACGTCCTGTGTTTCTGATATGTCTGATATTTTGGCGGCTTGGGCGTCAATCGGAATCGGCGGATTGGCCTTGGGTGAGGGCATAGACCTATCTATACCTCAGTCAACGATCCGCTGAAACGAAAGAACAGAAGACCGAATACAAAATCAAACAAGAGTGTTCATTTATCAAGTCTCTGGTCTGGTTCCCAGCAGCGTTTGATCATCTTATCACCTGACACCTAGGCGATTGTCTTCCTGCAGGGGAGCATTCGTCTGTCCCTGAGGTGGCTATATTCATACATAGACCAATAGATCATACCATTCAACCCATCCATTGCTGTCGCTGGGTATCATGTCATACTTGTAACGCAACACCAAGATTCTCCGGTGTTCCCAGACAAAGTTCTGCCAGCTTCGGCAAAACAAATTTCCCGGCCACGCAGAGAGAAACACATGCAGAAACAATGGCGTCGGAACTTACTCGTCTTCTGGTTCGATCAGATCAGGAAGATGCTCGGCCTTCTCCTTGCCTTCCAGGACGTTGTATACAGCAGTAAGAAGAGGGAAGTCCTTCTCCATTCCCTTGTACCGGAGGAATTTATTGACTTCATGGGCAGTCAATGCTCCTTGAAGCTTCTGCCCATTAAGCTCCCTTTCCTGAATCTCCTCGATCGATTTGCCCTCCTGGATGCTCATTTTGGCGCACCGAAAGTTGCGGCCGCCAGAACACGAGGTGATCAAATCTGCAACCCCTGCCGACTCGACCGTGAATGTGTCAGACTGAATCGTATGAGGGAAGAATCTGTTTCCGAACTCTCTCATCTCCAGCAGACCAATTCGCATAACTGCTGCCTTGGCATTGTCGCCCCAGCCCAAACCGTCAACCCAGCCAGCAGCAACGGCGACGACGTTCTTCAAAGCACCACCCAGAGATACACCAGCTACGTCAGAGACTACTCGCACGTGAAAGTAGCGCCGGTGAAACAGTTTCTTCAACGTATCATGGTCGATTGAGTGATATTCGGCAGGGAGCGGCTTGAGCTGGACCTTGGATGGATTGCCGGAGACGTCCTTGTGTACCAATTTTGTCAAATCAACATGGCTTGAAGCTGGGCTGGGGCCTTGTGATGTGGCAGGTGTAGGTGATTGTGAATCCATCAATGGCGGGTCGTATGCAACTGTAGTTTCACTGAATTTCTCTTGGGCCACTTCACTGGCAATATTTGCTCCAGACAAGGCACCACAGTATATCCCCAGTTCCGCTCCAATAGTCTCGGAAAATAAGCTGATGGAGGATTCGTGGACGTTGACACCTTTGATGCACGAGATGCCTCGAGCGAAGGGTAGGATATGGCCACGGAGCTGTTTGCATAGGTTGAGAATAAATTGGTGAGGGAGATTGAAGATCAGAATAGTAGAGTTCTTGACTGAGTCGACCAGGCTCGGATTGGCAACGACGTTGGGAGGTAGAGCAATTCCAGGGAGGTATTTAACGTTCTCGTGGAAGGCGTTGATGAGCGTCGACAGCTTTTGTTTTCCTTTGCTAAATTCGGAGGACTCGTCATAGTGTTTTGATTTCTTGTCCAGTTCAACCTCCTCTTCATAAACCCACATCTGCACCTCCCGTTCGAAGAGCTCAGGGTGTTCTAGTGTGTTTTCTCCCACAAGTTTGGCAATAGTCGATCCCCTGTCTGCGTCAGTGAAGATCTCGTGGAGAGGGTCTAGTCATTACCAGTTTCCAGAACCGATCACGGTGACCTTGTGCTTCTTTGCATAAGGTGTTAGAGCAGACATCCTCACTCGAAGCCCGTCCATGGTGACGGGACTGCTGTGTCTTGGGACGGCCGAGAGCAAATGCGTGGGAACAAGAAGTCTAGAGAAACGAAGAAATAAAGGCGGGCGAGAAGGCAACAGCATCCAGCGCAGGATGGTTGCGAGCAACGGGAACCAGAAGCACTTCTCGTCGTGAAATTTGGTGAGTGGTGGGCTGGACACGAAAGGATTCGGCCAAAATGTTGGTCAACTCAACATCTCGCGTGACGCAGGAACATGTCATAATGGGAAAGGCTCATTGAAGTTAATGAGACCAGCTGATCTTTTCCTGCCCGCTAGTGGGGGGAGAATAGAGCTCCACCAGGCCAACGATTTCTCCTTCCGAGGCTGAGGGTGCCTAGCTTAGTGCCTACAAGTCAGAGAGTTAGGCTCCAAAGGGTCCCGGATGGGCACTGAAGGCACCCCGCGCTTGCTTATCGATAAGGGAAACCGCCTGCGCTAAAGTCACGATGATGAGAACCAACACTGCTCGGTCGCCGCACCCCTGCCATCGTGCAGGAAGCATCTACATGGTTCTAATGACACACTACCCTTTTGACCGTGAAGGCCGTGCGTGCTCGCAAGATAAATGTTCGCTGCACTGCTCTCGACAGCCTCTAATTACTCGAAGCCATAGGAGACACGATCGGCATATCGGGCGGCTCGACGATGGAAAGCCACCATAACAAGACGCACCTTGGGGGACAACTCCCCTCCTGCGGCATATCCAAGACTGGCGAAGACGCTGAGCATGGTTAGGCACCCAACATTGACGTGGGACGATGGCAGCGCAAGAAATACGAGGTTTCTCCTTAGTTCCCTGCATGGACCGCCAGACGCCTTTCCCTCGATCCGAACCCATTTGCGGTTCCTAGAGATTCAGCTGCTGTGATCATCAATAAACTTCGATAGAAGAGGCGGTTTGGTGGCCAATGTCTCAATCAGCCGCTGCTGCTCAGCCCCTTTATCTACCGCTTCTCGAAGGCGAGGTGATAAGGCTGGTAGATCTGCAACCAGGAATCGGGGAGGATCCTGTCTCGCTACGACTTTTGATCGCCGAATTAGGCCATCATCCTGACTACGAGGCCATCTCATATGTCTGGGGTGACCCAGGCCAAACCGTTCCGGTCCTTTGCAACGGAAGACCTCTCGCTATCACCGTCAGTCTCAATGCAGTCTTCAAGAGAGTTAGATACCCAGACCGATCCCGTCTCCTTTGGGCCGACGCTTTATGCATCAACCAATGGCACGACGATGAACGAAGCCATCACGTGGCCTTTATGGGGAAAGTGTACCGGTGGGCGAAAAGAGTGCTTGTGCATTTTGGGGACGATCTAAATGGAGACGCAGTAAACGTCTCTTCTCTTGTGAAAGAATATGCTACTTTGATCTCGAGATACAAGTCGGTACATGACATGCCAATTCTGTTAGCTGAGGATCCTGCTCTTGATGATCCAAGGTGGAAAACACTATCGAGATTTCACCACTTACCATGGTGGACCAGAGCATGGGTTGTTCAGGAGGTCGGGCTTGCTCGAGAACCGATCTGTTTATACGGGACTGAAGAGTTTGATTATCGTGATCTAATGAGGCTCGCTGTTTGGACAACAAGATGTGCGCCACACCTGGAATTCCGACATGACGTTTCTTTCGCTACAGTCCATACGGACTGGCTCGATTGGTCGCCCAATTGGCAAGAAACCTCTCCGGATCCCAGCCAGACTTTCCTAGGACTGATGAACCACTCGCGGTGGCTATCATGTCGGTTGAAGAAGGACCACATCTATGCCCTTCTGGGACATCCATTGGCTCATGTTGAGTCGAGCGAGGAGTTGATTGTTCAGCCAGCCTACAACAAGACTGACGAAGACGTTTACCTTGAGCTCGGGAAGACCTTGATAAGAGACCATGGCCTTCGTGTCCTATCTCCGGTAGACCACACAGAAGAAACCTGCAAGAGCCCTTTGGTTCCTTCCTGGCTGCCCTTTTACCACAATGTTGAGCTCACCGCATGCAATTTTGGCGTATTCCCAGATTTCTGGTACAAGGCGTCGGGGGAGTCTGAGAGAGAAGTCGTCATTGGTGCCGACGACTTGCATGTTCGAGGCTTGCTCGTTGACATTGTGCGGCATTCAACTCAGTTTACTGAGCGGGACTTGGAAGATCTTGGAAGGCTTTCGAAGGAGAGCCCTGCTGTGGACCATCAGGATGGACTGCTGGACCACATCATGGCCGAAGCCCTTGCTGAGGCAAGTGGCCAGGCCTACGATGCGGACGACAAAATCACGGCCCTAAGCTTGACACTTTGTGCTGGGTTGTCGAGGTACCGATGCGCGGAAGATGATCTTGATCAGCACTGCAAGGACTTTGCTGCCTACTACAAGGTTCGGAAAGGGCTACAAAACGAGGCTGATTGCCCTCCGTGGATGCTACGCGATCAAGCCACTGGAGACTATGAGAAGTACTTGACCGACATGAAGCTGGTATGTGAAGGAAGAAGCTTCATCTTGACCGAGAAGGGTCGTTTTGGTTTGGGGCCACTGATCGCGTCGCCCGGAGACATCTGCTGCATTCTTTTTGGCGCTACTATACCTTTCATCCTGCGGAGGACGGAGTCCGAAGGGTATTTCAAGCTTGTAGGCGAGGCCTATCTGCAGGGGCTGATGCGTGGAGAGGCGCTCGGCCAGAGCCCAGCAAGTAGCTGTGAAGAGCAGACCTTCATCATCTGCTAGGATGCAAGTGGGTAGTTTTCCCAGCTGTTCTTGGATTGTTCGTCGCACCACCATCGGAATTCGCCAGGTGATGCGCCGGCCAAAGCTTTATCTCTCGTTTCAGATCCAGTTCTCTATTTGACAATTCCTAGTGGCAGAAGAGTGAGAAGGTCTTCTCTCTGCGAAGTCACGGACGAGGCTGGCGTAGAAGCGTTGAAAAAGGGGCTGCCAAGCCTGGAGAGACCGCTTGTCACATACCGCATCGGATCCCAGTATGGATCCCCAGTACGGGGTACTCAGTCGCTCGACCAAGAGGGTCATTGCGAAATGGAATAGAAGTCCAAGTTGGAAGACGGAAACGAGCGCAGTCGTAGTAAGAACATGGATTCATATCTCTGTATGGCTCCAACACAGCCTCTGATCTGCGACACTACTCTCAAGCTAACGTGTGGTGTGATTTCTTCAACCTTGTGGTCCTCTGTGCCGTGTCCAACGAGCATTTGCTCTTGTTTCCGTCCCTCTGTCGACTTTGGTTTGGCAACATGCCTTCTGCAAGTGTGCAGGCACAATAAGCAAGCAGCTCCTGTCCATTCTCCTTGTCAACAATAAACTCAACCTTCCACTTTCATCATCTCGCAAAGAATTGGCCCATCGAGCCTGGTGTTTGTCTCCACAAATCTTTACCACAATGGAATTGCCTCCACGGCGTGACCGCGGTTGGTGGTGTCTGGAAACTTCCATGTCTCTGTTCTTGTCGGGATGTCGCGAAGTCTCATGTCTCCCGTCAATCGGATGTACGAACTGTGGGCCAAGGGGCATTCGTCGTTGAAGCACAGCGTGGGATTCGCGGCGTTGGGCTTGGGGCACAGGACGTCGTCGCCTTTGTTGAGATCGACCTTGAACCAACAGTCATCGGCCACCACAACGACTTGCCGACGGAAGAGGTTTGGATGCGCGCCCTGCCACATGACTGCTCTTGCTGGCTCGATCTCAGATGTGTGTGTGCTGCCATCTTCGAAAAGCCAACGCATGTCCGCTCTAATGTCCAGCAGTGAGTATGGGCTACCAGTGACGACTTTGTGACTTACAGTGTTGTTTCTGGATGTGTGAAGACGATGACGCGCATCCCTTCGTCTCCAAGCATGCAGATCGGCCTATAACTGCGCGTTAGCTGAGAAACGGGCTGGGAGGGGACGACAGACATGACGAGGTTGACGTATGACTGGTCACGATCAACTTTCAGGCTGATCCCACACCTACAACCAGTGTCAGCATCGTCTGACGGACAAGTCAACTTGCTGGCCAGGAGAACTTACACTGGACGGTGATCTACTTCATAAGCTTGTCTCATCTCGTTGACATTGACTGCTCGTGGAAGCTCGGACGTGGACGAGAGGCACTGCTTCTTATGGCGGCTGGGGCCATCTGCAGGGCCTATGCCATCAGGGCGTGATCAAAGGTATTTTTATATATAACTTACTTTCGATCTTGCAAGATGGACGCTTCTTCGACTCTTTATCAGAAAAATCCGACTCGCTAAAGTGTTCCGCCTGTTTCCGTGTGAGCAGTGACTTCCGGCGCGACAGGGATCTCAATACCATGGTTTCAGATGAATGGCGCGACTTGATCACGATCTTCCGGCACATTCTAGATGTCGCGCTAGTGTCAATGATCAGTTTGATGAGATTGGCGCGGTGATAGAGATGGGAAAAGAGAACAAAGTGAAAGAAGGCGCGACACTGAGGAGAGAATGAAGAGAAGGCAAATCTGTGCCACGCGCAGGAGAAGGAAAAAGAACGTAAACAGACAGACGGTTTTGTCTGCCGGACCGTGAATCACTTGTGAAAATTCATTGCTCGTGCCGCACGTCAGCTTGGACTGCAGTTTGAGTGAGTTATCCCTAAGGCAAAGGCATGGGCATTACTATCACAAGTCCGTTGTTTTCACCTACAGCTCACTTTCAATTCGGAGTACCCTAGGGCTCACGATCCAGGTACACTCTCATCACTACCCACCGGTCCGCGAGAGACTGGAGCATACAAGGCCGTGGTCACAGCATTGCCTTGGGCATGTACTTCATCGCCTGCCGCACACCAAGATCCGCCAAAATCTCCTCCGTCCCTCCAAGAATGGCATCGAACTTGTACGTGCGATGGAACATCTCGACATTCCTGCCCATGCCAGTGGTTGTGATACCCCGTCCCCCGAAGATATTGACGGCGTCGTCGGCGATCTCGTGGGCTGCGCGGGTGGCAAACATCTTGAAGAGCCCGATGGGGCCAGCCAAATGTCGGTTTTGCTCCTCCTGGGTCATGTTGCACATTTGGTAGGTGATGTTCTCGAGGTAGTTTTGGATGGCTTCGGCGTAAGCGATCATTCTGGCAAGTCTGGAAACACACACACAACGCATGTTAGCAAGGGTGGGAAGCAAAGAAAGAGAGGGAATAGATTCATACTTTTGTCTGATCACTGGTTCCTCGATCAATCTCTTCCCAAATACCCTCCGCTGGTTTGCCCACTTGATGCAATCCTCTACGATCATCCGGCTCGATCGAACGCTGAAGGTCGTGATCATCCACCGTTCGTGGTTGAAGTTCGTCATTATCACCCTGAATCCTTGATTCTCCACGCCGAGAAGATTCTCGACGGGCACTTTCACATTGTCGAACTTGATGAACGCGGTCCCGGCGGTTGTGGAATAGCTCGTCTTGATCTGGGTGGTCTCGACCCCTTCCTGTCTTTCGATGAGCAGCACAGAGAAACCCTTTTCGGTCTTGACGCCTGTGACGAAATAATCACAGAAGACTCCGTTGGTAATCCATTTTTTGGTGCCTGACACAAAGTATTAGAAGGAGGACGCAGACAGACGATCAAATGCGCATCTGGGGCTTACCATTGACAACGTAGTGCGTTCCGTCAGGGCTCTTGACGGCAGTGGTCTTCATACCAGCCACATCCGACCCGGCAAATGCCTCGGAGATGGCTAGACAGATCTTCTTCTTGCCTGACAAGCATTCTTCGGCCACTCGCTTTCGAACATGGGGCTTTGCATGGTATAGGACAGCTGGTAAGCTGATGATCATGCCGCCCAGGTTGCCGTCGTTGAAGGACCGAGTACCAGTTCGACAGAGCTCCTGGGTGATGATCATCTCGTGGAAGTAATCGAATTCTTCCGGCGTCACAGCGCCATTCATCAAGTTGAGTCCTTTGAGGTGAGGCCCGGGTCCCATGCGCATTGCATTCATTCCAAGGCGTCTGGATAATAATACATTGTTAGCTCATGCTGGAAGCGAGGACCCGAGATGTACGGAGTACATACCCCATCTCCTCGATAGTTGCGTCAGAAATCCTCTTTCCGCTGGTCTCCTTTTCCTGGGCTTCAGGAGTTAGAACCGTATCGACCCATACTCGCATTGCCCGCTGCAGCCGCCGATGGCTCTCCTTGAAGTAGGGGCTCTTGAATTGTGGTGTCAACCAGGTAGGCTCTCCATAAGGCACCAGACTGAGATCCCCGGGCTTTGGATATATGACCTGGGGCTTCTCGCCCTTGACCGTGCCAATGCATAACGACTTCTCATACTTCTGCAGGACTTCCAATCGGTGCAGATTGAAGAAGTCGACTGTTGCGTCAAGCCCTCCCACTTGCTCCAGCACCGTCGAGCCCCCGGGATGGGCATCGGCAAAGTCGGTCAAGTCGTAGACCTTGGAGTCGATGATACACCATAGGCTGTCGGCGGTGTTATTCTGCGACACCTCGTCCCTGGAGATTTCTCGGCTCATGGTGGGAGATTGATCTCTACCGCAATCTCTCGAACAAGGCTCGCGAGTTCTCAGAGACTGGAATGCATGATTTTCTGGGAAAAAAGAGGCCCAGCCTGGGGGCTTACATAGGGGATCCGCCTCGGCTGACGCTGGGATCTGGATTTATATATTAGTGATACGCTTGTCGCGGAAGAGGTCTAGTCTTTGCGGACGCCAACCTGACCTCTCCCTGCTTTCCATTTAATAATCTCGAAGAAGGACTGTCTCGACCACGGTCCGCGCGACTCGACACGATGGCGTCCTGCTCGTCTTGTGGGGAGAGGATTTGTGATGTTCTTACGCACGAATGCCTACTACCGCATCACATGTTGACACTCAGACGCCATGATCAGATACAAGGTAACTGACAATGTACCTCGGACGCGCTCAGAGTGGGTTGGCCGGGCCTGCTGGCTGATTACTACACCTGATTCGTGATTGTGATTCTGGATATGAAGCCCGGCAGAGGGCCGAGTGACTTCCTGCTCTCTGCACGGCCTATTCCCACCAACTCTCCAGAACATCCTCTTGTGTCCTCTCTCTAGACCTAGATCATGGCTTTCGATACACCCCTGACGCGCAAGTTGGGCATCAGGGTCCCCGTTGTCCAGGGCGGCCTCCAGTGGGTTGCATATGCCGAGCTCGCCGCCGCCGTCAGCAATGCTGGCGGTCTTGGAATCATCAACGCCTTGACGCAGCCAGACCCAGAGCACCTGCGACAAGAAATCAGAAAGACGCGGTCGTTGACGTCGAACCCCTTTGGCGTCAATATCACCTTGCTACCGGCCCTCAACCCTCCGGACTATCCTGCATTCACTCAGACAATCATCGATGAGGGTGTCAAGATCGTCGAGACCGCCGGCAACAGCCCAGGCCCCGTCATCAGGAAGTTGAAGGAGGCCGGCATCATTGTGATCCACAAAGCCACCACGATCAGACATGCGAAAGCGGCCATCAGACTGGGAGTGGATATCTTGTCGATCGACGGGTTCGAATGTGCCGGCCACGTGGGCGAATCCGACATTGCCTCCCTGATCTTGAACAGTCGCGCCCGTCAGGAACTAGGCAACACCCCTTTTATCGCGTCTGGCGGGTTTGCCGATGGCTATGGCTTGATGGCAGCGCTCAGTCTGGGCGCGGCGGGCATCAACATGGGCACTCGGTTCATGTGCACGGTCGAGGCCCCCATCCACCTGAATGTCAAGCAGGCCATTGTGAAAGGGGACGAGCATCAGACGACGCTCATCCTGAGGCGGTGGAAGAACACCAGCCGCATGTTCAGCAACCAGATGACGGCCAAGACCATCGAAATCGAATCCACCAGCAAGACTGGCGAGTTTGCTGAGGTTGCTCCGGTGGTGAGCGGTGCCCGAGGCAGGGAAGTTCTTACTGGGGGCGACATTCAACACGGGGTAAGTCGTCACCACGCATTGCAGCTTCTAAGAGTTATGTTGTTTGCTAATCCGTTGTCACAGGTGTGGTACGCTGGGCAAGTCATGGGCTTGATCTACGACATTCCAACTTGTGCAGGACTCATTGCCCGCATTGAGCGCGAGGCGGGAGAGGTCTTGTCCAACCTTTCGAGTTCGATCCCGAGTCCGCTGCAAGCTTCCAGGAGCAAGTTATAGTTGTAACCAGTGCGTGCTGTGATTGATGGACATTTTGTAAGAGAAAGGGCTGGAAACTGAGCCTCATCGACCGGCGATTAGATCTGCCTTGCGCAGCAGGCGCCTAGACTGAATAGATCTGTCTTCTTCGGATCCAAGTATCAAGCTTGTCATTCTGTATATACTCTGTACAAGGCTGTTTGGCCAACCCTTGTAGGCAACTCAATGCCTTTTTCCCGCCTGATGAACTTCTCTGCCTCCCTCCTCCTCCTCCTCCTCCTCAGACCCTGGGCCGCCATATCGCTCCATCCCAGACCTCGGACTATGTGATAGATTCTCATCGACACCGTAGCCAGCTTCTCTACGTACGAAAGACCCCTACCAATATCTAACATGTGCCGCTTATTACTATTCCATCCACTGAACTAATAAGGGGCACACTACACACTGTATGGCCCCACGGGGCAACACGGCGTTTGGTCGCATACCGAGGCTCGTCCCGCCGTGGTCAGGGCTGGATTACTGATTCTTGAGAATGACGCGATTTTGATCACCTTCTAAATAACAACATGCTTCAATATCAATTTGTACTTTGACTTGATTCAGCTTCCATCTAATCCAGTTTGCCGGCCCTTTCTCGGCCTCGACATCGACACATAACAGTGACAAACCCGCTTAGTGTTGTGAGAACATTGAAACAAAAAAAGGCAGAGCAATACCTACCGTCCACCAGTCCCAAACAACACTGCTCCGGCAGCCGACCATCTCTCAACCCGACCATGTCTCTGAACTCGCAAAAGAAGCCCGTCATCGCCGTGGTGGGCGCTGGACCGGGCATTGGCGAAGCCGTGGCCCGCCGCTTCGTGGCCGAGGGCTTCTGCGTGGCGCTCCTGGCGCGCACCGAGGACAAGCTGCGCAAGATGGCGCAGGGCATCGACGCCGACTACGGCGCGGGCGCGGCGCACTACTACATCACGGACCTGCGGCAGGAGGAGTCGGTGGTGACGAGCTTCCAGTGCATCCGGGCGGAGCTGGGCCCCGTGGGCGTGCTGGTGTACAACGCCGGGGCGCGGCGGGTCAACGGGCGGTCGATCCTGGACACGACGTCGGAGGAGTTTGAGAACTTCACCAAGATCAACCTGTTCGGGGCCTTCTGGGCGACCAAGTGCGTGCTGCCGGACATGCTGGCGGCGGGCCGGGGCACGATCCTGCTGACGGGCGCGACGGGGGCCCTGCGCGGCAACCCAGGCCTGGCCTCGTTCTCGCCGGGCAAGTTCGGCCTGCGCTCGCTGGGCCAGATCATCACGCGCGAGTACCAGGCCCAGGGCATCCACGCCGCGCATATCATCGTCGACAGCCCCGTCGACGGCAAGCTGATCGGCGAGTGGTCCCGCCGCCAGTGGCAACGCACGGGTCAGGCCGACAAGCTCGACGACGTCTCCGGCCACCTCGTCGCCCCCGCTGACCTGGCCCAGACCTACTGGTTCTTGCACACCCAGCCGCGCAGCGCCTGGACGCACGAGTTGGACGCCCGCCCGCAGAAGGAGAATATGTTTTCCAAGTTGTGAAGGAAAGGGAAGGCCTCGGGTCCGGCTACATAGGGACGTTTGGTTCGTTAATCAGGAGTAATTTTGCCTCAGAGTCAAAAATCCCCGGCATTCTGACATAGGTGTTTTTGGGATGAATGGATCAAGCTTTTTACAATCAGATACAATCTTCGCATGTTGGCCCATGTTCATGTGTCCTGCTTTCGCAGCTAGGGCCCATCGGGCTCGATCCACGGTACCCAAATGATGATAAGTTGTTCCAAGTTCTGTCGATACCAGGTACATAATCTACCAAATCACAGCCGTGCCATCTCCTTCTTGGCCTGCTCGGCCAGGACCCGGCGGAGCACCTTGCCAGCGTTGCTCTTCGGGATTGCATCGACAAACCTGATCCCGCCTCTCAACCGCTTGTGCGGCGCCACCTTCTGGTGCAACCAGTCGCAGATGTCCTTCTCCAGCGCCGGGCCACTCGCGTATCCCTTGGCCGCCACGACGTACGCTCTGGGGAGCTCGGTCGCACGCTCCGGACTGTAGACGCCGATGACAGCGACGTCGTTGACAGCCGGGTGCGCCAACAGCAAGCCTTCTAGCTGGGCGGGCGCCACCTGGAACCCGTTGTACTTGATGAGCTCCTTGACGCGGTCGGTGATGTAGAGGTTGTGGTCCTTGTCGATGTATCCGATATCGCCGGTGCGGTACCAGCCGTCGAGAGTGATAGAATCCGCAGTGGCCTTCGGGTTATTGTAGTATCCCTTGCAGATGTTGGGCCCCTTGATCCAGATCTCCCCGGTCTCACCCAGAGCCACTTCCTTGCCGTCATCCATGCATTTGAGCGAGATGGAGGGGAGGAGGGTTCCGGCGGAACCCACTGTCTTGTTCCATTGTTCCCACGACTGGAGGTGATGAGTTAGGCGTTAGAGTCAACAAGGAGGAACTGCTCTTCACATACCTGCGAAGCCACGCCCGGGGACGCCTCTGACAAGCCATATCCTTGTTTGATGGGCACTTTCAGCCGCTTGTAAACCATCTCCACCAGATCATTCGTCAAGGGGGCCGCGGAGGAGTGCATCATCCGTAACGAGCTCAGATTGTATTTTGCAATGAGCGGGTGTTTGGCGAGCAGCAGGACCACCGGTGGGACGACGTAGGCGATTGTGATGTGTTCCTGTTGGATGATGCGACAGAACGGCTCCAGCTCGAATCGTTGCATGATGTAGACCGTGATCCCTCGATACACCGGGCTGAGAAGAAGCACCGCGAGACCTAAAGGGGAGGCATTTAGCAGGTTTCAACCTCATATGGGTCGCGCGTGGACTAACCATAGATGTGATATAGGGGAAGGAAACCAATCGTTCTGTCCCTGCTCCAATGCGTCCGCTGCGCATCCATCACAATTCCTTGCAGGAGATTCGTCACAATGTTCTCGTGTGTCAACATGACGCCTTTCGGCAGTCCGGTGGTGCCTGAAGAATACACCAAGAAAGCGAGATCTTCCTTTGGATCGATCGAGACCTTCTCTACGACAGTCGAAGAGCCTTGTAGGTCCGAGAAGTGTTGAAATCGACCTTTGGGATCTCGTGGGCCGACCAGAATGATCCGATCCAGAGGCAAGCCGGCCAGCAACGCAGCCTCGCGAGCGGTTTCGAGACATGCGACATGGGTCGTCAATGCCTTGGCTTGGGACGACTTGAGCTGTGACACGAGTTCGCCGACAGTGTAGAGGTTGTTGAAGGGGCATGCGATGCCACCAGCCCAAAGAGTGCCGAAGGTAACAGGTGCGATCTCGGCGCTGTTGGGGGTAAAGACAGCCATCACGTCGCCCTTCCGCCAATTCCATTGACTCTGAACGCCTTGTCCAAAGCGACGGGCAGCGTCCCGAACATCTCGCAGCGTGTGCTGCTGCTGTGCCGCAACATCGACATATACGACTGTCAGGGTTGTGAGCAGGCTGCTGGGAAAGGCATTGGGGCAAGGACTGTGCCCATGCCCGGGGTCACTTACCATGATCCTCAGGATACTCCCGATCAGTGCGATCAAAAAGAAATGTCCAGACGTCCACTGCAGGGATAGAGATGGGTGGATGGGCGGATTCGATAGGCATTGCGAACACAGGCCGTTAATGGCAAACTTCAGATCTCGCGTGTTGCTTCAGCGGCCGTACTTGGATGGGATATGTAGTGCTCGAGGGTGAGCTGCCCCTGGGGGTGTCGACCCCGGGAAGAGCAAGGCCATCATTGGACGTAGAGCAAAGGCGGCCATTACTGTCAGATGCCGTCGTCAAAAGATTACAAAGGCCTTGCGTGCGTAGGAACGAGACCGAACCTGAGCAAAGTCCCACGATGGAGAGGCTGAAGGTGGGAACAAGAGGAAATTGTATATTTATGATTAGTCGTTGGCGATACGCCGTGGGGCCTCGGCTGTCCCGGTCTTGCAGATCTGTGCTTCTGACCCCGATCTCTCTGCACCTCTCTGCTTAAATCAACCCATTGACTCTGCTCGGTGGCATGGATTGATCATAAATAATCATCACGGCACAGGAGGGACTGAGCACAAGTCTGCAGCGGCGCCATCAAGGAACCCCTTTCCACGAACCAACCAGCACGGAGGCACCACGAGTCCCGCAACTTCTGGGGAAGCCTGGATTGAGATCTCTCCACTGGGGACTCTGGTCTCAGCGTGCTGCTAGATTTCCGAGAGAAAGCTTAGGAAGATGCGTCCAGAAGGAGGAAAGCTGACCATCTATGTGGATTGTGGTATGTGTACCATACACCCACTCGCCATTTGTGCGAAGCTCACCTGCCGTCGCCAGTATCCCCGTACTCGTGGTTTGGCTTCACCAACATAATCCGCCACCGGCCACTCCTGAATGCATACGGTGTATCTGTGGACATAATCCCTTTCTTCTTGGGTGCCGCCCGTGATGGCGTGGGCAACCCTTTCACGCCAACACCCAAAGCCAAGGAGGCCTTTGCAAAGCAAGACTCGGAAATGACTGGGGAGCTGCTTGGGCTGAAGGTCGTCCGGCCCAAGGAATTTCCCATCCTGTCTCTTTTTGTGAGTTCCCCCGGTCTCAAATATGGACCCGCGATTAACGGCATGGGTAGGCGGTCCGCGTGGCGACATGGATCAAAGACCACTATCCGCCAGAGAAGTTTGAAGCTGCCTTTCCAGCTTTCAGCACGGCGTATTGGAGTAATGGCATCAATATCTCCAAGCCCGAAGGAATCATCAAAGCTCTGGAAGGCATCTTCCCCGAAGAGGAAATCAAGGAGATCATGAAGAAGGCAGTGACACCCGAGAACAAGCAACGGGTCATTGACCTGACCATGGGAGCCGGTGCATTTGGGGCGCCATGGATCGTGGCCGTGAACTCAGAAGGGCAACGGAGGGACTGGTTTGGAAATGATCGATGGGATCAGGTGTTTTATCATCTGGCAGTCCCGTTCACCCCAGTGAAGATCGTTCCACCCGAGGAAGCAAAGGCGAAGTTGTGAAATACAGGCTCAGAGATAGGAATGTGACAATATCGACCAGTTGGTAGGCTTGCGATCAAGGAAACCCGACTGGTTGACTATCCATACAGAATCCATTCTATGCTGCACGTATCTTGCCAGGATAATAGTTCGATCACTCGCTTCAAACCTTCCCCGTCTTGTTCAGTATCGATACCTGAATGCTTCTCGGCTATTCTAAGATCAGTAAAATGCATGTAAATACGAGCCAGCCTTGGCAGGGGCGTATCTTTCGCAAAAATTGTACTAACTAACCGTCAATATAGCAAAACAACATATGGCGCATCCTACCCTCGTTCCGACCACAGCACGATCAACGAGTTGCTGGATCAGTCCTTGAAATCGCAAGGAAGATTTTGGCCTTAATCCAAGGTTGCTATGCCCATCTCCGTTTGGACTCACAGCATTGGTCGGACAGTGAAGCTATATGATATGTACCTCGTACACCAACCAAATGGTTCCGCCAAAGTGCTCAATCTCTGCCGTGTGACCATCTTCGTCGCCTATGCGGACCATTCATGATGAGGCTATCGTTTTACCTCTGCGTCCCATGTCAAGAGCGTCGAGAACCACTTCCAGCTGACCAAGACGAGTTATATTCCCCTTCCGCTCTAGAGGCCGGGGGGGAGTGAGTGACAACGCCTCCATCACACCCACTACCACGACCCTGACCAACGTCTACACGAATCGCTACCAGGCCCAGCAGCCCATGACCCTCCTTATCACCAGAACCAAGGAGCTTCTCGAGGACGCTGTCGACCAATCCTCCTCCGCACGTGATTGGGCGTCTCGCCTCATCACTCATGCTGACTCACCTCCTGAGATATTCCCGTTTTCCAAATCCGCCCAGGAACTGCGCAAGTCCCATCTTTATCTTTTGCAATATCGCATATTTCTCCAGCAATTCAGGAAGCCTGAAGGACCCCCTTCCAGTCTCTGGTAGTTCAGTGGTAGAATACCGGCTTGTCACGCCGGTGGCCGAGGTTGTAAGTTGCTCTGTTGCAAAATATCAATTCACGCGAAGATGAGAGCTGATTATCTGTATAGCAATTCCTCGCCAGAGAGTCTATCTTCCTTTTTTTGACTCGCGGCCTAGTTGCAGGGTTCAAAGCGGCCACACCCCCCTACGTGATTTTTAGTGCATTCTTTGGTCTGGATTATCGTTCATGGGTTCTCTGTGGCCATCTCAGTTGTGCGCCTAGGGCCTGATCTCATAAGCGTGACATTTCCCATTCTCTATTCTCGTCAGCCTGACGACAGCACCCCAGCCTGGCACTGAATGAGCTGAGCAAGGCTACCACCCGCTCACTTCGTCCTCGCCCTCCAGAGTTTGCCGTTGCAGTCTCTTTGCAACGGCCTCGACAGTCTTCCACACCCTAATGAGGTTCCCTCCAGCTGCCTTCGCGGCATCTGAATCACTGACGCCCAGCCTCAACAGCTCCGCAATCAGATCAGGATATTTATCCACCCCTTCCAACCCCTTGGGGGTCAGCTCACCCATCCCGTCAAAGTCACTGCCCAAACCGACATAATCATATCCAATCTTCTCGCCCACATACATGACGTGTCTCGCCACCTGATGCAGGGTGTTGTTCTTCTCGTAAAACTCCGGCAACACGCTCTCGCTTGCGGGAGGCAAGCATGAGATGAACCCGGGACTAAAATTGATCATCACCAAGGATTTCGTCTCCTTGACCAGGTCCAGAATATCGTCGTGGACATTTCTAGGGTGTGGACATAACGCAAATGCCGAGGAGTGGGAGTATATGACGGGCGCCGCCGAGGTCTTGTTGCTCAACACGGCTTTCTGGGTCCAGTACGAGGTATGCGAGATGTCGACGAGCATCCCAAGTCGGTTCATCTCGCGGATCACGTCGCGACCAGCCGAGGTCAACCCGCCGCGATGGTAAGGAGCCACTACGGTGCCATTCCGCGATGAAATCAAGGCAGCGTCGGCAAACGCATTGTGACAATTCCAGGTCAGTGTCGCTGCGCGCACGCCCAACGCATGGTACAGCCGCAGTGTGGACAAGGGCGCAGACTGCGGGATCTGGTGCAGGCCTTCGATACTGATCGGCGAGATCAGACGCCGCGAGCTGTGGAAATTCGACAACGCCACCTCGAGCGGCGAAGTCGCGGATGTGAAGTTGCCGGTATACTCCCCCTGCAAGCGACGGATCAAGTCGATCTGGGATAATGTGTGCGACACGGCCGTGGCGTACTGCTCGTCCGAAAAGTCCTCGCTGGCATTCTCGGGACACACCACGAAGGCGCTCCAAAACGCGCCGCCCACTCGCCCTTTCCGCAGCCGGGGCAAATCGACGTTCAGCTCCATATCTCCATTCTCAAACTTGTCCCGAAACTCCTTGGTGTGCAGTTTGTTCTTGTACGCGCCGCGGATGAAGATCGCCAGGTCGTTGTGGCCGTCGATCAAGGGCGTGTGGTGGAGGATGGCCAGCGCTCGCTCCTCGATCGTTTGGCCGGGTTTCGGGACGGGCACGGGTCTCGGGGTAGGAATGGGGTCGCTGCCACCCACGTCGGGACTCAGGAAGGCGATCACGAGGCCGAAAAAGACGACGACGAAGAAAATGGACGCAATCTTGTTCAAGGCGGATTTGGTGGATTCAAACGACAGGGACCGGGCGTCGTCCTCTTCTGCGCCATCTCCGTACCCCTCCTCGGGCTGGATCCCTTCATTCCATTGCCTGGGAGACTCCTTATAGTCTGCTGCAGGTTGTATGCCTTCGTAGCCCCTGTATTTGGAGAAGCCATAGCCTTGTATCTCGGGCGCCGGTTCGTTCTGGGGTAGCAGAGGGTCAAGCTCGGATTTGGAAGACATTGGGCGGTAGGGGAGAGAAGGACCTGCTCTATGTAAGTTGGACAAGGGAAATGCAGGGACTGCTCAGAAAAATCTGCAGGGCCTTTCTTTCATCTACATCTCTACCTCGAACTAAGAATGGATCTCGGTGTCCCATGATAGAGATAATCAGCTGCGACGGCTCCTCTTGATACACGGAGGACGGAGTATCTTTCTTCTCCGCAGCGTGAATGACGATAACGATATCGGGAATGCAATAAGATTTATCCGACATCGAGCCGGAGGAGCCGGACTGGCCGGGAGAGCTTCCACTTGGTACAATGTACTTGGAATGATATAGAGCAGTCCAGCATCATACCAGACCTCAGTCAATGATCCTCGGGCTGGCACTGCACATGTCCAAGTCTATTTCTGCCTCAGCCCAGCCATATCCAGCAGCCTGTAGTCATAAACCGGTGTCTGCCAGTCGTCCTGCAAAAGGCCATACGTCTCGGTAGCATCACTCTTCGGCTTGCGAGGGTTGATTGCCCAGTATGCAAAATCTGCGTCACACTCTCTCAAATACTTCATGATATTCCTCCAGTAATGGTAATCTCGTCTCGATGGCGAATTTGGAGCCCCTATCTCACCAACCCAAACAGGAGCCGTATCGGTTTGTCGGAGGTACTCCCAGTTCTTGTCCATGTCATCAGCGAAAGACTTGTATGTTCGGTACCAATACGGCACCAGAGAGCCCCATCCCGACCATCCATATACATGTGACGAATATACCAACTTGTTTCGCTGCTTCAGGCGAACAGGCCGATCCAGGGCACCCCTAATATCGTTGGCGGACTGAACACCCTCCACGATCATCAACCATCCGGGTTCAAGTCGGTGTAGCCGTTCTGACGCATGTTCGGCGGCCGTTGCCCATGAATCCCACATGAATCTGCCCGCAAAGCCACGAACCTCGTTACGCAGGTCCACGCCAACGACCAACGGATCGTTGATGTGCGGTTCCATCACTATTATGAGATCTTGAATCCAATCTTCCTCACTCTGCCGGACAGGACATAAGGGTCCGAGGTCGCTATTTGACCATCCCATGTCACAGGGATAGCCATCACAGCACCATCTCGCTTGGGTGATATGATTGTTGATGATGACCGCCAGCCCTGTTTCGGTCAGGGTGCGAACGACCGCAGCGTAGACATCCAACGCGCGGGACCCAATGAGGTCTTCATTGGCGCTCAGAAGCTCGGGTTCGATGATGGGATTCTTGCGAACAACCTCGTCGGCATATGGTAGTCGGACGCTGTTGAATCCAAGCTGACGAATGATACGGGCAATCTTGGTTCGATTCTGGACGTCCAAGCCACCGGGTACCATATATATGTCACTGGCCCCGTACCAGTTCACCGAGACGAGCTTGACACGCTTGCCATCCTTGTCGATGATGTCGCGGCCTCGGGTGCTCAGTGGAGGGCTGAAGAGGCGATCGTGGGGATCATAGGGCACAGTGACATTGCCTCTGATCATTTCGGCGTCAGGATATAGCGACAAACTGGCAGGGATACTTCCTCTTCGCCAAAGAATCCGCACCATGAGCCAGAGGCCGACCAAGGTGACTAGGATCAAGATCAGTGGCGTTCTGAAAAGTTTCCACAGACTGCGCCTGCGTCTACCCCCGCTGGCTAGCAGGGTGTAGCTCGGCGCATGATGCATCGCCCAAGTTGACCAGACCATTTCCAACGCCGTCCAAGGTATATCTCAGGTCCCCCAGGATTGGGATCTCGAACAACTGCGGCTGGCTGCTGGCTGCTGGCTGCTGGCTGATCGCACATTTTCCACGGCCCATTTGTGAAAGCCAGGCACAACGAGCCGCGCTGTTCCGGCCATTTGGTTGCAACCATTGGCTGCCTGCGCCCGTCCCCCAGCATCCGCTGACTGTTGCATTATCAAAAGCAATCTGGGGCGATATGCCTATATTTGAATGCTTTGTGCCTTGGATGACTTTTCCACCTCTTCTTGACTCCTTGCAACCCAACTTTGACACTAGAACCCCAAGATGCTGCAAATCCCTGAAATGCCCGAATTCACCTTCTCTTCATGCGGAAAATTGCTTGAGCCTGGAGGGACCGGCCAAAGATGCACGTGGAGGACGATTGACATTCGACAAAGCGTTGATTGGTGGAACCAAAACCGTACACATGCAAAAGGTTCAGATGACTGGTTAGGTAAGTTTGACGGTAAGCCCACGAGCCTTGTTGTTTGGTATACACGCCACCAGGACATTTTCGTCGTCCTTGCTACCCTCCCAGATGCGGATCACCTGGACTCGTCGTTGCCAGCGCTAACATGATAACAATGGCCAAATGGGCAAATGGACGAAACGCCGGCGGTGAAAGGTGAGCTGGCGGTGTCTGCCCTCGCGTCCAGTGGTGATTGATTGCGAGAATGGTCATGCTGGCAGTCAGGGTGTCCTTTGCAGGGGGAGAAAAGCGTGTGACAAGACAGCGAGAAGGAGCCATCAATGGTGGTAGGAAGGGGGGCCAAGGTGAAGAGAGAGAAAAAGAGTGCACATCGGGTGGATTGAGGCTTGGGATGTGCCAGGGCTTTTCCTAGCCCTAACACTTTGTCCAGCAATTTGTCCTCAGCTTAATTCTTAAGAGTGGTATCGGACGTTGCCTCGCTGTCACCTGCTGCACCCTCTCTCCTCCCACCGTCCTGTTCCTCCTCACCACAGCACGCTCAAGACGACCACTGCAGATTACCCCAACAGGAACCACGAGCATGGGCATTCTCAAGTGGTCGTTGCGTTGCATTCCTGGCTTGTCGGTCTTTGGCCTGCTGATCCTGCTCGAGTCGGCCTTGAAGATTGTCGAGACAGAGTGGCTGAGCTTTTTCTACCCTCCATTTCTCAAACATATTGCGAGTCCTGTCGTGGCTCAGACTATTTTCATCTCCTACTCGGTCTTTCTGCATGTCCTCGCCCTCCTGTTCCCTCTGAGACTCTGCGTCTCCGCATACTCTGCAACTCGGGAAATCCACGCCACTCATCGACGGTCGAAGCTCACCCGTGGCGACACTGTTCAATGCGACGGTTTTCGAGACGAGCCCCATGGATTTGGAACACAGCAAGATACAGCGAAGCGATCAGGGGCTGTGACCATGGCAGTGGTCTTGCCCAGCTACAAGGAGGATATTGAGATACTCGAGACCTCTCTGAGGGTTCTCGCCAGCCACACCCTGGCCAGATCATCATATGATGTAGGGCAGAATCTCGCAAAAGACTGGCGGCTAAACAATTGACAGAGATACAGGTCTTCTTGGCCATGGAGGAGCGAGATCCGAACGGGGTCAACGTGGCTCAGAACTTGATCCAGCTATTCGCCGGAAAGTTTCGAGAGATGCAGTACACTGTCCACCCTGCTGGCCTGCCTGGAGAAGCCCCCGGAAAGAGTAGCAATGTGAGTTGGGCAGCAAGGCAGATAGAGCAAAAATACCTCAACGACCTGAACTGGTCAAGTGTGCTCGTAACGGTAATGGACAGTAAGTGATTCAGCAGAGAAAAAATTCATGACGGAAACATACTGACACCGATTCAGGTGACACTCATCTCCTCAGCCAGTATTTTGAGACCGTTCTCATCCACCACCTCCGCAACCGCAAAGATCAAGGATTGACCGATATGACCCTGTATATGCCGCCCATTGTTTTTGATCGCAATGCCCATTTGGTGCCTCAGATGGTGCGCATCGCCGACCTGATGTGGTGCGGAGCCGGGCTCTCTTGTTTCACCAGCAAACCCACCAGATCCACAATCGCAATCCCTACCGCAGTTTATACTCTCCCACTTCCTCTTGTTTGCCTGGCAGGTGGTTGGGACACTGGGTCGGAAGCCATCGGCGAGGACATGCACATGATGTTGAAGTGCTATTTTGCCACAAACGGCCGCATGCAGATAAGATCAATCCCGAGCCCGGCAAGTCAGTGCAATGTCACGACTGGAAAAGCTGGCATCCGCGGCTGGCTGGCAAACCATTCTGCCCGGTACGCGCAAGGTCTCCGACATATGTGGGGATGTCTCGACACTGGATATGCTGTTCGCCAATGGTGCAAGATTGGCCCGGAATCTCTTTCTCAGAGTCCCGCTACTCCATCAAGCGAAGGGAGCTCTTTGGATGCTGACCGACCAAATCGACCTCGCCATGTTGAGATCTGCCTGAAACTCAGCCAACATGCACTTCACGGACCCAATCTTCGAAGATTTACCTTGCGAAATCTGATCTTATTCAGCCGACTTTTCGAAGCACACTTCCTACCGATCCATCTGTTCCTCGTGCTGCTTGCATCGGCCATCTACACTGCGCTCCCATATCCGATTACCTCTTGTCGACTTTTGACAGCTGCAATGGATTTCACCTCGGTTCTGAGGGGCATGAGTTTTGCGTTGATGACGATATACTTCGTTATTTTCTACGAAGGATACCATCGGGCTTGCATTGAAGCCAGGGAGAGGGAGATGAAGAGAGTCGGCCTGTATGAGGAGATGGCCGATGAGTTTTCTTACCGCAAAAGATTCTCGCTCATCACCATGGCTGACTACGTGCTATTCCCGATTGCGGGCACAGCGTTTGGAAGCGTACCTCTCCTCCAGGCGATAGTGTCGCATTTTTGGACAGAGAAGCTTGTTTATCTGGTCAGCGCAAAGCCTGTCAAGACGACTACCAAGAACCTCGTCAGCGTCACGGTCTCTGAGCAAGCGACAGAGGTCATAGATGTCTGAATATATGCTCGGGGTGGAATGTGTCCATTCGTTGAACATAGCACAGCACGAGACATGGAGGTCTCTCGGCGTTGTGGGAGAAATAGATTTGACAGAGTACTGGGATGCCAGATAGCTACAAAGCTCCCTAGATAGATAATGTTAATATCAATACTCCGTACCAGTCACAGCTAGTGGTGATTGACGGCCAAACAGTGACGCGAGCAGAGGTGTCCATCACGTGTACCTCGCCCGATGCTGATTCCATTCCGCGGTTGCTGCAGCTCGTATTCAAGGGGGGGAAACTTGACGCACGTCGTGGTGATTTTTCCCGTCCAAACCGCGCCTTTATTTTAATTCGCACTTACTCCCACGATATCACATTCCCACCAGAACCAGCAGAATCGATTGGGCACTTGGTAAACCCGTTGTGTGAGTAGTCTCCCAGTTCCTGACCCTTCGGAGTCCATTATTTCTGCATCAACGCCTGAGCATCAGCGTGCCGGGGCTACCGCGTTACATGTGAGGCGAAACGCGTCTCGGGTGATGGCCTAGCATTGAGAGGAGAACCGAGCCCAAACAGCCCCTGTCCAAAAAACCCCGGATCCACCTGTGTCTTGCTCACCACTGTTATTTGCTCCATGCAACCGCCTTACATTTCTGTCCGGGTTTGGAGATTTCCTCTGTTGATTGAGTCGCTCTTCCCTTCTTCAAACTTGAGGTCTGCCGCCTTGGGGCTCACCTGCTAATTCGGTGATGGAATCTACAGCCATGTCGACGAACTCTGGAAACAGCGGAGTCAAGAACCTTCGGGCAATGTTCGAGAACAAAGCCAGTGATCAATCCACATCTCCCCCCAGTCGAGGCCGATCTCCAAACCCCTCCGAAATATCCAACAACAGCAGACCAGTCAGCAAGGTCCGTGCAAGCTTCGTTGCCGTGGAGAGACCCAGCGAGAACGGAGGCGCACCCTTGATCGGTCTTAGAAGGGCCAGTGAAGTGAGCAGCATGGGCGAGATTAAAGAGAACGTTGTTGAGGACACGGGGAGTACGGAGAAGTCGCCAGGGCCAGCCGTCACTACGAAGAAGGGCGATGCAACATCAGTCCCGCAAACTGCGCACTCTGCAAACGACGGGACGGATGAAGGCGGATTGGGTACCATCCTGAAAGGATCTGCTTTTGTCGAGCACACCCCTTCCAAGCTGTCTCCGGAAGCAAAAAATCTCACCGAGGCAATTTTATCTGGTCGAATACAAGAGAAAATCCCTCGCTCGCTATCAAAACCAGAGGATGAGTCAAATGCGTCAGAAATGGTCAAGAAAATGCAGGCAACAGAGGGCACCAGGCCGGGACCACCCCCGACCGTTGCCCTCCAGACGACTAAGGATGCACAACCAGTCAAGCCGCCACCTACGAGACAGCAGATCAATATCAAGCCGATTCCTAAATCCCCCACGGTGACGCGACCCTCTCCTCGAACCCCAACCTCGCCAAAGCTCAACATCAGAGGAGGACCGGCGAAAATCAAGGGTGTGATAGAATCGGCGAAAGAAGCACAAAAGGCTAGAGAAGCAGCGAGATTAAATGCTGAGAAGACAGAAAAGACACAGCCGTCCGCGCCGAAGATTGACACAAGCGCAAAACCGAAAGCGGCGCCAGAGAGCGTCAAAAAGGAACAGACGCCTGTAACGCCGAAAGCTGTCAGGTCGCCCAGCACAGTCAAACCGAAACCCCCCACAATACCCGGGAAACTTCCCGCTGCGGCTACAGCCACTACAGCTTCAACGGCTGCCAAGCACGATGCGCAGCATTCACCAACTGAACCTGATCGCAAGTCGGTAGCGAAAAAGCCGTCCGCGCCATCGACACGACAACCTCGGGCTAGTAGCTCAGCCAGCACGTTTTCATTGGCAAAGAAGGCATCTCGCACATCGCTAACCAACGGCCACGATAGACCGAGGTCCCGAGTTAGCACAGCCAGACCAGACGAAAGTTTCCTGGCTAGAATGATGAGACCCACTGCGAGCAGTGCACAAAAGGTCCACGAGAAGGTGCAAGTCAGCAGCCCACCTAGACACAAAACGGTAGCTCCAAACAAGGTCAGGCAGCCTGTAAAAGAGACGACACAGCCGAAAACACATGTTGAATCACCTACCACGGCCGAAGAGAACAAGGAGAATTACGCCGACCTTGATGCGAGTTCTCTACCCGATGTAGCACACCCTTCACCACTGGAGGTTGTCAAGGAGGACCCAATGAATGGCCATACTGAAACGGAGCCGCCTGCTCCTGAGCCAATTACTCCTGAGCCAATGGAGCCGGCACAGCAGATCAGTGGTGAAGCTGGCGAGCTGGATTAAAAGGGAACAGTCCATTCCGGTCGAATTCATTTCCAAATACCCCCGGTTTCATTTGTGATACTTCACCTATCAGCGATTTAGCGATTTCTGGTATTGACAGCAATTTATTTCTGCTGGCATTCGAATGTCATTGATATTGTGTCTCATCTTCCACTTAAAAGCCTTTCTATTTCTTTGAGATTTACATTTCAGACTCACAAGCCGCGACGACACCCATATCTGCACTGGAGCTGATATCAAGCTGGAGGTCAAGTATGTTTTCTCTTCTCGGTTCCCCTGCTTCGGCTGGTCCAGTCTGCCTCCGAGCGAAAGAGATAGAGTGGAGCAGTCCAGATATACAAGCAGCAGTATCTTATCGGTGTGCGCTATCAGAAATTCATGGTACGGCCTGCGATAACAAGTTTCCAAGCTGATAGCGAGCGAAGTTCGAAGTGTCCACACCAACAGCCTTGCGAGGCTGGCCACCGGCCGAAAAGGGTAAAGCGCCACAGCCGTTATTGATATACACATCCGGCCTCACAACCGCCCGTTTTGTCCTATTCATGTCAACTTCGGGTCTAGCCGACCTGCTTGCTCTCTATTCAAGCCGAGATCGAGTCTAGCTTGCGTTTGGCACCACAGGCTTCTTTGCGTTGCGCCTTTGATGGGCGTACGCTTTTGTGCTTCCTATTCATCCCTCTTTGCGGCCTACCTTTGGTGCGATTCCTTTCTCTTGCACGATGTACCTCCTCCAGCCACCCTACTCCAGTGTGTCCAATATCTACTGTTCTTTATCTTGGGTTCCTCAAAGAACTGTTTTGCACCACTTGGGGGGCATTAAAAGGTGCAGGTATCAGTTTTGCGGTTGGTTCCATGTTGCATACAGATCACAACCCCCTAAAACTCTGAAAACAGTACCAAACTATATTGACATGAAGTTCACATCAGCTACAGCGGCAGCCATCCTGGCCTTCACTTTGGCCCAGGTTGGCGCTCTCCCATCCCCTCAAGCCAACGATGGATCCGTCGCTGGAAGCCAAGCCGCCCCTGCCGATGTTCCCATTTACTATGCCGACGAATCAGACGTGGAGAAGCGCGACTCACAACCCCAGCATCAGGGCCAGCACGGCCAACACGGCCAACACGGCGGTCAAGGCCATGGCGAGCACAAATGGAAAGGCATGGGTCAAGGGAAGGGCAAGGGCCAACACGGACCCATGCCAGATGACGATGACTCGCTCGACCTAACCCCCTTGCTCGATCACCCCGACCCAGAAGTCCAGCAACTCACTCGCCGTGCTCTTCAAGCCACGAAATTTCACTGGTGGCAGCAACAAGGCAACAATGACAAGTTCATGAAGATCGTGGTGGGAAATCCCAACGTCCGTCCGATCGCAAACGTCTGGGAGCAAGACGGGCTACCCAAGGAGTTTAAGAAGCGCGATCCTGACGCGCCTGGCGATGCTGGTGGCGATGCTGGCTCTCAGCACGCAAAAGGCAAGTGGATGGGCCAGGAGCACGATGGCGGGCAAGGCGAACATCCTCAGGGCGATGGAGGAAATGGCCAATGGAAGCAATGGAGACAAAATCGTGGCCACGGACCTATGTCTGATGATGATGACTACGATGAGGAATAGAGGCATCGAGTCCTCGGCGGCACAGAAGTGAAAGCTGCTGTCGATTGACTCGATCCGCAACCTCCTTCACGCTAGCAACGAGGACAACGACCCTGTCGACTATTTGAGGAGTGTGGACGCTGGCGTTCTCTCCCAGGTCGACATTTATCCGGACAGTCTTTCATTCACGCTTCACACCTCTATCAACAACAAGCATGTTTCATCAATGGCCGCAATTCACTTCACTTTCTCACAGTCCTTTCGAACCCCAGTACCCGAGGGTCTTCTTCCAGAAGACGGCTTTCTCCATAACACAGCCTCTCAATTTTCAAGCATTGATATTCGAGGCTCCTCTTTTAATCCGATCCCGACATGGGCCTCACGGTCCTTTCACTTCTTCCCGGAGCAGCTCCAACACATCACTGTCTGCACCACATGCTGTGTCGTTTTGTCAGCAGCCTAGCAGGGCGAGACAATGGAACATCCACTCATTTGCTGCGCCGGTATGCGATCGTCTCCCTCTACGCTCCCCCTGCCTCAGAGGTTGACGACGATGCTCTTTGGATCGCAATGGCGTCTTTTCACAGTCGTCTGTCTCGCTTCGAGTCCCACTGACACCCGCGTCTTCCGGAGTGCAAAACTCGAAAGAGACGGCGCAAATGGCGCGCGAGAGCTCTCTCTTGGCTGTTCTTTCGTCGTGAACGAGACCTACCCGAGAGCTCCCAGCTTAATACACCCCCGAACGACATGTCCCCCTGCCTTTTGCTCTGCACATTTCTGTCGACACCCTCTGTAAAACTCCCCCAATTATTTCTGTACATGCCCAGGACGAGTACTCTGGTGTCGCGATTCTCTTCTCCACCACATCAACGCTCCGAGATGGAGCGCCCGTTTGACAATCGAAGGAGCACGCCGCGTGGAGGTCTATCCAACTTGGACGTCCCTCTGGCGATGCTTGTTGGAAACCGTGCGTCTGACTTGACTGCACGATACACATCTCCTTGGTACTCTTCGTTCCCCTTCTGTTGCCTTGGTTTTACATCTAACTTTGTGCGGACGGGGACGGAGCTTAGATACCCGGATAGAAATAACGGTACCGCTTTCAGGTCGATTGACGGATTGATCCACCCTCTCCTTCTCAATAAAGAAGCAGAAGATTGCGATTGTTCCTATATCCCTTTTCCATTGGCCCTACTAATGCACCGCTGTTCGCCAGGATGAACGCACTAAGAAAGAATATTGCACAGACTTTTCCCCCCTTTCGTTCCCCAGTCGTTTCCATGTACAAGAAATCTACCAAAGCAAGCAAGCAAGGAAGCAAGTGGCGGTGGTATCTAAGTATGCGTTCCGTCTCGCAATCCGTCCCATAAGATTCGTCCGTCCGAGTAGTCATGCATCTCCCATCCCTGCGTGCGTGGTACTACTCCCTAGAAAGAAACCACTCCTCCCCGTTCCCTGTGCTCTTTGCTTTTCCAAAAGCATCCAAAAAAGGCGCAATGGGTCTCGCGGCAGGCAGAGTGTCCATGTTCTGTTCTGTACGGAACAGGTTCTCGCGCCGAGAGGACGTCGCCTCCTCCTGCTGCTGCTGCTGCCGTCGTCTCCCTGTTCCTCGTCCATCTGCAGTGTCCGTAATTTCCTCGCAATCTGGGGGACGTCTGGCCACAGGCTCCTCCTCCCTTCCGGACGGTCGGGATCGTACTGTGCCCTCTCTCAAGCATGTCCATTCTGTTGCGTGCCGTTGACCCCCTTCTCCCCCAGCAACTGTCGCCGTCTTTTGACGGCGTCGGCCAGGGTTTCCAGCACGGTCTCGGTGTCTTCCCATCCTATGCACGCGTCGGTGATGGAGACGCCGTATTTCAGCCCAGACTTGCCTTCCGAGGGTACTTTTTGGTTTCCTAGAGAGAGAAGAAAAAAGGTCAGCATGTTACAAGAAACCCTCATCGCCAGACGTTGGGAACGATTTGGGCTGGAAAAAGAGGAAGAACCCTTCCTCGGAAGTGGATTCGGGCTGTCAGACAAGGAGCGATGCTCACCTTCATTGATGTGGCTCTCGACCATGACCCCCATGATCCCCTCCTCTCCCGAAGCGATCTGGTCTGCCAGCACCTTTGCGACCTTGGGCTGGTTCTTGTGCTGTTTCTCGCTGTTCCCGTGACTGCAGTCCACCATGACTCGCTCGCTCAGCCCCTTTTTCCGCAACATCTCCTTGGCACGCTTTATCGACTCGGCGTCATAGTTCGTCCCCGTGGTGCCGCCCCTCAGGATGACAAAGCAGTCCTCGTTGCCCACGGTGCCGACAATCGCCACGACACCGGGTTTGGTCACGGACAGGAAATGGTGGGGATGTTTCACCGCACCGATCGCATCGATCGCTACACCGAGCGTCCCGTCCGTGCCGTTTTTGAAGCCCACAGGGAAACTCAGACCGGACGCCAGTTCCCTGTGTAGCTGGCTCTCCGTCGTCCTGGCGCCCACGGCTCCAATCGAGAGAAGATCTGCCAGAAATTGAGGGGAAATAGTATCCAGCATCTCGCTGGCAATCGGCATCCCTCTCGAGGTCAAATCGACAAACAACTGCCTCGACAGTCTCAGTCCTTTATTGATCTGGAAACTGCCGTCGATCTCCGGGTCGTTGATCAGTCCCTTCCAACCCACCGTCGTTCGGGGCTTTTCCAAGTAGGACCTCATGACAATAACTAACTCGTCTTTGTATTTCTCCTTCATTTTCAGTAAACGATCGCAGTACTCGAGTGCTGAGGTCGGGTCATGGATGCTGCAGGGACCGATGATCACAAGGAGGCGTCGCAGGGGATCCGTGTCTTGGACGACGGAGACACAGTCGGCTCGGCCTGAAAGGACCGTGGCTTTGCTGGCAGGAGTCTGGGGGATCTCGTGTTGGAGCAGATCTGGAGGTGTGAGGGGGTTGTAGCCTCGAACTGCAGTGCCTCGCAATCATGGTCAGTGGATCTTGTGTTCGCCATCGTGCTCGATCTTCGAGGACCGAAGAGAGGACTGAAAGGTGGAATGAAGGGAGGACAGATGGTTACTCACTCCGCCAGTCTTCGGTAGACTCCTTGTTCCCAACGTTCGGGTTGGTGATGTAGTAAGACTGAAGAAGCCATCGTATGAGTCAGTTTCCTTCGCGCGAAGACCCCCACGCTTCTGAGCGTTGACCCAGGGCGAGGGAACTTACAGCCATAGTTTTGCAAGTGAGCGTAATAGATTGGTAGAAGAGCTGTAGAGATCGACGGGGTTCTGTTGACCAGAAAGCCGGAGAGCTGGTCCAAGTCAGTAGGATGGGTGGTGGAATGAAAAGAAGCAAACTGCGGAGGCGGTCTAAAAAAAAAGTTGTCGTGGAGAGATCGAGGGGCCATTCGGAGTCTCGAACTTTTTCTGTGCCTTGCATGACGCATGTCAAGTCCCCGATAGGTCCATCTCCATCTCACGCCACGAGGCTCTCGCCTCCCACGGAGCCCAGCCTCGCCGCCGTTAAGATACAACACAGTTACTGGTCAAGTGTATTGGACTTGCTGTCGTGTAATGGGATGTACTATTTTTGAGCTCAGCAAAGAGCCGTTCATGGCTAACGTTCGTTCTCCTGTCTGTGTGTCTTGACCTTCTAACAATATAAATTCGTTTACCTGTCGCGCTCTAGGTTTCTTGCGTCGCGCATTCTCGGGGTCCTAAGTGTTACCCTTTTATGATGTCTCCGGGTGGGACACCGTGTACCAGCTCTGTCCCCTCTTCCATCCATTCAATTACCCAAAACTTCCTCTTTGCCATTGGTGTTCTCCATCAAAATCCATTGGTTGCCGGTTCCAGGGACGACGCATCGCGGAACAGATCGATCAAGCATCCTGCTGACCATGCCTGAGTGGGCGACTAGAATCCAAAATATCAGCATATTGCTCTCATCGAGGACCTCTCACTGCGTGGAAACTTACCGAATCCGCACAGAATGATCCATTCTTGTTCGTCAATTCCGTCAACCCCTTCCAGGGGCTATCCTTGATCGCTTGCTTGCATCCTTCGAGGCGTCTCGTGACCTGCTGGAAAGATTCCATCCTACCTGCAGCGTCTGTCCGTCGCTTCAGGTCAAAGTAAAGTAGTGCGCGTAAGAAAAAGCCTGTGGGCCATAGCCATTCGGGGCCCTGATGATAATTTCTGCCTTTGGACGTTGCAAAGTCCGTCGAATCTTCCGAATTATTGTAGTATGGCCGGTAGTTCAGGTCAGATGGATCCAGTGTTGCCATTCCCGTGGGGCCACGAAGCACGTCATCCGCCACTTTCAACGCGTGTAGTGCTCGCTCTGGGGTAAAGAGATCCGGCGCGACCACCATCGCAATCGAGAAGTTCGGTCGCAGCTGATAATCCTCGTACTCCTTTCCAGACTTGTACAGATCTTTGTAGATTCCCCTCCGATTGATAATCTTGGGATCCACGTCGTCGTCAATGTCATCCTTGGGATCCACTGGAATCCAGTAGCACTTTTCGAAATTGGTTTTGATCCGTTCAGCCCATTCCATGAAGGAGATCTTCTCGCCGCCGTCAGTTTCGACGCCTGACCACTGATAGTTCCCGGTCTTGTGGAGTTGGGCAACCCATCTGAGTGCGCTGTACAGAAGCCCTGTGATCTCAACGGCAGCCCCGTCCCGAGGTGTACCAGGAACTCCTTTGCTGCCAGCTCGTTCACTTTCACCCATTTTGTCCATCCACGTTCCGCAGTTCCACTGGCTACCTCCAAAAATGATGCCGGTTTTCCAGTCGACATGGACGTCAATCTGAAAACCTTCAGGTCTCATTTGCATGTCCAGCTGAGGCCCGGCATTGTGTTCTCGGAAAGACAAGCTGGACGCATGCCGTTGCAGGATTTCTTGAATGATCTCCTGGATAGTGGATTCTTTCGAATATGCTCGCGGATCGTCCCAAGGAAACCATGTGTCATCGTAGGGCAAGAAGCGACGAGGAACTTTCTCCTGTAGGATGGACAGGCCATCGGGTGCAATCTTGGTATAATCTTGAATGTTCTGCAGAAAGAACCATGGCGAGTCTCGAGAGTTGTACCTTGGGGCGGCGCCGCTGCTCAACAGGTTGGGTATCATGCCATGTTTCAAGACGCTTCCAAATGCCTTGATATGCTCCTTGGCTTCTGCGAACCGACCGGTACACAAAAATAGACCTCGCAGAGAGATGAAAACGTCTCGCCCCCAGCATCTGGCCCATGATACCGAAAAGTGAGGCAATCCAGCAGCGAGTGAAGGCACACTCTTGTCGGGCCACAATGATGCAGACTTGACATATCCTGTCTGTTGAATGCTGACCATGGCTAGGCTCTGTAAGAAGTTTTGACCATGTTGGATGTTTGGACTCATCAGCTCAACGGCTCTCTTAAACGCGGCGTCATACGCTGTCTGGAGGATGAGGGCAAAATAACGAGGCAGAAGAAAGCTCGGGATGATCCGTACTGCGTCAAATCGTTCTTTGAGCCATCGTGCAGGTTTTTCCAGTCGAGTATAGTCTTCCTTCTTGGCTATTCTTTCCATCCGCCCAACCAGGAAATCCAGAGCCCATTGCCCTTGCCGGAGATGATTGCATAGAGGGTGGCCCAGATCATTCCGACGAACAATGGGCTCCATCACGCTCCACCAGCCTTGAAGGCCTGCATAGACCAATGGACCATAGTTGGGAATATTGTAAACCCCGTCTTGGCCATCGCTGATATCCCGTTCCTCAGCCTCGCATCGATAGAGAACAAAATTTAGATCGATGAGATCGAGCTCGCCGAATGCTTCATCCGTGCCGCTGGAGATGAAGGCTCCAAGACCGAGAGAGTGCTCGGCAGAAGGGACCCAGGTCTCAAAAAGGGCAATCGAACCGGGCGGGAAGTAGTCTGCGATCATAATAGTGGTGTCGCCATTTTCAGTGTGAATTGTGCTGCCTTTGATATTTCTCACACGGGATGGTAGACCGACGAGATATTCTTTGTCGCCCTGCGCCTCCCTTTTTGCTTGCTCGCTTTGGTCAACATCCAGCACCCATGCACCGATCGGGCGGACTTTGGTTCCAGCAAGGTGTACAGGACTCAGGCCGCCGTTTCCGTTACCGAAGCCCGGGAAAGCAGTATGAGCAATTAGGAAATACCCTTTTCGCGAATCGGGATGTACTCTGTGGAGGGTGATGAGCTCGCCCTCATGATGAAGGAAGGTCTCGTCGTAGCCATCCTTACCCATCATGGTATGGATATGGTTCATCAGCTTCTTGACGCCAGCGATCCCTCCCTCGCCGGCACCGGTATGAACTTCGCCCTCAGAGCTGATTGATGCGTATTTGCGATCCTCGTTTACAAGATCGACAAGCTTCGGGTAGATCTCGTCGAAACCCATGACGCTGCCTGTTGCACAGCCACACATATTCACAAGCGCAGCCGTGGGTAATGTATCCCTCGCATCTCTCTTTTGGGCGGGCATCTCGTTATCATGAGTGCAATCCATAAATAGTGCATGTACCGGCGATTCTCTGATATGCTTGACAAGCTCTCGGGTCTGGGGACCATCGCCATTGACAACCCCATTCTCAGACTTGTTTCCTAGTCTTGATGGAACATTGAGTTCGAAACTGCCAATCGGTCTGCCGCAGTGCCGATGCACGATTCGGCTCAGTTCTTGCGTGCTCCAAGCCTGCATGGCTTCGCGAATCAAGGCGCTCAGTCCCAACCGCTTGACAAACACGTAATCCATTTGTTCATTGCCAGTAAACAGCTCAGCAAACACTGCCAAATTCGGCTGCACTTTTCGCGCCTCGTCCAAAAGGTATTCGGCGACATGAATTGGGGTGGAATGGCAGTTATCGATTCGGAAAGCTGTAAAGTATTTGGCCATCAACCGAACATACTTTGTCATGTGCTCCCACAGATAAGGGTTGTCTTCAGGGCCTTTGCCGTATCTCAGCTTGACACAGTCACTCCATGGAATGAGTTCCCGCCTTAAATATGGTCTCCAATCAGGACCAGCATTGTCTTTCATGGCGTCGGCAGCCCAAATCCACCCATTGACGGCTAGTGACAGTGCCTTTGGGTCGTGTTTGGCCGTCGTCTCGTTCTGTGGTAGCCGAGCGAAATATGTCTCGATGAGAGGATTGTCCTTGGTGATGGGGCCTAGTCTTGGGCCATGCGAGTCCATTCTCGTGTATTGCAGTCTCCCTCTTGTCTGGTCTAGGATGGCACCGCAGTCGGCATCAAACTCTTTGTAGAATGGAAGGTTGAGCTCGTTTATGATTGCCTTGATCTCTTCCTCTGCGGGTTGTGTGTCCGCTCCGTCTTGATACCGTCCGAACAGAGTCGTGATAATGGCAGCTCCAACGCCAGGGTCAACTTTGCGCGAATATCGCCCGTCAATCCGGAGACGCGAATACTGCCCATCAACGCGCAGACTATTTAGCATACCTTTGTCAAGGATGAACGCTGCTTTCTGAGGGAGAGACCACGATTTGAAGGAGTCAAGTCCTCCGCCAATAGCTTTCTCAAACCCTTCAGGAGGTAATTTGACAGCACCTTTCTTCCATGCGTTTATCACCGCCTGACTGTCTGATTTGACGTCGCAAACGAAGTATTCCCAGAGCCGGATCTTGTGGATCACATGCTCTTTGATGCCCGCGACGACCGTTTCGAGTTCGCCGGGGTTGTTGAAGACAGTTGGGAGACCAAAAGACTCGAGGTTGTCGCTATACTCAAGTAGAGCATTGTCAACGTCGAGCGCAGACTCCAACCAGGGAGCAGTTTCCACACTGTACCCTGCTTCGGGATGTTCCTCGAGCCATTTGCTATTGTTGGCGGTATGATTGAAGACAACATCCGTCAGACCCAATAGTTCGTGTTCCTCTTCCATGGATTTGACCATTCGTGCTAGATCCTTTTCACCGCCGGGAAAGAGTTCCCTGTCAAACGCCAGCTGGTCATACAGGCTGTACGGGGAGTTGGACTCTCCCCTTTGTTGCAGTGGTGTAAAGTGGACCATGTTGTAGCCTCTTGCACTAATCCCTCTCAGATGCTTGTTCCAGTCCTCAGGATATCTGCCCATGAATTTGGAAACGACCGAGAAGATGCCCAGAGCATCGAGGGGCAAGCAGCTGCCACCAAGGCGCAGGCTCGGCTCGATATCGACATAGTAGGTCGGGGTGCGGGTAGGCTTGGGAGGCTCGACATCGCAGGTAGAAAACTCCGGCAAAGGGCTATAGGTGGTATAAAACGAGAATGCGCCAGCGGAAGTGATGGGAATGTCGATCTCGAGCGTGCGATTGAAATCCGGGTGCAGCTTGAACTCATGATATCGGTTACGGTCGAACGGTTGACCTTTTAGGGGAAAGTTGACCCAGAGACTTCCCTCCCGGCATATTGAGCTGGTTCCTTCAATAGCAAATCTCAGGTAGTACGCAGGCTCGGTCGGCGCAGGCAGGTAAATGTACTCATTGGGAACATCCGGAGCTCCTGCATCGGTGAGTGGCAGGAGATAGACTTGCCGGGTGCTCTGATGGGTTTTGGGAGGCATGTTGCCAGCTCGATGGAGGACTGAAGAGAACTTCAGGATAGGTGGGTGCCCTTGTGTGGCTCTTCTATGTCATTGTCTGATGACTACTCCTCGACCCGCGAAGCTGAATGTTGCACGAACTGGAGGTCCAGGCTAGTAATAATCCTGGTGGAAAGATAGGTACTCGGTGGACCAAAGGTTTGTAACAATGCAAGGTAAGAGGACGAGAAGCCGTGAAGGGAATGATCGCTCACCGAAGCACGGGTGAGGAGGAAGAACTATTGCGACGGTGGTGTGTAAACCTCATTATTATTCCACGTTGAGGACAGTGCTAAGCAGAAAGCGGGAGCAACAGCAGCAGCCACTCGACCCCCGCCCGCCACGGCAGCCACGTTTGTTTTGTGTTGGCGGAGGCAGACCAACTATCTTGATGGGCTCTGCTGAGTGGTGGGCAGGTGGTGAATGGATGATTTGAGATGGAAAAGTTCAATTCTCAGGCCCGTTCCTGCATCCCACTTCCCAGACTCGATGGAGAAGATGCCAGCGTCCCGGGCGAATGGTGGGGGAGCAAAGCAGGATTTCTAGGTGGGACTACGCCTAAACGACGCCTAGCAGCGGGTGCTTATCGTTAAGTAGGAGGGCCGCCTCGGGCGCGAGACTAATTCGGTTGTATCATTGCTCAGGCCAGTGGCGTAAGTGGCTGAACTCGGAGTGCCAAAGATGTGGAACGCGGCATGAGGCTGGAGAAGACACTTGCATTCATGATTCACAGATCTCTTGCGCCCTCAGTTCAAGGCCGGGTACGGACTCCAAGTAGATCAACCGAGCGGAGTCGGTCAACCCAATTCTTGACCGCCTCGACCAGATGATATGATTCTGTTGTCCGGACTGGACTACTGATGGCTTTGCCTCTGGGGCAAGGTAGATGCCCAATACACAGAACTCAGAGCAAGTTGCACATCCACAGCATCATTCGTCCTATACCTGTCTTCGAGGAAAGGATAATCTTGCCTCCCATCGAAAGCAGCCTCGCAGCGTGAGAGGAACAAGACAGCATGGTGCGTGTGGTTTCAACAGTGGTGCCGTCCTCGGTGCCCGCCGTCCTGGCAAGAATATCAGGCGATGTTTGCGGCCAATGGCCAAGACGTTTGGCTGAGACTGGAACTTGCGGTAAGAATTCCTTGTTAGTCCAGAAAATTTCAACATTTTGCCCCCTTGATGGTCATGTGTGGCAACGGTGGATCGTTCCAAGTCAGAATCAATGCATCCTGCACTGTGGGCCCAGCCGGTGAACTGGGGTCGACGAAAGTCCTCCTCTTTGCCTGCATTCCTGGGGAAAATTGTTCTCTCACTTGGCCCGAACTGATGGGCGACCTGACAGATGATGGACGCCACAGTCGATGCAGGAGAGATATTGCCGCTTGAAGGAGACCTTCCCTGTTCCTTCGCTAGCTGCGAAGCCAGGCGCGGAGTTGTGGGATTTTGGAGCAGCGGGAATCGACATCATCGCTTGCAGATCGATGGCAATCTGGGGAACGCGGTGACGGCGTGTTGTCGTTGCCTCGATTTGGCTCGAGGTTGAATTTCCCGCCGCCTTGGAAGAATCTTCGTTGGAAATTTGGAGCCCAAAACGGGTGTGCATGCACACATGGGTTTTGGAGCAGCGGTATTGAGCAAAAGGTCGACAGTCTCAAACGAGCCGAAAGCCGAAGACTGGAAGCTCTCAAGGCGCGAGGGAGGACAAGAGGAATGCCTCAACGCCCAGCCTTCTTAGCCTCCGCTTTTATTCAATGAGGCTGTTTCTATTACGTCTAGTTTTGGTCCTCCTCCTTACTTCAGTCAGGTTTCAACAGTCCTGGTGGTCCTACTTAAGAGGCTTCTTTTTTTTCTCTCCGCACGTGTGTCGCCAGAGGATTCTTGGTCAAATTCAGAGCCGTGATGATGCAAGCCTCGGGTCTCGCGAGGATGCTACTTATTTCGATGTAAATTGTAGAAGCCGGGAAGGAAGAGTGACTGCTCGTAGTTTTCTTCACTTCTCAACCCTCCGCCTCAATTTTCGCCAACTCAATCAATACCCTTAATTCTCAGACTCATTTTCGCTTTCCACCCTGTGTTTCTCCTCTTAAATATCCTTTCTGCCTTTTGACTGGGCTTCCTAGTAGTCCCGCTGTCCCCCATCTGACTCTACGCACAAACTACCTCCGGAGGGAATACTGCGCGTCTTCCCCGAAAGACACGATATTCTCGGCTTACATTTTGCTGTAACGCAAAGACAGCATGACCAACCCGACTGTCACCTATGGCCGTGGTGGCGCTGGTCAGTACCATGCTCCAGCAATTAGCAGTGGGATTTTGCGAGCCAATCTCCTCTGACATGTGCATCAGGCAACGTCACCACCAAAAATAGCCAGTCGCCTGCTCTCGAGCCTCAGACCACTCCTTCGTTGAAATCTAAGACGTATACCACCGGGCGAGGCGGAACTGGCAACATGGCCAAGAACGACTTTGACCACCCAGAGGAAGCCCGCCGTGCTCAGGATGTCGATGTTCCCGCAATTACAATTCCAGAGGGTGTCCACCACACCGGCAGAGGTATGCGCGACCAAAGTTAAAACACTGAATGGAACTGTGGAAAGCTGAAATCTGATCTACAGGTGGTGCAGCCAACCTATACAAGCCCACCGAAAATGAACAGCGTGAGGCTCGAGCACACAATGAGAAAGTGCGGTCCGAATCCTTCAACAAAGAACGAAGCACCATCCGTTCACTAGCGGACAAGACAAAGGAGACCCTAACCGGCAAGCATCACGCCGACAAGTGAACAAAGAGGAACGAGAAGCCCCAACATTGCGCCCCGTTGAGATAAGAATTTTAGTTCATTAATTACAGCATCCGGACGGATTCGTTGTGCTCTGGCCTGGTGGGCATGGACGGTCATTCGGAACCGCTTTGCTGGCTGTGATGAGCAGTTTGAGGATGTGTCCTTGGACTTCCCCGTCCACTGGGTCCGTACTCGGTATGCAGATAGACGAAGCCAGGGCTACGCCACGAAGCGGAAGGTTGAATTCCGCACCAATATTGATCGATTCAAACTTCGGTAATGGTCCTGTAAGGGCGTGTGCAAGGAGAACGAACTCTGGAAGGCATTCGCCACTGGAGAAGCAGGTCTCAACTTAAGCGTCCCTCGGCGCCTTACTACTCCTTAGCTGTTCAACGAGGAAAAGTTGGGAGGGGGGTGTTGGTGGGTGCAGAGTGGAGTGTCAGTAGACGAAGATAGCGGCGAGCTGCACATGCCAACGAGGGCAATGGAATAGCGCGCACGAATTCTTTGGTTACACAGCGCCAAATGTCGGAGCAGCCATGTCAATCTCGTGGCCCTTTTTCCTGCACGGCACTCTGACGCTTGATCCAGGCCGCACAACAGGCGACCCGAAAAACGCAGAGTGACGTGTCACACAGCCCATCAGCCACTGACCTCATACCAAGCAAGAATTGGGGCAACATATTAGGACAAGAGCAATGTTGCGAACAACATCTAGAAAAGGTATGGAAGCGTTGTTGACAGTGGCTCGCATTGGCAGCAAGCCACGGCTGGCGGTGGTGGAGCTAGGGATTTTTGGTTTTTCTTGTCGTTTTCTCCATCCTGTCAAGTTTTCCCTCTGGACTTTTGTGTAAGAAGCAAATACGGGGCTGTAGCTTTGAGGGGGATGAATTAGTAGGTAGGGACTAAAGTGCGGCAGATGCGCAGGATCGACGACTTGGTGCTTTTGCCGCGAGCCCCGAAGGTCAAAGCAACTGAAGAGGGGGGGAGCGGAGGGGGGAGCTGGTGCTGGAGGGGTGCTTGAGACTTCAGAACAGAGGGCAAGCTGTCAGAGAGCAAGGTGCATACCAGCTTGGGACTATACGACCCAGTACTCGGACCTTAGGTACCTACTGTATCTACCCAGGGTCCCAGGTACCTAGAGGAATTCAGGCAAGAATACGAGAAGGGCGCCACAGCTACCGACAACCCCCAGCGAGCTCTCCCCCCCTCCAGCAGCACCACCCCGAAAAAGGAAGCAGGGTTCCGGTGCTCGTAGCGGGCGGTAGATCATGCCAGGGGCGGTGGATAACCCCTACTCCCTGCCTAGGGGCCAGCTACTGTAGCTACCTGCAGCCAGCTGCTAGGTTAGACCTGTCGGATGCGCACCCGCCTGCTTTGTTGGGAGGCCCCAGGCTATTCGCTGTAGGTGTGCCGTCAAAACGTTGAAACAAGTTCTTCTCAGGCTTCAGGCGATAGGTCGATCTGAGACTGATCCGGCCGCTTGGGCCTGGGTCGAGCAGTTGGAAATGGGAGGTGGTGTGTGAGAGAAAAATGTGTGTGTGTGTGTGTGTGTGTGTGTCTGTGTGTTGTTTCTTTCCACCCGTCCACTCCTCGTATTTTTTGCTGGCCATGGCCCATGAGGGGCGCTCGGTGGCCATCGGTGGCCAAAACTCGCGTGTTGAAAGAAACTCTCTGGTGACTGCAACTAAAGGCGACCGATCCTCGCCTGACTGTCGCTTTTGCTGCTCCCCCCGGTCCCCCTGCGGCTGCCAGCTCGTCCGAAAGACCGAATGCTTGACCCTTTCTTACTAAAAACACAAACCCACCCGTTGGTTCCCCTCCCCTTTGCCTTTCCCTCCAGTTAGTGTCTACCTTAGCCGAAGGAAAGGGACCTGGGGAGGATAGTGTCGAGTGAGGTTGCGTTCGTGATCTGATCCTCCTGCCTCTTGCTCGCGGGCCTTTTTCTTTTTTGTATATGACTGAGTCCGTCTAGTGCGGTGCAGCCTCCAGGTCTGTGTTCTCTTCCTGGAAATATATCCATGGTTCAATGGCTGGTGCTCGTCTTGTCTTCATGACTAGAATGTATCCTTGTCTCAAACTCTCACCTTGATCCCCAACCCGGATTGCCTCTGACCTCTGCCATCTGACCTCTGACCTCTGTATCTAGCAGTTCGGCTACGGATTGCTTAGGATTCTGGGCCTGGTCCGCGGTCGCGTCGGGTTCTGACTTGACCGCCCTCTTCGACCCTGATTCTGGTTCCTGGTTCAAATCCCTTGACTTCGACTATCGCATGTACCATCAGTAACCGCGGATCACCACCTGCACATATCATCGGCATCTGAAATTCTATCACAATTGCGCCATGGCATGAACATTGGCCTCAGCATCTTGTCCAAAGACAAAAGAGAAAACCTGGTCTTCTGTTGAGCCCCAGAGTCGGTTGTCTATGCCTTGTAACAATCGGCTTGGTTCTTCGATCATCAAGAATTCTCTTATCGGACTTTGGAGAAGCAAAATCTTATACCAAGACATTCTGAGTCTAGGACTACCACCACGATAACAATACTGCCAGCAAAACCACCTTCATCCCATCCATCTAGCCGCAGTCTCTCCTCTGGCTGTGCAAACGTCTTCGCTGCGTCAGGCGCTTTCTCTTGTCACCCTGTCTCTCACCTGGTCGTCTCACACCTCAGTCGCATTAGACGGCGGGGTCCACACGACCAGTCTCGACAATATCTGAACTGACTGTCGAGTCAGTGAACCGATATCGTCTGCCGCAGACATCCTCGACACCCGGCTGTGGCCACCAAAACCCCCAGACAAGCAGCAGCCTAAGGTCTCGATTTGCTCGTGCTCCACCTCACGTCCCTCGAGGGTCGAGATCTGTGCACCTGAAGCTGCCTCATCCTCCGGGCCTTTTGTGTCACCTCAACATTTTCGCCTGATCAACGACGCTTCTATCTTTTCGTCCCACCTTGGCTAGACGTCTTGTTTGGGTTCCCAGTCTTTGAGGTACCTGGTTGAGTGTTTAGTGCTCGGGGAATGAGTCGGGTGTTAGAGTTTTCGAAGTTTGAGACTGTTTTCTTAAGTCGAGGACCTGGAGGGCTTGACAGTTCAGCTGCCGTTGGCTGCTAGAGTTTGAGTTCGCTTGAGCCGCCGTCGCTCCTGTCTTTACTGGAATACCGCTGTTGTTTTGGAAGGATCGCCTTGGACAGAACCACCCTGACACACGAGAACCTCTTTTCCACTATTTGGGGTTTGCAGATATATATGTGTCTCCCGATTCACCATTACTGGCATCGTTCAACAGCTTTCTTTCGAACATGTATCCGACAGATCAGCATCAGTTTGCTCCCCCAAGAGCTCATGCTCATCCTATCCAGCATCCCCATCCGACTCCTGCTCCTCTGCAAATACCACCGATGGCACCCTATTCTCCCTACCACTCGGTAAATCAGATGGCGTCAAGTAACAAAATCCCTCTGTCCCATAATAGCATGAATGCCGTGGCGAACAACAACAGCAATGGCGGCGGCAGCAACATGCCGCCAGCAAGTCCCAGCCATAGTAGCACGACAGAGGATGAATCGTTCTACGGCCTACCAGAAATTCCACCAATCTCCAGGATCTGGGGGAAATATGGCTTCGCGGTAGAAGTCATTCAACAACCCAAACGTGCTCGTATGTGTGGGTTTGGCGACAAGGTAACGATCACGTTCCTGTCATTGTATTAATTCAAGTGGAAGCTGAGCTCTCTTCCCCCTTTTGCAGGATCGCCGTCCTATCACACCGCCTCTTATTGTCAAACTCCACATCTTTGATCCGGAGACGCATCAAGAGATTGATTATGGGTGAGTGGCTCGACGATGCCTTCTCTATATGCTTGCTGACCAAAGGACAGCAAAGTCGTGGATCTGTCAAAGTTTATCCTCGGCGTTGATTTGTGGGATGTGCACGGCCAACACGAAGACAACTGTGTCAGAAATAACACAACATCTCCCTCGATCTCGTCCACTATCACCACTCCTTACCCTCCAATGACCGCGGGCGGTCTGCGCTCGTCGCAGCAACTTCGCCCCTTTGACGTTACAAATCTCCCCAGTTGGCGTGGAGCTAGAGATCCCGGATCCTCGTCCACACCAACGAGTGTGCCCACGTCTGCCTCGTCTACCTACAACAACGATTCCTTCGACCAACGTAGTGCATCCTACCCATACAACAACGAGATGCATTATAATGGTCACCAACAAAATGGCTACGATACCCCTTTACATCACCGAACCTCCCCTCATGAACCAATCCCTTCGTCAGCTCCGCCGCTGCGTTCCGCTCGATCCTCGCAAGATCTGGGACATTTAAACCCAGTCAGGGGCGAACCTTCAAAGAACCTCATCGGTCAGTGCCATACTAGTGTCCAAAGGCTGGACGATGAGAATAAAGAGGTAGGACTTTACTTCATCTTCCAGGACTTGAGCGTTCGGACGGAGGGCTGGTTTCGATTAAAGTGTACGCTGTTTTGCTTGGCAAGGCTCATCATGGACGATGACGAGGACACCGACCCTACGTCGAACGAGCTTTATCGGGAAGCACCCTGCCTGGCCTCGACATTTACCCTGCCATTCAAGGTCTTCAGTGCGAAAAAGTTCCCTGGAGTGGTGGAAACTACGCATCTGAGTCGGATTTTCGCGGACCAAGGGATCAAAATACCCATTCGGAGAGATGGACAAAAAGGAAAGAAAAGGAGTGAAGATGATGGCGATGGCGCAAACGGAAATGGTGAATACGAAGGAGAAGATGGATCTGAGGAGCTGGTGTAGGACAGCAGTACTCCTCAGTACAGCGACAGTCAACCGGATCGGGCTGACACTTGAGTGCGATACAAGATGGATCGCAGTGAGAAAGAACCAGGGAAGCAAAGGCCGGGGGGAGGACTTTGGGGGAAAAGAATACCTTTGTTATCAGCCAGCGGCGTATATTGCCGGGCCGTTTTTGGGAGGCTCTTTATGATTCAACCAAAATGGTGCATAGCGTTCATGCGGCCGGGTTATTGCACAACATATTTCACTATCCGAGCTGCAGGAATAGATCGTCTCTGTTCGGTAACCATGTAAAGGTCTCATGACACTTGTCGTGCATAGCTGTATAGATGGATGTTGTTCTGTTGCGGGACATGTGATGTGCAAGTGTCAGCCTTGTGGTCCTCACCAATCGGCATGCGTATTGCGGCTACTTGGTACAGCGACATTTGGCCCTGCGAACCTCCGCAGAACCGCTTCGTGTATGCTCCCCACGCACCCGGGCATTCTCGCCTTCAATAATGATACCACTTTGTTATAACCCCACTGCGTCCTGACCAACACTTTCGTCACGGCCGACTGCGTTGACGCATTCATTGCTTCTACAGAGATGGGCCTTCAAGAGAGGTGAAATACCAGGGATCGGGAGCTGTACATCACCTCTCCACCACGCACCTAGAACGAGCTTCATGATGTCGAAGCCAAAGAAGCCGGCAGCACTGAACAAGGTGCCACGGAGAGATCCTTTGGCTTCCTTGAAGATGGCCGACATGTTGATATCCAAACCGACTCTTCCAGCAGGTGCACTCCCTTCCCCTTCTCAGTTCGCCCTCGGTGTAGGCTAAACTATTCTAGAGGTTCTGGTCACGGTGGTCGACCACCTGGCGGTACCTGATCTACTTCGATTCGCTCGAGTGTCGCGCCGTATGCATGAGATGATATATGACGATGCAAGATGGGTCAAACGACTGAGAATGATGGGATGTTGGAATGATACTGAAGCGAGGAGAAGAGCAGAGCCTCCAAAAACACCAACCACTCCAGGTCAAAGGCGTACAACATTGGATCGCAACGTGGTGAATGGGAAGGGAAGACCAGAAGTTTTGTTTGACATGGATGCGTCCCCAGTCATTCAATCCCGTCAAACAAACCTCCTTTCACCCTTGCGGCTTCGGTCGGCTGAAGCGGATGGGTTTGACGTGGCTGAGATTTCGAGCCCGCGGACTCCTGCCTCTACAGGAGTAGCTGTCGACCACGATGCGCCTTTGTCGGCATTCTCGAAGGTCAAATCCATTCGAGGTCGGGCCAGACAGGAGTATGGCAAGATCTACAAACTTCTAGCCCCATACCATAACGATCTGCTCTCTGCTTCCAATCCGATGCACAGCCGTATATTCAAGGATTTCTCTCTCCCGGATCAGCAAGCTCAACTACTAACAAACGTTCGGATCTTCTCTGCCAGCGATTTCTCGCCTGGCTCGGGCGAGAGGGGCCGACAGATCTCGGAAGCCGTTGCTATGTTCGACACCGCAGCTCTGTTGGAGTTTCGGAAAGGGTACGAGTTCAAGGATATACAAGGGCGAATGCGCCAGTACGCAAGGGTCATGCATATTCTCAATGGTGGGAAGAGCGGTGTCGACCTCTTCTTGCATGACAACAACATGATCAACCAAAGAGCAGAACTCGGCTCCGTGACAGATTGCATTGACTACTCTCTAGGTTATGGCCAACTGTCCTTGGAAAGGGTTCAAGCATATTTCGAACGATTAGGCAATGCCTTCGTGCAGGAAAATGGCATTGTTCAAGCTGTATTTCCGAATGCGCAAGAGGTCTCCCTTCTTCTCCTTGAAGAGGTCGCCAAGGAGATCCTCTCGCCCTTTCTATCTGCACTGTTCGAAGATGCTCGGACTCGGGGAACGTCCATATATCTCCGAATCATATCGGGAACGTTCCAGGCGACCAGACAGTTTATTGAAAATGTGGCCCTGCCCGAGGACGTTGATGAATCCATTATAGCGCGATGCAATGCCATTGGAACCGAGATCTTTGCACCTCATCTCGAGCCCTATCTCGCTGAAGAATTAGCTTTCTTTCGCCACAAAGCAGATTCGGAAGTCGAGCAATGGGATCGCGCTTTGTCTGAACAAGCCGCCTCGACGGAGAGCTTTCTCATGTCTAATGTGAACCGGCACGCCGATAAGAAGGACTTCATGACATCGTTCAAGCAAGTGCTCATGATGCCGGTCAATATTCTGCCCGTCTTCACCGGCTCGTCCGCCAACAAGGCCGTTCCCAAGCACCTCGATGGCGATGTTGCTCCCTCGTCGAGACCTGCCACTCCCAACCAGTTCGGTCCTCGAGCCACGACACCGGCCTTACCATCTGAGGCCCCGACCAATGAACTCGCTGCTAAAGCTGCTCTAATGAACTCCAAGCTAGAGAACATCCGATCACTGTTCTCTATTGAAGTTGCTCTCAACCTCGTCCATGCCGCCAAGGCTTCGCTAGACCGTGCCGCACAATTCATCGCGCTGGGGGGTGAAGCCGGCAAAACTGCTCGCGCACAATGTTCTGCCATCTTCATCTTGCTCGTACAAACTGTGGGGATCCGTCACGTCAAGACCGGCTTTGACAAGGCCATTGACCATCTGTCGCATTACTCGGCGCGCGAGACGAATACCAACTCCGAAGGTGACTCGTCCACAGCCGTCCAAGTCGCGCCCCTCGCGACTTTTCTTGAGCTCGTCAACGTGGGTGACCTCATCCAGCAAATGCTCGACGTTTTCTATGAGTCGGAGTTAGTGCGCCTGCGTATTTCCAATCGGGACGATTTTCTGGACGTCAATGTGAAAGAGAAGCGCAAGTTCGAAGCTATGCTCGATGAAAGCGTCGCTGCCGGTTTGGGAAAAGGCATTGACGTGCTGATGGATGAAGTCGAGTACATCTGTGCCACTACTCAGTTGGCCACCGATTTCTATCCGGAATTGGCCTTCCAAGATGCCAATGCGACGCATCACGCAAGCACAATGACCTCGATATTGAACGGTGGCACGAGCAGACCATCCAGTATAGCGAGTACAATGCCCGTGATGGACTTTTCGGGCAAGCCCACGGCAACGGCATCGCGCGTGATCAAGCTTGTCGCCCACCATACAGGCATGCTCACAGGGGCGACCGAAAAGACTCTCCTGGACGTCTTCACGACAGAAGTTGGGCTACGGCTCTTTACCGCGCTGACGAAACACATCAAACGCCAGCGAATCTCGTGCGCGGGCTCCCTGAACTTGCTGAGCGACCTTACCGCATACTCACAGTTCATCGCCACGTTCAAGAATCCGGACTTGAACAGTTACTTCACAGCCCTAAGGTCATTGGCGCAGATATACCTGATACAAGGCACCAGTGACAGGGACGTAAGAGAAATGAGCACGATTATCGCGGACCAAGAGAGGTATAAGGGTGTCTTTACTGTTGAGGAGGTCGTGGAGTTTGCAGAGAGGAGGAGCGATTGGTTATCGCTGAGAGCGAGAGTGGAGGGCAAGGTGAAAGGGGATGGCTGCATCGTCATGTAGGTTGAAGTTTGGGCGCCGTTAGCGATTCTGTTTCAATCTATCGAGACCTCCGACCTGCTCTTGAGGTGCGTCCCACGGGCTCCTGTGCCGACGTCTCTCGTTGTCGCCCTGTACGGCTCCCGTACTATCAGAACAGCTCCCACCTTTGCCGTAACGTCTTCCCCCTCGCTCATCCCCTACCACGGGCCCTCAAGCAAGACGATTGTCTCAGGATCCCACTTACAACTCAAATTCTTCCTCGTCTTCCATTTCCTCGACAAACCCACTTTCCTGGCCCCCAGCCCAATCGTTGCCCTGAAACTGCCCACTGATCTGAGCACTCATCATCTCCCTGACGACCTCCTCCCACTCGATCCACGGTGGCACTTGCTCAAACAGTCGCGCAACCCAGGCCCTGCCTTGCATCATCTTCAGCTGCAGGAACAGTCGGCGTCGGTTATGCCCTGCCAGATCCACATAAATTTTCTCCAGTTCAGGCGGGGTGGGAGATTGTGGCGTCACTTGCTCCGAGCATGGGCGGTGGGCCTTTTCTCGCTCGTCTTCTTCGTGCAAACGCCAGAAATTTATCCACAGCGGGTCGACGGACACGTATTCACCCTCAAGGAGGTCCAGCCAGTTGATTTGCTTGAGGGCATTGGCGATGGTTTCGTCGAGCGCGACGGCCCAGGCGATCCACGCGTATTGATTGTCAATGATGTCCTGTGACATCGCAGAGAAGGGAAATGTGCCCTGCACGAGCAGGTTGCCTCGATGGAGCAGCTCCGGGAGGACAGAGTTCTTGAGACAGCTGAGGTAGAGGATTTGTGCCATGACGCTTCTTCTGTGCAAGCGAGAGTTCTCTCGCGCGGCCGTCGACAGGTTTTTCCATGTGTCCTCGTCGGAAAACATGGCGAGGATGGATTCCTTGGGGATCTTTGTCGCGTTGGGGTTCATGAACTCGTTGGTGACTGTTGACAGGTCCTGCTCTTCGACGGTCGCAGGAGCCACAAGGGGAGGCATCATGGTCCCATCTTTCTTGCGCGACGTCTTCCCTGGGGCAGATTGCTCCGATGATGGAGTCTCCCCTTTGTCCAGGCGCTCTCTGTCCAAATGTCGCGGTCTGTCTTGAGTCAAAGGCCCGCAATCCGAGGAGCTGGAGGTGTTTTTATCCATGTCGCCTGGTGCCAAATCAGCCGCAACTGCAGGTTGATTGTCAGTATCTCGTTTCGATCATTCTGCCACTTTCTCACACATACGGGCTTGCGCTATCGTTTCCTGCTCTACAGCCATTTGCTGACTGTCGACTGATGACTTCAAGAGCTTTGTTAAGGGATTATTCCATGACGACAAGACGTGAAATCCAGGTTCGAAGTCGATCGATATGGGACAAGCGGGCAGCACAAGAGAAGGTGGGCGGGCTTGTTCAAAGGAAACGATGACAATATCTGAGTCTTGACCTTCGAAGACAGCAGATGTGTCAATTGAGGAACAGGTGAGTGGGAAAAAGAGACGAGACAAGTTTTTCCTCTCTCTCTCTGTTGGCGTGGGTATATAAACAAAGACATGTCATTCAGTTTGCTATCGCTGTCGGACCCGGGAGCTTGCAGGGCGATAGCGATATCGACATCTCGGGAGTCCTTCCAGAGAACAGACAATCTTCTTCCCCGTCTCCTTCGCCTTTTCTTTGTTCTTCTTCCTACCTGAAGCATTGTGTCCCATCATTTTTGCTGTAACAGCCCGGGAAGGAGCTGGTCCGTCTTGACTTGGTAGGCTCCTGCTCTTCGACTTTCTCCCGAGACATTCTCCAGATGTAGGTGAGCAGAAGACAGCACCCACCTCGCCACCCACAAGCTCATTGTCATGGCCGTCATCCTGAGAGTATGTATGTACGACAAACTCGAGACAGCGATGGAAGTTTCAGACACGAATCTATTAATATTGGAGGCTCCGGGCATCGGCCGTTTGGCGCTCCGCTCAGTGCAGTCCCCGGGGCTAGCGACACCTCCACATGGGCGACTAGGGGTGCCCAGGGCTGCATCTCGGTGGCAGGGTCCTTGGGTCTCTGGGCCCCTGGAGCTGCTAAACGCGCCTATCGGCTCGCTGGGAGGCTGGTAAAGCACCGGATGACGTCGCCGCTGACCACCGATCAATGCCACGCCATTCACCACCACCACAGCTTCCATCACCACCACCTGCTCTCCAAACACGCCTTACCCGAGCGGCACTCCTGCGAGGAATCAAGGTGACTCCGCCTCATCAATTACATATACATCCTTCCTGCCTTGCGCTGTCTCAAATATGGCCTGTCTTATTGTGTTCCTGGGCTCTTGATTTTGTCCTAACGCCGTGTCTTTGTTTTTTGCATCTGCTTCGACCTCTCTCGTTTCGTCTATCGTTCAGCCTTCGAGCATATACCGAGTCCAGCAAATCTAAAAGACCAACATCACCAAGCGCCGAGCATACTGAACATACTCTGCGTCGCCACAGCATGTTTTTATAGAAAGAGCTCACACTGCATCGCATAAGAAAGAGATCTAGAAAAAGGCGGAGAAGAAAGCAGGAATTCTTCTGCATAAACAAAACCACCCGCAGTCTTCCTATCATGGTTCTCCCGCTCTCCCTTCCAACGATCGTCGTCTCCCTGTCCCTCTTCCTTCTCCAAGGACTGTGTCAGGATCCCTCTACAGTCACAGTGATCGGTACTACCATTACTCAGACCTTCACCGCAGCCGCCTCCACCACGCCGCTCTCCCCTCAATACACCGACTCGCTTACCTTCCGAGAGTCGATCCTCAACTCGACCAACTTCTATCGGTACGAACACTCGGCCGGATACATCTACTGGAACGAGACTCTTGCATCGTATGCTCAAGAGTACTCCCAAAATTGCGTGTGGGCACATTCGCACGGTCCGTATGGGGAGAACCTCGCCCGAGGATACCCGGACGTGATCTCGGCAGTCGACGCCTGGGGAAATGAACGGGCGCTGTATAATTTCTCCAACTCCGACCCGACCGGCTTTACTGAGGCGACGGGCCATTTCACCCAGTTAGTATGGCAGGGCACGCAAGCTACAGGATGCGGTTGGACGGATTGTAACGGCAAGAACGGTCTGGACGGCGTGTACTTGGTGTGCGAGTACTGGCCGCCGGGCAATATCGTCGGCGAAAACAACCTGTTCTTTAAAGCAAATGTTGACTCTGAACGGAGCAGCGGAGACAGCGGCTTCGATGAGCTGAGTGCAACAATGGGTGCAACGGGCGGGACGCCAACCTCGACGGGCTCAGCGTTGAATCCCCCCGCGGCAACGGCGAGCAGTACGGGCGAGTCGATTGGGGCGCCCATGGTGGAGATGGATAGGCGCGGCTTGCTTGTGACCGTGTGTGTGACGGTGGCCGCGGTGCTGTTCGGATTGGGCATGTCCTGACGGGTTTTCGTGTTCCTTTCTGTGTTGTCGACAACATCTTCACAAACGGTGGAATAGAGACGACAGCACTGGATCAACACAGAATCTGGAGTCCGTAGCATCCGAGCGAGGTACAGGTATAGAGCACTGCACTTCGAGTCATGATTGAACGACAAGGTAAATGAGCTGTGGATTCCTGTATATACGAGAAACGCATCTTATACCACCTGTTAAATACAATTAATTCCGCTATGATATATTGACATCGAATAAGCTCTGTTTCCCATCTGCCCTCCCTCTTTTTTGATTCTTTTCATTTCCACCATCCCTGGCCCCTGCCCAACATCCTCAACCTCTTGTTCCCTAGCGTGCGCCCTTCCCCTTCTTCGTCTACGCCGTCGCCGACCTCAAACGGTCCTCGCTGCTCCCCCACGGCCATCTCCACGAGAACTCGCCCCAACTCCTCCGTCGGGCTGTGCATCGCCTCCCCGACGAGCCCCCACCGAATCGGCGCCATCAGCGTCTTGAGGTAGAAGCGCTGGAACGCGGTGCGCTTCTCCCGGAGGATATGATCCCACAGCCAGGGCTGGTTGTAGCCGTCCACGGCGGCGGGGCGCACCGAGTAGACCGAGAGGAGGTTGGAGTAGAGCGGCGTCTTGGAGAGCTGGAGGAGCGAATGCTCCGTTTCGCCCTTGACGCGGCCGAAAATGGGTGTCCAGAGGCGCGGGTGCAGGGTGGCGCCCTCGCCCGAGACGTAGATGAATTTGAACTTGTTCGCGTCGGCGGGCTTGCTCTCAGCAGAAGAAGACGTCGTTGGCGACGCGGGCTCCCGTAGCGAGGCGAACGCCTTGGCGGCCGCCAGCGTGTAGTCCTTGGTGATTTTCACATACTGCTCCTTGGAGACGTCGTTCTGGCTCACGCCCAGGGCCCAGATACAAGCGTCGGCGCCCTTGAGCTTCTCCAACAGCTCCGGCGGGTACGAGGTGAAGTCTTTGTGCTCGATGACCTCGATCTTGGTGTGCTTGTTCACGGTCGGCGTCCCCGGTGGCGGCGTCGCGGACAGCCAGGGGATAGAGCTAGAGCGACTGATGATTGACAGCTTGTGGATGGTCGGCGTACTGGTTGATGGCAAGGAGAGGATGTGTGAGAGAACGGACGACCCGACTAGACCTGTGGCCCCTGTCAAGATCAAGTGGACCATTGTTGCTGTCCAGAAATGACGAGGTGTCGAGCAGCGCGAGGAAGCTGTGAAACTTGTGGGCGCACAGATGGAATTCTCGATAGAGACGCAGTGATCAGTCCAGGACGGAGGTGTTCTCTTCGCTGTGGGAGAGTGTTCTGAAAGTCAGGCGACAGCGAACAAGGCTCCCAATAAATACGAAACCAGCCCAAAGTCTCTTGTCCACTGTCCTTGCACCGTTACACGGCGGCGCATTGCGACTAGCAGGAGCTCACTTAACAGCTCGAAAAGGGAGCGACTGGGAATTCAGGCGTCAGCCGAAATTTCAAACGTAGTCATCTTTTGCGAGGACAAGGGCATAACGGAGGGAACCATGAGGCCTAAGGCGGCCATCGTTGGGACGGAGTCGGTCGAATGCGGAGATAAATCAATGCGACGCACAGATGCAGGCTGCTGACCCGGTTGTCGCAACTGGCGGTTGAGCCTCGATGGGGCGGTTGAAGGGCCACCTCCTTAATCAGACAGTATGGGTCGGTCGAACGCAAGATGGAGACATGAGCTTGAGGCAATTTAATGACTCGACAATTCCTCTGGTCAAGGGGAGAGCATCCGTTGAGTTCTTCGTGATGGAGGCGCAAGAGGTGTTTGAAGAGCACAAGGACGAAGGTGCGGCAATCCTGCTGTCTTCGTCCGGTTCCCATCAACCAACCCCGTCACCAACATTCTTCACCTTTCATCATCATCGACAGAAGTGCATGCACTCCGTTTTTGTCCTCCTTCGCAACTGTCGCACGGGTACAACTCGTAGGTGCCACCACGTCACCGAGAGAGCTTCGAGATCAGTCGCGAAAATGAAGACGAATTCACAGTCTCTCGAGCTCTACCACACACTTCTAATCCCGCCCAAAGTGTCCTTGTGGTCCTGTCCAACACGATTAATGCTTCGTGGTCTTGACCAAACCCTGACGTGAGAGACTGAGTTGTCGCAGAATCAAAAGGCACGTTTCAAGACATAGCCTAGCCTTGTCTACGGTCCGAGAGCGGGTTCAGAAACGAGAGAGTTGGTAAGAGCCGAGATATGAGGATAACCCAACGTTGCTGATGGAATCGCTCAACCCTCTCCTTGTCAACGAGGTGACAGCGATTGCTCACGCCGAGAATGACTAGAGGTTGTCTTGAGTGCCGAAAACCTCGGCATGCATCGGCCATGTCGTGGGCTGCTCATGAGTGCGCCTGGTTTCTCTAGGTCGAGAAACTGGCAAACAGTTCGATGGACCTATTGAAGGCGAGAAACGAGAACGAGGCAGGAATTAGAAGAATACATTGCAGGGCCGTGGTATCGAGGAACAGACGGGACAAGGGCTGCCCAGCGAGGTTTCTACCTGGGTCTGAGGAGTGAATGGCGAGTACCGGGCACATCTCTCTGGTATATAAGCATTCAATGGCGCCAACTGGAATAAATTCTGTGCTGTGTGGGCAAACAGCGAATGGGAGGCAGCTCGACTCTTGCTACAATGGTGACCTCGGGCTCCCCCTTGCCCCTCAGCCTCGAGCCCTCTGGCCTGGGTGCGGAATGGAGATGGCAAATAGTAATACTAGCATCAGGACTGGTGGACTGGCTGGTACGGGCACTGACGGCTTTCTTGTCGGTGCTTGGATGATGCGGGGAAGGACGAGGCTTCTTTTTTGGGCTCATCGGGGGCTTCAAAACGGCCTCGGTTTGGAGTCTCTAGACTCTTCACCTTCACCAACAAAGCCTCCCAGCCCCCCCCAACCGGGATTTTCGCCGTCGTCCATATCCGACCTAGGGCAGACGACGACTGGTCGAACTATTACTCCGTACTTGATAAAACCCAGCGGATCCGTCCTTTCCCCCAATTTGCATTGATTCCAGGTCGTCTTATCATTTCTCGGGTCCAGGCAAAGATCATCAACGCAGGTACCAAGTCTGCTACTCGTTGTCCGCGTGTCTCTGTGTGTGTGTGGGCGTGGGAAACAGCTACCAGAAAGAAAGAAAAAAGTAACAATGGCGAAAATGCTCAACGGCAACGAAGTCGCCCAACACGCTTCGCGCGACTCGTGCTGGGTCATCGTCTCGGGCAAGGTCTACGATGTCACTGAATATCTCGACAAACACCCCGGCGGCCCCCAGATCCTGTTGCAGTACGGCGGCAAGGACGCGACGGCCATGTACGAGCCCATCCATCCTCCCGGCACCATTGAACGCTCCCTACCCAAGGACAAACACCTGGGACCGGTAGATCCGGCCACGGTGTCGAGCCTCTCTTCACCCCAAGTGACTCGCGACCTCGACAAGACGGCCCGGATCCCCCTCGCCCACTGCATGAACCTGGACGACGTTGAGAAGGCCGCCACGCGCATCATCCCCCACAGCGCCTACGTCTACTTCAGCTCCGCGGCCGACAGCCTGGGATCGCTAGCCAACAACCGGCAGGACTGGAAGAAGGTCACGCTGCGCCCGCGGGTGATGCGCAATGTTCGCCGGGTGGACATGACGCGGGTCATGCTGGGGACCAAATCCCGGCTGCCCTTCTTCATCGCCCCGGCCGCGCGGGCGAGGCTGGTGCACGAGGACGGCGAGCTGTGCCTGGCGAGGGGCGCGGCCAGGCGAGGCATCCCCTACTGCCCGAGCACGTACTCGACCGTGCCGCACGACGAGCTGATGCAGTGCCTGACCGCGGAGAAGGAGAAGGTGCAGTTCCGCAACTTCGCGCCCGAGGATGGCGGCACGCTGTGGTTCCAGCTGTACGTCGCGCACGAGAAGGAGCGCACGCTCGAGCTGATCGCCATGGCGAGGGACCTGGGCTACAAGGCGCTGGTCATCACGGTCGACACGCCCGTGGTGGGCAAGCGCGAGGAGGACGAACGCTACCGCGCCGAGCTGGCCACCGCGAGCGGGGACAATTCCGTCCTGACGGAATGGTACAAGCCGGCCAACGAGGACGACGAAAACAGCCCGCCGCTCAGGGGCCACCACTCGTCCACCCTCAACTGGGACGACCTGCCCTGGATCCGCGAGGCCTGGCGCCAGGGCCGGCAGGACGCCGGCCCTATCGCCATCAAGGGCATCCAGACCGCGGAAGACGCCGCGCTGGCTGTTCACGGATACGGCGTCGATGCCATCTACCTGAGCAACCACGGCGGCCGCCAGTGCGACGATGCGCCCTCGTCCATCCGCACCCTGCTCGAGATCAGGAAGTTCTACCCCGAGCTGCTGAAGAAGGCCGAGGTCTACCTGGACGGAGGAGTTAGGAGGGGCGCCGATGTCATCAAAGCCCTGTGTCTCGGGGCCAAGGGCGTGGCCCTGGGACGGCCCTTTATGTATTCGGTCGCCATGGGGGACGAGGGCGTGGCCAGGGTGATTCAACGTAAGTCTTTTCTGCCATTTCATCCTGCTCTCACAAGAAAAGGGGCTCGCCGTCTCCCTTTGAACCAGTCTTCCCCTTCACCTCTTCTCCTTTCCTCTTTGTCCTCTTTTATGTCGGTGGCCTTCTGTGACTACACATGGTTAGAGAAGGCGGCTCGAAAACACGAATAGTTAGTTCAACGCTGACCGCATCCTCCTTCACCCCAGTCCTGTCCGAAGAAATCGAGACCACCATGCGCTGCATGGGCGTGACGTCCCTCGACCAATTGAATCCGTCGTACGTGAACACCAAGCTTTTGGAGCTGGAGATCCCGGACCGCTTGGCCACAGGGGACGAGTCGGAATATGGCGAGGCTTGGGTCAAGGGCCTGAAGGCGAGGCTTTAGAACAAAACATGCCGCTCGTCCCACGGAAACCGAAACCGACGGGGCATTCGAATTGTCCAGGCTATCAAGGTCTACAGAGGGCGCAACGGAGATTGGGACGACGTGTATATCTGCGACTTTCTGCTTTTCTGGCAAGCGATGTTTAAAGGACAAAACAGGGAGGAGTAGAGAGCTCAGAACGTGCTTTTAAAATGGACTCTAGCCCACAAGTAAGAAGAGATAGATTGGGACTCATGGCTGCAACACTCTATTCACCTCCTTCGCCTGCCTGTCGGGCATGAGCCCGTTCCTCCTTCGCCAAGGGGGTGAAGAATGGCTTCTCTTCCCTTTGAATTGTTACCAAGGCAAAATGGTCTGGTGGCAGGAATGGCACTTCAAGACGGGGCGTGGTAGACAAACCCCCTGCGTGAACGATGATGGTTATCGCAGTTTGAATGATAAGTAGAGGATGAATATGCTTCTCTGCATTGTAAATGCGCGCCGACATCAAAGGTCTGCACCATCTTCTCGGCAATGTTGATGCATTAGAGCCAACAGCAACGGCAGTATCAATCCAAAGATACCAATGTGTCCAAAAACAACTCTTCCACCCTCTGATGAGAAATCGTCATGGTCAGGCCGTCATTAATTAAAAGCAATACCACAGAACCAAAGCATCTCTTGCCGTCAAAGATGCTAATTGAATGTTCATCTGTACAAACTTGTGTACAATGTCGTCATTAATATTTATTTGCCGGTATAGTCGAGGGTTCCTGCAAGTCGCACTTCTTCCACAAATTTGTCTTCATCACCCACGGACTGGAGGTTCCAGTGTCCAGACTGAGGTAGACGATTGAAGGGACCCCAGCCCAGCATCTCCTGAATGTTGCGTCTTTTCAAATCCGTGTCTCCCTGGACGTCGAACAGTTGCTGTTGGAGGCTGCCCAAGATGGCCACTGACGCATTGACCAGTGTCCGGTCACCCTCAAAGATCCATATATCCCAGATCCGACAAAGGCGGTCGACATCCAGTCCGTTTGAAAAGATTGTCCGTAGCATCGGTTCGAAAACTTCCTCTCCACGGAAGCCAAGGCCTCCTTGTTCGACGGACCCAAAAAGATATTCATACAGACGGGGGAATTTGATTCCCAAAGTCGACACAGCGTGATTATAAGTGCGATTTGTAGTAGTTGTATCATCGGTTTGGAATGCCAACGGCACAGCCCGGTTGAGACAATTGGCCAGAAGAGTAAAGGCGTCTGCTGGGGTCGAAAGTTGTAATAGCAGCAATGCGGCAATAAGCTGGATCCCGTAGATGTAGCCCACGTCACTCCGGTAACACGCGTACGCTTCGCAAACGTCTATCAGATCCTGCCAGAGTGGTCCGTGCCTTTGGAACAGGTTGAGCTCAGGAAAGGCCGTCTCGGCGTCTCGTTCGATGTCAACAAACCATCTTTCCATGCTCTTCTCGTCTCGATCAAGTTGACCCCCAGTTCGCTTTTTGATCTCCTTTGCTCGTTGTAAAGCTTTTTCGTAGCTCTGGACAGTAATGCCCAGAGAATTTCCCACGGCTCGTTGCCAAACTTTCCCTCGAAGATTTGGACTTACTCCGCGCCAGCAAAGGTCATTGACTCGTTTGTCGATGGTGGTGATATCCGTAGTCTCGTCAATATAATAATGCCATATCCGATTCAAGGACTCTCTGGTGTCATCTTTTTCGCATTGCTGAACCTGCAGCTTTGTGCGACGCTTCTTTTCGGCTTCAATTGATGCCGCCATCATCCGTTGGTATTCCCTCAGATGCCGTCTCTCCTCCTTCGGGTCTTTTGGTGGTAACCAGGACGGCCTTGTCCGTGATAGGATGGCCTCTTTTTCCTTGGAAATCGGCATGAAATCCAGCGCACTCTTTTGAATTGGGGGGAGTTGAATGGATGAGGATCTGGAACCACGATCCATTGAGGTTTCAGGGCTGCCCCGTGACGATCCACCTCGGACCCTTTCAAGCCGGTCTTGTTCCTTCGCCTCAGCGTGATACTCCAACGCCTCTGAAATGATTCTTGCTTCCTCGCTCAAGTCGGCCATGGCAATGTTCCACGATTTTGTCCTACCATTAAGAACGTGACCAGTTTTACGAGGGGACGACGGATTGGACGTTGTGGGTGTGAGTGAGACCGACCTTGGAGGAACTCTGTTCTTTGGAAGGCTTGGGGGGTGGCGTCCTGGCCGCGGAGGTACTTCCGGAGCTGTTCTGGCATGCTCTAGGGGTATAGGGCGCGGGCTTGGAGCTGGCTGATCCCTTTCTGGGCTTCCGCGAAAGCTGGAACGGTGCGACCTTTGACCAGCAGCACTAGGGGAGAGAGGGACGTTCCACAAACTCGCATCCTCGGGGAGGTCATCGTCAGAATCATGGTATTCTGCCTCCAATTCTTTGACAGTTTTTCTGTGGGGCTGCCACGAGGCACGCCTGGTTTGCAGTCCCAGACTGTTTGCCGGTGATTGAGGGATAGGAAGAAGGCCGCCCGCACTGAGTGAGGGAGTCGAGAAGGATGCAGGATTTCTTCGTTCTGGCGGGGAGGACGATCGGGCTCGCATGCTGGTATAAAATGTCTCTGGGCTAGTGAACCCACGTTTGAACGTTGACAGTCTCGAGCCAGCTACTCGTGGCGGTGCCGAGTCGTGCCTGGATCCTGGTACCGAGACTTGAGTCTGTAGCTGTGGGAGCGTAGGCCTCTTCTCCCCCGGGCTAGAGTCTTTTGACTTCATCAGTTCGTGTTGCGAGCCCACGGACTGCATTGAGACGTCGCGCGAATGACAAAATCTCGGCGTTGCATGTTTGTCATCTTCCAAGCCAATCTCCTCAAAGTTGATTATGTCTGCTTCCAAGCCATCGGGACTCGAAAAGGTTGAGGAGTAAGAGGAGGACTTTGAGGATCGAGAGCCCGACAGGTCGGGAGGTGAACCTGGAACACTGACCACGGTCGCGGACATTGTACTAAGGATATTATGTGTGTTCGATAAGGCAGTAAGCGAGCGAATTTCAAGGTCTGAGCCTTGCACTGACTTCAAAGAGAAATCATTGATGTGGTAGCAATTGTGGGCGTTTCGTGAATAGGTCTCGAGAAGTTGTGCAGTTAGCGGGGCGAAGCTAATTTCCGAGGAACGAGAGGTGTTGATAATGCGTTGTTTTGGTTCCGACAATGTTATTCCTGCATGTCGACGATGTGCTGGGTCTGAAGAAACGAGTGTCGGTGCATGCCAGAGGCGATACTCACAGTCGAGCTCGACAATTCCAAGGTCCGCCAACTTGAGCGTCGAAGCTTGATCGCAAACAACTGGGATACGTTCCAATGGTGCCTTTGGTCCAGCCCCTGGTAAGGGTGTTGGGGCGATTGGTGGAGTGGAGGGTGGACATGACGGTGGCAGGGCTCCAGCAAAGAGACTATGCCATACATGGGGTAGAACTGGCCGAGTTAGGGGCTCCTCCATCTGAATTGACTGGCTGTCAGGAGTCCGACCAGGGGAGGCCTTGCCGGAGAACTGTAGCACCGATGCTGCGACCGCCACAAAAGAGTGGGAAAGTTGGTGAACTCCAGGGGTGGCTGGCAGGATTTTTGCTGTGGGTTGACGGACATCGATTGGGGAGGTTTCAAGGATTAGCAAGTGTCCGTCATGGTCCACCGATGGTTGGATGGTCCGTCGCACTTGTGGGTGCTCGGTGGGAAATCCTGATGCAATCGCGACGAGCTCGTGCCGTCCAGGTCCGGGGATGTCTAGAGTATATATGGTTTTTCCAAATCTCAGTCGTCGAGATGAAGTTTTCGGGTGTGTTTCATGCTCAAGGAGATGCGTCGCAGGTGGGACAGGCGTCACGCTGAGACTCGTGGCTGGTGGTCGAAGTTACGCGGGAAGGATGCGGCCGCTGGCAGGACTGGGCAAATGGCAAAGGGGGGGAATCCGGTGCTGAGGCAGTGTGGCTGTTTCACGACGATCAATGCGGGTGTTGTCTGAGATCTGAATTCGATCTGCTAGGGCGTGGCCGTGTCTTCGGGTTATCCTATTGTAGGCATGCACTCGTAGCGTCGCTAAGCGTAAAGGAGCGAGAGGAGCGAGAGGAACAGGTGGCGAAGGGCGACACCAGTCGTAGGGGGTGCGAAGTAAGGAGTAACAAGTACGGAGTACGGCAATCAGTGAGAAGAGTATGTAGAAAGATGGATGAAGTTGGTGTTGTTGACTGCGGCAGGTGGCTGTTTTGACCTACGAATTTGAGGTGGCTGGTGCTGGCAAGAGCAGATCAAGATGCCATACTTCTTCAGTCCAGACTACTCGAGACATTCCAATGCTGTCACCATGGCAAGGCTGGCTATGATTAAACTATTTGCCCTATTAGTTCCTGTTCCGCGCATTTTGCGGTCGAGGGGTCAATATACATAGCTCCGAAACGCTCTCTTGTTTTCTTGCAGAAGCCGTGCGATGGCCGCTTCTTCCAAGTTCATACTGGGCTGTGCGCTTTGTCGGAGCGATCGCAGCCAGAACAGCAGATCCTTGTACTGGCTCTGTTTGCGCTCTAGAACACTCTCAAAGGCCGCTGCGGCAATCCAACACATTTGTCGCCGGCTGATGTGTCTGACATGCGCATTGTTGCCATTCTTCTCGCAACAAATCTTGTTTGCCACTGTCACGAGATCTTGTATCAGGTCTCGAAGGAGCCCCTGCGACGGTTGTCTCTTTTCTGTCAATCCCGTAACATATTGATGCATCTTCATTGCTGACTCAGTGAAGTTCCCGAGCAAGGTCAAGACCACCTGGCTCCGGCCATTCAGTGACATATCCAGCAACATGGGATGCATCTGCAGCTTGAGAGACGATAAGATTTTCCTTTTCAAGGTCATTCCAGGTTTCGAACAGCGCTCCAATGTTAGAGTATTGCTAAGAAATACGTCTTTCTTCTCTCTGTCTTTCTTCAATTCCAAGGTCTCCATGTGGATGCCTATCCCACAGTATGGGAAATAGGTGCTGCCGTGTATTCGTGGCACTTTCTCACCGTTGATAGTCACTTCAAAATTAACCAGGGACTTTTCGGCGTTGACGTGGATCCCATAATCCTGGTCACCACTTGCCATGACCTCCAGAAATTGTCGGGCAAGCTTGACATTGGTCGTTATTAGCAGGAAATCGTCAATGAGCCGCAATAGCAGGCATGACTCTGGCACCAGAAAGCCCAATTCACTCCTTTCGAATGCTCCGTAAAAGTAGCTGCAAAGAAGGCTGCTGAGGATTGAACCTTGAGGGATGCCGTCAATCTGCTTCATGTACTTTTTGCCAATCTTGATCATGCTGTCTCCCACATGATTTTGAAGAAGATTCAGCAGTGAATCTCGATTCCATATTCTGTTGTTTCCCGTGTCCGCAAAGACGACATGACGTTTTCCAGAGGCTACGTTGGACACTGATTCCTCCGACAGCACGGCCCGAGTATCAGCTGGGCGGGCTATGCCTCCGAATCGTCGTCGTAGACTTTCTTGTGCTATGGCCCGTCCAGAATCCCTCGACTTGACTTCAAGGTATTTCGTTGTCCGGTACGATGCTTCGCCAAGCAACGAGCTGGCCATCTGCAGCAGAGGCGCTTGTGGAATGGTGTCGAAGCACGATTTGATGTCAACCTTGACAAAGAAGAGAGGAGATTTTGATCGGAGAACCTTCTTAAAGCTTGCCACCTTTCCGTGGATGTCACCAACTGACAACAAAGCAGAGCCCAATGGTGCAGGATTGCGTCCACGTTCGAAGTTGAGCACATGAAAAATAGGTGCCAATTGGCTGTTGATGCTGTCTCCAAGGAGTCTTCTCCCAGCATCCAGTTTTCGTTGCCGTCGCCTCAAATTCGTGATAGGTCTGGCGCCTTGGTCCTTGGGCAGCAGTCGCAGATGGCTATATCCTAATGCTTGAGATCGTAACTTGAGTCGAGCTTCACCGGGTCTGATAGGAGCGTACATGTTCAGCCTCAGCGTTGCAAGAGTAGGCTCGGAGAGTTTGCGCCATACATCCTGCCGAAAGTAGAATAACCGATGGCGGTGGGTTGAGCTCTCGGTAACGTAAAAGTGCGCTCGAATGATCGGTACGAGCAAGGAGTCAAAAACATAGTAGACAAATTCATGAAAAATCTCGAGCCGCTTCGTGAAATCAGACCTGGACATTCTCCCATCCAAACATTTTGAACCTGAGAGCCACGCAATCGACGTTAGGTGGATTCCTTGGAGAGCCTCATGCAAGCTCATGGTCTCAAATCGGCGCATTCGAACAAATTTATCAATCCTGTTCATCATCACTACATGGTTCTGCTGACCTCCTGGCCCGCTTCCAAAAGTATGGCGTGGGAGCAGATGGGAGATGACCGAGCGGCAAAATGCCGAGACTCTTGATGAAGGAGTTGCATGTGCTGAAAATGAGGAATCTCCATCTTTGCTGCTGAAAACCGTGTCCGAGTTCAATCGTGGCATCCCGGATCGTTCGATCTGTGTGGAGAAGAGTTCCGAGCCCGCCGTAGGCGGTGATGTTCCGTTACTCTGAATGATAGGGGCCTCAAAGCCAGCAGACATAGGAGGGCAATAATGTCTCAAACGCTGGCTGTAGGAACACGATCTGTGATTTTGATGGATTTTCTGGATAAGCCGCATCGGCTCGCCACGAAGGCGACGTGGCGTCCAAGTTACCGGCCTTTTTCTCTGCCCAGCGATTTCCTGTTCACGCACTGTGTAGTCTTTGAACCTATGCGCGGTCTCATTCGAGCGAACCAGTGACGTGAAAACATTGTGTAGATCGAATTGGCGCGGGAAGACGTACTTCAAAAGATGCACAGCCTGGTGCTGTTGCGCGGCATCCGGCAGCCTCTGCAGAATATGGGTATGGTGAAGTCCGACTTTAATCTTGCCAGCAGCGTTGGAAAACGGTCTAGCATAGAGCATGCGGTTTCGAACGAAACGAATATCCCCAAGTCGCTGGATATCCCGTCTTTTTGGCAAAATGGCTTTTCCTGGACATAGGGTTTGAACTTGAGGCAGCTCCGAGATTGGAATACCGCTCAACTGAAAATAATTGTCTCTTCCACTTGCTACCCGTGTAAAGACACCACAATCCAGGAGCAGACTTGCAAAAATAACTTCACCGTCTACTCCCAACAAAGATAGGACATCAGACCAAGGAGACGATTTCAAAGTCAGTAGATTCTCGTTAGGGTGTTTTCGGATGATACCAGGCAGGAAAGGTGCCGGTTCCCCAGGCTGATACCCATGATCGTGGGAGATTCTGCCTCTTTGAAGGCCATGGCAGAGAATGTGCTGAGGCCGAGCCTTGTTCGCAAAGTTGCCTTTGAAGAGTGACCAAATGACAAAGTCGACAACCTGAAAAGATCAGTCAGGATGTCGATTGAGAGGCGATAGCCGAGTCGATGTGCATCTTACCTCGTCTATATAACATGACTGCGCTCGGCGAGGATCAGGATCAGTGGCACGGTACTGGCTTTGAGTGAATGTAGCGAAGTCGGTTTTCCGCGACTCTTTGACAGAGATAGAAGTGTTCTTGAGAATACCCACGAGGCAGGTGTCAAGTAGAGCATTGGCATCATGCTTTCCAAACAGTGTAAGTTTCTGTCTTCGAATACGAGACGTGGTAGGCAAGGCCGTCAGAAGATAACTCCTCAGTGTGCAGACCTTTGGATAGTAGGATGACAGCACAGCATGGTGTATGGTGGACACATGCAGCGGGCCGGCGCGGTCATAATTGGCCGATTTCTGTTGCTTGGTAGGACGATTGGACGTGGCCTCTGCGCATTTTCGTTTTCTGGCCATGAGCGCGATTATTTACATGGGTGAGACGCGACTGTCGCAAATAACCTAGGAGGATGGGAGGATGGACGCGTTTTCCCAGGATCGAGGGACATGGAGACTTTCTCGACGAGGCAGTCCAACACACTTCCTGTTAACACGATCTACCCCGGTCGCTGCAAGAATCAACGTTCATCCTCAAGGAAATTAATATGCCCTTCGCAGTAGGAGGGGTGGAGGCGCGGTGTGTTTCTCGCTCGGCTCAGACGCGACAAGGGCCAGGCAATATGTACGTCGCAGGAGGAACATGGAACGCGTTGCGGCTACCGTGTATCGGTCAGCAGAGCCCAGAAGTCCAAACCCCATCCAAATCGACGCGTACTATGATCGTAAGATTCCCGTGTCTTGAAGAGGGCTCTCAGACAAACATGGTGTTTGTGGAAGGATGAGTAGTTAGCGAGATACGGTTGGCATGGGTGCCACTGCGCCGCAGATTGCGCTTCTTGGGTGAGAATAGGATCCTTGTAAGTGAAGATAGGCGTCGAGGGGCCTATCGAAGCGTTAACGATGATGATGGTGGTGGTGGGCTCTTTCTTCTCTCCCGTTTGACAGTATGGGCGGCTGAATGGGGATAGTCGGTCGAATGCGCTCGTAAAAACGGGGAATCGGCGAACGGCGAGCGGAGAGAACTGAAGTTAACCTGGCGATGGTCCCGCCTAAAAGGATCTTACTTGACGGAGGCCAGAGACCTGCTCCGAGGGTTGCAAAGACAATGATATTGTGGTGGTATGGGCTAGCAGTACCTAGGTGTCGGTCAATGGGCTCGCTCTTTTTGTTGTCTGTCCTGGTGCTGCCCTGGCTTTCCATGTCCGGCATTTTGCAAACAATGGAAACCCATGCAGTTAGCCGGAGGGTGCAAGAGGTGCTCAGTGCTCACTGTTCAGGTACTCCGTAGTCTGCTATCGCTAAACCCTCGCCTATTCCACTGACCAATGCTTGAATACCATATTGTACCCTGGAACTGGAGGTCTCCATACCCATCGTGCCCGTCTAGTCCCTCTGAACCGCCCGCAACTAGTCAGAACTGAGCAGAGGAGCATTAGTGTCCTAGCGTCCCGCCCACGTCGCCATTCACTCTGTGCCGCGCTTGCTGGACCGATGTTAGTTGGCATATTCACAAACCATCGTCTACCGGCTCCATCATACCTCTTGCATGACCGTGCACCGCAGCCTGACCACACCGTCTCCGTTCTCTCCAACATAGAAGTTGCCCTTGTATCAATCCTCGCCACATCTCTAATCGATCAAGGGGTGTCATCACGTCTCGCAGACTCTGTGGGAGCAGCAATCAAGACGTCAAGTGTCCCTGCGCACCCCGTTTCCGGCCATCAACTGAACCAGAAACAATCCACACACAATCCACGACGACCTCTCGTCAGCTCCTCGCCTACCAGTCTACATATCCCCTTTCTCTTTCCCTCGCGGGACCGCCGACGTCTTTAGCCAAAGTTTGGCAAACACGGGGGCCGTTCTCCTGTGTCCACCGTCCTGGACTCACGGGTGACGGGTCGTTGAGCGGCCTGTGTCCGTTTATGAGGTTCTGCACAAGAGAAGGAAGCATTGGGATACATCTGGACGGCAGGGAGAAGGACAAAAGAGAGGGTCTAAAGAAACCGACCATGTCTAGCCTGGGTCATGCATCTGCGCCGTAGCATTCACCATCACCGTCCAAGAAGGAAGGCCTCTCCCTGACTTGGGCCTTCTCAACATGCCTTCGGCGGTGTCGAATCAGAGCAACTATTACACCGCCCACCACCGGCGTCAATCTTCTCAGTCGCAAACAAATTTGCCAGACCAGATCAGAAATCCCGGCCCACAACTCCAGTCGCCTAACCGATCACTGGTCTTCCTCCCTTCTACAGCCTACACCCCATCGCAGCCTGCGACCCAGCGTTCTAGGACGTCATCACTCTCCAACCCTTCAAGATCGACCTCGAGGCTGGAGTCTGTCCGCAATGAGGATATCCAGAATGACCCACACGATTTCTACCGCCAGTATCAAGACCCTTTTGCGAACTCATCACTCGTGGCCCTGCACCAAGAGGCCATACGAACAGACCCGATCGAACGGGCAGAAGAGCCGCCCGTCACGGCTCGAAAATCCAGCTTCACCGCCGATGACAGAATGGCCAAGGGAGCCAAAGGCTCGAGTGGTACTCGGAAACTGTCGTTGAATACACAGACCTTGTCTAATGGTACCTACGATGGTGGACATGTAAACCCTTCCGGGCCGATGCCCCATACCTTAAAGTCAAGAAAGGCTTCATTCAAGGATCTGGTAGCTCGGTTTGATGCTTCGCCCGACGATGTCCCGCCCTTGCCCACTCAGCAAGTATCCCGGCCGGCCTCGAGAACAGCAAGCCCTATGCCATATGCCTCGGTGGAGACTTCCCACTCTTATCACCCGCAAGTCAAGCGACCGACATCACGAGTCTCAGAGGCTTCAAGGAGGGCAGGAAGCGCACTGGGATTCAGAGCTACCGCAAATGACAAACCCACACACTCGAGAGATCAATCTTCTGCTGGCGGATTAACTCAGGTCGCCAGCAACCCTGAAGTCCCGGCTCCTGGGCGCCAATTGTTGTTTGGTGAGGTGCCTTCCTCCGCAGCCAATCTACCAGCTGCGCCAGGCTACGGTATTTACAATGCCCGTCGTCGACGAGGCTCAGAAGGGTCTCCGATGCATAGTCCTAATCCGATGTTTTCAACGAAACGCGGCAACGCTCAATCGTCAGCGCCCCCAATCTCGCCTTCGGCCATGCATTCCCACACGTCTGGTTATGATTATGACAGCTATCCCCATTCCCGACCTCCCCATCGGCGAGCAAATAGTGATTTTTCCGGACCGCCTTCGAAGGTCTTCGTGCGGGCAGATCAAACTCCGTCTCCCAGCGCCCAGGGTAGCAGTCATAAACTCGCGGCGGAGTCGTCATCGAAATCGACTGCACAATCTCGGATTCCAGTTAGTACAAGACATCAACGTATTGCATCAGACTCTGCGGCGATTTCTCCTACCGGTCGTCCAGCTATTGTCCCTCACCAACAACTCCCTTTCCGGGCTCTAGAATCGGGATTGAAGCCGTCGAACCCTTCTTCATCAGGAGAGCGAAGACAGCACAGTCCTAAGCGGCAGCCACGATCTCCAGTGCAAATAAAAAGCCCAAATAACCGTGGTCGCCCCTCTACCACAGCAAACGGGGAAAAGAGTCCTTCTCTTCGGGCAAATATCATCGCCCCTCCACCGAAGGTCTCCCCGCCCCTCAGAAGCTCGAGGCCCCGACTCCCCGTCTCTTCTGCGACCACAGCCGCGTCTCGTGCGAAGATGGCTGAAAAATTCCAGACGATGGCCAAGCAACAAAGCGACAGAAAGGCCTTCAGACGGCAGAGACCGCCGGAACTCAGTGACATCGATCTGAAGGCTCGCCGATTAAAAATCACTCAAGCTTTGAGCCGGTCACGAGAAGGACAGGATCTGAAAGGTGACAACACAGAGAGCCGTGACGATTCAGCCAGTCGTGAAGGTAGTAGAACGCCTTCCTTCGAAGATTCCGATGGTTCCGACCAACGTCAAGAGACGCCCGAGATTCCTGCTGTCGTTGTGAATGAAGCCCCCATAGACGCGTCTGAGGAGCGTGCATTCTACACCGACAATGGAGAAGGCCCGGAAGATCAACGAGCCTTAACCCAAACGGCGTTGAAGATTGTTGAAGGAAATATTCAACATCCAGGCGATGAAATGGACTCGCCTACGCTTGGTCATGCTGAGTCTGGCTTCAACAGCATTCCTTTCAGTCTAAACACGCATTTACAACCTACACGTGACGAACAAGAGCCTCAATCCGCCGTCACTGAGGGCACTGTTGCCACCGAGGCCACCATGATCGATGCCGAGCCGCAAACGGATACATCGCGGCTCCAGACTCCCGGGCTATCACTTCGCAACCAAATCAATGTGCTTCGAAGTCAGGACTCTACCTCACCCCTGTCGTCCGCTTCTCAAGCGTCTGGCGAGAATTCTGATCACGCTGATCAGGTATCTGTTCATCTGATGCTCCGTGACACAACATATCTCGACGATGATGAAGCTGTAGAGAAAGGTTACCGACACTTGGTGTCTCTGCCTCAGCTGGAGCCCGCCCACCCACACAGTGACGGGAGAAACTCGTGGACGTCGTCAATAGAAGATCTACCTGAGTCCGAGACAGGTAACGAGCCTGCTTCAGTTGTTCAGCCACTTCCACAGCTCCAGCACGAAACTGAGATTACTCATGTGGAGTCCGATTCACACTCGGCGTCGGATCATTCAAGCGTTGGGGATGGCTCGAATGGAGAGCACCACGCAAGTGACGCCTACACGATAGTGAACAAAGTTCTCCAGCAACAAACGCCATCAGGAGTTGTCGACCAGCAGCTTGTGGATGATATTTACCATCGTATCATTCAAGCTTCGCCAGACTTGGCCGACGTGGAGAACGTAGATGAGGAGAAAGTGCAGCGGTTATGTCTGGAGGAACTAGAAGAGTATACTCGTCAATGGGACCACCTCGAATCTTCACGTCCGCAATCAACCGAGTCTTTTCACACCGAAGCGAAACCGTATTCAGGCCATGACACAAGCAAAGAGCAGTATGACAACACCCCTGAATCTCCGGATATTCACTCTTCAAGGCAAGTCACCCCGCCGCCGCCGCCATTGCCACCATCGAGCTACCGGACGCATCATAGATACAAATCCAGCTTGGACAGTGCGGAAGACTGGGCTGAGACGTCGCCATCAGTCGGTGATTGGATGCAATTTGCTCTGAAATCACCGACTGAAGAAAGACAACCCTCTGCTTTGGCCCACGAAACTTTTGCAGACGCTGGATCAAGAATCTCGACGACCGAGACATATCAAGGCGTAAAGCAAAAGGAACTTGACCAGCAGCCGGACGATTTCCTACCCGTGGGAGCTGAAATTAGCATTCCACGCCCACCATCCCACTCTCCACCACCTCCTCCAATTGCGAAGATGCCTACCATTGATCAGACCTCCTGGTCTGCCCCAACCGGCATAAGACCCCCCATTCCCCAAACAGCTCCCCCGGCTAGGCCACTCACAGCATTGTCTCAAATGTCTGCCAGATCAAGCATAGATACACAGACGATACCGTCCAGCTCGCATAATGCTAGGCCATCTCTGGATGACCAGAGTCCCGAGCAACGCCGCCTGAAACAAAGAAGACACGTCCTCAAGGAGTTGGTGGATACCGAGTACACATACGAAAGAGACATGAGAGTCCTGTGTGATATCTATAAACAAACTGCAACTGCCGCCATAAATGACGAGGATATCAAGATTATATTCGGCAACGTCGATCTCGTCCAACAGTTTTCCAAAGACTTCCTGGCTTATTTGAAGCAGGTTGTCAGGCCAGCTTACATAATGGAAAGGTCTGATCGACGAAAAGACGGCAATCGGACCTCCACAGTACAGAGCTCTGCAGCCTCCATTGACGGTGTTGGCGAGCTGACTGACCTTGAGCGAGACGAACTCACAAGGGTAGGCACCGCATTTGAAGCGTCAATGGGCGACATGGAGAAAGTATACACCGACTATATTCGAACGCGACATGCTGCAAACAAGAGGCTGGAGGTCCTGCAGTCGTCGGCCGCTGTGCGAGAGTGGCTGAAAGAATGCAGCGAGAATTCAAGCGACATTACCAATGCTTGGAGTTTGGATGCACTTCTTGTCAAGCCAATACAGCGCATCACCAAGTATCCTCTCTTACTGAACCAGCTGCTAGAGGCGACTCCGAATACTCATCCTGACGTTGAATTTATCCGAAAAGCTGCGGTGGAGGTGACTGAGGTCAATGTACGGATCAACGAAGTAAAGAAGCACACTGAGCTTGTTGATCAAGTCCTCAACCGCAAACGGAAAGAGTCTGATGTTCGAAATGGCTTGACCAAGGCGTTTGGTCGGCGTGCAGAAAAGTTAAGGCAACATGTCGGCATCAATGAAATACACGAGGATCCAGAGTATACCAAACTCAAGATCAGCTATGATAACAACATTGCGCATCTTTTCTTGGTTACTAAGGACTGTCAAGGCTATATCGAAGAGATCACCAAGTGGGTTAATCGCCTATGTGAGTTAGCCGCAGCCGCCGAGGCATGGGTTGATGTTGGACACACGAACCACGCACAAGCCGAGAGCAAACTTCGACAATTTGCTATTGTCGTTCGAGGCGTCAATTCAATTGCACTTCCCGACCACAATGAGCAAGTCATCAAACGTGTTGTCCAGCCCATGGAAAAGACGGCAACAATGCTAGAAAGGTTTCGATCAGACTCCAAAGGACTGATCCAAAAGCGGGACAAGCGGCTTCTGGACTATAATCAATTCAAAAACAAGAAAGACAGAGGTGAAAAAATTGACAAGAAGATGACTGAGCGCATGGAACAATGGGAAGCTCTGAACCTCGAAGCCAAAGAGAGAATGAAGCGACTTCTGCGATCAACGGCTGACCTTGTTCACACATGTCAGGCCAACCTTATTCAACTGCACCTCAATTGGTTGGCCATGTGCAGGCAAAAGTTCTCGGCGGCAATGGAGATACCCTTGAACAAGCTGGAGAAGGCTGATATCGTCAAAGACTGGCAAGAAGACTTTGATTTCCAAGAAGCGACTGCCTTGTCCCTCAGCATCTGCAATGGATCATTGCTCGCAGAGGCAGTGAACATGGTTTCGTTCTTAACTCCTGGGTCGACCTTGATGGGTGACGAGTCCCCCCGCCAACCGTCATGGAACAGCGCACCAAAGCGATCGGTGTCAACATCTGACGACATGCCGCCGTTACCATTAAAGGACCACTATCACCGGAACAGCGGAGGTCCGATGAGTTCTCAAAGCGATGACCACACGGAATGGAGTTCTTCCACATTTGCCAATGGGCGCATCCGGACGGGCTCAGCTGCATCTGGACGAATTCCCAAGACTCCGGAGACGGGAAGTCGAGGTGTTTCTGCGTCTCTTCATACTATCAATAGCACGAATGTGTCTCGACCAGGAACTAGTCCAGGACTGTCAGCAGACAGCACCCAGCCAGCTCCTCGGCTAAGCTTCGAAGCGCCATCTCCATCACTTGGCGAGTTATTAACCGAATCTCCCATGGCAGTGCGACACGCATCCTCGTCTACATTTTACTCGGCGAATCCAGGACCAAGTCAGTCACATCCCCAACTACCGACCACAAGTGGAGCAAGTGTTTTCTCCTCCGCAATGCCTATGGAAGAGAACCCGGAGACGGAGACAGCATCCATGAACCCGGAGCCACGAAGAGAACCCGGTGTTCTATTCACCGCGGCCAGTGTCTACGAGTTCAATATCGACCGCTCGCGGCAGCAAGGCGGATTCCGCTACCTCACGTACGTGATTGGGGAGATCTTCGACATTATTGCCGAACATGGAGAACTGTGGTTGGCGATTAACCAAGACGATCCGACGAGAGAAATTGGCTGGATCTGGAACAAGCATTTCGCCAAACTTGCTGAGTAAGATGATGGCCGAGGTTTACAACGTTGTGCCTCATTGACATCTTGGATAAACCGATTGTGAGTATACGTGGCTATATCAGGAACCGTCTACGACCTCTATAGGAAGGTGCTCGTGCCTTTCGATCAAGGCGGGGTGTGGTTTAACGAGCGCAGAACTTGCCAGGTGTCGATGACGGGCATTTCTTTTTGTTTCTTTTTAGTTTCTTTGTCGTTCAAGCGTTCTAGCGGATTCAAAGGACGGTCGGCGTTGACATGTACCACAAAAGCAAAAAGGGATGGGAGCAAATGTACAGTATTGTCAGAAAGGCCATGACTTGATGGAAGGCAGCCCGAGATGCCAGGGATTGAAGGAACCTTGTAGTTGGACACGCTCAACACTGAGGAGAGAAAATAAAAAGCACACCTGAAAGACGTGAATAGTCTGCTTCCTCCGCCCTTAAGACGAATGTCGTACATGTGGCAGATATACCGAATATGTGTGTTGTGTGTATCGGGATTTGGAGCCGCCCAGAAGGTGTGGAGCATGGAGCCTGGTGAGCCTGACGAGGCTGCTGCTGCGGTCGGTGCAGGCAAAAGTGACGTACCGAGGGAGTCCACCGCGCAGAAGATGGTGGAACGGAACGAGACTCTATCTCGCTCAACAACACAACACTTTGGCCGCGAGAGGCGCTCGACGCGCACAGCCCTTTTTTAGTGTCACTTTATATTAGTCGTTCTACCTACCCTCCCATGGATTCAGTATGAAACCTCGTCGACCCGGCACTGACTGGTGAGCCGTGAAGCCATCGCCAATCCCGGCCCCCGCAGCCTCCCGCTTTACTTCTCGACGACGTCTATCTTCACTACTCTGTTAGCCTTGAGCAAACAATTGGAAAGTCGACCAAAATGCCTGATATCCATCCATTTGGAGGTCGAATGAGCCGAGCGTTTGGTAGATCGGTAGGTGCACAAACCAAGACAGACTTCTGCCTCACATTTCTGCGGCCCCGACCCCCACCATGTCCGCATGTTGCTGCTGTACCTCGCACATGTCATTTCAAGAGGTTGTATAAGCTAATTGACACGCGACGAACATGAAGCTTGCTCCGGAAGATGCATACTTGAGCTGTAAGTAGCTTTGATCCCACTCACAATTTTGTTCTGACCACGGCTGTACAGACTACGATGTCCGATGTCGGTGTTCCTTCGTCCCGTTTAACTGTGCTTGAATGCTCTCCCACAACAAAGAACACCTGCTGAGACAGAGAGAGGACACAGTGACAAGAGAAGATATATCAGTGCTAAAGAATGATTGGTTAACGGACAATGTATGGTTGTGTCCAGTGTTACGATAACTAGGCTGCTGAGGCTGACGGTCTTGGTGCCTGTACAGGTCATCTCATTCTGGGAAGAGTAGGCACATCCCACAACCTGTCAAGGAGAGACATAAGACCTGACAAGCACGTGCTACAAGGTATCTGGAGCGAGAATATCTCACCAACTACAAGCACTCGCATATTGTCCTCCTCCGCCCTACTATGTCCTTCATGCTCATGCAGACCCCGGATCCTAGGACCATAAAGGTATCTCTACCGTCAAACATGGTCCGTTTGCGATCTCTTCACTCACCTTGAATTGCCTCGTAGGACGCTCTCCCGGACTTCACCAACGTCACCCATATATTCCTCCCCATCAACGACAATCACTCTGCGTCCATCGCCGAGGGCGGCACTCACTGGTCACTGCTTCTAGTCTCCATCGTTGATGGCGTCGCATTTCATTATGACAGCATGCCCCCCGGAAACCAGAATGAAGCACACTATGTCACCCAAAAGTTCTCGAGACTCATCAACAGACCTCTTCGGTTCATCCAATTGACCGACTCGCCGTTACAGGACAACTCGAGTGATTGCGGGGTGTTTGTCTGTCTTAATATGAGGCACCTGCTCCTGAAAAGGCTCCTGATGGTCAGAACGGATGCGAAGGTTAGCATGAGTCTGGGCGGGAGGAGGGTGGATGCCTCGGCCGGGAGGAAGGAGATGCTCCGCATTATCGAGGAGTTTCGCAGAGAGGGCGAGAGAAGAAGGTCGTGAGTACCCGACTTGTTCTACCCTGCTGCCACGTCTGGCTTTCTTCTTCCCACTTCCGAGTCACCCCTTACGTCAAGGTCGGTTATGGCGATGGTTAACGCAATCGTTGCAGGATAAGCAATTCTCCTCACCCGGGCCGAAAGTCAAAATCACCGCCGCGAATAGACTCGCCGAACACGAGAGCAAAAAGCAACGAACCAATGAATTGATCTTGATACGGGGGCTTGACACGACACGAAGAGACGACTTCAAAGCATGTATTACCTGGTTGATAAAGTACAGACAACTACAGACTTGAGATCCGGGAGAGATTGTGTTGTGGCGCAAGCATATGTAATAAGGAGAAATCGATAAGGTTGTCCATGAACCGCGTCCTAAGGAGTGGTGGGTTAGTGCCACGTCTCACGGTATGTTACGATATCGGCTGAGACGGTCAGAGACGATGGTCCGGTTCCTGTGGAGTGGAAGGCATTTTGAGATGATGGACCCAAGACGACATCGGCCCGTCAGGCGCGATGGCGAGGCTGGCCCATGTGGTTCGTTCCTGATGCTCGCTCGGGCAGACAGATCCAGTCTCCTCGAGTATCAACGTCGGTCCGTCTTTGGCAAGGTCTTTCTATCTAGCGCGACCTCCCGCAAGGAATTCTCCCATATGACTTGACCTATCTTCCGACTCGCTGCCGACGCGCGCCCTCCAGTGTGGCCCAGCTTGGAGGAACGAGGAGAAGGCTAAGAATACGAGGAAAAGTGCAATTTTGTCAATGCATGCTGTAGACTGCTGATCTTGGTCTCTACATTCTTGTCTGGTTATAGCTCTGCACGCGTTATTCGAGATCGCCGTTTATACGAGGATTGATGTTGACACAAGCCATCCCGTTTTTATCCTGGAGTTTGAATCTCAATCATTTCCGGACGGTTCTGTATTAATTCGGGTCTCTGCTTGAGACGCCGCATCTCCCAGAGCCCGTTTCCCTTCTCCCAACACAGCACTTGGATTTGCCCTCCTTCCGCTCCTCCCAACAGGAGCCTTCGACCGTCCGTTCTCTCTACCAGAGTTCCCTCGCAGCACTAAAGGGTATAGATGAAATCCGGCCTCAAATCCCCTAATTTGTCAATCTCTTCCTCAGTCTTGCCCTCCACCCAGACATCCCTTTCACCCGCCCTACGCTTGGCATTCTCTCTCTTCAACAGGATATGCTGCAGAATACTGCCACCTAGGAGGAAGATGGCTTCGTAGCCGAGAACCACTGCGTGGCCAGGTCGGAATCGAGGCTTGTCTTGTGCTCGGTAGATATTGCTAGACATAATTCCTATTCCATGCTGTCAGTACTTGTTATATGTGCTTTTAGTTCACTCTTGTTGCTCCGGAGAAACTTTCAGAACACTCCAGGGTACGTTCAGGGGAAATTCCTCCCGTATGTAGGGCATATAGGACTCGATGCAGAGAAGGATGGGGGGAGAAGCTATTCCACATACCGTTCAGGTTGCCCCACCCGATCACAAATCCCAAGGCAATACCACGCTTATAGACACCCTCAACATTGTTCGCCGTCCAGGTGATCGTATTCGGAATGCATGGGTATATTCCCATGGCGCCCAAGAATGTGCCTGCATATTGGACGTGCGGTACTCCCGAGCCCAGAAGCATGGCGAAACCGGCTATACCAAACAAGGCCATCACCATGTTGCAGTAGCCTAATTGGCAACGTCAGTATAAGAGAGATTGGAAAGATATGAGAGAGTGGAGAGCGGGAAAGAAGGATGAACATACCTCTCATCCTGGTCCTATCCGCAATAAAACCAACGAAAATCGTTACCACGGCGGCCACAGCATAGGGCGGTACGCTAAGCAGCTGGGCGTGTATACTCTTATAACCCATTTGCTGAATGATGGTGGGAATGAAAAGAGAAAATGCATAAAGCGCGCCATCACAGCCCATGTAAATCATGGCGCCTGTCCAGGTCTTCCAGTCCTTGGCCGCCGCCCAGAAGTACTGCATCTTGAATGCTTCATGCTCAGCGCTAGATTGTTTGTCAAGTTTCAGGCGTCGAATCACACGACGCCGGTCATCGTCGCTGAGAAACTTGGCTTCGTCGGGGAAATCATGAACCTACAATATGTCAGCGCGTGGGCGTCCTGTCCAGACTGATGGCATGAAACTTGCCATGAAATATGACAGCCCGGCAACGACAATCGTCGCAAGACCTTCGAGGATAAAGATCCATGCCCAACCCGGCTTGCCTCCCACACCATCCATCTGGACGATGGCCGCGGCTAATAAGCCACCGAATGAACCAGCAAGAGCCGCCGCTGAGAAGAAGATCGCCGCTCGAATACCAAACTCAGACCGCTTGTACCAACAAGACAGGTAGTAATTGACGCCTGCGATGGGGTCAGAGAGAATCTCGAGAAGATCTAACATTTGACGAACCAGGAAAGAGACCAGCTTCACTCAACCCAAGGAACCATCGCGCTGCCATGAGACCGGAGAAATTGTGGACAAGACCCATGGTGGTCATGCAGATACCTAGGAAATTGAGACGCTGGTCAGCATGGCTAGAATAGAAATGAAACACCAGTCCAATATCGACGGAATCGCAACATTAGTGCGCATTTAGCTAGTTCCAGCGTACTTACCCCATAGGATCATGATCGTAGGAAGGAATCTCGATGGCCGGAACCGTTTCAACAAAATCTGTGTCAAAGGCTCAAACAGGGAATACGAAATAAAAAATATGGTTAAAGTGTCATTGTATTCGTTATTGGTCAGGTTCAAGTCTTCTTGAAGGCCGTCGATTTTGGCGTTTCCAATATTGGTTCGATCCAGGAAGGAAATCAGGTATAGCAAGCAAAGCCATGGGATCAACTGAATGTCGAGTTTCCAGAGCAATTTGCGATCCTAAAGACAATCAGCAATTCGTCTCCCAGAGGAAAGAAACGATATCCGCCTACAATCCGCTTCCGTTCTTCTTCACTGAGGCCTTCATCTGGATCTGGGACGGTGATAACATCAACGGGAACACCGCCTTCGACGTGTTTCTCGTTCTCTGACGGAGAATGAGCATCGTCGGAGTCGGAGACTTTGGGATTAGTTTTTTCCATGGCTGTAAGCTACAACAGTTGCTTGGTGTGGAGTACAACGATGAAGACACAGGTATAGTATATATGGACGGGATGTCCAAGTGTCAAAGGAAAGGATGGATGGTCGCACAGACCTTACCGAAGGATATTTTTAATCTGGAGCAACGGAGGACGACCCCTTACCGGTGGATGGTCCGCAGGATGCCTTCCGGGGTAGATATTCTAGTTCAGAAGGACGAAAGACGTCAGGCTAGGAGGGCATCCTTGCATGGTCATGCTGTCCTTCCTCATGGGGTTCTAGTTCCATGAGTGACGGCTTGGAGCAGTGGCTCGTGGTGTGAAGAACGTGGATGGTAAACATGCGTCGATCGCCGTGTGGAACCATCATTGGAATGTGACCAGCCATTGACGTCGATCCCGCGAGATGTAGTATCCAAGTCATTCTAAGCTTCCCGCTCCCAAGACGCGCTAGAAGATACTGGACAAAGCTCCCACTGGCTCCTAAGCTTCAACGCTCAAGCGACTGGTGGATGTTGTCAGCCAAGGCAAGGCGGGGAATCCAAGAGGGCCAACGGTCAATTGCCGAGTGGACGATGTGGGCATGTCAGCGTCCACGATATTGCCACAGGCATTGCGAAGATCAAGGTCGCTGCCATTTCGATGCTTGCTACCTCCCGCTCCGCTTAAGGATTTAGGCGGAGAGTCAGTCGCTGCACAGATGATTCGCTCCAGCAGGTGCTTTCATGTGCTTCAGCGACGTCGGCGGAAAGGAAGGGCTTTCCAGTGTCACGTCGCCTGATATTCTTATGCATGTCCTGTGCGACTATCGGCATTTGTGGACACGGGCCATCGGCGCTCTCTGCCGGAAGCTTCAGGGCCCTCAGCCATCTGAGCGTCGGCCATTCTGGAGAAAGACTCCGATCTTCCTCAACCACAGCTCTTTTCTTCTTTGAGATTGTCACATCGAGGGGGCTGGCTCATGAGCTACTCAGTGCGCGCCTTGGACGAAGGGTTTCTTATAGCTCTGGTATCGCCGGCGAGGGGGCTACCGGCGCAGGGAAGAGCTTGATGACCTCAAACGACAAGGAAATCGATTTTCCCGGTAGGCTCGCAGTGGCTCGCTATGGACACGACCAGGCCCAGTGCCCTTGTGAATGCTGGAAAGCAATAAGTTCAGTGCTGTGTTGACGGACCCTGAAAATGCCTTCATTTGGGGATAGTCGACTAGGAGCATCGAACGAATGTGGAAGACACGCCTCCGGTAGGCGAAAGAGAGAGGAGAGTGACCTCGGGATGAATGCTGTATGATTAGAGTCTTCAAGAGAGGGCTGGCACTGGGTCAATCATCCACGGGGAGAGAAATCTTGGTAGGTGGGTGCTGTCAACAAGGAGTTTTGCAGGTGCGGTAGCGAAGCTGAAGCGGTGCAGGCAAGGTTGGTCCTTCCTCTGATCTCTCACAATCACACGCCCTCAACCTTTTCCCCTCCTGTAGCCTCACCGTCCTCTGTCTATCACTCACTCACTCACCTAGTTCCTAGACTTCCGTGTCTTGTGCATTATCCCTTGGTTCTCTTCACTTCTTTCCATGTGCATCGTCTTCGCTTTCTGACTTGCGACCTACCATGGCTTTGAACAAGGCAACTGAGCGCCTGTTCAAGTACCCTCCCATGGAGCGTCAAGACCTCAACCAGTCTCAACTGGGCAGCTTCAAGTTCACTCCTGTCGATCCTGTCAGCAACATTCAAACACTCACTCAGTCAGCAAAGCATTACCTTGAACAACAGCTCAGCCGGAGGCTCCCTCGAGGAGCAGCACCTCTTGCGGCCGGCTCTTCACAGAACAAACCAAACGCGTTCACTGACATGTCACCTGAAAAATCTGTACCCTACTCAAATCCTTCTTCGGTCGACGCCAGCTTCTTCAACAAACACATAAAGCCCGACCTGGGTGACTCTCGTCTGCGACTTGGTCCTGCCGCTCTCCGTTCGGCTGTTGAAGGTGCTGCAAGTCCGACAAAGAGCGTCTCCGTGACTCCGGTGCAACAGGAACTCGATGCCACTCTGAGGCAGCACCAACAAACTAACTCTTTCAATGTAAGTGTGCATGCCTGTAACCATGCCCATCTTACTGACAGCTTGTGTAGGCTCCAGAACTGGTGTCGTCCCAGCCTCAAGTCCCACTCATGGATCTAAAGTCTGCCATTTTTACACTAGATGGTGGTCTTGTCGGTCAAAGCCGATCTGACTCAACTTCTTTCACTGAAACATTATGTGTGGCCCTCGCGAATGAGCAGCGAGCTCACAATGCGACCAAGGCAGCCTTGGCCGAAAAGATCGACCGATGCATTTTGATGGAGAGCCAGATCAGGAGAAACAGACAGCAAATTACAAGTATGACAACCACGATCAAAAGTCTAGGTGCCATCGTCAAACACAATGCCAACGGGAGTAAGGGCAAGCCTCCTGTTGCATGGTGGTATGAGACCGACGTGTCGGAAGACAATGACGAAGTAGCGTTGAGAGAGTTTTACCGTGAGTATCAAAAAGTCAAAGATGCGGCCAAGGAGAAAGATCAGTACAAAGAAGAGGAACAGCACACAGAAGAAGAACGTCCCGGAACTGGTGTCTCGGCCAAGAAAGACACGACCGGTGTGGTTGTCGCGCCATCTAGCGATGTCGTCGATGATGCGGAGCTCTACAATCTTGACCTGCTGAAGAAGCCCACATTCGATAACTCTGCCGACTCTGTTTTACGCAGAACTCTTCGGAAGCACTTCTCCATTGATGACAACGCTGACGACGGCAAACCCCCAATGACTCCTACCAGACGTCGCCCGAGTATCAATAGGCTAATCGACATCTCCCCAGAGTCGTCTGGAGAAGCAAAGGAGAAGGACAAAACTGAACGGGAGTATGACATGGGCACCCCAAAGAAGGAAACCCTGGTTGACAACTCTGCAAATGACAGTCAACAACGACTGAACGCTTCAACAACGAACCCAAGTCAAGTCCGCCTTTTGGTAAGTGAGAGCCATGCCTCTCTGGTGATTGCTGGCTGACAAGGCTAGACCGCGCAAAATCCTGTCCTTGAGCTGGTAAGTGCCATTTATCTGGGCTATGGAATATTGCACTAATTGTCACCTAGCCTCCGGCAATCGTCGCGAAGTACGGGCAGAGACCTGTTGAGCCACCGGCACAAGCCTTGGAAGAAAAGGTCGGTTCAATCCTGCCACGGTCAGAGCTTACTGATCCGTTACAATAGTCAAATGGAGTACGCTCACATCTAGCAAAGGCCGAGGTGTTCTTGCGTAAAGATACACTAAGCAAGCCGCCCTCGAACGACGAGCACTATGGCAAATTCAGCCCGCCTTCTTCCATCGCCAACGACCACAATGACCCCTCTGCCACTGATATTGTCTCTCCTATTGCAGCTCACTCAAGATCTCGCATCACTGTTCAGGTCGGCGACAATCTTCATGGGGAGCCGAAATGGTTGATCAACAAAGACAATCCAATTTTTGAAAGTGAGCAAGAAAAGATGCAAGCTATTGTTGAATGTGGGAATGCCTGGCGCCAAAACAGCCCTTTCATTCACCATCCAGTTCGCTACCTTCCTGAGGATGCCGCTGGAACCGCTGACGCGTATCGCACTGTTATGGTCGACGCCATTCCGGTTGGGAGCACTATTCCAGATGTTCTGAGTATTGTCAAGGGCGGTTCCTTGGAGTCAATCCAGCTATTTCCACCCATCGGCAAAGTGACAACCGTCATGACTGCTCGAATCGTGTTCAATTATGAAGAATCTGCGCATAACATGATCAAACATCAAGAAGCTAGATCGGGAGAAGCTAAAGATGGGAACCGATTCAAAATAAATGGTCTTGCTGTTCGTTGCTGGATGCCCACAGATCCCACCTATCCCCGAAACGATGAGCTCGAACGCAAAGTTTTGGGCAAGCCCGGGGCTTCTCGAATCATCCTCCTCGATAACATCGACGAATACACCTACAACTTGATCCCATACAAGATCAAGCCGCCTCATGCTCAACACGTCATTGAGTACAGCTACACACTTGATGGCTGCGTATCGATTGAATTCACCGACGTCAAGACTGCCATCATGGTGATGGATATGTTGAGGGGAGATAGAGATCTCTGGGATGCTATCTTCCAGTACGATACTGACTATACATGCACACCGTACGTCAAGGGAGAGCCGATGGGCAATTGAAATGACACTGCCAGGCGGAAACGAAAACCGAGAAGTAGGCCTAGATACACTTCGAATCAACGACCAAATCGCGCGAGAGCTACAAAATGAACATGCAAGTGGCCATGGGCTACCAGAGATACCTGAAGATACGGAGCTGAGCAGAAACGAGCAAATGCATATCCTTGAATCAATTTCCAGATGACATATTGTTCGTGCTCTTCTCGTTGCCCAACATGGATATAGGCAGCCTCACTTGACAACAGTGACCTTCGAATAATGACTACTAACCTTTCAGCTTGACCTCCCGGTGAGCCCAAACTATCCGTAGCAATCAGTGAACCTAGTGTTTTGGTTGCCTTCCTCCTCACACGGAAATGGTGCCCAGCCTCGTATTATGCCTGTGGCATTTGACACAGTTTGACGGATTCCCTTCCGCCCGTTTTCGATTAGGGTCACTTTAAACTCTGGCCGTTGAGATCGACTACAACTCGGAAAACGAAGCCAAAGAAGTCGATTGCTCAAGTATCTCTTGTTGATCTAAGGTTCCCCCGGTCAATGTCTCGTATCCGTTTCATCGGCATTCCCCTGGCTACACCTTGCACAAAATGGCAATTTTTTTTCCCTGCACAAATCTAAAAGCTGTACTCCGCACACCATTCCGCCCTCGACTTTTGTGATGTTTGATCAGTTACGTCTCGTGGAATGCGTTACGCCATTGCGATAGCGGATAGTTGGTTCTACCCGAAATGGAACAAGGTCTCTCCTTTCTTCCCCTTCTTTCCTTTCCTTTTCCCTGCCGAAGCCACTTCTCCATCGTCGGCGCTGTCACCAACTCCACCGCCCGGGCGACCTGCACTGGCGTCTCCGGTTGCCTGTGCCTGTGCTGGTGTGGGGGCCAACCCTCCGTTTCCCCATGGATTCACCGTAGTGGTGGTCCCCGAGCCGGAAGGTGAGCTGAGCCATCTGACCGAGCCCCGCGTGTTGAAGCCAGCCATCATAGTGTTTGGTTTCGGCGCAGCGGGCAACGAGGGAAAGGCATCCTCCGTTGGGTGCGGCGGGGCAGTGTTACGGGTGTTGGTTTTCTGACGAATCGTGGACGCAGCCGTAGGTGCTGCTAGGCGTACGGCGCTCTGGGTGGTGTTGGAAACCGTGGGCGCGGATGTATTGCCCCATGCAGGGGGTGCTGATGGTGCATTTGCGCGCGGAGTGCTTCTATCTGCGCCTGACAACGCGGGAAATGGATCTTGACTTGTTCCCCGAGCCAAGGCATTACCCAAGAAACCTTGTCTTGACACCGCCGAGCGAGATGACTGGGCTGTACTCTTCTTGAGCGTTAACACCCGTCGACCAGAACTTGCAGGACCACTCGAAACGCCTGGGAGAGTGCCACTCGGACCGGGGAGGCTGGGATAATCCTCGTTGATACTGCGCCAATTGTTCCACGCCTGCAGCAGAGCCTGACGCTTCGTCTCGTCTTCGTACAAATCTGCCAATTCGCGGATGAGCTTTCCCAGTTCAGAACTTGGACAGTCGAAAAGAGAAAAGAATGAGTCAATGAGATTATTCGCAGAGCTAGTGCCGCTGCGGTAAGCGGAGACATGGGTTCGGAATTGAGAAAGTTTACTCTTGTCGTTCTTGAGGAGCGATGTGGCACGCTCAGTTACTGCCTGGTGGCGCAGTGCTCGTGCTTGTTCTTGAGGCGTCATGGCCGCAGCTGGTATGGTCCTGTCCTCGACAGTGAGATTTTCAACAGCAGGTAATGATGGAGTTGGTTGCGGAGAAGTTGGCTGACGGCGGGCTACGGGTGCGGTTTGCGTCAGTTGGCCCCCAAAATTCCTGCTCGACACTGATTGAGAGCTTTGTATCGCAAGTTGACGTTGATATGCTAGTTCTGCACGGCCAAGTGGCTGAGCACTTGAAACGGGCAAGGGCTCAGCATTGGGATCACGTCCCCTTCCAGCGCCACGATTTTCCCGATTCCATCTTCGAGGTAGTGGGTAAGGTTCTCGGAGAGCAAAACCGGACAAATCGACAAGTCGAGCATCCCTTCTAGCATCCTTAGAAAGCCCATTCGGGTGTTCGGAAAGTTGATGAGCCTTGAGATCCATCTCCGACTCAAACACATTCGTCTTGTTGGCTTGACATTCCGCGTCCAGGCAGACAAAATGGTCCGCCGCGAAATGTTTCTCCAGTGCTTGATAATTGAGGTAGTATTGTGGATTCCTTCCGCCATTGCGTCTATCGCAAATGTGACACCTCTCATGTTTCTCTCGGCAGTGAGCATAAAGCTCATCATCTCCGTAGAATCTTTGTTTGCAAAACCCGCATTCAGGATGTCCTTTAAAGCCAGACTGGTCAACAGCTCCTGGGTTATCGTCGCCGAATTTCTCGTGCTTGCGTAACTCGCCGAGCGTGAACAAGTCGTGCTCATGGGTGAAGACTTTCTTGTTTCTCGTGCATAAATCGCACATTACTTTTCCATGCTTGGTTTTGACATGGCGATGTAGGTCCGGCCAGCCGAGGCAAGCAACATCACAATCTTTGTCTGGACAATTATACCGAAGTAGGAGTATGGTATCTTCTAAGATGATGTCTTTTTCGTACTTGATTCCCAAATTATCGTCGATCTTGACGAACTCGTTGTCCTTGAAGTCTTCGTACCGTTTCTCTGCGTTGTCGGTAAAGATCACGAAGGGTGCTTCCGTCTACATTCTGGTCAGTTTGCTCCTTGGAGAGAATGCCCGGGGAAAGGCTTACCCTGCAGTGCGCGCAAGCTCGTGTCTTATAAAGTGCCCTCAGCCTCAAGGAGCAAATGTGGCAGGTTTGATGGTTGCAAGGTGCAATGGAGACATGTTCGATGGGACTGGCGCAGATAAAGCACAGTTCCGCTTCGTCTGCGGGTCCAGGCTCATTGTCATCACCCCGAGGATGAGGTTCACTTGAATCGCCTTCAATTTTTGAGGCAGCTCCGGTCAGGCGCGCACCGGAGCCGCCTCCAGGTGGTCTTCCAGAAGTGGTTTCCGCTGTAGATTGTGGAGACAATGGTGTTGAAGATGTGGCGTCTCTCCCATGTTCTCTAGCTCTTCCTCTGCCTCCTCTTGAACTTCGTCTTCCACGATTTCCAGCCCCTCTACCTCGATTGTCGGGCGCGTTGTGATCGTAGGATCCAGTGCGGTTGTGCTGATTTGAGCGATTGCCTCGGCCTCTATGTGCTCCTCGCGGGGAAGAGGTTGCGTCGGTGGCGGTCGCCGTGTCCGACATATTGTAATGTGTGAAAATCGAGGCGTCAGCAAGGCGTCGCAGTTTAGAAAGCCCGCAGAAGTCGGTGATCTGGCAGCGTTGAATTGATGTCTTCGGTGACGAACCCCAAGCTATTTGGCTGCCAAAATAATCCCAAGGTATAATAATAATAATATTAGTGGGGTAACAACGGTGACTATTAGTACCTATGCCTTGCCGTGTTAGCTGGGTGTCGGCGGACTTCCAACGGCATTCAGGGACCCAACGAATGAAGTAACAGCTCTTGACCGCTCTACTGTGTACAAGTACATGGACTTGTACCATCAGTTCTCCACAGACGCTTTTTCGAGACAGGGTTCATTATGGTAACGCGCCTTGGGAATCAAGGCCTGTCTCGCACATTCTAGCTCATAGTCGATTCACCGTGAGTCATGATGCAATTCCCTCAAGACTGCAAGCGGGACAAAGCAGCAAGGCGTTTCTGAAGTGCTTTAGTCAGCGAGGCTGGGCACTCCTGACTGCCCACTCGCGGACGGAGAGCCACACATGCCAGACTAGCAATCGCTCAAGTCCAGCTCCTGTAAGTCATTCTATCTGATATTTCCATATCTGCTTTGATCACTTGGCCTTCGTGTCCCAGAGCCATCTCTGAACGCATGCAAGCAAATCAAACCTTGTCCAAAGATTTTGCCCGATCCTAACCGTAATTGTCCCTCTGTGAGCCCAACGCCCAACTTTCGCTCCGAATCCTGTGCCGCTCGAATTGGCTTATTAATTCACTGAGGAATAACGCAGAATTGGAATTTTGATGTCCTCAGCCCTGCCCAAACGTTGTTTCTAAGTGTTCCATCAAGTCTTCATTCATCAGGGTTATACATTTGCTGCGAGATCAACTTTGTCATGGTGAACATGTGGACCTTGTCTTGCTTGAACACTTCTCGCATCCTAGCGTCGCAGATGATGTATCGCTTGTCGCTGGGATCTTGCAGACCATTCGCTTTGATGTACGCCCATATGCGTTTGGTAGTCTCCGGCCGTGACAGCTATTTCTAGATTTAGCATAAGCGGAACTGGACGGCAATGAGATACTCACCTGCGTTGCCCCATCGAACAAATTCGACAAAGCTTGCGAAAGATTGAGCGGTTTCTGCATCTCGTTAGTGCTAGTAAAAACTTACGGGACTTCAACGTACGTGAAAACCCGTTTCTCGCTTCGGTTTTTGCTTGCGATCCTCTCCCTCGAGGTCCGAGTCATCTGATCCAGTCACACGCTCCTTCTTCGACCTCTTCTTCTTCTTGACAGGAGCTGTCTTTCGGTTCACTCCACCACGGGTGGGCCGAGCCATCTTGTCTTCTTCGGCTTGTAGGCGAGCAGCGTATGCAGCATCCGCGTCAATGACAGATTTCTGTTTTTTCTTCGGAGGTTGTGCATCTATGACATCCGAAATATCATCACTTTCTGCCTCACGTTTGGTTGGTGAGCTCGAGGATTGTGCAGAAGAATGATGGACGCCATTAGGCTGAGGGGAAGGTTCGACCGCTTCGGCCGTCTCGACTGATGGGACAACGGTAGTCTCGCCATTTCTCTTCGCATTTATGAGATCAAATCTCTCGCCAATCAGCTCCCTGATGGCATTCTGCGCACTGTCAGTCCGTGCTTGTCCCCCGCGTAGCGCAGCTCCCACCTTCTGCGGCGTAATGTCATATTCGACTTGATCCTGTATGCCTTGCCGAATTTTCTTAGTCGTGATAGTTGTGAGATCAGCACTCTCGAGGATCGAATCAATGATAGTGATAAACCGCGCGCGGACCTCCGGTGGCACTGCCGGTGGTTAGTATGGTCAAGTCCAGCAGTGCAGTTTAGAGCGACCTACACGACATGGCGATTGAAATAAGCAAGAAATGAGGTCGAGATTCGATCAAGCGGGCAAAACACGACTTAGCGAATGTAGAGGTTGGATGCGGTCAGGCCACAGTCAGAGAGTAGTCATGCGCCATCCGCTCCCTCCACCTCGACCAAAGTGCATCAACGCTGCCAGAGTTGCGCGAAGCAACCACCGACCGGTCAAAAGTGTGAAAATTATGATTGTAAATAGGTTATTAGAGGAGTCGCATCAGTCAATAACGAGCCAAGAAGATCAGGGACGGTGATGCACCCAAGGAAATATAGAAGAGGTGCTAACTATGGGTAAACTTGGTGGCTTGTAAAGGTGCAGTGAAGATGCGGGATCGACTGCGCGAGGGCACATGACTAAGGCAATTCACGTGACAACGAAATCTTGGCGATATCCACAATTCGAGATCTCCCACTTCAAGTTTCGTGCCGGTCGTTCGTCTGCGCCTTGAGGATTCATTGCAGTACGTCGACGACATCTCCATAGTGAGCCATTTCACCCCAGTGGTCGGAAAGCAGTATCGCAACCATGGCTCCAGGATTCGACCAACTCTCCGATCACGACTTCGAGGATGAAGTAGACAACATCGACTTCAGTGACCTCAAGGAACGATATGATGTGCGCATGGAAGAAGGCCTCGATACCTTTGTCGTATGTCTCGGTGCAAAAAGGGGTTTGAATGCTATTCTGACTAGCTAGGTTATCGATGGCCTCCCAATCGTGAACCAAGAGCAAAGATCGAAACTCATCAAGTTCTTGCTCAAGAGACTAAACTCGGTTGGGCGCATAAAAGATGGCGAAGAATCAGTCTTCATGCCCATGAATGACCAAGGAATGTCTGAAGGGTATGCCTCCTTCTTATCCATTCTATATTGTCTCCTGATTGTCCGATAGTTTTGCCTTTGTCGAATATCAAACACCAGAACAGGCTATTGCAGCCACCAAACAACTGCATGGAACCGCCCTGGACAAAAGACACACTCTGGCTGTGAATAAGCTTACAGACATCGAAAAGTATGGCAGAGAAGGGAGGATAGATGAAGAATATGTCCCTCCAGAGATCGAACCGTTTGCGGATCGTGAACACCTCAAATCATGGCTCTTTGATCCCCAAGCTCGAGACCAATTCGTCATGTTTCGAGGAGACAATGTGGGAGTCTTCTGGAACAATAAGAAAGAACCTCCCGAGCCCATCGTCGACCGGAAACACTGGACACAACTGTTCGTTTCTTGGTCGCCACATGGCACATATCTTGCTTCTATTCATCAACAAGGTGTTCAATTATGGGGTGGCCCATCTTTCAAAAGAATCAGACAATTCCCCCACCCCTTTGTTAGCCTGATCGAGTTCTCACCAGGGGAATCATACTTGACCACATGGTCCAATCAGCCCATCACCGTGGAAGAAGGCAAAGGGCCTCTTTCCATCGATGAAGAAGGAAAGCACATCGTCATCTGGGACATCACCACAGGCAAACCACTCCGATCTTTTGTCGCACATGATCTTACTCCTCCCCCAGGCGCGGATGCGGCGGCCATCCCACCAAAAGCGAAAGTCCAATGGCCAGCGTTCAAATGGTCTGCTGATGAAAAGTACGTCGCGAGGATGAAGCCTCATGAGAGCATCTCCATCTACGAACTTCCCAGAATGAACCTCCTGGACAAGACGTCGGTCAAAGCTGAAGGCATCATGGATTTCGAATGGGCGCCCTCCACGACCCAACGGGAAGGAATCAAGACCTACGAATCACTCCTCTGCTTCTGGACCCCCGAAATCGGCTCCAACCCGGCCAAGGTTGCCTTGATGTCCGTCCCTTCCAAGGAGATTGTGAGAACCCGAAATCTTTTCAATGTCACCGACGCAAAACTTCACTGGCAGTCGGAAGGGAAGTTCATCTGTGTCAAAGTGGACCGCCACTCGAAGTCCAAGAAATCCAATGCCACGAACCTTGAAATATTCCGTATCCGAGAAAAGGGCGTCCCAGTCGAAGTCGTCGACTCTCTCAAGGACACTGTCATTAATTTCGCATGGGAACCCAAGGGTGACAGATTCGTATTGATCACCGCAGGAGAAGCGGTTGCGGGCAGCAACGTCCTCCCAAAGACAGCCGTCTCATTCTTCGCTCCTGAAAAGATCAAGGGTCCAGGCACTGGAGCGTTCAAGCTTGTCCGAACGTACGACAAGAAAAATTCCAACGGAATTTACTGGTCACCAAAAGGTCGATTCGTAGTCGTTGCCACAGTCAGTGTGCAACAGCATTCCGATATTGACTTCTATGACCTGGACTATGAGGGCGAGAAATCCGAGCAGGATGTTGCCGCTAATCTCAATGCGAACCTCATGTTGATGAATAGTGAGGATCACTATGGTATGACGGATGTAGATTGGGATCCCACGGGGAGATATGTCACGACGAGTGCCAGTGTGTGGACTCATCAGGTAAGAGATCCATGTCATCTCCCCTCTTCCTGACCACTCCAAAAGCCAAGTTCTGAATTCTAACGCGATGATGTCTAGATGGAAAATGGTTGGCGTCTCTGGACCTTTTACGGTGTCCTCCTCTCCGAACACCCCACCGAGAAATTCAAACAGCTGATCTGGCGTCCCCGGCCACCGACCCTCCTCAGCAAAGAAGAACAGCGCACCATTCGTCGCAACCTGCGCGAATACTCCAAAGAATTCGACGAGCTGGACAAGGAGATGGAAGAGGGAGCAAACCAGGCGGTCATTGATGCGAGAAGGAGGCTGTACATGGAGTGGTATAGCTGGGTGGCAAGGGAGAAGGAGTTGTTGAGAGAAGAGAGAGAAGAGCTTGGGTTGAAGGATCCCGACGAGGAGTTGGCGCTCCAGAGGACCCGAAGTGTCGAAGAAGAGGGCGAGAAGGTTGTGGAGGAAGTGGTTGAGGAAGTCATTGAGGAGACGGAAGAGGTTGTGCAGTAAGAGGAGCGTTTGTCAGGGTATCGAGGTGATGGTGGTCCTTGCATGGAACTGACTCCATGTCGAAAGCAAAGTACAAGATTACTTGCGTTGGATGGCTCTCGTATCATCGATCATGGAACGGACGAGCAATGTGTGAATGATAGATTCCCATGGTGAAGTGTCCATCTCGAGACACATTCTCCTGCAAACCATGGCAAAAGAGTTATTGAAAGAGGTTCCCAGATACGGAAAAACAAGAAAATTTGCTTCGCATGCTTGCAAAGCAAAACGAGGTTCTCCCTGGTATCTCAGAGCCAGATTTCTATTTTCCGGCCGATATCCCAAGCGAACCGGTGGGCCTTCCGAAACGTTCATTTCCAAAATGAAGACCTGCACAGTCTAGGCTTTTCCAATACCAGCAAGGAACCCAGACATGGAGAGCAATTCGTTAACATATCCGCCCAGCATAGCCTTTGAGACATGACTTTCTCAACATCAGTCTCTTTTGCATTACACCCGCAACAACTCCAGCTTCGTAGCATTGTCAATCGCCGTAGCACGAGCTTCATACCCCACTTTCTTGCTCTTTCATTCCCTCCTCTACATCTCTCAGCTGGTCCAGATTGATGCGACACTCTTCCATCTTCTTGGACCAGTAAAACAAGTCTTGACTAGCAGCGGCATGTCTCTTGCTGTTCAAGGGTGCCTCAATCGCATCGTACTTCTCCCAGGCCTGAGCATGCTTGTTTTTTGCCTCTTCGAATTGGTCCATCAAAAGTTTCTTGACGTTAGCAAGGGCATGCCAGGGGTTGATCTTGGGACGTAAGGTGGGCTCCTCCAGCATCGCGTCTTTCATGAGCTGGGTAATTTGAGCCGTGAAATCGGTCTTTTCAGCAGCGTGGGCAGGGGTGGAGCGTGTAGGCTGCGTAACCTGTCTTGGTTTTCTAGCCGTGAGGCGTTGACAGACGGTACAGTTACCAATGTGCTCGGGGTCGCCATGACGATGCAGAACACTTTGAGCCTCTTGTGACACTTGAATTCTTGTTGACCTCACCGGCTGACTCATTGTAATATCGGGCAAGATATATGCCGAAGTCATGTTTTCGTCAAGGGACGGGCGGCGCCGTCGGCGTGAGGTATTTGACGCGGCGGTGGGGTCTTCAATGGCGCTGTTTTCGGTGTCATGGACTGTGGGTCGTTGGTAGGATTGTGATTTGCTCTTAGCAGCGACATCTGACTTGCTGGTCGGTCGCTTTTCCGGTGCTGGTGAGATTTGTCTGTTGACGACAGGAGAAAGAACTCGGGCGTCATCAGAGTTAGTGGTCTTCGGAGCATCTTTGGTGCCCGCAGACGTGTCTTTCATGGACGTCCTTCGAACAGGAGATCTAGGAGGAGACGACATGGATCTACTGATATCAAATAGTTCTTCCTCCACACGTGACGCTGTCTTGGTCTTCTTTGCTGGGGTGTTTTGTTTTTTGGAAGCAGCACGGAGCAACCTAAGCTCAAGAAGGGCATCGTCTCGTTCGCGGGTCAGGGAATTGATGGTTTGCATTGCTTCATTGAGGTCGCGTTGGAGAGTGCGCAAAGACGCGACAATTTGTTTTTCATCGGCGGGGATAGCGTAGTGGATTTGGACATTTGGCAGTGAACCGTGGTCTGGCATGATCTGAGAGGTATTGGGGATGTTGGTCGGCAGCATGAAGGACTGGCTGGGATTCTGGGACTTGGACGAAGCAGTCTTGCTGAAGCGAGTGGACTTCTTGACACGATCGAATTGCGGAGAGGTTGAACCAGGAGTGTACATGACCTGAGGAACGATCAGCATGTTTGAAGGAAATGCATTGCAGCTCATCTACCTGGTAGTCCCCAATGAATGCCTCGTGAGAATGAATGCTACTATAGTTCGTGTTCAATGTGCCGTGATCAAACCTCGAAGGAGCCATGACTGGTCGTGTAGGATGTTGAGGGTAAGATACCAGAGCAATCGAGGATAGTTTTGGGGAACCAAATCTACTCGTATGGAGAGCGGAAAACCAATGCGCCTCGAGATTTGTGTTTGTTATGGGATTTCTGGAAAGGGAAAGAGCGGAGCAGTCAAAACAGGCAACATATCCGGCGCCCGTTTCACTCGCCATCTGAACGCCTAGTAGTTTCAGCCTTGCCGCTGCTCGCTACGAGTAAGTCCTCCGTGACAGCCTTGCCGTCCCTCTCTGTTGGCCCCCGCAGCAGATATGTTCAAACACATGACTTTTGTCAACGCGGGTTCCTCGCTACAAATCACTTTTCCAAGGCTGCTTGTATGGGAGATTATGTATTATGCGACTGCGGGGAAGGTGGCCTCGAGTGAGATGGTCCACTAGAGCTGACTCAAAAAATCTACGAGAAGTGTCACCAATCGAGACTACCTAGGTAGATACGACGACAGACTTTCAAATTCCCATAAACGACCTCAAAGATCGAACAAAGTTGCTGAATATACCAATTGCGATGGAGTTGGAAAGGGACCAGATGTTTCATCATGCAAGACTACTCGTGCAGGCGTTCTATAAATTTCTTGTGCGCGCGAGCCAAACCCAGGTGGACGCGGGATTACGCGAACAGAAAAAGCGGGTGCGCCAGGGCGGATCTGGCTGCGTGTCTCAGCATCTTTTGGCCCTCACAGGCCCTGGAGGGGCCACAGCCTACCGCCTATCCGACCCTACCACGGCCCACTACAGGCCCTGGATGGAAGCTGGGCCAATCCGCCGGGGCTTTGCCCTGGGTGGATGAGCACAAACCTGCCACTCGCCTCCACCACTGGAGGCTGACGGCATGCGCTACTTCGCTGCACCAAGCTTCTGCCAACTCCAAAGGTTCCTCGAGGCCGCCCACTGCCACAAGCTGAGAAACCTCAACGAATCTCACCACACTTTTTGTATATGCATACGTATGCTTGAGCCCATTATCTCTACTCCAATCTCCCTATAGTGCATTGTCACCTTGCCTGTATCACCATTCACGATTCTGTCTATGAGAAAATTCTCCATTTGACAGCTTGTACGAATCTGCTGTAAATCCTCCGAACTTGCCATATTACGAGTACATTCTTGTCCAACTTTTGCCAACTTGATCAAATGTCCCGATAACAAAGCCTCAACGCTCACTTCCACACGATTTGACTTTCTCCCACCACCAGCCACTGCCATGGCAGTTAGCTCACCTATACAGGTGCTGGACAAACACAGCATACAAGTTAATCGACTATCACCGAGGCAGGGGCCACCGAAAGATGGAGGCGGCGGCGGCGGCGGCGGCGGAGGGATGGGTGGAAGTGCTGTAATAGTTGGTGTGAGTATCCTGGACGTTTGCTGTGAGAATGCTGTCTGACGGCTTCAGATAATTGCTGGCGTCGTATTCTTCCTCGTTGCTTGCGTGGTCTTTTACACGATGCTGCGGAGATGGAGGGTACAAGGCAAGAAGCCCACGTATATTCCCACGAAATTCTTGAAGAGCAAATGGCAGACCTGGCAACCCGGCGGAAAATACAAAGCCGTCCGCAACCGAGATCTTTCATCCACGAACACGGCTTACAATGGCAATGACATTGGCAGCGAAGCAGGCACTGGAGCGGGAGTTGATCGCAACACCAGCGTGCGCAGTGTTATAACACTTCCGGCATATTCAAGGACGCCAAAGGACACCGAACAAGTCATCGGGCGAGAAGGCGAAAGAGGTGGCATGGACACGGTTGTGGAATTCCCGGAGACGGTCGAAGAGGAAGAAACACGCCGAGAAGACCAGATGGAGTCATTGTACCAAATCCGATTGGCCCGCCGCCGCGAAATTGCAGAACGAGAAGAACGTCGGCGGGAGCGAAGAGAAGCTCGCGAGAGGGGAGATACGGCTCGATTGGAGGAGCTGCGGCGAGAGTCCCGTCAGCGTGCAAACGAAAGTACTACTTCCCTCAATGGCGGCGTGAGTGTATCCGCAGCCACGTTGATTGCCGAACATCAGTCTCGCGGACGAGAACGAAGGGTATCGAGCGTTGCATATGCTTCACTAGGTGAGGTACGACATGACGGTACGCGGATTCGAGCAAATAGCAATGACTCTGAGCGAGGTGGGCTGTTAAGTGGAGCAGCCCCTATGGGTGAAGCCGAAGGACGCTCTCGTCTTCTGTCGGATGCTACATCGATGCACAGCCGTGACCGCTCGATTAGCGCTGTGAGTGTATCAACGATGGGCTCTGACTTGGAACCTCAGCCCACGCCGGGCTCAACCATTCCAGACGACAGTAACCGACGGCAAAGTGACGAGCCCCAAAGCGGCGGTACGTCCAACTCTTCCCCCACCGCCAATAGATTCACGCCTGATGAAAGCACCGGATCAGACGACATTGGGGAATCACGCATCCCGCTGCCTTCAGACATTGGTGATGTACATCGGCCACCCGATTACGAGTTCTTAGACTGGGGCGATGCTCCTTCGTACGAGGCCGCCGTCGCTCGTCGTGCAGCAAGCAATGCCAGTCGTGCTGCAGGTATTCCCAGCAGGGCTCCCACGAACGCAAGCATTGCACCTCAACTTCCACAGCTCAATCTTCCTAGGATCAGTGTCTCCGGGGCCACGGAACCTAATACCCCTGTGTCGCCGGTAGTGCAAGCCGCTCCTGTATCGAATACTGAAGACACGCCCGTCTCGCCTGTGGCAACAACAAGCATCCATACAGTGATAGAGCACCCAAGAGAGGACACGAATTCCAATCCTGCAGGTGGTCATCAGAATTGAGTATTCTATGCATAAGATGATGGACGATGTTCTTGGTACAGAGCGGATCCACACGCAAAATTGGGTAACAAAGGTCTGTGATGGAAAATGTGAGCATGAAAATTTATGATGGGATGTCTTATTTCGGAACATGTACCGCAATGCATGGAAGCACGGCGCCGGGGTATCTTCCGTCTATTCGACGTGGGAAGTCTTGAGGGTAGCAATCAATCTAGCGATCCTCTTCAATTTGAACATAGGTGTTCTCATACTGAAGCAATGCCACATCTTCCGGTTCGATTTAGTGCTAAATCCTCGTTTTTCCTTTTGTCTTAAGACTCTCATTAAGCCTACTTCTCTTGTCGTGTATGATATCAGGCTGGACTATTCCTCAATGATCATATGTCACGCTAAGTGGACAAGGGCAACGAGTTTGTAGAAGGAAACAGCATCGTCCGCCCAAGAGCACCAGCCTGCGATAGGCATGATTCAGGGTCAACAGAGAGAGCGGGAAGGCTGTTAAGGTCCAGGGGCGACGGAAAAGCTCAGAGGACATTCATAGACTTTTCTTCCCATTTCAGTAATGCTATGAAGGGTGGTCAACGAGGCCCTCTCATGGAAAGGTGTTCGGGGGTTTGTCTTTGATGTTGACCTGATCTGTCTGAATCTGTTGATTCAACATCCGGGGCGGGTAGGATGCTCCAGACTGGACGATGTTGACAGCCAATCTCGACGGTCTGCTCTCCTGTGGGATGACTGCCGACGACGACGACTCAGGCACGTCTTGCCTTGTTGTCGAAAGCACACCTCCGCCCGGGTTGACTAACTTTTCATTGCTCCGTCGGCGCCCAACATCGAGTTCCTCCATTTACCATCTACCGCACAATACCCTCGAATCTCGTCTTGAACCACTTGATCGAATCATCTTTGGAAACCTGGTGGCTGCGTCCCACCTTGCTCTTGCAACGTCTTCTCCTGGCAACTCTCGCGCCGGGTCTGCCCATGCAGCAGTAGAAATCCATTCCGTAAATCCCAATCGCCGGATCATACTTGATTCCCAGATCGATGTGCTCGGAGATGCCGAATCCGAAGTTTCCGGTCTCGCTGAAGTTCTTCTTCCTCAACTCGTATTCCTTGACTTTCAGGCCGCGTTCGAGGATTTCTTCGGCTTTGGGCCCACGGACGGTGACGTGGACGGCGATCTTTTCGTTACGACGGATACCGAAAGACCGGACGGTGTAACGGGCTTTGCCTGCACAAGACTCGTTAGAACAATGGAGAAGGGGTTCAGCCGAAGATCCAAGGCGTACTGTAGACAGGAGTTTGACCCGACAGTTGTTCCAACACCTTCGCAGCACGGGTGAGACGATCACCGGACTCGCCGACCGAAATGTTCAGCACCAGCTTGTCAATGCGCAGATCGCGCATGGGATTTGAGCTCTTGTCGTTGCCTTCCGCCATTTTGTCAGAAAATGGTGGTGTTAACGATTGCGACAGAGTGCAAGTTTCGACAGGTTCGTGGTGCTGGGGAGTTGATGAAAAGCGAGAGGGCCCCAATTGACGGTTTGTTCGAAATTCTGGTGGTGCGGCCGTGGGTTGTGGCTTGGCGCTGCCAAGAACCAGAAAGTCCGACTAAACTGCATTCGGAGCTGCGGCACCAATTTTTGTACGGAGAGTATGCTGAAGTCTCGCGACCACCTTCAATTGCACGGGATCACATCAAACATACTACCAGTTCGGGCCTGCTTCGCTTCCTTTGCTACAGAAGCGCTGCAGCCATCGTCTGGCAGGTGCAGTTGAGCTGAGGCTCTAAACTTTGCACGAATCTATTTTTGAACCACAATCCAAACAGCCTCTACGTAGCCACTGTGAAAGAAGGTCAAGTCGCATTCGTGCGCAACGTCAGGCAAGATGGCGAACAAGCAGGGGAAGATGGTAACTATTGACCGCTTTATTTCATTCCTCATGATCGACGGCTAACTCACGCCTAGCAAAACTTGGTATACTCGACCTTTCCCACCATGACTTACGAGAACCACACTTTCTGACTATAGTAAACAAGATCAACTACCGTATGCGTGTGACCATGAACGACGGTCGTCAGATGACTGGTCAAATGCTTGCGTTCGATAAAGTGAGTTGTCGCGCTCAACCCCTCCACCAAATCATCCTTGAACCTCCCTTACTTGGACCGATCAAGCCGCTCACATTCTATCCTTGGTAACAGCACATGAACCTCGTCCTCGCGGACACCGAAGAATTCCGCAAAGTCAAACGCAAACAGGCCAAACCCTCCGCTCCAGCAGCACCGGGCTCTGCAGCTGCGACTGTCGAGACCGAAGAGAAACGAACGCTGGGCCTTGTGATTCTCAGAGGAACGAATATCGTGAGCTGTTCGGTGGAAGGACCTCCTCCATCGGATCCTAGCGCTAGGTTGGGACAATCTGCTCCGGGAGGGGCACCAACAACTCTTCAGGCTGGTACGGGTATCTCGAGACCGGCTGGCAGAGGTCTTCCGATCGGGCTGGGCGGTCCCGTGGCGGGCGTCGGGATGGGTGGACCGCCTCCTCCGGGGGGAGTGCCACCTGGAGGCTTTGGATTCCCTCCGCAACCGCCAGCGGGATTTCCAGGCGGAGCGCCGCCACCTGGGTTCGCTGGAGCTGGAAGAGGTGGACTACCTGGACCCCCAGGAGGGCCACCGCCTGGTTTTGGAGCCCCTCCTCCTGGGTTTGGAGGACCACCTGGAGGACCACCAGCAGGTATGCCCCCGGGATTTCAAGGAGGCCCACCAGGCCCGGGAAGAGGGTTCCCGCCTCCGGGATTTGGAGGAAGGTAAATATGGGTATGCAATAGAGAGCAGGAAATCGATGGATAAAAGTTTCGCGCTCGTGCTTGGTCGACGAACCAAAGCCAAACCGGACCACCATATCGTTTCAAGGGACCAGGGATGCAAAATATGAAGGATGGTCAACACTGCACCTGCACAGAAGCGGTCCACAGCAAAGCCGGCAGATTCAAAGTGTCCGGTAGCTTCGTGGTTTCACCAGTCACCCATGTTGCCGTTGGCTGCATCCTACGACAGCGATCCGTTGAGGCTAAGTGATTGAACTCGTCATGTGGCGGTCCTGGTTTGAAAACAGCGGGTAAGATACAAACCCATAAAATGACAAATGCGAGCAGGACACAACAACCCGAGAAGGGAGGAGGTAAAGTCCGGGACACCCAGTCCATCTATGATGACAGCTGCATGTCAAGTCCTGCAGCAGTCAGCAAGGAGCTTGCACAGAAGAAACGCGGGATGTTTAATTGAGGTAGCCCCCCAGGAGCGAGCAGTCGCATGCTTTACAGAAGAAAGCAACGAATGATAAATAACAAAGCGAAAATATCTTCCGTTCCGACAGTACGGATGTATTCATTGCGGCCTTGACCACTAGAAAAGGAATCATGCCATGGTAGAGACCATTATCGTACTCGGGCCCTCTTCTACATACAATGGACAATAGCATCCACCTACCGCCCCAACATGCTGGAGCTAGAATTTCCAAGGCCTCGCTCGATCTCATCAGTCTCTGCTCCCGCCAGCCTCTCGAATCTTTCCCTTCAACTCACTAATGATTCTCTTCTCCTCCGCTGTCTCGGCCGTCTCTTGATTCCTGACCTCTTTCACCCGTGCCTCATAGCCCTTCAAAGCCCTCTCGTACAACTTCAGGGCGTCTTCTTTCCTCTCCAGGGCTCGATATGTTGCCCAATTCAACGTCGCACGCAAACTGGAAGGACCTTCAGCGCCAAGCGTCCTCTCAAATCCTTCCGTGACTTTCCTTTGTACTCTGACGGCGCCCTGGAAGCGGTCAAGGTGGAAATATACATCAGACAGGAGATGTAGCGTCTTGTACAACTCGACTTCCCCGCTAGCCCCGAGTGCCTCGAAACCTGCGAGGGCTTTCTTCGCCCATGCCAGCGCGTCCTGATCCCGGCTCGCGGTGTGATACAGAGAGGCAATCTTGCGGACCATCTTGAGCGATTCAAGATGATTGGAGCCGAGTTTTGCAGTTCTAATTTCCAGAACTTGCCTGGCCGTCTTGATCGCGGAGAGAAAGTCTCATTGCCGTTCTTTCGTGCTGCCAATACACATGAGGGCCATGAGTTGCTGTTCATCACTGCCGCAGTGGAGCAGCTTCTCAAGCAAGGGCAGCGCTAAATGGCTGTTGGAAAGCCTCATGTGGCAGGTCGCGATTTCAAAGAGACAGTGGCAGCAGAGGTCTGTAAATTCCTCCTCTTCTTTGCGGCATGATCCTTCAACGGCCTCAAGGGCAGCCGTATAGAGATTGAGTGCTTGCTGGTACTGGTGCTGCCCAAGGCGCAGGTCGGCAAATTTGAACATGATTAACAGTGACTCCAGGTTACTCTAGTCGAGGCGTTGGTGTACCAAGTCAAGTATCTCTTTAAACCCTCTTGCAGAGTCTACTTGACGATAACTCTGCAGGTACACGATGCTCATTTCGTGGAGCACAGTTTCCATGAGCCAATGACCATCCCCTAGCTTAGCTTTGCATTCATCCAGCGTCTTTTGATACAGCTCCAAGGAATCGTCGATTTTGGCTTGTCGAGGATATATCAGCGCCATGCATCTCATCATCAAAAGGCGTTGTTTAGGTGGAACTCTGTCCTCCAACGCAATAATTCGTCGACTCCAGATCAAAGAATCTCAATCATCTCCATGTTGAGGCAAGCGTAGGCCAGTTGACAGGCATTGACGGTCCAATTCCCAGCAGTACCCGAGGATGATCCTTCCTCAAAGGCTATCACCCTTCGGTACAACTGAATTGAAGTAGCCCAGTCTTCAGTCTCCATGCAACATGTTGCCACCTTCTCGGCGGCATTGATAGTTTCTTTGTGATTTGCCCCGTACTCTTCTTCCCGAATAGTCAGAATTTGTCGGTACAATGTGAGAGCCTGAGAATAGTCCTTGAGCCTGAATAACACAATGCGATATTAGCGGTCGTCACTAGCCCGGCAGTCCTGGACCCAGGATTCCGATATTGGATCCCCTCAAGTGCTTGGTTGTAATACTTGATCGCCTCAACTGGCTGGTCAGAATCGAAGTGGGCGGAAGCTAGATCAAGAGCGATGGAGGTTGTCAGAGAATGAACACGGCTGAGACTCTGCTCTCTTCCTTCCAGCGCACGCCGGAGGTGCAGAATGGTCACATTATGTTGTTTCATCTGTTGGTATATAATGCCAATGGTATGTTCCGAATTAAGAGTTGGCGCAAGGTTGGGGCCTAGAGTTGCACGCTTTCGATCCAGGACCTCCTGGTGGAGTTTCAGCGACATCTGAAGCATTGATTTACCCCGATAGACTTCAGCAAGTTTGTACTTTGCCGAAAGGGTAGTGATGTGGTCCTCCCCACATCTCTTCTCGAAACCCTTGATGGCCCTGAGCAGCAAGTCACAGGCAGTATTAGTGTCTCCTCGAGCGTTGTAGATCGATGAAACTGCAACCACGGATGAAAGAGTTCGCGGGTTATCGGCACCGAGTTGCATCTCACGACCAATCAAGGCTTTGTGGTAATGTTCCAAAGCATTGTCGAGGTCGCCCAGCTTCTCGTATGAAGCAGCCATCTGGTGGGATGCGTCTAAAGTCTCCGGATGATTTTGTCTAAACACTTTTGCCCGTCCGGCGACCACCTCTTGAAGCTATCGTATGGCATTTTGGTGCTGGCCATAGCTCGCATATGCCATTGCAAGTTCGCACATTTTTGCAAGCGCCCCAGGATGCGTCCATCCTAGAGCTGCACTCAAATCTTCCAGCTGACGGCGACATCTCCTAATCAGTTCGACGTCACTTTCAACCAGATGTGGGTCGTCCCCACGTTTGGACTTGTCTTCGTTATATGATGGGGTTTCGGTCACTGTGACATCCGGGTTCCCTGTCTCTCGATGGATCGCTTGAACTGCAATATGTGCCTGTGGCGCGAGGCAAGTCCCCCCCCCCCCCTTATCTGCTCTGCCTGAGTAGTAACAAAATTAAATCCGGCCAGTGCGTCATCGAAATTTTCCGAGATCGATTCACCTCAGTAGCTTGCAAGCGGGCACTGAGAGCAGGAAGCGATGGGGCTCTGTTTAGCGATTCATATGTTGAGAGGACGGCAAAATATTGGTTTGGAGTTTCGTGATCCTGATCGAATTCCGTACGCGCGACCGTCGGTAGAGGGGCCTACCAGTTGAGAGTGATAAGTCACTTGTCCGCCTCATACCAGCTCAGCCTAATGGGCTGTGTCCTTAACGCGGACAGCCTCATCATCACGGGAGGGAAAAGCAGAGGAAGCATCGGGGGAAGCAGCACAGCCCCTCCACTTTCACGACGCCGTTTCGCAGCGATATGTCCATTGACCAAAAGGGCTCGATTCTGCATGTTGGTCAACATATCCCACCTGCGGACCAAGGCAGACTCGCCTGAGCGGCAGGAAAGAGTGTGTTGGCGTTAGTACTTCTCCTGATTTGGTGGGAAAGCCGTCACCACAGAGCCAAGTTGGGCGTCATTAGTGACTTCGGGACGACTTAGAGGATCTCGGCATCAGCCACACGAGTAGCATTTGCCCGTGATCCGGATGTTCCATGGATAGTTTGTCGAGGAGGGTTTCCTCTGCAGCCTGCTGTGCGTAGCCGTCATTTGGAAAGAACTCGAGGCTTGCTAAATGCTGGAGAGGTAGGGCTTCAGGTCAGTAGCGCTTTTGATCTGTGTGCTTCGCTGTACAACTCTTTGCACATGCGTTTCCCTTGATGGGCTTGGCAAGTTTGACGAGGTTGCCAACAATTTCCGCCTTGACGCAGCGAGGCAGTGGTTTTATGCATATACAAGTGAAATGTTACAAGTAGAAGTCGCATAAATACGCGCAGCAAATGCCTCCGCCAACGAAGCGTCGACGAACAGACCCGACTGTTGTTGAAGAAATTACCTTCGACACGTCTGCGCGCCATGAATACCTGACTGGATTCCACAAGCGCAAGTTGCAAAGAGCTAAGCTGGCGCAGGAGGCAGCGGAGCGGAGAGCAAGGACGGAAAGGGTTGAGGAGCGGAAGAAGGTGAGTCTCTCACCTCATGGAGCCGTTTATCTTTGGTGGACTGACGTTTCCCAGCTGCGAGAACAGCGGAGAGCCGAGCTTGAAAGACATGTGCAGGAGGTTAACGCTCTGCTGAGACCGCCGTCTGATCAAGACGAGGGAGACAACGACGAGGGCGAAGAGAACCCGGAAGAGGAATGGAGTGGTATTTCAGACTCGGAGCCCCATCCGCTCCATCATGAGACGGAATATATCGACGAAGAAAAGTACACCACAGTGACGGTTGAGGCAATGGATGTTTCCAGAGAAGGATTGTCCAGGACGGAGCAGGACCGGAATCAGCATATCCAGCAAAACAGTGGGGAGAACCCAGAAGGGTCAGGAAAGGATCCAGCCGAGGGGCACAAAAGTCAACGGGCAAAAGGTCAACCAAAGGACATAAAGAAGCGAAAAAAGAGGAATTTCCGATACGAGAGCAAAGCGGAAAGGAAAGAGGCACGCACAAAAGAGAAGGCCAAGAATCGGAAACAGGCTCGAGAACGCAGGGGTGATCGACGATAATGCTATTCTGGGTTCTCATTCAAGACTGTCAACGCTCGCCTTCGGGTGTGCCCTTTATCAAATGCCCATGGTATCGTAGGTATGGTCGTGGTCTATGCATTGTGCTCGACCGTGCACTTGCCAAACACAATGGCAACACCAGGTATCTCGCTCACTTTAGATGTTGCCCATGCTTTGCTCCAGCTCCTGCAATTCCTTCTGTAGATCCGCGTACTTCTTGGCCATCTCCTCGTACTTGTTCTCCCACTCGTCGCGTGCTTGCTCCAACGCTTGGACTTTGCGCTCGAAGTGGCCAGCTTTGACATCGGTTTGCCGGAGTCTGGGATGGGATTGTTAGTGGGAGTCATTTGTCGATCATGGTCATGCATACTTATCGTTGGTCTCCCTCAATGTCTTGTCAGCCTGCTCAGCTTCCTCCTCGAGAACTTGGAGTTTTCGCTGAAGAGACTCAGTCTCGCTGCTATGTTGTGCCGACTCGCCGGCAAGCGCCTTCGCTTCCTTGATGCCTTGCTCGAGTTTCTCAACTTCAGCCTCGAGGAGTTGGTTGCGGTGGTTGAGGGAAGTGATCTCTTGTTCTTTTTGGAGGTTGTCTTGTTCGAGAGTCTTGACTTTCTGCTTGAGCTCTTCTGCTTTGGCCGCGTTCTCGTCCGCCTCAATGCGGAGAGAGTTCATTTTCTGTTGGAAATTAGCGAATACGGTCGCCATGATGGGTGGATCGAAGATGGTGATGGACGGGTGAGGAGGATGCGGGATTTGTTAAATCTTGGAGGAACGAGGGATGAAGGTTGGGTCGGGTTGTTTTGAACACGACTGCAGTAGCCAAGTAGAAGTGTGAAGTGATTGACTGTGTTATGGCAGAAGGCAGCCCCAAGTGAATTGCGTGGTGCCTGGCAGGAGCACGAGGGGGGAGGTTGCAGGTGCCGCAGAGGTGATAGGGACATACCTCCTTAATCCGATCCATGGTGAATGTTTTCAAAGGCTGGGGCTTCTTGAATTTAGGGTCTGGCAGAAAGGTAGATAGTAGAGTGTAGATGTGTGTTGACTTGGGTTATAGATAAATGATACTTGTTCGTAGGGAAAGGCTCAACTGGCGGTCACTGATGCATTCGCTAAGAGTCAGCTGCGGGATAGAGGGGGAAGTCATTGATGTTCAAGCCAATGACATGCGGCTTCTAGGGGTGAGGCTGCGTGGGCGTCAGGCTTCGCCGTTTGCGCCTTAGGCCGGTTTCAGGCTCTAACGGTTCGACTGAAGACCGCCTGGGACCGCCAGGAGCCTCCCGGAAGACGTTGCTGGGGGCAACAGCGTCAACAATTCGGCCCCTTCAATCCGCGTGTCTGGCACATGAATCAATCTCCAACACCATCCTGCCACCACCTACCTGTACTTTATTTCCACCGCAGACGATAAGTACGACTATCAGCACCAATCGACAATATAGCGGCCATGGCTAGCATCCTAGCCGCACGAGATCAAGAAAACCTCATCCATGCGCAGCAGACTACGGCCGCTGGGAAGCCGTTGAACCAAAGCACGCGGATCCTACATCCAAAGACACCAGGAAATCTGAAGACTCCTTTTCGACTGGCGAAGAACGACGAAAATCTACTCCCCCATCTCAATGGACCGAAGGCTCTGGATAAGGATGGACCAAGCAAGTTAGACAAGACCACATTCGTTACACCTCTGATTCCACGCAATCGAGCGCCCCTTGGAATCAAGACAACCAACGCGAAAGCTCAAGCTTTTCAGACACCTGCTCCCGCTCCTTTGACGACAAAGCGGCTTGGAACTGGGCAGAAGCATTCCGCAGCTCGTCGCTCAGGCAGGTCTAAGATCGCAGTCGCTCCTTCTGAACCAGTCGACAGTGACTTGGTGAAAAGACCCACGCAAGACCAAGAGCCAGATTTCGGATACGCACCACCGCCACCAGTAGAGCTACCGGATCCTCCAATTGAGTTCGAAGAAGATGTACTACTTACTGAGGAGCTTCGAGCCGGCTACGGAGTGGTATACGCGTATGATTCTCCCAACAATGAGAACGGAGTGTCTATGCGTCTTAAAAAGGAAGAAGAAGAGTGGAAGAGATTCGATGCGGACCGTATGAACAAAAGCCTCAAGGACATGTCCGAACCAGTCTTTCTTGCACCCAGCGAACTAGATGCACGTGTCGACGGCATGATTGCAGCAGGACCAAAGAAGAAGCGACCAGAGCTCTCCAGGGTAGACACCATGCAAGCGAAGTCTGCTGCTGCTGCGCTCTCTGGCTCACGGCCGAACTTGCCTGCTGCTACGAGGAAAACTACTCAGACGTCAGAGCAGAAGAAGAAAGCAGTTCTTCCCATCACGAAAGGCAGGCCACCGACCCTACCCCACCACTTGTCATCATCTCGCACCACTCATACTGCCGTGTCTAAAAATACAATTGGATTTCCCAAAGCAAAGAAGGCCCCCTCCATCATTCCGAGGAGCGCTGAGACCGAGAGAAGCGGAATCGCCTCGAAGCCCATCAAAATCTCGCAAGTATCAATCCATCCACGCGATTTCCGCGATTTATACGGCTCACCCCCCGAGGAAAGCGATATGTGGTTCAGACTCAAGCAGTACGAGTTGCTGGAGCAAGATATGGCTCAGGATGAGGGCGATGATCTCACTAATGACCTCTTCGAAACCGACTTCTTTCCCTTTGGAAACGCAAAGCTCGACAATGAAGACTTCCAACTACCCATACCTGAGTGAACACGATGCTCCACCGGTCCTTGTCACGGGCACAGGGTATACTACTTTGCTGGGGTCTTTTACGACACTCGATGATTCATGATATTGATACCCTTTGATAGATATTGCCAAAAAGAAAATGGAGTGGTCAGCGCACGGACATCTGATTATGGACGTCGGCCACGCATGAGCGAAGAACCCGATTGGCACTGTGTATGGTGGTTGGTCTGTACAGAGAGTGCTTTTGAAACTATTTAATCTTGGAGACGGGCTTTTGTTGCTTGGGCAAACGTAGTTCTACTGTACCTCGCTCCACAATCTGCCCGGGTGTCTCTCTTCCATTGACTTTTGTCGTTGACATCCAGCACAGATATGGCCATCATCTAGCGGCCTCACGGCAACTCATCCACACCGCCGTGGACGCCGCCATTCGTCGCCGCCTTCAGGAACTCCTTGGGCGGCTCCGTGACTTTCATATTCCATCCGAACTGATCCTTGACCTTGCCCATTTGGATACCCTTTAACGTGCTCAATAGCTGTGCACAGACTGGGCCAGGATCTAGTTTCTCATTGACCGGATATTCGAATTTGTCACCCTTGGATTTCATGGTGATGCTCTTGATGGGCACCAGACTCGCTGCGGTGCCGGCAGCCATGATTTCCGTGAATTGAGGAAGCTCGCTATAGTCAATCCGGCGTTTCTCCACGCTGTAGCCGAACAAGTCTTTGGCGATCTGGCAGGCCGATTCCGATGTCACGGACTTGATGACATTTTTTGAGTCGGGCACCACAATCGTCGTCTTGTCCCCGTCTTTCCGTACGCCCAAGAAACCCGAGGTGGAGAACTCGTCGATCTCGCTCCGTGTCTTGCTGTCCAAGTGCAGAGTGATACCGAACCCTTGATTCCGTGCCTTTTCGCTATGCCGCAACACGGGGGCGTAGTTGCCTCCCACCTTAGCACTGCCAGTGCCCTCAGGTGCCGCTCGGTCGAAATCTTCCAAGATCAGTGCATCGACGGCATGCACGCCGTGATATACTCCCGTGGGCATCACAAACACCACGAAGGTATACTCATCCGGGGGATTGAGTCCCAGCTGCGCGCTGGAGCCGAACAACAACGGGCGGATATACATCGCCGCGCCGGTCTCGTGAGGGGGCACAAATTCAGCGTTCAGACCCACGGCCAGATTCACGCACTCCACGAAATGTTCCTCGGGCACAGGGGGGACAGAAATGAACTCGGCAGAGCGTTGCATGCGCAGAGCATTCTGATCGGGACGGAAGATAGCGATCGACCCATCGGGCTGTCGAAAGGCTTTCATGCCCTCATAGCACTGGACACCGTAGTTGAGACCGGGAGCCATGCCATGAATCGACAGATGAGGGGAGGTTACAAAACGTGGTTTGCTCCATTCTGGCTTGGATGAGGAATAGCGGAAGGTGGACTCAATGTGTCCGTTGACCTCGCGGACTTTGAAGCCGACATTGCTCCAGTCTGGCAGACATCGTTAGCGGGGATCTCAGCCATGCTCTGCGCCAAATTGCATTCGTTCAAGGCTGCGTGTCCAGAAGACGACAGAGTGCAAGAGCGGCCTACCAATTGTGCTTACAGGCGGCGGAGGAAAGGGAGCCATTTCGTTGTGAAGTGTGACCGAGGAGGCTCTGAGTGTTCTTTTGTCCCTTCGAGGCTTCCCCAAGGGCAAATAAAGTCAAGTAGAACTCACAATCCTCGTATTCGAGCCTGCAATATACTAGTAATGGGATGAGAATGGGCAGCGTTGGGATCGCAGAGTCACGAAGATGAGTCGACGCCGAGGCTCTGAGCTAAATATAAAAAAATCTTTTCCCACCCGGCAGGACCACCAGTAAGCAGATCTCCGTAGATCTTTCTGCCTCGTGGTGTGTGGTGTGGTGTGGCAATCCAAGAGCGTATCGTACTGTTCCAGGTCAATCAGGAGGGGCGCCGGTGAGACGACTGTTACACTCTTCCAGATTCTTTTTCCCACTCAGTGATTGCGGCGTGGGTGAGCGAGATCGGAGCACGTCTTATATCGAGGATTCTGCTGCTGCTTTAGACTGCGGAGACGAAGGTGACTGGACCCCGGATTTTCCGAGCTTCCCTTCTCGAAGGCGAACAAATCAGTGGTGACTACCGAGTATTTACAAAGGCTTCCAATCTGGTACAGCTAGATCTGAGACATCATCACCTGAGTTCCTCCTGCGCCGACCCTTCTGCGGCCATCTAGCTTCAATCTCGGTTCAATACTTTGCACATCTGTCTTCATCCCATTTTATCTCGGCGTTGCTCTCTTCTCTCCTCCCTCGTATGCGTTGTCGTTGCGTTTTGAGCGAATTTCTATCCCACATTTCCCCCCGTCATCTTCCATCATGCCTCGAGGCCCGCCCCCTGCTATGGTGTTGATCTCCGCCATTGCCCTCTTTATATGGTACATTGTCTGGACTCGCGATCACGAGCGACCCATGACGGCTCTCTCCCACGCCGACCGCTTCCAACACACATTGCAACAGCAACAAGACCTAGCCGATATCCCCAATGTAACAGCCACCCCCGAGACGTTACACGGCGACCACGTTATGGGCAAGCTCGGCAATGAAACCCTCAAAGCAGAACTGGGCCGCGCAGCCTGGAAAGTCCTCCACACTACCATGGCACGATTCCCGGACAAGCCGACGCAAGACGAAAGTGATGCGCTCAAGAGCTACGTCTACCTCTTCGCCCGCCTGTACCCGTGCGGCGAATGTGCAGAGCATTTCCAGCAGATTCTCAAGAAGTATCCTCCACAGACGTCTTCCCGGTCGAGTGCCGCAGCCTGGGCATGCTTCGTGCACAACGTGGTGAATGAAAGCAAGGGCAAACCGGTCTTTGACTGTGCCAACATTGGTGACTTCTATGACTGTGGTTGTGCAGATGATGAAAAAGAAGCACTGGCCAAGGCCGGAGCAAAGAGCGAGGCTATCGCCACCCAGGGACATAATGCGAAGCAGGAGCCCGTCGAGATCGAGGTCGAGGGTGAAACAAGAGGCGGTTGAAAACAATGTTTTATACGTATGGCGGCCCAAGGCATGGACACCATATCTCCTGGGACGCTACCAAGTCAACGCAGATACCCAGCACTCTCATCCTGCATTCCCGTGATCAATGTCACAGTGACGACTCGCAGAGACTGTCACTGATCACTCCGTTGACGCGATGATCACGTCCTTCAATCCTCGTGGCTTCATATCCGCCGTACTGAGTCTCCCGAGCACAGCAGGGGCTTACTTTCTTCATCGTCAATCGATGAAGGAGCCTTCTGCAAATGTTTGGGTCACTGATCTTGATCTTGGTCGGAGTCAATGGTGGTGCCAAGGGATCATCGTCGATTGAATGCCTGGTGGACGGCGAAGTTGGCGTCGGAGGTTCTGAGACCTGCTCCTTGCTGAAGGGGTCGATTGTGCGAAAACCCACGTCGATAAAGCATCTGCTGGGGACGTACCAAATGTCGTCAATACCCAGTTCTTGTTCTCCGCGGAGGTCCATGTGGATTGAGGCTACGCCACGGTCGCTGCACTTTTTGCACGGGTGTCTAAGGAAGACGTTGTAGTCTCGAACTTGACAGCCACGAACGCTGGGTAAGTTGCACATGGTGTCGCGAAAGCGATGTGTGGCGGGATGCGAGCAGAGGAATAGGTATCGTTTCGTGGTGCACATTGTTGCAGTTGAATTTCTCTCAACTATTTGTATGCGACTTCCTGCAAGCGTACTTGGCTTTCCCAGCACGATCGATGAGGTCTCAAATTGTGAGAGGAGCACCGTGGTGAACCACTGTCTCAGCGGCAGCTCCTTTAATCATTGATATGGGAGAGAGTGTTTCGTTTCGATCGGGTCTCATGCTCAAGTGACGAAGAAAGAAACCACGGCGTGGATTCAAAATTAGCAGCGACACCGACAATGGCTTTGTCCGTTCTTTGTTGAATTCTCTGCTGTACTATACATATTGCGTGAGGATTTTGACGGGGCTGGCTCATCAAACCAAACATCAAACCGATGGAACAAACAAAGACAACACAGAACAAAGACTGTTGCCATCGGGGTTTGGTCCAGATGACATCTCATGTTTGCACCATGAGCTGTGGATGAAGGCTAAATCACTATTATGTTGCTGCTTGTTTATCCAACCTGAATCCATGGAATCATCCCTGCCTAGTATAATTCAATCTGCTACAACCCCGACATGGAGTTTCTAAAGTTCCCACTCGGACTGGGTGACTGATGTGTTGCCTTCTTTGCCACGTTGGATCTAACCGAGACAAGCTCAACGGCTTCAGCGTGGTACAGCACAAATGGCTTGCGCCTGGGCCTGGGTGGCTTTATCTTCGAACATAGGCCACCAGCACGGTTCCGTCCAGCCCGCGTCAGCTGAGGCTGAAGAATGTGGCCCTCCAACCGTTCATGCGGTGCTTTAGAGTTACGAACAGGCTGCTCAGCTAAGAGGGACCTTAAGCATGGGGAATAGAAAACCATCGCCACCCCTGGCCAGAAGACTCTTTGTCCCTCTTTCGCGATCGTCGTTGACAAAGGTCGAACGAAGATGGCAACACCGTCCCTCGTCGACATCGCTACCGAGATCCTGGAAGCAGCCAAAGCACTCCAGCACGGGCTCGATGAGAAATCCCTCTCTCAGCCGTCGTTTGAGGCCACGGGCCCAAGAGACTACCACGACGCCGCGGCGTATCCCGAGATCGTCAGGGCTCGAGCTCGACTCCTCGACGCAAGCCAGTCAATCTTCGCTCTTGCTCGCGGGCCGACCGAGACGCTTCGAGCGCTGGTCAGCACCGATCGAACAAATCTCGTGGTGCTAGGAGCGATCGATCAACTCAAGCTCGCTGAGGCAGTGCCCCTTGACGCGCCCATCGCCGTCGAGACGTTGGCATCAAAGCTTCAGCTCCATCGCGCGCCTTTGCAGCGGATCCTCTGGTATGCCTATAGCTTGCACATGTTCTACGAACCGAAGCCCGGATACGTTGCCCACACAGCGCTGTCTGCCGCCATCCCGTCCTTCTCGCCATACATCCAACTTACGCTCTCCCTCCCTGTGATGTTAGGTGGTATGAAAGTGGGGGACAGTCTTCGAGTTGATTCAGGCGAGAGCGAAGCCAGCAGGCCCGAAATCCCTGTTCACTTGGCTTTCCCACAGCACAAGGACTATTGGCACACAATTCAACAGGAGCCAGACGGGATGGCCAAGTTCAGCGCCGCAATGAGGGTTGTCGGGCAGGCCATCGTGGGTCCCAAGTACACACAGTACACGCAAGGCTTTGACTGGGCGGGCCTGGGCGAGGCGGTGGTCGTGGACATGGGCGGCGGCAACGGCCACATCAGTGTTCCCATTGCGCGGGCGCATCCGAATCTCGAAATAATCGTTCAGGACCTCGAGACCAACGCGGAGCCAGCTAAAGCGGCAATACCAGACGAGCTTCGAGGCCGGGTGACGTTCCAAGCCCAAGATTTCTTCCAGCCCCAGCCGGCGGGATTGGTCCGGTCGCCGCCGACGGTGTACCTCCTCAGCAGAGTCCTGCACGACTGGCCAGACGGCGACTGCGTGAGGATCCTCCAGAACTTGGTCCCGGTCATGGCCAAGGGGAAGACGAAACTGTTCGTTGTCGACCGGGTCCTGCCCGACAAACCCGGTGAGATCCCGGTGCACCAGGAGGCCCTGATGCGGAGCTTGGATCTCCTCATGTACAATCTCGTGGGCGGCAAGGAACGGAGCTTGCAGGAATGGAAGGCCTTGTTCAAGGAGGCCGATGCGAGATTGAAGATTGCGAGGGTGGAGATCCCGCTCAACTCGGATCTGGGGATGTTGGAGGTCGAGCTGGAATAAAGGACTGCAAAGGGGTCTCCTCGGTCGGAGCTGCGTTATCAAGAACGCCGTAGGTGTGAAGGGGCCTGTAGAGGAGATTGGTGGTATTACTCACCACTTGCCGGTATTACGGACGTGTGTTCAGAAGGAAAACGCTACTAGGCTTGTGGACTCTCCTTTTCGTTGAGCTTTCATCCTCCTACCTCCTCGATAAAATGCGACCAGAGCCCAGTTTTTGCTGTTGATGAACTCCAGTCCATGGCCGGGGCGCATTGTGGTCTCCAATAGCCCGTACCAGAACTATACTCTGCGTCCTGAGTGGAGGAGCGGCGGTATAAGTCCATCAACTGAACAGAGGATCTAGTAGAGTGCAGGGGGACATGGCGAGAGCAAGGAAAAGGAATGTACAGACTCTTCGATGCGTTGTCAAATTGCTATAGGTTCTAACTCTCCCTTCCTTGAGACTTTCTCGAAGAGGCTTGCCCTTCCTACCCCGTGATTGAGATCGGAATCACCATTCTCCTCCTCGTCCCCCCTCCAGTTTCGTCATCTTTGTCCGTCTCTTCTACCCAGAATACCCTCCGCTTCCATTCACGGCATCTTCTTCCGCCCCGTGCCTCTCCCTCCCTAATGTCCGGCAGGTTTCTCCGGCGTCGTCCACGCCAAGGGCGCACTTGACGCCAGGATCCAGGTCGTCTTTCCGGTCGCCCTCGGCGACTCCCCCACAAACGTAGACGGGAACCCCGGGCTGAAGTCGGACTGGCTTTCCAGGTACTGGATCTGCTCGTCGGTCAACTTGATCGAGAGCGCCTTGATGTTGGCGTGCAGGTGCTCGACCTTGCGGCCGCCGACGATGGGGAAGACGTTGACCGTCTTCTGCATCACGTAGGCAAGGGCGATGACGCTGAGCGACTCGACCCCGTGCTCCTGGGCGACCTTCTCCAGCGCGGCCGACATCTTTTCCTGTTGAGGCGTCTGGCCGGCCGGGCCGAACATGTGGCGGAGGCCCTCGCCCTGTTTCTTGCGCTCTTCGATCTGCTTCTTGGTCTGGAACTTGCCTCCGCCGAGCACGTCCCACGGTGCCAGCGCCATGCCGAAGTGGCGCGCCATGGGGATGATCTCGCGCTCAAAGTCTCGCTGCATGACGTTCCACTGGCCTTGGTACACGCAGAACGGGGTCTTTCCCTGGGCCCGGGCGTACGTGTTCGCCGCCGAGACGATCCATGCGGGCGTGTCGGAGATTCCCAAATAGAGCACTTTGCCGGATTCCACGAGCAGATGGAGACTGTCCATCACTTCTTCGATGGAGGTTGTCCAATCCTGCTGATTTCAGCCTCCTCGGTTCTCGAAGCAAAGGAGGTCGAATGGAAAATCTCATAAGGGACGTTGTGACAAACTTACCCACCAATGAACGTACAGCAGGTCGATGTAATTGGTCTGCAGCTTCGCAAGAGAATCTCTGATCGAGAGGTGCAGACTCTTCCGAGAGTTTCCAGAGTAGTTGACCGTCTTGCCTTTGCCGAGCTCCCAACTTCGGTAGGGTGTCGTGTACCTTCGTGGAAAGGTGTCAGCGGCTTGTTCTTGTGATAGACGGTATGGGCAAAAGTCACATACTTGGTGGCAATGACCATGAGATCCCGATTCTTCTTCGCTGCCATCCACTCACCAATCCACTTCTCCGATTGTTCATCCTGATAGTTGTTCTAAACAGGGCGGCAAACATCCGGTCAATCGATCAGTTACAGAAACGCAGACACAGACCCGAGCAATTTTGGTCTCATTGAGGAGCTGGAGTGGACGTACAGCGGTGTCGATGAAGTTTCCACCGGCCTCGAAATAGGCATCCAGGAGTTTGAAGGATTGCTCTTTGTTCATGCTGCCCATGCCCTAAGAGACAGCAACATGGCTCGTTAGCCGTGCTCATGGCTGTAACCACAAATGAGAACTCACCGGGCTCCAGGCATCTCCCAGGGACATAGCACCCAAACATAAGGGCGACACCCTGACGCCGGCGGTGGGAGACAGAACCCGATACCGACCCAACTCGGTGGGTGGTTCTGGGGCGGGACCGAAGCGTTCAGTCATGGTTGCAGCGGACTGGGCCCTCTTTCTGAGCGTTTGGGGAGGGAGACTGGCTGGGATTTGGGGATTGATGCGAGCTACTAAGTTGCTGGACGGATGTCGATGGGCCAAGTAAGTGACAGACAAGAGGGCAACCGGTTGTTCTTATACGACTGACCACCCTTCTCGACGTGACGAGGCGAGCACCACCAGACATCCAATCAATCGCAGGCCTCACCACAACGAACCTTCAGGCCTTCGAGCTCCCCCGGGATGGAGGCGGAAGCTCCCCTGTGCCATCTGCAAGGCACTGACGTTTTCCGATCATATCTCCATGTTTCCCGAGCATCTCTGCTGCATTAGCGAAATGCTCGAGAGCGAGAGACCCGCATGCTTAGACTTACGAGTAGTTACTCCCACAGCAAGCTGAAGTTTTGATCGGCTCTTGTCTAGCCCAAAGGTGTAAAGCTCTCTGCCGAGTCAGTCTCGCACGGGCACTCCGCTCTTTCGATGGACACCACCCTTCGCCATGCCGGGGTCCGCTTTGTGGGTGTGAGTGTGGCTTTGATTTGGGCTGGTCCACGGTCGGCCGAACGCGGCCAAGACGAGCCCAATGAATGTTGAGCTACTGTACGAGGTAGTGGTGGCGAGAGTCACGGGTGACATTTAGCCAAACGGGCAGAGAGAGATCGGTGGAATTAGCTGGAGATAAGAAAGACTGTGCAGAACTGATTCCATGATCAAATTACTGCGCACAGATACTCAGAGCTTGACCTTGTATAGCCCAACGCCGCCAGCACGTCTTTCGGATGAATGCGGTGATTGAGTCCACCACCCAGGCAATGCAACACCCTAGCGTTGCAACACGCGTTTTATTCCACCCCACCACCAGACCATCTCAATCAAACCAACTACCACTCAACCAATTCACCATTAATTACGCGTAAATGGCCTCAAATCGAGAGATCAGAATCCAACAGGCTATTCAAGACTTTGAAACACGCAAAATATCCCTCAATTCGCGCGGCTGCGGCCGCAAACGACGTCAACTACGCCACGTTAAGTCGCAGACTAAGAGGCACTCAATCGGCTACGCTCGCCCACGAACCACAGCAGTTATTGTCGAATATACAGGAGGAACTGTTAAAGAGATGGATACTTAATCTAGAGGCTCAAGGACACGCGCCTAGCTATCCTGCTGTGCGAGTTCTCGTAGGGATAGTTAGCGAGTCGTCTGGCGGCCCCAGTCAGGTCGGACACAACTGGCTACCACGGTTTATCCAGCGACATCCTGATATCCGTTCAAAGGTAGGCCGAAAGATCTCTGTTAAGCGCGTCAATTATACACTTCCTGAGCTACTTGAGGGGTGGTTTCGCGGTCTGCAATCGATTAAAGTACGATATTCGATCTTACCACAGAACACCTTCAATATGGACGAATCTGGACTGGCTCTAGGCGTTTGCAGCAATCAAATCGTTATTGGAACATCGGCTACTACTAGTAGTACGCAAAAATCGCCTGAGACGCGTGAATGGGCAACGCTGGTCGAGGGGGTCTCAGCCACTGGCAAGCGGATCAGGGCGCTAGTTATCTTCAAAGGTAAAGCGCTATAGACCACTTGGTTTGACGATTCCAGTCCTGACTATCTATATACAACCTCGCCAAATGGCTGGATATCAAACGAGATCGGTCTGCGCTGGCTAGACCAGATATTCATTCCTCAAACGACGATAGAAGGCACTGCTCGCGGCGAGTATCGACTACTACTACTGGATGGCCATAAGAGTCACGCTACGCATGAATTTATGCGGAAATGCCACCAGAATAACATCGTTGTGTATTACCTTCTACCGCACTCAAGCCACGTCCTTCAGCCACTTGATCTTACCTATTTTTCGCCTGTTAAGTCCCGTTATCGAGCGCAGATCGCTGATCTAGCTAGATTCGACGATGCAAGCCTAGTTAAGAAGACTAGGTTCCTACAGATCTATCAGAAGGCTAGCCAGGAAGGTCTCAGTGTCGCCAATATCAAGTCTGGCTGGAAGGCTAGTGGTATCTATCCATGGAATCCACGGAATGCCATTCGATCTAGCCTAGTCCTTAAGGACGCCGCAACCGCTCAGATTACGCCACGAACACCGCCTTCTCGCAAGCGAAAAGCCTTCGAGGATAATGTCTATTCTACGCCAGTCAATAGGCGAATTTATGACGATTCAATGGATAGGGCTAGACAAGAGGAAACGATCTCAAGACCACTCCGCAGGTTCCTGAATAAGACCGGCAAAGAACTCGATCGTTTACGGTGGAATAATCAACAGAAGGATCGGCAAATCGCTAGTCTAAAGGCTCAACTAGAGCGATCGAAGGCCCAGAGGTAAAAGGGTAAGGCAATTGATGCTAACGAGACCTTTGCTAGCTTCGAGAGTATACAGGCGGCCAAAGAGGCATTGGCCACGTTGGCGGCGACGACGATAGCGACTAGGAGGACTAGGCAGTCTACAAACAACAGGAATAGCACCTCAAACGACCCAATTGCGGCGTTTATGAACGTGTTCCATGTCAACGATAGTGCTAGTTGAGTAATTGAGACTTGTTCTGTTGCAACAGTTGTAAAATCGCGTGTTGCAACGCTAGGGTGTTGCATTGCCTGGGTGGTGGACTTATGTCTCATCTCGAGCAGAAAACGCGTAAGAGTAGATGGTCCATGGTTGCATTGGATGCTTGATTGGATTTTGGCTAACAAAAGTGCAATAGTGGCCTGGCGAGCCTGATCTAACAACAGCCAGCGAAGACCTTTTCCCTCTGGGTCTCGTATGAAGAAAGCTCCGTCATCATCAAAGCACAAGCTCTCGAGTGTGGAATCAAGCCCTGGGCAGAAGCAAACTCCGGGAAGATGCACAGATGGTCTTTCGCAGTATTATTCTTCTCCCCCATTTGCCGTGGTAGAATATCCCCATCCATTTATTTCCCGTTGATTCCCAGGCTTTTCCTGTCGGCCTCCCATAAAAGCTCGTGATTGATTTTGGTGTCATGTCCATGTCGAAAAAGTCTATTGAATTCATCATGTCCCACAGGATGTCGAAAGAGAGAGAAACCCGCAAATAACTTTTGGTTCTTTTGGTGAAAAACGAATCTCGTCAAAGGCCGGAAAGGTCAGTCCTTCCAGCCCCGCGGCCCCCATTCATGTCAGAGCCTTCTGATGAGTCTCATCATCCCATTGTTTCAAGCTTCGAGTTTGCGCCGTCACACTCTCTTTCGTCTCAAACCGACGCCGTGGTGTGAGTCTGGTGTTCGTCTGCACGTATCGTCCGTCCCTCTGTTCACATGAGGCAGTTCGACATGCTGAGGGGTATCTGGAAATCGATCCGGAAAAAAAGCCAACGCTATCTATCAGTGTATCATGCTGAGACCGATAATAAACAGTCGTCTCGAAGAAAATGCCGTGGCCGTCGTCGTCGTCACCGAAGAAGCAAGCCCATGCTGAAGGAGCCTGCCCATTCGCTTTTGAGGGCAACCCCGGTCACTGTTCGAGAGTGCAAATGTTGAAGTAAAAAGAAAACTCCCCGTGTCGACAAGAGATGGAAAGGCCGCTCCACTAGAAAACGCCAGTAGCCGTTTACCACCACGACGAAGGGCCTGTGGCACCGCCTGGGTTGCCGTATCCTCCTCCACTGCCGCCACTGTATCCACCGCTATATGCCCCACCGCCATATGGTGCCCCACCAGAATAGCCTGATTGTGTCAGTGCATGATTTAGGGAAATGGAAACTTGTTGGGACTTACCACCACTACTACCGCCGTAGTTGCTACCGCCATAGCCGCCGCTGTAGGAAGGAGGCCCGCCGCCCATGCCACCACCTACACGACGCATGTCACGAGTAGCAGAGCCACCGCGGCCGGCACCACCGCGACCACGTCCCCCGCGACCACCGCCGAACCCAGAACTTTCACGAGCAATATTCTCCAAGAAGCTGGGAACTTCTTGGTTTGCCTCTTTGAGAAGCTCCATGAGGTCACGAACAATGCCACGGTTACCGCGATTGAAGAAAGCGGTTGACAGACCGGTGTTGCCAGCACGACCGGTACGACCGATTCGGTGCACATAGTCGTCAATGTCAGTGGGTAGGTCGTAATTGATAACATGCATAACGTTCGGGATGTCGAGACCACCTAGAGAAATGACGGGCAGTAATTAGTAGACGTTCACAGAATGACTAAACAGATCGACAGCGTCGAAATGGATGGAATTCAAGGTCCTCAGGATTGGGCGATGGTAGGTCCTTGGAGGCCATGTCGTGTAGTTTCTGCGATGTCCTGGAATGCAGTTTGGGAAGGAAGAAAGCAAAGAAGAGAAGGAGGGAAAGAGAATAAAGAGGGGATTACTCACGAGCAGCAACGGCCGTAGCAACCATGATGGGGCATCTGCCATTGCGGAAGAATTCCAGTGCTCTTTCACGCTCACGTTGCGTGCGATCACCGTGGATTGCAGTGGCTGGGAAGCCTTGGTTGATCAGGAAGTCGGACAAGGTATCGGCCATGCGTTTGGTCTCCACGAAGATCAGGGTGAGACCGTTACGATGAGTGTGGAGGATGTCTAGCAAGACGGAGCGCTTGTCCTGGTCTTCGACGTATTCAACCTTCTGGGTGATGTTCTCGGATGTAGAGCCCACTCGACCGACTGACAAGAAGACGTAGTCCTTGAGGAAATCTCTTGCCAACATCTGGATGTCGCGCGGGAAAGTGGCGGAAAACATGAGGGTTTGGCGGTTCTGGACTGAAGGCATGTCCTCGCCCTCGACAATGCGACGAATCTGGGGCTCGAAACCCATGTCAAGCATGCGATCGGCCTCGTCGAGAACCAAATACTTGATGTTCGCCAGGGAGATGCGGCCTCGCTCTATGAGATCGACAAGACGGCCTGGAGTAGCAACGAGCAAGTCACAACCTCGTTCAATAGAGCGAAGTTGAGTACCAATGTCGGCACCACCGTAGACCACGCATGGTCTGACCCAGGAACGGTAAGAGAATTTTCGTGCCTCATCATAGATCTGGGAGACCAATTCACGTGTGGGGGCCAGAATCAAAGATGTCGGGAAAGCCTTGCGTTGGCGGAAACCACCTCCACTGGTAGGTGTGACAGACGGTCCATTTTGAAAAGCCTGTGAAAGAATAGGGAACAAGAAACCGCCGGTCTTGCCAGAACCAGTCTGGGCACAAGCCATGAGGTCTCGCCCACCCATCACGATTGGAATAGAATACTTCTGTACAGGCGTTGGAGTGGTGTATCGTGCGAGCTTGATGTTGCTCAGAAGGTGATCATCAAGGGGAGGGTTTGTGAATGCATTGACCGGTTCCGGGACATCGTGGCCACTAGCCTCAACAGGGATGTCGTCATAGTTGGCAAAATTGATTCCAGTATGAGCCTTGGTCGGGTCGTTTGGTGTGCCGAATAGTTCACGTTCAACTTTTGGGTTTGGTGGTCCTGCAATGTGTTGACCATCTCTCCATTGACCATCTCCTGAACCACGGGCAGCGTTGCCACCATAATTTCCACCGTAACCGCCGCCATGACCACCACCATGGCCACCACCAGGAGCACCGTAGGCGTTCGGGTTGAAGGCACGCGGAGTGTGACCAGCACCCCAGCCATTGGCTTGAGGAGCAGGAGCGCCAGGACCAGGAGCGCCAGGAGCGCCAGGAGCGGGGGCACCAGGACCAGGCTTGAAATCAGGAGCCGCCGCCCAGCTGCCATTGCTTTGACTGAGATTCGTAAGTATAACTTGGTTGTTTTGAGGGGTTTCTTTCACATACGTATTGGTAGCCCAGGCGCTTCCGTTCAATCCTTGGTTTCCGGCGTTAGGTGCAGGTCCAGGCGCAGGTCCGGCACCTGCTCCGTCCATACCCATCACTGGAGGACCACGGGCACTCTGGCCACGAAGATGAGGAGGAATGTACGCACGAGCGGGCATCGGATTGCCTGGAGCGTGCTTGGATTCGTTCAGAGAGAGACCGTTCATGTTCAAGGAATCAGCCATGTTTGGTAGTTTTGAGTGAAATCTGGTATTTGCTGAAAATGAAAAGGTCAGCTTAGACTCAATAAATTTGCTGATAAAGCCGTTGGAATTGTCTCTGAGAAAATTCCAGAAGGAGTTTCAACACACACTCGAAGGGTCGGTGCGTGCAAGAAACCGATGAGTAGGCGAGAGTGGAACTCACGGATCGAAAGGGTCAAACAGGTAGTTCGACGTCTGAAATAGTTTGACTGAGTGAAGAAAAGAGGCAGTTGTGATAATCGCTGCTCGAAAGGTGAAGTGAGGCTGTTGAGGCGTCTAATGTTTCAATCGCTGATGATTGCTTGGTCTTTCGTGTCCGGCAGATAGAATGAGAGACACAGAACGCCTCTCCAAGTCTATCCGAAAGTGAAAACGAAAGACAGAAACAAGAAGGACCGTGGAATTGTCGGTTGTGGTTGTTGTGTGGATGAGAGGAGGTTGATGAAACGAGGTTTTGAAGGATGAAAAAGTCTTGAAAGCGCAGCCTAAAATTTTTAGGGAGCGGCGAGCAGGTGATCATGACATGGGCCCGATCGGCCAGGCTAGAAGCTACTGGACAATGAATTAAAAACGCAGTTTGCCAAGAGCGAGCCTATGCCGTATTGGTGCACCGCAATTGCCACCAAGGAGCAGGAGATTTCGCTATTATCACCAAAAGATAGACGGTAATGTACTCCGTGGATTCCTGGTATCTATGCCAATTGACCGTCTACTGACGCGGAACACACACCAAGGGATCCCTGCAGACAGAATTGACAATTGAACCAAAGGCCAACTCTATCCTCTACAATATCTACTTACGCCATGCTTTTATCGTCCAACTTTTGGGATGGGGATCTGCGTCTCTTCACGATGACCACAACAATCAGCATGATCACAAGAAAGAACACTGCCTTCTGCATATATGCCTGGGTAACGAGGTCTTCCACAGGACTAGAAGACTCCCCAATTGCGGACAATCCCTGGGGCAGTGCTTCATTCTCATCCTCCGCTGATGGCAATTTTGTCCCCGGTTCACCGTCCACATCATCGTCATCCATATACTCGGGATGCACGTTCGAATAGATGGGTTGTTCTGTCAGATGTGTCTTAGCCCTTCTTCAGAGATTTGTAGTAATCCGAGAGCAGTACCTGCCCTCAAATCCTAAAGTTCGTTATGAATACCTTCGGGCGGCACAGGCAGCTCTCCGCTCTTGACGATCTTGACCGGTTTGGCTGGACGGTCACCCGAGCCCTTGGGTACGTTTTCAATCTGCTCGACAACATCATATCCCTCGAGCACCTCTCCGAACACGACATGACGGCCATCGAGCCAGCTACACACTGTTAGCCAACGATGTCGGACGTACACGAAGCCTAGGGTAAGTATACCTTGTAACAACGGTGGTAATGAAGAATTGTGACCCATTTGTGTCCTTGCCTGCATTGGCCATGCTTAACAGGCCCTTCTTCGTGTGCTTCAACTTGAAGTTCTCGTCTTCAAACCTGTCGCCGTAGATTGACTTGCCGCCAGTACCGTCTCCTTTTGTGAAGTCACCGCCCTGAATCATGAACTGTTTGATAACGCGGTGGAAGGATGATCCTTCATAACCGAATCCCTTTTCGCCAGTGGCCAATGCTCGGAAGTTCTCTGCGGTCTGCGCATGGCGAGGAAACTGTTAGCCAGCAGTAATGGAGACAATTGGGTATTACAGCAGCATTACCTTGGGCACGGTTTTGCCATAGAGACCCATGACAATGCGACCTAGCGGTTGACCATCGTGCTCGATATCGAAGTAGACCTTGTGGGTGATCTTAGGACCTTTTGCTGCCTGTGCTGTCTGTCCCATGAACAAGAAGGTAGCGGTCAAAATGACCATCAGCGAAATGACAATCCGCTGAATATTAGCCATCTCGAGCCACATTGAACTATGAGAGTTGAGCGATGGAGAAATGGACTGAGAAGGAAGAAGTCTCAACGGACTGAGAGGCTGTAGCTGACTGATGACAGGGTTGGATGTTTCAGACAACCCTTTCAATGGGGGGCTTCGAAGGGTCCAGCTGCGGCACCCAGAATACCCTAGTCTAAAAGCGGCGGCAAGGCTGAACTGTCGCAACTTTAGTAGACAAATCTCATTTCATCGAGACAGTCAAAAATACTAAGCCACCGTTAACAATAACGACAGAAGCAAACGGCAGGAGAGGAGGAGCAGAGATGGTAAATATTTCTGAACACTGCCCTGCCAGCCGGCAATACTGACGAGGGGTCTATTAGGTCTTCATTCTGGGGGTCAATTTCCCGGAACACCGTTTTGTATGGGTATGTGACTACATTTCATTGTTGAAAGCTTTACGTCCACATTACAGTTTGTCTGATTTGCTCTCAGAGGTCGCTCGAAACGTTTTTTGGCATCGGACCTGCCACGCGCGCCCGCATTATGTCGCGTTTCCACCTACACAATACCATCAAAGTCGGCGAGCTCACGCAGAACCAAGTCCTCGACCTGACCGCTCACTTGGACTCCATGAAGATCGAAAACCACTTGAGGCGGCAAGTGCAGCAGGATATCACAAGACTCAGAGATACCGGGACATACAGGGGACGCAGACACGCGATGAACCTGCCAGTGAGGGGACAGAACACGAGGAGTCAGATCAAAACGGCACGAAAACTTAACAGGGCGGAGCGATATTAGACAGGCTCTTGTCACTTTGTACGAGACTATCCATGCGCAAAGCATACATGGGAAGAAGTTCTTGCATAGCACAGCATTCTGCAGGCTCCGGATTCTAAACCACCAGGAGGACAGCCTGCTTTTGAAGCTTCGACATATACCCCCACGGAACATTGGGGACCGGGTTGAATTGCCCTGGCTTCAACATTCAGATGAGCAAAACCTTGAAAGCTCTATAGACATGGTGGCAATCATATTGCGCGAGACGCTGAGACTTAGCGCAGGTAAAGGGGAAGAAGAGGCCGGGCAAAATCTCAGGGAAAACTTGAAAACTAAAATATGTATCATCTATTCTGGTCTTCAGAGAATGCTAGGGAGCCTAAAGGTCTCCTTTGGGCCCGCAAATAGTTCGTTGACCCTCTCATAAATTCGTAGTGACGGTCATGCTGTTGCTATGCACCAGCAACGTCGGTGGCAGTCCACCAGCCAGCACCTCCAAATCACTGATATACCCAAGGCTATCAGTCTCGCTACGATATGTTCCTTCCACCGGTGCCGGTAATGTGGTGAAGATGACGGCCGTGTCATCACTATTCTGTGATATCAGTTCATTCAAGATCAGATGTTGTGCTCGGCTCGGTAGGTCGTTGAATGACAACGGTATCGAGGCCGTTGTAGGAAAGCCAGAAGCTGACGGTTGGGGAGCAGTGCTATCCTCTCTTGTCCGTTGGTAAATTGATCGTCCTGCCGCCTGGATGGTCTCTTCATCCTTTTGTCGCCGTGGGTGCGGATGGTCGGCGAACATGATTGATGGACCGGCTCCTTCGTCACTGGGCACCTTGGTTAAAGGGATAGACTCGGATGTGAAATTTGGTGAAGGTGCTCGAGATCTTTGTGATGAGGCTGTAATTTCAAGACTTGAGTTGAGCGACGGTACGCCAGAGTCCGACCCGGCAGCTCTGCGGCCTCGATCGACAGCCTCGTCACCTGAAGGGGGAATACCTTCATCGAATTGCAATTCCGGCTCAGCGGAAAAAGCGTGTTCCGTCCTCGGAGCTTCTTCCCTTTGCCTTTTGCGACTCGACTTTTTTGAGCTCGCCCGGCTACTCTTCTTGGACGATGAGGATTTGGTTTTGAGAGCAGACCTCAGACTTCCAGCGGATTCGTGTATCTGGTCTCCGCCCTCGTCTGATAAACTGGCATCAGATTCTTCATCATCTGACATCTCCTCTTCCTCGCCATCTTCTTCGTCATCGTCCTCGGAATCAGAGCGTTCAGAGTCACTTGGATGAGATGCATGGCGGCTGAGCATGTCGTCGTCTATGCGTGAAGTTCTCATAGAAAGACTCACCCCAAGACTGGACAAATTGCCAAATGACGATCTCTTTCTTGGATGCGTCAATATCCTGCGCAGACCATCCATCCGAACGAAAGCACTGTCTCTTCTGCTCGGCAGGGACGAGTTTGGCCACATGAAATCATCAGCCATCGAAAGGGCATCCACGGCACTAACATCGCCAGACCTGGACTTGCCTCGGAGTTTGAGAAGGTCTTGCCACCATGCCTCGTCCTCCAGGACTTTGTTGACTTGGTCTTGCGTCTCGTCATCGACATCTTGCCCATTGACGATACAGTTGTAGGATTTGATGGTGCCACAAGCCAGCCAGAACACAAGAACCTCGGCCCTGATCCGTAGGTTTGCTAAGAGGGACGTGACCCGGGCTCTTTCCTCTTCCACATCAGCCTCGTATTCAACGAAGACGGCGACTCGAAGGTTGTAGGATCGCTTCCACGACGGCACAGTGTTGAGAATGCACCCAAGCTGCAGGATGAGGGTATAGGTGTCGAAATTCGTGGTTGTGACATTCTGCGGTTGACCATCGGCTTCAGATGTAAGTTCCGCGGACATCTGGATGGGCCAGAGGTCGATGTATTTCTTTGTGACAGTAGCTTTCGCTTTAGGAAGTTCCAGGTCGGCAAAACCTATTGCTACAGCAACGTTGGTCCGCAGCTTGAGGATCATATCTTCCAAAACCATGACATAGCTCTGGATATCTGTTCTCTTTTCCACATAGCACACATCGGTAGGCAATTCGCCTCGGACCTGGCTTCTGCTGGTACGACGACGTCTAACCGATCCGGCTTTTCGTTCTGGAGGCGGGCTCGGTACGTCGACTAAGGGTTGCTCGGATCTGAACTGTTGTAAATTGTAGAAGCCGAAGACGACAATGTTAGGGCGCATGCCCCCCAACCCAGCGGAGAGAAAGACATTTCTAGCCCCCCATTCAATGGAAGGCGAAATTGCCACATTGACAAAAGCCTTGATTTTGGAGATATCGATAAACTTGTTCCAAGCTGCTTGCTGACGACGTGCTTCGGGCACGGAGGCGCCAAAGTTCTGCGTAACAATGACATGGCCGATGATGAACAAGGCGCCTTTCTTAAGCGAGTTACAGAAGTGAATGAGTTTGTAACTCCTTCTAGGGTCATTAACGAGTAGAAGGATCTGCGGGCGCCAAAATTTGACATGCTCGTTCCTGAGTCTCAGGAGATACTTTCGGACTTGGTGATAGATGAGGACTTCTGAAATTGAGCCCCAAGGCTTTGGCGGAGTCGTGTAGTGGATCATTATGATGAGGATGAGAAGAAGACAAACCGACCCAGACGCTGAAATTCCATCGACAAAGAACATGCTGCCGACGCTGAGAAGTGCCCCAGAGGCCGCCGTCCACCAGTTGAAATACGAAAACGAAGGCCGAAAGTTTGGCGCAGAACCAATCTTCAACAGGAACGTGGCCACGTTCAGAGCGAAAAAAGTCCTGCAAAAGTCATCAGTACCATCCTGGAACCAGTCGGTAGCAACACTTACATTAGGTAAGTCATTGTAATCAGCGAAGCAATTTGGTTGATGTCGAGAAGGAGCACCAGCTGAGTGACTGCGAAGGTGCAAAGGATGGCATAAATTGGCTCATCCTTCTTCTTCGTCCCTTGTCCAAATATAGAGAGCCCCGGAACCACTCTATCTCTGGCAATGGCTTGTAGTTGCTTGGCTGGTCCGATGATGCCCATTAAAACGGAGAAGAACGTCGATGCCAACTCTCCGGCCAGAATTAATATCCCTGATATGCTGGCGTCCTGCACGACGTTGATGTTTCGGTAGAAGGATTCCCTGGTGATGCTCGCAGCCATAGCTACAACCACCAAGGTGTATGCGACGAAGGTTAAGGCCAATCCACCAAGTGTACCCCGGGGGATAGACACACTAGGATTCTTCAGATCGCCTGACATGCTCGCTCCTGCGAGGATGCCTCCAGTTGCGGGGAATAAAATGCCAAAAAGATCTTGATAGTTCTCCTTACCCTTCAGCTCGCTGCCAGCGGCTCCTTTGGTGAAGTGAGGAAGCAGGTTCTCCTTTAGAGTGTCAAGGCGAAGGCCTGTGAACTGCAAGAATTGCTTCTGAGTCTCGAAAGGGGTTCGAATGATGGCTGAAAATGGAACGCTAAACGTTGCCAGAAGTAGAATGAAAAGCAGGCCATTGCTCGCACGTGCAAAAATCGCACTTCCGGCCATACAGATAGCGACACATAGTACCACGACTAGAGTGCTCCAGAGGTACTCCCACCACAGACCCTCAGGTAGTGCGTTGGCCCAGTTCCCTGACTCGGCACCAAAATTGTAGGACAGACAGTCGACCAGAGCAACTGCATTCATTCCTGTGTTGAAAACGAAGCCGAGATACGACACCAAGCCGATCGCTCCACCAAATTCAGGACCCAGAGATCTGGAGATCAGGTAATAGGCCCCGCCTCCTCTGACGGTGCCGTTGGAAGCTACCGCCGAAAGAGACATAGTCGTAACTAAATTGATGGCATAGGCTGCGACCAACATGGCAAGCATGCCTATGACGCCGCTCTGGCCAAGTATGAAACCGAAGCGGATGAACATGAGGATGCTTAGGACGTTCAGACTTGTAGGAACGAAGACTCCTGAGAACGTGCCCAACTTTTCCGAGCCACCGACTGTGCGTGGAGCCGTGCCATCACTGTGTAGAAGTGATTTCTCTACCTTGCCCGGTATACCACGGATATACGCTGCTAGTGTATGTCCTGGCGAGGTCTGATTTGCGGCGGTCGGTTCTGGCGGTTGGGCATCATCTCGGGAGTCTTGAGGGCCATCGAAAGTCCCATAAACTTTTGAAGTCGTTGTGTCTACCGGGGCCAGCGGAGGAACAGACACAGAAGATTGAGCGGTCGCAGGTCTCGACAAAGTATGTACTGAGCCATCGTGCGCTGATGCAGGACGGCGCTCTTCTGGAGTGCCAGGGAATGACGACCTCCGCAGCAATTGAGCAGCCTCATCAGTAGCTGTGCGCGTCAAGAAGGTGGGACCGCGTCGAGTTACAGAGCCTCGCCCTATTCCAAAGTCTGGCCAGCCTTTTTTTCCTCCTGTGCTGGCCATGATTATTCAAGGTCCCCTCTGGATATCGATCCATAATCAGTGCATCCTTCCGCTCGGGTGAGTGGAGACAGGCAATAGGAGCAGTAACCTCGAAGGGGACTGAAGTGAAGATTGTAAGGTATCCGTCAAGATCACTGGCACGATCTCTGGCCCTGGTGAAGAGCTTCGCTGGCTGATATCTTCTCTAGTTATCACTTGAACGGACTCGCCGTCACCTAGTGTGAAACCAGCCGGGAAAATCAATCGAGGTTGACAGGGGCAAAAATTGAATTGCGGGGATCAGTGGATAATGAAAGGGAAGAATGTGGTACAAAGGTATTACGCAAATGAGGGATGAAGGAGCGCGTTTGTACCTATAGACGGGTGTCGAGGTATTGTCGAAAGGGGAATTTTGCACCTCAAGCTTTGCCAGCGCCAACGTGGGGGTGACTGTTAAGCCCAAGAACTGCCCAGCGCTCTCTACGGTCCCTGGGAATTGGGCGTCACGGTTAAACACGTTTATTGGTCCCGCGCCTATTCTCGGCCTTGACCGCAGAAGCAAACCACGCCGAGGCATCCTCCGCGCAGTCCGCAGGGGATTTCGCCGCTTGCATCATGCTGGCCAGTTACGTCGCAGGCGAAAAAGCACTTCCTATTATTTCTTTGCCACGAGCGCACCACACAAGCACTTGTCCTTTGATCATTCGTACCGATCACATGCTATATCCTTGATATCTTTGGGTTTGAGCAAGCCGTTTCACTCTACATATGTCGTCGTGTCTGTCGCTCCTAATTCTGCCTTGAACTCAGCAGCCTTTCAATGTCGTCAACAACATCTCGAACCAGCCCTGTGGACATACGTCCAAGTAGTCCAGCAGGAGGCAGCGCGCATTCCCGAAACACGTCGATAGCACGATTATGCTCTCCTGTGCCATCGCAGCGTCTTAATACGCCCCCTGTACAGCAGGTCCCGACGCCTCAGCAAATCGCAGCCGACAACAATGATTCTGCCCTGCCCAAACTCGATCAGTCTGGGTCGTTGCCAGGCCCAGGTCGGTCTGCCCTATCCACAGCTCTGGCCGATACTGGGAATCGAACTCCTCCTAGAACTCGTACACCACCTGTTCCCGCAAACGACTCTTCCCCGAGACAGCCCCTATTGAGCGCCGCAGCAGGACTGGGGAGTCACGACAGATTACCGAGGAGCAATTATGGCTCTTTCAACCCTCGTGAGGTGGCTGGAAGCCCAGGACCTACAGAGGACCCCGAGGTGGTGAAAAGACATTTGGTGCAGCCGGATCAAGGCTCATCGAGAGGTAGACCTCTCCGATTAGATCTGAGCGAACCAGGGAGCGGTTTGGATTCACCCGAGTTCTCCAGTCTCCGGTTGCAAGGTGGGGACATGACCCGTGCCGTCTATCGATGGGCAGAAGAACAGGAAGGAAACCAACCTGGCAAGGCTCAGAGGAGCAAGAGTTTCACTATGCCGAGACCAGAGCCTGAAAGTGACACCTTGGACATACAAAACATCCGGGTGCCTGGCGGATTCCGCAGAAACTTTCTGCGTAGAGCTGCTGAGAGTCCCACCCCTTCGGGTCGAGCCTGGAAGGGTTCTCCTGCAGCACACGGGCAGGATGCTTCTGCAAGTGATGCTCAACCCAGGCTTTTTACGAATAATTTTCTAGAGTTTCTCACGCTCTACGGACACTTCGCGGGTGAAGATCTAGAGGAGGACGACGAGGTTCTTGAACCAGATGAATATTTCTCATCGGATGCTTACGACGAGGGCAGCGATCGAGAGCCTTTGGAGGATAGTGCTCTGCTTACACCGGGTGGACTCCGTCGAAGACGACACAAGGAGCGCCCGCCGACTGGAACGGGCAGCAGTCTCAATGCAGCCCTCCTCCTCCTGAAATCTTTTGTTGGCACAGGAGTCCTCTTCTTGCCGCGGGCGTTTTTGAACGGCGGCATGCTCTTCTCTTCCCTCGTCCTGCTAGCTGTTGCCGTCCTCAGCTATCACTGTTTTATCTTGCTCATAAGCACGCGGAACAAGGTCGAGGCTTCGTTCGGCGACATCGGCGGCATTCTCTACGGGAAGTGGATGAGAGCAATGATTCTGTTCTCCATCGTTCTTAGCCAGATTGGGTTTGTATCGGCATATACCGTCTTCACGTCGGAGAATCTACAGGCATTCGTCCTTGCGGTTTCCAAGTGCAGGACTTTCATCGACATCAAGTTCATGGTGCTGATGCAACTTGTCATATTCTTGCCACTGAGCTTGATCAGGGATATCGGAAAACTCGGCTTCACAGCTCTAATCGCTGACGCCTTCATCCTCGTGGGCCTCATCTACCTTTACTACTACGACATTGCCACCATCGTTGACAACAAAGGACCTTCAGATATCACCTTGTTCAACCCTTCAACCTGGACGCTTTTCATCGGCACGGCTATTTTCACTTTCGAAGGCGTAGGACTGATCATCCCAATTCAAGAATCAATGAAGCGACCTCGAGACTTCCCTGGTGTCTTGGCTACGGTCATGGTCGTCATCACCATTCTGTTTACCTCCATCGGCGCGCTCTCGTACGCTGCATATGGGTCGAAAACCAAGACGGTCGTCATTCTCAATCTGCCTCAAGATAGCAAGATGGTCAACGCTGTGCAATTTCTCTACTCCCTGGCTATCCTTCTCAGCACACCGCTCCAACTGTTCCCGGCCATCCGTATCATGGAAAATGAACTATTCAGTCGCTCGGGCAAATACAACCCTTACATCAAATGGCAGAAGAACATTTTTCGCTTCTTCCTTGTTTGCGTATGTTCGCTCATTGCATGGGGTGGTGCGGGCGATCTGGACAAGTTTGTCGCCCTAGTTGGCAGCTTCGCATGCATACCGCTGGTATATTGCTACCCTCCCTTGTTGCATCTCAAGGCTGTGGCAAAGACCGACCTGCAGAGATGGTTAGATTATCTGATGTTTGCCTTCGGGTTGGCAAGTTGTGTGTACACGACCGTCTTGACGATCCAGCAGTGGGCTGGGAGCAGTGGCGGCAAATCCCCTGGATATTGCGACTCCTAAAGCACTGGTGGGAATGGACGCCGCCATGCACAAAGGGCGTGGGTGAAGAGGACAAGGGTACAATTTGAGCAGTCTGCTGTCAACTCCAGGGAAAGCTGGTAGGGCATTCTGGGTCGACCGCTTTTTTACTTCCCACAAGATGCCGTCAACCCGACTTCCGAATATCTGGACACACCTTTCTGCTTCACCCTTTATTTCAACCTGTTCAGACCCGTGTTTTAACGGCTGGGGGAATCCCATTCTCGATTCCACATTTGTAAGACAGTACCAAGGCTTGCACTCCATCAATTTGAGGCTCACGTCGGGGACCATCCTGGCTCGCCTCTTTATATAGTTGATCAGATGAGCCAATCATTGGAATGCATGTCTTCGACCTCAAATTTGAGGCACAAAGTGTATATCACGTTTCCCGATGGTCTAATATTACCATGTTGGTAACCACCGAGATCAACATTCCCTGAATAGACTGGCAAATATCGTCGTATTGGAACTTTCAGCATGACCACCCAGATTTTCGCTCAGTTCCCTCGCTCTCTTGACGTCCTTGTCCTTGTATCTGAAATATCTGGTAGCTGCCAGCTGCTCGCGAAGGAGTTGGCTCTCCGCGAAAGAGGGGTGTCTCGAGCCCTGCCTTCTTGCCGTTTATCTCGTACGAGGAACCCGTCTTTGTTGTTTGAAAGATCAGATCATGAGCACCAGGTGTCCAAGGAGAATGTTACAAGTGGGCTGGCTGCGTAGAATTCTGAAAGTACATGGTTATCTGGGACAGATAAAATACAAGATTGTTGCAGCCTTTATCAAATCCTTCTGGTACGGCTGACCGCGCTAATGCAGGTACAACAATCAAAATGAAGTTGGGGGACTCGCGCCCTCGTCCGAGTGGATTTCAGGGCGAAAGAGTATTGACTTTCGGCCCAGGTTTACCACATTTGGAGCAATCCGTGAAGCTTACCGGGTCTTCGAGAGTAGTTGCCGAGAATATTCGCTCGTGGAAGGCTCGGTCCCGGGAAACCCTCAGAGAAGATGGGAAAGGCGACAGGTGATTGTGTCTTCCATGCTGGAGTCGAACGATAAAGCAGGCTTGTCCCTGTGCTTGATCCAGTGGCTTCTCATGGTGTTTTCAATGAGACGACAACAGCATTGGAAAGACGACATCAGCCGACGCCTTTGCATTGGCTTCGAGCGCTGGAGGGCCATATGCGAAATCCGCACCAAAAACAGCGTCCTCGAATGCCCGTTTTGATTCGCTGACTTCCATCAAATCAAGCGCGGCTTTCATTCTTTCAGGCATAAATGGCTGGAGCAGGATGGCCATGATTCGGATAGATTCCGCGCTCGTGAAGAGGACGTAATTGGCTATGCGTCTTGTTTCGGGGTCTGCACTCTTGATAATCTTCCAGACTCCGGTGTTGTGAAAGAACTTGTTGGTCTGAAAACTGGTTAGCTCTGCGACCTCCAAAGAATGCTCGACACTCCATACCTCTCCAATGAGCTCGCAGACTGACTGGACGGCCTTCCGGGGATCTGGTTCCTTCATGTGGCTGTCTGCGATTTCTCTCACAGTGCATAATTTGGCATATTGACCTTTGAGACTGGCATGAATGGCCTTCAGTTCCGGTTTACTTGAGGGCCATTGGTCTTGAGTGATGGCTTTCGAGAAACTCTCGTCTTCCTTGGCCAACCTGACCGCTTCGCGGACGTCGAAGTGCTTGCTCTTGAAGACACGATGAATCAGATTTCCGAGACCACCCCTCAGCAAGTGATTGTACGTTTCTTCAATGAAGGAATTGTCGTAGGTAGCATCGTCGACAATACCCCCATTGTGTGCCATGAAAAATCGAATACAATCCACTCCGAATCGGTCCATGGCGTAGAATGGATTGACCCCATTCCCGGCTGATTTGGACATCTTCTCATTGTTCATCGTCCAATGAGCGTGGGTCAGGAATCTTTCGGTCACAGGAAGTTCCAAAGCCATGAGGAAAGCAGGCCAGTATATCGTGTGAAAACGAATAATGTCTTTGCCAATGACTTGACAGTTCGGTGGCCAAACCATGTTCGGATCATTTCGGTTGACGAACGGGTATCCTGTCATTGTCAGGTAATTGAATAAGGCGTCGAGCCAGACGTAGATAGTCTGGCTCTCGTCACCTGGAACTTGAATTCCCCACGTCAACCGCGATGAAGGTCTAGAAACAGAGAGGTCCTTGAGTCCACTTCGAATCTCGTCCATAATGAAGGCCATGCGCTGTTTTGGGACAATGGCGCCTGCGTGTTCCTCGTAGTACTTCAGCAGGGGAGCCTGAAAAGCGGACAGCCGGAAATGGTAATTCATCTCCGAAGTCCATTCCACATCTTTTCCAGTCTCGATGGAGACGATTTTCGTTAACCCTGTCGAGGGATCGAGGACTTTGTGGACTTGAGTTGAGGGATAGAAAGTCTCGTCGCTGACCGAGTACCATCCCTCATGCTTGGCTTCATAGATGTATCCACTGCGGTTCAGCTCTTCCCAGACATACCGGACAACATCCTTATGGTCCTCGTCCGTGGTACGAATGAAGCGATCATAGTCGATATTGGCCGCGTCACATAATGTCTTGAACTGCTCAGCGTGGTGATCGCAGAACAACTTGATGTCGGTGTTCGCCTTTTGAGCAGCCTTTTGAACCTTCATTCCATGTTCATCGGTTCCCGTCAGTAGGGTCGCCCTCTGATCGCCGCGAAGCTTTGCCCATCGTTTGAGAACATCTGCGAGGACTAACGTGTAGAGGTGGCCGACATGGGGTGCTGCACCGTAGCGTCCATGGTCAGCAGGTTATTGTTAGGGATGAAGGATGAGCACACATGCCTGAGTTGACATAGAAGATGGGAGTTGTCACGTAGAAAGGTTTCCCTGCTGGGGCAATGGTAGGCCGTTCTGGCTCAATGGCTGCTGCCAGGCCGCGTCGTTGGGGGTTGCCACGAAGCAGAACTGGTTGAGATGGTCGACACCGGGCAGAAGCGCGACATTGGAGGAAGAAACTGCGAGCGTTGCGCTCGAGAGCCAGCATGCTGGAAGGGAAGGCTTTCAAGGTGCTGGGTGGGCACACGATGGGAGAGTCAACACGCTCCAATTATTTTTCAAAGCTTGAGCAATTTTCTCCGCATCGTATTCTGGTGTCCCCGATTTGCGACGAGGCTACGAGGCTGAGCCGGCCAGGTGGCGATGGTGGCCAGGCAGCCTCTATTTCATGAGCAAAAGCCAGCGCACACCAGTGCTCGCGCAGAAAACTAGATGAATGTCTGATACCGGTGAATATGTTGATACACATTACCAAGAAAGACTAAGGGGACGCCCGTACAGAGTGCTGCACTTCGCGCGTTTCCAGACAAAATCCTTAGTTCGCCTTGCGGTTCTGAAACCATAATCCACGAATGTATTTTTTCCGTCAATGCGCCATAGCTAACACCGGCAGCCATCGTCACCTTGCCTGTTCGAACCCGTCGCGTCATACTTAGGAAGTCGTCTGAGGTCTTATATTCGCCTTGACTCGTTCTAAAAGCTCGGCTCTGGTCATTTTGTTGTCGGGAGCTAAATTCCTCTAGAGCCGGGCATCAGCTTCTTGATCTCTGAAGCAGACCGACGGTAACACATGCAAGACGACTGCAGACTTACCAGTTTCAGCCAGCGCCTCAGCTCTGTTTCGGTCCAGTATTCCAAATCTGTGTCCATTAGCTCAATTCTTTGGTGCTGGGATTAAAGCACTGAGAGTCGTTGTTGCGTAGCAGGGACGAGATCATACCGCCGGTGGGATCGCCTTCAGCAGGGAACATATCTCCTCCCCACATATTCCACAATGATGCGAGAGTCACCAACCCCGCAAAACCTAAGAAGAGGTAGAAAAAGTCAGGAGCCATCCCTAGCTTTGGGTCGAACTAGGTATCTTGTTCGGGTGGGGGATTCGAAAGGGCCAGAAAAGGTGCTGGCGGTGCCGTCGGCAATAGAAGTCCTCATCCAAAGATACAAGGCAAACCAGGACTCTCCAGATCGACGTCCTGAAACATACCGAAGAATAAATTCTAGTCGCCACATCAGTTTGAGCAATGTAAATGTCACCGGAATTCAAGTGTGACCTCGAGACAGTGACGAAATTAAAGTGTCGAGGCATAATGCCGTACATGTAACTAGGGCCAGGAGATACCACGTACACGAGATTGCATCGCCTTGTCCAACGGAGTAGGCATATTAGATCCCTTTCTCTAGGTCTTCGTAGCAGGTATCAAAAGTGGTTGATATTTGGTCAGGGTGTGGCGATATATCGATGGATAAGGCCAAAGAGTTATACAGAAGAGAGATATCACGTCTTTCTTGGAAACACAGCTATACTTTCCAGAGAGATCAGGCAGCAAAGAATACTGGGTGGATAGGGCGCATGAGGAACGAATGAATGTCATAATGGGTGGCGCCTTGAGCGATGGCGATCGGATGGGGAGAATACACAGTGGGAGCCTTGTGATTGGCGAAACACAACGAAAGGGACAGCTTTCCCTAGTCCTTCTCGATCTGGTCATTGACTTGTGTGTTCTCACAATGTCTAGAGCCTCGGTTCTGAATTCATCATGAATGGGTATCATTGTTCTAACCATCTCGTCATGTGTATCGTGACATATAAAGTATCTGTTTAAGTATATACAAGACCATAGAAGGCACGAATCAACCACCACCCAGGGAAGATCTGGCTTTCTCCTTTTTGAGAATCCTCTGTATCAACCGGGGGCAGGAACAACGCCATCGCTTCGGACGCAGAATTCAACAATCAATTTCTGTAAGTCTGCCAGTTTGTATGGCTTTGTCATGAATCCTTCCATCCCCGTCTTGGTGGCCCGGTCGATGGCCTCGTCAGTGACATCAGCGCTGACAGCTAGGACAATGGGAGGGGTCGCGCGCCCACAGTCGGATTCATCTTCGCCTTGAGGATGCTGGAACATCTCCAATATATGCTCGGTCGCCTGATAGCCATCCATTTCGGGCATCCAGAGGTCCATCAAGACGACGTCCACCTTTTTTGCGGATCGTTTCCCGTTCGATTTGCTGCAATTTCTTCCCCTGCTGTGTATTTCGCGCATGATTCTGACGGCCTCCTTCCCGTCAAAGGCTTCATGTACATCCTTGTACCCCAGCTTTCCGAGCATGTTCACGAGTAGCTTTCGGTTGATTTTATTATCTTCCGCAACTAAAAATGTAAGAGGATGCTTCTGTGCTAGGTACCGATCGTACGTGTCCTTCTTCAGCGGACTAGTCTGCACCGGTGTTCGCGGTCCACGGGATCGGTAGTCGTCGGTAGATGGCATGGAAATCTTTGAGGGTCTCGAATGTTTGTGGCCCTTGGGTGATAGATCCGGAGGAGCTAACGTGGCCACCGGCTGAGAGGCGCTTTTCGATCCCTCCGGGGTCCTGCTACTAGGGGTACCAGAACGACTTGCCGTAATCTCGTTGGGCTCAAAAGGCACCTTGATCTCGAATTCGGAACCCTTGTATGGGCCAGAAATGTCTGACGCCACAAGAATGATATCCCCACCAAGACGACGCGCCAGCCCTTTAGCAACAAGGAGACCAAGACCAAGACCCTCCTTTGACCGGGTTAACGAGTCGTCCTCCCGAGAAAATGGCTTGAATAACTCGGGTTGAAAATCTTCCGGGATCCCATCGCCGGTGTCCTTGCAATTAATAACGAGGAATCGATGCGTCTTTGAAAGTCGGGCATGCAAAGTAATGCTGCCTTGTTCTGTGAATTTGATGGCGTTCAGCAGCACAGCTGACACCAATTTGGTCAAGTCTCGTTCATCTGCAAACAGGGTCTCGGGCACGTCTTCAGCCACTAACCATTCAATGGTTTTCTGGGAAATGTGGCCATTTGATGAGCGTGATCTGACCACAATTCTTTCACCCAAGTCGGTGCTTTCCCCAATAGCTGAATCAGGTCTGCCTCCAACGCGCAAAGACTCGTAGATCACCATGGGAATCAGCTGTCGAATTCGACAGTGTTTTAATCCTGGTGTTGGGAACGCGTCGCTTTCTGCTGAAGAAACCTTCGTCGACGGAGTGTGCAGATCACCAGGTGTCGTAGAATCGGGTACGGAAGTGACGATCGTGGGAACGCCTTCGTCGGAAGGAATCGTTTGTGGAGGTGGAAACTTGCCTACATTGCTTTTGGGAGAGACGTCGACGCGAGTTGTTGGTCCAAGTTGTCGTATCTTGGTGGCGTTCCCAAAGTGCCAGGACGTTGGACTACTTCGGCGGCGCTTGTATGAATTGAAATGGATATCACTTCCTTCAATCAGTCTCGCTGGTTTGTAATCGAAGTAGCCAGTGGATACATTTGCTGGCGATTCGTTCTCATTTGAGGGGGTGTCGGGAATTTGCATGTTCATGTCGTACGCATGGACGACGTTATCAGCAGCTTCGACAGCCCGTTTAGCGCTGTCTTGTATGATCTCGATGTTCTCTCTCAGACCCCGAAAAACTTGGCGGAGAGTGGCGTCCGAAACACCCTCGATCTGTTCCTGTACCGTCGCATGCATGACATCCAGCATTCCCACCACACCTTGCATCGGCGTCCTTAGTTCGTGCGACAGACTTTTGGCATACGGCTTGAGAGACTGGGTTCCAGGGGTGATGGCTTCACGAGGGATGACGTGAGTCAGTCTGGCTGTGCTGGTATTTCGATTCCGAGGCTTCACAAATCCCTGGCCGCTCAAAAGACGCTCGACGATCATGTCCTCCAACGAATGTAGCAGAAGTTCGGTGTAACTCCAAGTAGTCTCTCGCCGATCGAGGCCCTCTTGTGTCCACATCATGCCAAAATGGGCAAAACACTTGCCATCTGCAAACAAGGGAATTCCAATATAGCCTTCTGCTGGGAAGGGAAGAGCATTGGGGTTGTGAGTGATGAACGAACTCATGTGCTCCGGGATCAGGAAGACTTTGTCGTGCTTCATGTAGGCGCAGGGCGAGCCCCAAGCGAGATACTTGTAGTCACGGTGCATAGCTTTCTGCTTGTCGCCATCATTATAATAGAAAGCGACGCCCAGAAGACAAGAGCCCGACTCGCCAAACGGAGGCATTTCTACCGCCGAATGGTGGTCGTCCGATAATATCCTTTTCGCAACGAATCCGTATTGCGCATGGCAAATCTCCGTCATGCCTTCCATCAGCTTTTTCCAAAAGGATTCGGTGTCCGCCATCTTGAGTTCCCGTTTCAGCTGCACCAACTTCTCGAGAGCATTGTTCTCGCGGGACGGGAAATGCCTCGCAAGGTTCTGAAGGAAACCGTCTTCTCCGTATTGGGCCGGCACGCCGGGCTCGATGCTGGGGAGACATAGTGACTGTCGTTCGATGAGAGGCAGAGACGGCCTAGGATCAGGTGGTTCAGCCATCACTGCCATTTGATGTTACCTCCCACCCTCAAACACCTGGCTCTGACAGATAAAGGGGATATTTTTTCTCATAGACATTCGTAAGGTCCGCTGGTTGTAGACGGTCTATTGCAAAGCCAAGTCGACGCCGCCAAGGGCTTCATTTGTCGGAGGTCGAAAGGTGATACAGTCAAGTTCGAGACACGGATTTGTCAGGAGAATCTATCGTCGAGGTCGACAAGTAGGTTGCAAGTATGGAACTGCGTCGCTCCCAGAAATGTGGGAGCCTAGAGGATAGAAAGTCGCACGAGAAATCGGCTTGCTGTCTAGATGGGCGAGGAGAAACTGAGGGGAGCAGAAGGAGTATGGTGAAAGGACGATAGAGGAGTCGAGTAGTGCTGGTACCGGTGCTGTAGCTCAAGGATCGGAGACTGGGGCCAGGAAAAGGCCTCCGGAGGGGACAGGCATCAACAGTCCCAAGAACAAGTACGTCTCTCAGGGCTGTAGGGACGTGCGCAGTCAAAGTGAGACCGTCCGGCGCGAGTATTGATTAAGGCAGGGTAGCATTTGATTCTGCAGAAGCTAACAGGGAGCATAACATACGGAGTACGAAGGCCGGAAGTACTTGGACAAAGTTGTTGAAGAACTCCTACTACGGTCAACTACTGCGTGCCCGCTGGTGCCACCAACTCTTCATCTCAGAGAATCGTACAAAATCTTTAAACTTTTCCCCTTTCAACTTTATTAACCTAGGTTTTGTGCACCGAGCACGCCAGGCTGAAATCCACAATTGCGCATCCAACTGGCCGAGGCAGCCCTTTAGTGACCGCCCCCAACTGCGCTCGAAGCTCAGCTTTCAGCTTGCACGCAACTCCGAATCATCCTGATGGAGTGTTGGAGGTCATGGAAAGACATTGACCCCTATTCTGAAGAGTATAGAAGACATATCAGAAGATACCACGCAAAGCATGCTCGACCCAGACTGTCTCCTTGCCAGGACCCCGTCCCGCGCTGGCGTTCGAAATGTGGAAGTTGTTTTAATAATACAGACCAAAGGCTAATCACTGCAGAATGCATGTGGCATGACGCCAGTGGCATCGATCCTTCGGAAAGAACCTTTTGCGGGCGTCAGCACAGGCCCTGGTGGCCCTGAGTGAGCGTTTTGTCAGGGTGTGAGCAAAGAGAAAAGAAGGGAGACGGAGACATGTCGTTGGACAAACCCAGTCGTGGCGATGGTCTAGACCTTGATCGACTCTCCGCCGGCTACCCACCGCCCTGCAGGATGGGCCGTCAATTCCATTTCATTGGACCCTCACGCAGTCGGTCCTAGTTACGTACAGCGACCGTGTGCATCCGGACTGCTTATGCCCGTACACGCACACGCGGCAGGAATTCTTTCCCACACAGAAGCAACAACAGCAGGCTCCAACGCAAGGGGTGTGGGCAGATTCAATCTCTCCACTGGCTCTGATTTGAATGAGCAGATTGAGATCGCGGACCTACAGAAACCCCTTGAACAAATCAGATCTGGAAAGTCGGAAGGGGTTGGTGAACAAGTGAGATGCTAAAAGATGCCACCTTTGATGAATGCGGTAAATCTCATGTCCATCAAAAGTTCTAGGCTGCCCACCGACCTTCTATCCCACGCCGATTGACATCATCAAGGCCTTTCGCTCCGGTTAAATCGGCAACCCCAGGACTGGTTCGCTTCTTAGCAGACCCATCCTAGTCACCACCAATCAAGGGGGCAAAGCGACATCCAAGAATTCTCCGGCAGATCAGGGATCATTTAGGACCCTGACTGGGGATCCCCCTTTTCCCTGGCCCATTATTATCAACAGATGATCAAAAGTAGAGTTCTGCTTCGGGCTTATAACTCAAGGAGCTGGGTCATATGCCTAAAGAAGATGTGGGCATCAAAAGCTTGACACATCCACGGGCAAGCATTGACGATGGGCTGCGTCACGACCTTCGGGGAAGCACCTCCTGTCAACAAAGAATGAATTTGATGGAGCATAATTAGTAGTTCGTTCAGATCTCATGCTCATCGCAAGGGGGGTATGGGAAATCGAGTCTGGCATGTGGTTTACCTGCATGGCGGAGATCACACCCTCGAGGCACCTCCCCTGGGAGTGCTGGAATTGTCGATCAGTGTCATACTGTGCCTCCCAGCAATGAAAGACATGGTTCTGATTGAGTGTTGCCAGGTCTCAAGCCACGCACGACGCACGCTGCAACGCTCGGAGAGTCGCCGGACGGTGTACGAAAGGGAGAACATGCAGGAAGAAAACGCTGTTGTGTGCCAGGGAACACGTGTCGGCCACCTGCTCGACCCTTGATGCGCCTCGCCGTCTCGCCGTCCGCCAGAGACTGGAGGACGAGCCAAGATGTGACCTACAAGCTGGACGACAAACCGATCACCGATCATCGGCCTGTCAATCCCCGTTGCTGATACCATATTATCTGTAATAAATGCCACGGCATGCAAATCTGTGAACCATGACTACCTCCGAGCATCGGTATTCAGGGATGACCGCGCACGCAATAACCGAGGTGTGTATGAGGGGCTCTGGTTCTGCGGGGCCCCGGCTTTTGATGGCCCTGTGGCAGTACAACGAGCTACACGCCGTCGAACACTCTTTCCGAGGTATCGAGCGTGAGGGCCCGCGAAGCACTCATCGACGTGTTCGTGAATGTCGACTCGAACGATTGACCCGTCTCCAATAGATGAGGTAGCTATGCCCTGGTGCCTCAGCATCCATCGCGTTTCCGAGACGGATTCTTTCCCACAAGCAAGAAAGTAGATCAACAAACCCGGAAATGAAGATATATAGATCTGAAGATCCAGACATTGCCATTCCTGGGGATCTCAACCTCACAGAACTCCTCCATGGCAGCGCCCGCTCTCCACCCCTACAACCCCACCACGTCATCGCTCAGGATGATGTAGAAGATCGCACACTAACTATAGGCCAGCTACGGTCGAATGCTGGAAAACTTGCGACAGGCCTGACACAGTGGTACAGCCCGCAGGATCAAAGTCGATGGGCCATTATCCTCCCGAACAGTGTTGCCTACCTCGAAGCTGTCCACGCAGTTCTATGGCTGGGCGGCGTGTTTTGTCCCATTAATCATCAGCTGAAGGCAGGCGAGATTGCGCATGCTCTCACAGTGTCGAAGCCGACATTCGTGGTAGTATACTCGAAAGTTTGGGAAACAGTGAAGGAGGCCATTGAACTTGCGAAACAAAAATGCTCGGACTTGAGGAATCCGGAAGTACTGACTGCCATCGGCTCACCGATTCGAGGGCTCCGACACCTCCATGCAGATTTCATGGCCGCTGAGCAATTATCTGTACCTCACTATCCGGACACCAAGAAGAGGTTGGCATCGATACACCTTTCATCAGGCACGACAGGTAATCCCAAAGGGGTCGGGCTCTCGCAGTACAATTACATAGCCAATGTCTTACAAATGTGGGCACACGATCCGGATCATTGGTCCCCAGAGGAGAAGATTGTCTCGTATACGCCCTTTGTGCATATCGCTAACAGTAAGTGTGTCTTTTGGAGGACACAACCCTCCTCCCCCTGGCTTTGCGCGATTTAGACTTATACTAATAGCGAGGTCCCAGCAACGATACCTTTGTTCCTTGGACCGTGGACCGGCATGCTGCACATTATCATGGGATCGTTTGAGATTGAGATGTATGCCAAAACCATCCATCGGACGAAAGCGACAGCGGCACAAGTGTCGCCAATGACCGCCTTGACAATAGCAACCACAGATCTGGCCTCGAGATATGACTTTTCCAGCATCAGGCACATGACTTGTGGTCCACTGCCTCTTAAGCAAGATGATTATCAAGAGTTCCTGCGACGCGGCCCATGGAAGACAATAACTCTCTACGGGATGACAGAAGCCGCTCCATATGTGACATGGCAGAAGATCAAAGAACCAATGCCACTGGGAAAGAGCGGGACATTGCTGCCGAATATACTGGCATCATTGCGTCTTGAAAACGGCACAGATGCCCCAGAAGGCGGACCGGGTGAGCTGTGGCTGAAAGGGCCCAACATGACGGCAGGTTATGTAGATAATCCCGCTGCGAACCAGACTGCCTTTGATCAAGACGGGTGGTACAATACGTACGTTCCACTCTCCCTGGGGAACCAGTGTTTCATATGTGGCAAAAGTCATTCTTGTCAGAGGCTAACAGCAATTCCTAGAGGCGACGTGTGTACTATTTCCCCCGAAGGACATCTACAGGTCGTGGGTAGGACAAAGGAGCTGATCAAGTACAATGGCTTCCAGGTATCTCCGACTGAGCTGGAAGCATACATCATCTCCCACCCTGCCGTTTTGGATGCTGCCGTTGGAGGAGTGTGGGATGCTACCAAGATGACCGAATTGCCCACAGGGTACGTCGTGCTCAAAGACCATGTCAAAGAGCGAAAAGACAAGGTGCAAGCGCTCCAGGACATTCAGAAAACGGTCGACAGGCAAGTGGCGGGATACAAAAGGTTGCGGGGAAATGTGTGGGAGGTGACATCCCTTCCAAGAAACGCGACCTTCAAGCTCCTGAGGAAGCAGCTGGACATGCATAAGACGGGAGTATGCTCGGCCGAGGGTGAAGCGAGACCTTCCAAGTTGTAGCAAGTCCTCGCGGAGATCCAACGAGGCTGCGGCGTCAAGACAGTGCCTGATACTCTGCGTTATCAACCCCGATTGGGTGTCGATGCAATGATCCCTGGCATTGTTTCGCTAAGGAAGACAGAGATCAAAGGAAGGGGTTGCCACCGTAGTCATTATTATTGCACAGTTTATTGATTACTCTCGTGCTCTCCTCCCTTTCCCCGTATATACCTGCCCATTCATACACCGATGGTTGACTTTGGTGTTTCTCGATAAGGCGGGTAAATCCGCCGGGAATCGGGACCGGCGGTCGGTGTATCTTGGGGCTCCTTGGATATTGTCTCGTCGTTTATCTCTTGTTCTTGTTAGTACGGGAACACAGGAGTGGGTGATCATTGATTGTTGTCCGCCTGCATGGTCGGTGGGCGCTGGCCGGGCTGCCAAATTCGATATTTTGTTTCCCACTTGATTACAGGCCGTTTTGGGGGATATTCTTCTAGTTCATTCCCTTCTCCATCTCTATATACGCATTCTTGCTTGCTCTTGCATGGCTGGTCGTCTCTAGCAGCATTAGTTACATTTTCCTCCTAGTCCAGTCGAGCTTGTCTGTCGATCCTCGAGCTGTTATGCGCTGTAACGGTAGCTAAAGCTGTTGACTGGAGGGCTGAAGGGTTCCTTGCGTCATTCGAGCGACCTCCACGGGTCTTGTGAGGGCTCGCGTGCCTCAATCGTGGGACAGAACCCGCACTCCAAGTTACATTTACCTGTTCCTGGATCAACGTGTGAAGCTGCCTACTTGGGCTTCAAGCTGCAGCGGGACTGCCACCCCCCCTAGAAAAGATGGCTTCGTCACTCTTTGCCGGCGCTTTCTTTCCATTGCACCCTGCACGCTCATTCAAGACTTCAAGCTGGCTGTTCATCATGTTGTCGTTATTGCAACTAGCCTGTGCTTTGGTTGTCCCGCCGTTGGTCCAACAGGCTGGCGCCAATCCCCTCCCTCATATTCGGCAACAGTATGCGCCAGATTCGATGGGCGCTGTAGCGAGCGAGAGCAGTGTTTGCAGCGACATCGGCATTGATCTGCTCCGACAGGGTGGGAATGCTGCAGATGCGGTGAGTCAGCTACTCAAGTAACAATCGAAAGAGCCCAAGGTAACAGTCGTCAAGCTTGTCGGCACTGTGTTTTGCACCGGAGTTATTGGCATGTATCACAGCGGCATTGGTGGTGGAGGTTTCATGATCGTCCGCAGTTCAAATGGGAGCTACGAAGTGATAGATTTCCGAGAAACAGCCCCTGCTGCTGCTTTCCAGGACATGTATAACAATAACACCAATGCGAGCATTTTCGGGGGTTTGGCGAGGTACGTGGTTGAGTTGCGAGAGATGCTCACAGGCTCATGTTGGACAGCGGAGTCCCAGGAGAAGTTCGAGGCCTGGCTCACTTACACCAGAATTACGGGAAACTCCCCTGGAATCAGGTAATGCAAGGAGCCATCAAGACCGCGAGATATGGCTGGACAGTCAGCGAGGACCTGGTGCGTTATATGGAATCTGGTATGGCTTCCGCCGCCGTGCCGAACTTCCTCGTGGACGATCCAAACTGGGCAATCGATTTCGCACCTAACGGGACTTTACTCGGAACCGGAGACACGATAACACGGAAGAGATACGCAGACACGCTCGAAGCCATTGCACAGGAAGGACCTGATGCCTTTTACCAAGGCCCGATTGCAGAGGCAACGATCGCAGCAGTGCAAGCGGCGAACGGAACCATGACCCTCGAGGATCTGCACAACTACACTGTCGCCATTCGACCAACAGCTAACATCACGTACCGGGGATATCGTCTGTTTAGTTGCAGCGCCCCGAGCTCTGGCGAGGTCGCCCTCTCGGTCCTGAAGACCCTTGAGCTATATCCCGATTTCTTCCACGCCGGAACCGTCAATCTGAGCACTCATCGATTGGACGAGGCGATCAGGTTTGGATATGGGGAGAGAACCAGTCTCGGTGATCCTTCGTTTGTGCATAACCTGTCGGCGTTTCAAGATGAAATGCTCTCTGAAGCGTCGGCACGATACATTCGGAGCAAAATCTCAGATCTCCGGACGTTGAATGTCTCGGCGTACGACCCGGCAGGCATCGAATCCCTGGAAACTCCGGGCACTTCTCACATCGTGACGGCAGATGCCTCGGGGATGGCTGTCTCCCTGACCACGACGATCAATCTGTTGTTTGGGTCGCAGGTTCTGGTTCCAGAAACAGGTGTGATTATGAACAACGAAATGAACGACTTCTCCATCCCTGGATCGTCGAATGCTTTTGGATACGTTCCGAGTCCAGCCAACTATGTGCGACCAGGGAAGAGACCACTGTCATCCATCTCGCCCACCATCGTGGAGTATGGGAATGGAACGCTTTACTATGTGACTGGAGCCGCGGGAGGCTCGCGGATCATTACGGCGACAATTCAGAGTCTGGTCCATGTGCTTGACCAGAACATGACAGCTCCGCAGGCGCTGGCGCAGCCACGCCTTCACGATCAACTTATTCCAAACCAAGTGTCTTTTGAATACGCGTACAACAACGAGACAGTCGCGTTCATGAAGTCGAGAGGCCATAACACTACCTTTGTGAGTCACCTTCCTGGCTCAGAATAGATCGACCCTTCTCCAGCCGAGGAGTGCATCTTGATGCAGGCTAACAGCAATTCCGTGTGCAGATCGCGCCCGGTCAGAGCTCAGCCCAAGTGAGTACCCCATGCCGGTCCCAATTTATATCACAGGGCAATTCCCTGCCGCTGCAATTTGTGTCCATGCTAACACCATTCAAGAGCATCCGCCGGTTACCTAATGGCACATTTGAAGCCGCAGGTGGTAAGTGTTCTCATTAGTTTGGGCCGCGGATTGAGAGAGGTTTCTCCTATCCTGCCCTTCTGTGGCCCAACCCGGCATTTCAAAGCTAACGTCGTATAGAGCCACGGCAGAAAAACAGCGCTGGTCTAGCGATATAACCCAGATCGCAGAAAGTGATTGGAAGTGGTCCGTAGAATGGGCGTGTGGCCTGCATGTATGTAGTCTTCCAGCTAGAGTCGTCGCGCAGCTATAGGGAGCTATATGGCTGCCATATCATGTCGCTCACTTGAGTAGCCTTTCCGTTATCGGCCTCGGCCTCTACTAAGGGATGTGTTCTATGTGTGTCTTTCTGGTGAATCGTTGCCCATCTTGGCAAGGTTCAAGACAGCTCGCGGACTCTCCATGGAAGCTCCAGGCTGGTGATTTAGGTAGAGTTGGAGAAGTGGAGGCACCAGAGGGTGTCCCCAGGCTGTAATTTGCCGCAGTGGTTCTCGAGTATCCATTGGAACTCAACAGCTGGCATAACTATTTTGTGTCGGGTGCACAAGGGACCCTGTGCAGATATTGGCGTCGGGGGATTTGTCGCGTGCCCTGCGCAGGAGACCGACCACAAGTCCCAAGCCCCCTAGTCTCCTACCCATTAAACGACTGATGGCAGAGTTCGAAGGGCTCTTTAGACTGCTACACCGTCAGTACTTCTTCTTCATCATCGACATGCTCCTTCGACACACAAGTTGGGCAACATACAAAGGATACTACTGCTTATGCTGGTGCCGGAGTTAAAGCCCAGCACCATCACTATGGCCGCCCCATCCACACGGATATCGCCCTTGCCGAGAGGTGGAGAGGGGAATCAACAGCGAAAAGACGAAGACCAGTTGCATTTGATACGGGGCCACCAGGGCCGTTGAAAGGGCAATGGAGATGGAGACGGAGCAAGAGAGAGAGTTTGTGAACCGCTAAATAAATAGCTAGCTGAGCATTTCCGCCGAGATCGCAGAAGCGCCATCTCTGGTGCATCAACCTGCCTGTCTCTCCTTGATATTCGTCTTCTCTCGCTCTGCCCAAGTTCTGCCAAACGACCGCCCATTCTATCATTGTTTTAAGCTTCATCCTCCCCTCGAACGATCGATCCTTGCGCGTGGCACGGGACGCCCATTTACGCGAGCTTACGTGCTGACTCTCTGGGGGCTGGCCCCACAAAATCACCACTCGAACACCCAGCGACCAACGGTGCGTTTGCAAAACAACCTCCTTCGTTGCAATACCTCCAGATGCTCGCTCTGTAGGATGTGGACACGTACTGACAAGGCACAATGGACTTCCAGATCGCATGGCGGCCAAGTCGCCCGATCCTGTTGCTCTCGACGACAAGGATCTCGACCGCGACGAAACGAACACCTCCAGTCATTCAGCTTCCCTCTCGGAGAAAGAACAAGAAGAACGCAGCATAAGACGGCTCGACCCCGATGTAGAACATGGCATTCCCGTCATCGACACGACTGAGGATGCGGACGAAAAGGCACCGCCCGTCACAACCGTCGACCACGACCCGAATATCGTCGACTGGGATGGGCCAAATGATCCCGAAAAGGCCATCAACTGGACAAACCGCAAGAAATGGTCAAACGTGGCCATCATCTCCAGCGTCACTTTCCTGACACCACTGGCTTCATCCATGGTTGCTCCGGCCACACCGCTGATCATGAAAGAATTCCACTCGTCCAACGAAACCATCGCCAGTTTCATTGTCTCTATTTACATCCTGGGCTACGCCCTGGGCCCTCTGTTCCTCGCTCCTTGCAGCGAAATATGGGGTCGACTACCGATCTACCATATCTGCAACTTTATGTTCGTGATTTGGACAATGGCTTGTGCTTTGGCACCGAACATGGGGTCGTTATTGGTATTCCGCCTTCTGGCGGGAATCGCTGGAAGTTGCCCGCTCACCATCGGAGGTGGCTCCATTGCAGATCTCATTGTCCAAGAGAAGAGAGGTGGCGCGATGGCCTTGTTTGCCCTGGGACCGCTGATGGGCCCGGTCATCGGGCCGGTGGCAGGTGGATATCTGGGAGAAGACGAAGGCTGGCGCTGGATCTTTTGGGTCATCACGATCGCCGGCGGTGTTGCGTTGTTCTTCTCGGTGATATTCATGCGCGAGACGTTCGAACCCGTTCTCCTGGAGCGGCGGGCGAAACGACTTCGAAAGGAAACGGGAAATCCAGAGCTTCGCTCCAAGCTCGATCAAGGCATCCCCATGCGCGACTTCTTCATCCGTGCTCTTGTTCGACCCACCAAAATGCTCCTCTTCTCCCCGATCGTCCTCTTGCTGTCCATCTACATGGCCGTGGTCTACGGCTACCTCTACCTCCTCTTCACCACGCTCACCATTGTCTTCGAAGGACAATACCATTTCAGCCAAGGCACAGTGGGACTGAGTTTCCTCGGTATTGGGATTGGATCCATGACTGGTCTGGTCATTTTTGGAGCGCTGTCAGACAAGGTCGTCAAGAAGATGTCGGCCAAGGGCGAAATGAAACCCGAATACAGGTTGCCGCCGTTGATTCCGGGTAGTTTGCTCATCCCGATCGGCTTGTTCTGGTACGGATGGTCCGCGGACAAAGGCATTCATTGGATAATGCCCATCATCGGCACCCTGTTCGTCGGGCTGGGCTTGCTTGCGACGTTCATGCCGGTGCAGACGTATCTCGTCGACGCATATCACATGCATGCGGCTTCGGCGATCGCTGCCAACACTGTTTTGAGGAGTTTGATGGGTGCTTTCCTCCCGCTGGCGGGGCCGGATATGTACGCGGCTCTAGGCCTGGGTTGGGGCAATTCTCTGCTTGCATTTATTGCGCTCGCCATGGCGCCAATGAGTTGGGTCTTCTTTCGATATGGCGAGAAGATTCGAAAGAAATACCCCGTCAAATTGTGACCAGGCATTTCAGATCACGCATGGGGAGAGCGGTCGTTTGATCTAGCATTGTATATAGACTGGGCATTGGGTCGGCCTTGGTGAAGTAATCTGGCCAGGCTGTGAACACTAGAAGCCTTGGGGGCAAAAATCCCATATTCTTTTCAATTTCTTCGAGGCCAGTATCCAAAGAACTGAGGAAAAACCAACCTGGTCAGGAAGCCTGTGAGCTGTCCGCGCAATAGGAACTGTGCTGCTCCATCGTCTCGCATGAGCAGGAATGGTTTCAAGAGACATCGGGACAGTGCCAATAAGCCGCAACCCGACACAGACACATGTCACCGGACACACCAGTATCACACGCCCTCCGGACGCGGCGCTTAGCCGTAGTACACATGCAAGGACAGGGCTCAGCCTTGTGACCGCATCAGAATCAATAGGGCGGCGAATACCTGGGGCAAGAGTCGCGGTAGGCGTCGGTTTTCGGTTTCTGAGAATGAGATGAGCGGTCCGATTGTAAGCGGCGCTACGGATGGAGGGGCATCGGCCAATATAAAACAACGAGTTTCGTTTCGACCCAACGCCCCTCCATCCCTCTTCATCTCACATCACCACCATTCCTCCCCTTGTGCCAGCAACGTTCCCCAAACGCAACAAGTCAAAACGGGTCAAAGCCGTCCTCAGTCGCGTCCTTTGCACACCGTCCATCCAGCCAGAGGCCACCATCATCTCTTGTCCGGTCGCCTTCAATAACTGATCGGGATCGAACTCTATCACCTCTCACTGTTCAGAAAGCTGCACCATGTCTCACTCCGGGTGTCCCAAATGTGGAGCGACTATCTCTTCTGGGAGCAAGACTTGTGGATCTTGTGGAGCGGTACGTTTCTTCCTTCTGCTGTTCCGTCCTTCCTTCTGGGGCTGTCATTATGTTATGGATATCAAGGGCCCGTGACGCCGAGGGGGCAATGATCGTCACAGTCTCTTTTCTTTGCTTTTGGTTGCCTCGAAGGCACTTGCACGGGCGTGGAGGTGGCAGAACCTTGTGCAACGGGACTATCCAGCGGCACGGTCATGGATGCTTTGTCCACCAGGGGAAGTCTTTGCTAACGGAATTGCTTGGATTTTGCAGACTTGCCCGCGATGAGATGATTGCATATTGTGAGGATTTGTCAAGGCTGCTAGGATTGAAGGCAGACAAACTATGAGAGGAGAACGATGAGATACGACCGGATGATGTGAATTGAGCATGCTCTATGGGGTCATACAGTGCTAGATTCATCTGCTTCCAGAAGTCGCTCTTTTGTGCTATGCCTCCCCTCAGCTTCAGGACCATTATTCAATGCTTGCGCTGGGTATTGTGGTGACACTTTTTATATGGACTGCACCAGTCGAGGAGCTGACCACGGAGTCTCTCACTCGGGGATGGCCTTTTCGAAGAATGCCAGCATATCTCTCAGCTCGGCTGAGTTCGTAGAATGGCCCATTCCTGGGTATGTATGCTCCTCGATGTTCTCCTTGTCCACCCATTTTGCTAGTTCTTCCTTGCCTTGTACGAAGAATTTGGTAGGGACCAACATGTCCATTGTGCCATGGACGTAGAACCATTTTTTGGAGTCTTTGTCGTCGTCCTTGATTCCCCTCTCGTTTCTCAGCTCCGCTATTCGGTCCCGCAGAGGTAGATAGCCAGACAAGCAGAGCATTCCCGCAACTTGATTCTTGAGTCTCCCCGTTAGACCCCAAACCAGGCTCACAGCACAGCCTTGACTGAATCCGCCAACGACAATCCTCTCTGGGGGTGTGCCAGCCTTGATCTCCTCCTCGACAAGTCGGTCCACCATATCCACGCTCTGCATAATTCCAGTCTCGTCATCCGGGGCATCCTCCTCGTCTTCATGGCCAGGCACTCGAGGCTTCATGGCATTGGGCAAGGCCTTAGGGACATACCATGCGCGAGTCATGGCCTCGTGATTGTGCGGGGCATTCGGCAGGACCCATTTCAGATACTGCATCTTGTCGTAGAACTGGAACTGTTGTGCGAGTCCCAGTGGGAGGCCTTCAGCGTCATCTCCATAGCCATGAAGAAAGATGAAGGTGGCAGGACGTGCGGTAGAAGATGAGTCGGCTGTAGGCGGCACGACGTATGGTGGCTTTGCGGACATGCTGCTGTATTCTGCCCACTATCGTTTCATGGTCTATTGTGGACAAAGGTTCGTCTGACTATAGGGATCGAGACCGAGAGGAGTCAAAGGCAGTGAAGGGAGAGGGATGGAGAACATCAGCACCATCGCAGCGGGATTTTCAGCTGCAGTGGCCTCCAATGAGACAATCGGGTGGATCGTATCCCATTGTGAAGACAGGCCTCACGATGGCAAAAGCACGCGGCCCAGAACCTCCAAGAAGTCAATCAAGCGAACAAGATCCATATCGGACAAACGTAAGTGCCATTTGAAATCAGTTCCGATGTACCACAGTAGCACTGAACGCACGCGGGGAGCCGGCGGGATGGAAATGAGGATCCCCTCCCTTCCAAGGCGGTTTTCCTTTGGGAGATTGGGCTGGCGGGAGTCTACCAAGCACATGCAGCTCAACTGCGTCAACGTATCGTTGGTACTGTGGAGTCTTTAAGTAGGTAGCGTAGTCTACGCACAATCAATGTGGGGGAATCTTTCGATGATTTCAAACAGCCTCAAGTCTCGCGAGCGCGCACTCTGACTTGTCACTCGATTTGTACCGTTTCCGTGGATCGAGGCAGGCAAGATGAAAAGCCTCAAGCGAGGCCTTGCCGCCGACCCGAACGTCGGCAATATCTCCAGCAAGGTCTTCATCCGATCAACCAAAAGTGGCCGAGTTCAGAAAGTTGTGAGAGAACAGTACTTGAGGAAAGATATTCCCTGTTCGTCACAACTATGTACCACTTGTGCTTCTACAGCCGCGCCCAATGCCAATGGAGTTGGTATGTACCTATTTACACTTCTAGTAGACTTACATGCTCTGACAGAACCAACAGTCCCCAAGTTCATCCTATCAAAGCGGCCGACGGGCACCAAAGCCTTTGCCGGTGGCCACTACCTCGTCCCCGATACCAATGTCTTGCTTAGTGCAATGGACCTGTTCGAAGAGCCTGCCCACTTCCACGACGTCATCATATTGCAGACAGTTCTGGAAGAGTTGAAGAATAGGAGTCTTCCTCTCTATAACAGACTTATGTCCTTGACTCAAAGCGACGACAAACGTTTCTATCTGTTCTTCAACGAGTTCCGATTTGAAACGGCGGTACAGCGAGCAACCGGCGAGTCAATCAATGACAGAAACGATCGTTCAGTGAGGAAAGCGGCGCAATGGTACACCGACCATTTATCGAAAGTGACAAAGAAGCCTCCTACGATCGTAGTCCTCACCGATGATCAGGAAAATAGAAGAAAAGCAAAGAAAGAGAGTGTAACAGCCTTGTCTCTACGGGAGTATGTGGAAGGGTTGGATGACGCCGATAGGTTACTCGACATGGTGAGCCAGGGCGCTGAGGCTCAAGAAGTCCGCGCTGTCCAGGGGCAACTCTTCTATCCAGAATATTACTCCATGTCAAGGATGATGACCGGAATTAAGGCTGGAACGCTGCATCAAGGGGTGTTCAATGTTTCTCCCTACAACTACTTGGAAGGAACAGTCAAAGTCCCCGCATTTGACAAGCCGTTACTAGTTCTGGGAAGGGAGAGCAGCAATCGATCCATATCTGGCGATGTCGTTGTGGTTGAGATCCTGCCAAAAGACCAGTGGAAAGCTCCCTCTGCGCAGATCCTCGACGAGGAAACCGTCAACAAGAACGACAACCCGGAAGACGAGGAACAAGACGAGACCGTGGTTACGGAGAATGAAAGACGGGCTCTGCAGGAAGAGGTTCGACGTGCACACATTGCGGGTGCGGAGACAAAAGCCCAACCAACCTGCAAAGTCGTCGGAGTTATCAAGCGGAACTGGAGACAACTGGTTGGAACGATTGACGCCGCCTCTGGCAGCTCGTCTGGGAACAGACAGACTACCGTCTTTTTGGTCCCAATGGACAAGCGCATCCCAAAGATTCGGATTCGAACACGTCAAGTCGATGAGTTGATAGGCAAGCGGATCCTTGCGACGATTGATTCATGGGACCGAGACACCCGATACCCAGTTGGCCACTACATTCGCTCGCTCGGGGAACTAGAGACAAAGGATGCTGAGACTGAAGCGTTGCTTCTTGAATATGACGTTCAGTATCGACCATTTCCAAAAACAGTCTTGGACTGTTTGCCGTCCGAGGGCCACTCGTGGAAGGTCCCGGCTGCTTCATCGGATCCTGGTTGGAAAGGCCGGCAGGATCTCCGACACCTATTTGTTTGCTCGATCGACCCTCCTGGATGCCAAGATATCGACGATGCCCTCCATGCAAGAAAACTTTCGAATGGAAACTTTGAAGTGGGTGTTCATATTGCAGATGTGTCTCACTTTGTCAAACCCAACAATGCCATGGACGAAGAGGCATCCTCTCGAGGTACAACCGTCTACTTGGTCGACAAGAGGATTGACATGTTGCCCATGTTGCTCGGGACGGACCTTTGCTCACTCAAACCTCATGTTGAGAGATATGCATTCTCTACCATATGGGAGATCACACCAGATGCCGAAGTGGTGTCATCTTCTTTCACCAAATCGGTGATTTTGTCCAAGGAGGGCTTCTCATATGAACAAGCCCAGAAGCGCATTGACGACCAAAGTGCAACGGATGAGCTCACTCAAGGCATGCGAGTTTTGTTGTCGCTCTCTCAAAAGCTTCGCCAAAAGCGGATGGACGCCGGGGCGTTAAACCTGTCTAGCCCGGAGGTCAGAATCGAAGCAGATAGCGAGTCTTCGGATTCTCTGGCCGATGTGAAGACGAAGGCGAGTCTGGCCACCAACTCACTCGTCGAGGAATTCATGCTTCTTGCCAACATCACGGTCGCTCGGCAGATCCAGTCAGTCTTCCCTCAAACTGCTTTGCTTCGACGCCATGCGACACCACCAGCCTCGAACTTTTCAGACCTTAGTGAGCAGTTGAAGAAGATGCGTGGTTTTGAACTGGACACGTCAAGTTCCAAGGCACTGGCAGATTCGCTGGATCTTTGTGTAGATCCTAAGCATCCATTTTTCAACACCTTGATTCGAATCATGGCAACACGGTGTATGACATCCGCCGAATACTTTTGCAGCGGCTCGCACGCAGAACCAGAATACCGACATTATGGTCTCGCTAGTGAGATCTACACCCATTTCACCAGTCCCATTCGCCGATATGCTGATCTGCTCGTCCATCGTCAGCTGGCCTATGCAATCGGATATGAAGGCCAGGGGAGCGAAATCGTCGACTATGACCTTCGAAATAAGGGCAAACTGGAGCGAGTCTGTCAGAATCTCAACTTCCGACACCGAAATGCCCAACTAGCAGGCCGCGCCAGTATTGAGTATTACGTCGGGCAAGCGCTCAAATCGCGGGCCGAGAAATCTCCAGAGGCCGCCATCGATGTTGATGGGTACGTGATGCGAGTGTTCGAAAACGGCATGGTGGTCTTCGTACCGCAGTTTGGCATTGAAGGACTAGTTCGACTTGAGGACTTCCACCTGAAATCCGGCGAGGCTCTCAAACGAGAGAGCAAGTTCAATGCAGAGGCCTACCAGCTCACAGTTTTTGAGAAAGGCCATGAGCAAGATGAGGTCACTGTTGAGCTGTTCCAGCAGCTGAAAGTTAGAGTGAGTTCAGAGGAGAAGAGTGGTGCAAGAGAGAAGGGAAAGAGAAGAGTGCGAATCGTGGTCTTATCTGCCTGATGGGAAGCATGACGAGACTCTGTAAATAGGAGGTAATCTTGGAAAGCAGTGCGGCGGAGGCTTCATCCTTGGCTGGCTCTTCATAGTTCAACTATTCAGTGGCTTTCTCCCAAGATATCCTCAATCATGGCTGGAAACTACTGCATGTAGTCATTGTCTCGGTTCATTCAAATCTATCGCATAGGCCGACTCGAGCCGTCCGCGAGTATAGCAACGGCCAAGCCGACATGGAGCAAGTTGACGATGGCGCCACCTTTTCATATGCTGTCCAGTATTGCGTTCACTCCCATTTTCTTCTTGGGTCAGCAGTTGAGCAAAGCGCGTTGCCAAGGCCAAAATCAAGCCGCTCGAGTGCCAAGTACGAAGTGCTCGTACAACAAAGACTTCAACGCTCATCTTGATATCTCCCTCCACGTTGTTGAGAGCACGGAAGTAGGTGCAGATCCAGTTCCAGACGGGGGGAAAATGACCGGTCCACCAAATAAACGGCAGAAACGAGAAGACTACAAAAGAGCCCAAGAGAGCTTGAAAGCAGGAAGCCATGGCGCTGGCAGCGGCAAGGTCGAGCTGCCCAAGAAAAAGTTCTATCGACAACGCGCTCACGCGAATCCTTTCTCGGACCATGCTTTGACGTAGTAAGTTCTACGATCCTCACCGTCTCGTCTAAGTGATCGGTCTGGCTGATCTTCTTCCAGTCCCCTCAGTCCGGCCGACATGGACTGGACTTGCCATTACCCTGCTTTCGCCAGCGGCGAGGCCGCGAATGGAAAGTCACTCCACGCCGTGAGCAGGGATGTTGAGATTGCAGATATCGGCTGCGGATTTGGCGGGCTCCTGGTGGCTTTGGCGCCTTTGTTCCCAGAGACCTTGATGCTCGGTTTGCACCAGTGGTTTCCTGAGAGCCCCCGTTCATTTGGCTGATGGAAGAGTTAGGGATGGAATTGCGAACTCAAGTCACCGACTATGTGGTCGACCGAGTGGCTGCTCTCCGCGCTCAGAACCAGCCTTCGTCCGGCACAAGCGATGGCAAATTTGGACCCTACCAGAACATTTCGGCCCTTCGTACCAACACAATGAAGTTCCTCCCCAACTACTTCCGCCGCGCTCAGCTGTCCAAGATATTCCTCTGCTTCCCGGATCCGCATTTCAAACAGCGCAAGCACAAGGCCCGCATCGTTTCTACCCAGCTAAACGCCGAATACGCATTCGTGACAAAGCCCGGCGGTCTGGTGTATACGATTACGGACGTCGAAGAGCTGCACCAGTGGATGGTCAAGCACTTCGAGGGCGAGGAGGCAGGTGACGCGAAGGAGTTATGGAAGAGAGTAACGCAGGAGGATCTGGACGCGGATCCCTGCGTCAAGGTCATGAGCGAAGAAACGGAGGAGTCAAAGAAAGTCACGAGAAATGGAGGAAAGAAATTCATTGCGGTGTTCCAAAGACAGGAGAACCCCGAATGGCCTGATTGATTCGCGACATCAGAATCACTGTCGAACTACCCTGCGGGCTCTAGAAAAGGCAATTTCGCCAACAGAGAACCGTGGGATTGGGTCAGCCGCGCTACCAATCAGGCTTACGGCACTACCTTCTTGTCCTGACCTCCAAATAACGTGTCGTCGCTTGCTCTAGCCTGGTTGCTCTCTTCCGGGGCCATACCCACGATTTCCCCGGCCTTCAGAGCGTCAAGATCAATCTGCGGACCAGAATAGTTCTTTCTGCCGTCGACGAACCACTGAATCGTGGAGACAATCAGGACAATGGCAAATGCTGCAACGCAGTAGTTCATGTTGCTACCGGTCACGGGCAACACCGGTGGGAACATGAAAAGAACGGTTGTGAGTATCACGTAGGCAATTCCAATCTGTCAATCGTTAGAAATTACAGGCACTGCTTTCTGGTCAAACTTACCAAGTTGCATGTCCAGCCAAGCCAGTTTGGGAGAATAAACGGACGAGATGCTGGTAGCATTTTTCGACCCCGGAGAATATTGATTGCAGGGGGAATAGCATAAGTAACTCCCAAAGCCACGACCGAAGCGGACACAATGGCGTTAAAAGCACTGCTGGATCCGAGGAATATGCAGCCAAAGATGATGACCAGAATGAGAGTCAGCCAAAGCGCATTGAGGGGGACTTGAAGTCGTCCATGCACTCTGGCGAAGAAGCGAGATGCTGGCAATCCCCCATCTCTGGCGAAAGCGTATACCATTCGGCTGCTGGTTGTCATGATGCTCACTGCGGCAAACTGGGACAATCGTTAGCCATTTCACTCCAGCTCGGAGGACATCAGTTCTGATGCACTTACCAGCAAGCAGACGAGAGGAAACATCAACAGGCACACAGATCCAGCCTTGTTCGAAGTCGCATCATAAAAGATCTGCAACATTGGTCCCGCAGAGGAACTGATAACGTCTTGCACGTTGTTGGAGACGAACAAAAGAACGCTCAGGTAAATGAAGCCGGTTACGACGCCAATCAGGACACAGCCAATCATGATCCTGGGACCCAGCACAGTAGGATCGCCCACCTCTTCTATGCAATGAGCGACTGCATCAAACCCTGTCAAACCCAGACCGCCTTGCAAGAGACCTAACAACCAAGCGAGTCCGTTCGGCCAACCAGTTTCATTGATGAATGTCCGGTACACGAAATCTCCGCTCTGATAATTTGGAGAGGCGCAAGCAAGGACGGTGATGGAAATCACCACCCAGCCTGTGATGGACCAGATCAAGGCCGCCTTGTTGACAAGGGGAAGCAGTCGAGTGATGAAGGCGTTCACCAAGAAGGCGAAAACGTTGTATCCAATGTAGATCAAGAATTGGTGCCAACGGTGCGGCTCGTAAGATGGGGTTGTGAGTGAAATGATACCGATGATGAGCTGGCTTCCCAACAGCCCGGCTGTCGCAGTCAAGGCGACCCAGCCTGCCGTGTTGATCCAACCGGTAATCCACGAGAGGAGCGGCACCCAACGTTTCCAACTGATGACAGCGACCCAGTGGTACTGGCCTCCTGCCGTTGGGTAGGCTGACAGAAATTCCGCCAGAGAGGCCGCCAGGCACAGATTGCAGATGCCAGCGACAATAAGACCCCAGATGACAGAGTCAGGACCTCCACTGGGCAAAGCCAACGACATGCTGGCCCCCAAGGCGGTCCACGAGTTGAGAATTGCAAAAGCCAATCCCAGCATTGACAGAAAGGAGAAATTGCGCTGTAATTCCTGCTTCACCCCCAATCCAGCCAGCATGGCAGCATCATCTTGGATGCTGGTCCTCCGCCGAGGAGTCCCTGACGGTCGACGTGCGTCGGCCATGTTGACGTTGGTGCAGCGGTTTCGCAGTGGAGATTCGGTGTACTGAGGAGCCCTACAAGGGAGAGAGAGAGGAGCGAAGGAATATAGATCGAAGGAGAGGAAGGGCGGAGGGCGGGCATGATTTCAATCAACTCATAAGCAGGTACGTCAGCGGGAGCGATCAAATCAACCCATGCCCGTTCACGGCGCACCAGAAAACCGTCAGGGTCTCGCCCGTCCACCACGCAGACAAGCTAAAGAGATAGGAAACGGACATGATCGACGTTTGCCTGGAAAGAGAAACTCGAAGCATAGAGTGGAGGATTGATGACCCGCACAAACCAGGAGACAGTGGACCGTGAGGGTGGCATCATAGCAATGAGCAGCAGGCTAGCAGTTGATATGAAGTAAGAGGAATTGATGCGCGAAAAAGCTTGACTCGATCAAGGCCCTACGCCGAGCCTGGTAAGGCCCGAGAAAACAGTAGGAAGCTCAACCCCAGATTCGCCCCCAAGCGCCACCGATGTCACATCGCGGCGCCTTGTCGGTGCCTAAAACATTAGCCCCGTCCCGGCCTCACGTAACCACCACGGCCCCCTAATGCTCCCCCGTTAAATAGACATGGGCGGCTGGCCCAAACTGCAGGCTGCCCTGCTTCTCTTCCGAAAGAACTTCTATCGAAGCACCCCAGGCGCCAATGAGCAACAATGAGCCACCAGAGGCGACACGGAACAGATAGGCAACCTCGGCGGCCGAAGACCGAAGGCCCAAATGATGGATCGACGACTCGGATGCTTCACTCAGCCTTATCACCAGCCAGTCAACGTCAGCCTTATCAGCGGCCATTACTACATCCGCTGGCTCTTTGTTGTTCGCCCACCGTTGGCAGGAACCTGGTAGAAAACATGGTAAACTCAGGCTGGGTGTCCCGCGTATACCACCACCATACGAGGTAAAGAACTCGAACAAAGACACAGTGCTTGCCATGGTGCAAGAGGCAGTACTAAAATTGATCATGCTAACAAAGGGACTCAAAATGCGTGTTCTTTGTCGGGAAAGCCTTTATTCTGGTCTTCGCGAAATACAATATCTCATGACAGGCCAAGGGCCACAAGCCATACCACCCTTCCAGACTTTCTTCTCGCATCTACTCGAAAATATTGCTTTCCCTATCGCTGATGCAGCATGTGTGAATCACGCACCATATATTACCTTTGCGGCCATGTCAAGATCAAGACTATCGTTCAGTGCGCGGACATGGTGGACAAAATGTTAGCCTCCCATTTGCCGATTGCTAACGCCCATCAAGTCTGTGAGAACAGTGTCAGCCACAACCTGCATGTGTTTCCTGACATTTGTGACAAGTGTAAGACAACCGGGGTGATTGGGGACTTCATGGAGCTTCCAGGCGCCAAGCTCGAAATTGTGAAGGCGTGGGCTCAGGGCAAGCGGGAGACTCCCAAGCCCGACCCAGACGCCGAGTTATCCGCTGGCAACGACGAGGGCGTCAGAGAAGAGGAGGAATCCATTGAGACCAGCAGATTTCAGACCGAGAAAGCCAACATGCTCGATGATAATGCAAGCATTTCAACAACAGGTATCACAAGTATAGCAGATACGTCGACCGCGAGAAGTCGAGCTTCAAGTTCAACTACGAATGAAGCGGTACCAGATCTGGCCCAACTCAAACTGAGGGTTGCAGCCTTGAGGACGAGAACAGAACGCTTACTCTCCAAGGTGCGAGGTCGGAGACCTCCAACACTGGGCTAGTTGTGTGATTAGCTATTTCCTGTTCTTGAGGATCTGGGAGTTGATGGTGCATTGTGAACAACATCAAATGCTGTCCTCCTATTCCATCCGGGGAGAGGTCAGCCTTCAGTGGAGCTCCCATTGGAAAGGAAGTTCGTGCAATGATGGCGCGTCGAACATGCTGCATCAGACGGTGCAATAGTGACTAGACTGACGTGTCGCGGTAATTGGTGGGTATGGAACAATCGTCGGTCGCAAGTCGGGTCGCTCTTACTCGACGGGCACAACGGAAGTCGATTTCTCCATGAAAAAACCTAAGGACTGGAGGAGGTGATTTTGGGCATCACAGTCACAATCACTCGTATCTCACAATATTCATTGGAAACCTGCAGTGCAGGGCTCTCTCACTCTGTTCCCTTAAAGGGTTTGGAATCCTGGTCGTGGAAGTACCATCCTCACCATGACATACACCATGGCGCCCATAGACTCGCCGGCAACTGTTGCCCTAGATCTCTGTCGTGTGACTGACAGGACGGGGCATAAGAATATCAGCTCAGCGCCTGCACTGATGGCCTCCGCAACAGAGACGGAAGCAAATTCACCCCACAGAGGCCGCGACTCGGAGAATGGGGCCTCAAGGTGATCAGAACGCTTGCTGCTTCTCAGCCTCAACGTGCCCCTCCCCAACATCAAGATGCCCCGGCAGCAACGGCCTGCTCGGCATCCCTTGCCGGAGCGGGATCCAAGACTAGCCCTTGAGTCAATCTTCGGCTGTCAACCAAGCTTCCTTGCGTGGGAAAGCTTGTTATTCCTCCAGCGGCCTTTGGAGGGCGAAACAGGGAATCGGTTGGCCCAATGTCGTCATTGAAGCAGGGACTGCAGGGGCCTCGTCAATGAGATCGGCTTCTTATATCAACAATGGCATCTGGCCATGTCTCCTTCGCCAGCGCTCCAGGCTTCCCTTCCAACAGAGCAAACCTTCAACTCCCACGCTCATTCATCTCCTCTGATTTTCTCAGGTCGACCCCCTCAAGACCCCTAGAGCAGCGGTGCGATGGTCGGCAAACGCACGCTTAATACAGCCAAGAACCAAGCAGATGACAATTGGCTGCAGGCAGATCTGGAGCCTGGGCACGGTACGAGACGATTTTCGGGCTTCAAGGATGCCGTCGAGTATGTCTTGGATCGCCGAACGACAGCGGTGTTAAAGGAGCAGCTGCGGGGAAGCGTGGATAGAGGAGCTTTCGAGAGGGCCAGGAAAAGTGCTGAGGAGGTAGGAGCGGGCAACCGATTCGAAGACTCTATCACGCTGACAGGTGGCGTTCAGTTGAAGCAAATCAAGAACAAGAAGGTCCGCAAATTCTACGAGAAACAAAACGCTACCCTGGACGATTGGGCCGAAGTGGACACGATCGTGCTGGCCATGGCCGATGAGGTGATGGAGAGCATGAACACCGACGCTGATCACGATGGGATTCGGGAAAGAGAAGGCAGACTGCAGCACGTTGAAGAGCACATTGACTACCTTTTGCCGGACGAGGTACTGAGAAGAAGACGAAAGGCAGATCGAAACGCCCGGTGGGCAATCAACATCAACGTGATCGCCAACATCGTTCTCCTCGTTGCCAAGGGCATAGCGGCGCTCAGGTCCTCCTCTCTGTCGTTGATTGCCTCTCTCGTCGACTCGGCGCTGGACCTGCTCTGCACAGCGATCGTGTGGACGACAAACAAACTGGTATCTTGGAGGTTGTCGGCACTCGCGAGGAAGTTCCCAGTCGGTCGGCGGAGGCTGGAACCGATTGGGATCCTCGTGTTTTCCATCATCATGGTTATCTCATTTCTTCAGATCCTGCAAGAGTCGGTCGAGAAACTGCTCCCGAGCGGCGACCACGACATTGCTTCCCTGGGCGCACTGGCGATCGCTTCCATGGCCGGGACCATCGGTATCAAAGGTTTGATCGGGTTGGGATGCATAAGGATCAAGACCACACAAGTGCAGGCACTGGCCCAGGATTGCAAGACAGATGTGTACTTCAACACGCTGTCGTTGCTCTTCCCGCTGATCGGTAAACAGGCCGGGATTTGGTGGTTGGACCCATTGGGCGCAGCACTGCTTTCGTTGTACATTATTTACGACTGGGCGGACACCTGCATCGAAAACGTCAGCAGACTCTGCGGCCTTGCAGTGGACGAGACGCTGCAGAAGAAACTCATATATCTCGCTTATCGATTCAGCAATGTGGTGTCTGGATTCAAATCTGTCATTGCGTACCACGCTGGAGATGGCGTGTGGGCAGAGTTTGATATATTGTTAGATGAGAAAACACCATTGAGGCGCACACACGATATTGCCGAGACTTTGCAGTACTGTTGCGAGGCTTTGACTGAGGTTGATAGGGCGTTCGTGACCACAGACTGTGAGTTTTCCCACACTGCAAGAGTTGCAACCTGGCTAACAGCTACAGATTCTGTACAAAACCCGGGTGGACATTCTCAAGACTTGGTGTAAATCGGATAAAAGACTGAGAATGCTGGTACTATACCATGCATGGCGAAACCTTGTTGCTATTCAGGCGTATGGCGTCCTATAGCGGACCGCGGTCGGCCTTCAATTGGGTTGACTTCGTGCTCGTCAAAGTAAGAATTGGGAGAATGCAGATATAGCTTTGAGCGTTCGGCAGACATGCCACCAACCATGATTGATCGTGCTTCCTCCGACTGTGTTCGGTTGAGCGATGATGCGAGGAGATCGAAGCAGCACCATCTCGCGATTCCTTGTTCCACCCTGGGCAAAGTTCACTGAACACGCCATGATAGGTGTTGGCTTTCACTCTGTTCGTTCATAACGTTGGAAGTATCCCTGAGGGACCGCTAGATTTGTGCGTGGGCTCTTGTCCATTCAAGCTATCTGTCCATTTCTCCAAAGCCCAACTCCAGGCAATTGGTGATCATACCGGAGGCTGAGATAGAGCCAAAAGCAGTCCCGCCGTCATGTCAACGAGGCAACGTCGGAGAAGTGGACGATAGGGTAGGCGGCAGGGTTATCAAAGCACGAGGCTCTCAGATGAAGCAGCAGAAGTGATTTCGCTAGTTTAATTTTCTCCGACATGTGAAGCACGGCATCAGTGGCTGGAGATGAGGAGCGCGCTGTGTCTGCTCGTGTTACATTAGGCAGACTTAAGTCACCTATAACAAGGAAGACTCCTTGATCTTTTGGGGGGCGTTTTCGTGGTTGAGGAAAGATGCCGATGTAGTCGAAAACAATACGAGAGGAATCGCCCACGTCCGCGTCCCCCTCGAGTGCCGCCGAATATCAACCGCCAACTGGCCATTCACGCCATTCCCCAATCTTTTCCCCGCCAGCCAGAAGGACCGCCACCTACCCTGCAACGAGGCCTTCAATCGTTCCATCTGAGAGTTCATTGCAGTCCACAAACTCCCGTGCCCAAGATGCCTCTCACGAAGGTTTCTCGTGTCTCGAATCGCGGAGGAGTCACGAAAACTACCCCCGTGAAACCCATACTTCCACCGCAAGGACAATCGCCCCTCAAAAAGCCACTACGGAAGAGCGAGTCAACGAGGGCACAAGATTTTGAGAAAGAGACAACACCTCGCGCAAATAAGTACGGAACACACGCAGAGGCAGTGGGTCAATCGAACTGCAAGACCGGAAGGAGAGGCACGTCCATCACGCCTCAGAAAAAGAGAGGAGAAGATGTCGAGGGCAAGAGAATGCGTAGGTACAGAAGCAAGCCTCCGGCTTCATTCCTCGTGAAGCTCGAGCGAGCACAGACTCAGCGCATGATTGTGCTCGGTCGCAAACGCAGTATGAGGGCAGGGGCGCCGTCGGAAGACATTGACATTGTCGGCTCGACCGGCAACATCTACACTGTCACCGTCAGCCACTTGCCGACCTGCACCTGTCCCGATTCCCTCAAGGGCAACGAATGCAAACACAAGGTCTACGCCCTTCACACTGTTCTCAAGGCTCCCCTGCATCTCCAGTACCAGCTTGCTCTGCTGACTCCGGAGCTTGACGAAATATTTGCCCATGCGCCTCCTATCCCCACCGATCTCTCCGAAGACGCCAAGGGCAGCCGCAAGCCTACCGATGGCGAATGCCCAATCTGTTACATGGAACTTGACGAGGAGCACAACGAGCTGGTCTGGTGCAAAGTGCAATGCGGCCACAACTTACACAAATCGTGTTTTAATCAGTGGGCTAAGAGCCAGGCGGGCAAGGGAGTCCGTTGTGTCTACTGTCGGACATCCTGGGAAACGGACGTCTCGGATGTTGAAGCGATCAAAAGGACGGCAGAATATACCCAAGACGGCTACGTCAATGTTGCCGACCATTTTGGCATTTCCAGAGCGAGAGAATACTCAGGCTATTATCAGCCTTGGGTCAGACGCCGGTTTGGACAACAGTGGTGATTGACTCTTCCTGCAATGTACCACCAACCCGCCCACTGGGCCTTTTACTGCTGAATACTGTTGGAGCGGATAATACTCCTATCAAGCATCTCTCCGCTGGCCAGTACAGACCGGTCTGCTCCGGAGAGCTAACCAAAAATTTGTATGAACTCAAGCGTGACACAATATTCCTTGTAATTGTTTCTGTGTCACCATCAGCTAGCACGAATAAGGTACAGTCATTCGTGGAACTTGAAGAGCTTCAGAGCTAGAGACCATGTCTGCGAACAAGGATAAGAATATATCTCGTACGACCAACACAGCCTTTTGTTGACTCGCCTGATGGGAGTGCATGTAGGCTGACTAGCAGATTCATACATATAGCTGCCTCCAGTATCCGCGGTATCTGTATGGAGCCTTGGACCTGTCAGAGAGCTCGAGAAATGCCATTCATTATGCCCAGCGCTGTACGGTGAGGAAATCACATACACGACTCCTCTCCTCGTCGGCATAGTTCGCTGCTTAATACAAATATCACATTCACTCATCCAGCCTGTCTACCGAGAATGATTCCGCCCAGCAATTGCAAAGGCGTTTGCACATGTTTAGCCCTTTGAAGGAGAGAAGAGAGAACATGCTTCCAGTCTGCGAACCAATACAGCCAACGTGTTGTGATGAGACATGTACAACTGGGCTAGAGCTATCGAGACACCTGTGGCATCATGGACCTCGCCTGTCTCGCCTTTGCGAAAACTGTCTAACACAACCAGATCTGCAGAACTCATTTCAAAGACCTTTTCCTATCCAGGAGCCAGTCCGCCAGCAGAAGGATCCATCACTATCTAGATGAAACAAAACTCGGCTTGATCCCTAACACGTACATCTCGCGTCCGAGGCTGCCCCATATTAGAAGACCTGGCTCCAGGGAAGAACGACGCGCGTGATATGATACACCCACATTACGTGAACAAATGCCTGGATTCAGCCACCCCACCATCGAGCCAAATGCCTGAGGAGTCCCGGATTAAGAAGACAGAGAAACATCAATGCCACAGCCCCGCCAAATCCAACGCCTCGCAAGAGAAACCAATATTCCACGCCAGTGGGAAACATAGCAAAAACAAGAAGACAGCCGTGGGGTATCATAAGCTCATAACAATCCTGGGAAAATAGAAAACACAAATCATAACAACGTCGCTTCCGCAGTCCAGGTTCTGTGACCAGCTTAAAGGTTTCTGATCAACTAGACACAGAGACCGACTTTTCCTTTGGGGCCAGGTGCGCCCATGTAAAGAAGTCGAACTTCTCCCTGTCTTTCCCTGTCCCTGTCTCGGGATTTGGGCTTCTGCTGGGTTCTCTGGGTTCTAAAATCAATGAACGTCGATAGTGAAGCTGAAAACTTTTATCCCCTGCAGATCTGACTCGAATAAGTTGATCTTGCATCCACGTCTGGAGCTCGGAGACTTCGGCGAAACGGTAGGGGATCTGGAATTTCTGCAACTCGGATATGATCTTCGCCGTCTTCATATGCTTGTCCAGATTGATGACCGAGGCCTCACCGCTATCCGTCGAAAGCCGCCTTGTAGATGGGTTGGCTGAATCAACCATGGTTAGGTCTGTCAAGTAAACGCCGATGAAAGGGAGACACGGTGGGAGTTGAGATTGAATACGTTGACGCAGAACAGCATAGTTGCGGGCCACATCGACAATCTTGCACATCTCGTCAAAGATTGCCTTGGTCTTCTGAGGCACGCATTCCCACGTCTTCTTCATTCTTTTGATATTGGTCGAATCCAGTGCGCATACGATCGCCATGACCGTGTCAAAGTTGCGCAAGTCCAAGCATTTATTGGCAATTTTGACCCATTGTTTGACGATGGCGGCTCTTTTTTTGGGTTCTTCGAGTTGAAGCACCGAGTCGGAGACCAGGTTCGAGATGTCGGTAGACAGCGTCGACATAGCGCGCACATTGACGGCCAGAGAACTGCTGCGTTTGGTCCATTCCGTCCCTAGAAGCTCTTCGGGAAGAATCGAGCAAAAGATCTTGGACGTCTTCAATGTGATCTGGCGCGCGAGTTCCAGAGGGTCGAAGTCAAGGATGGAAACTGACGGGCCGCCCATTTTCCAAGCTCTCAACGCAGTGAGCTGGCTCTTGGAGATAACAGGATTTGGCAATGGGGTGCTCGGGTCAATATAGGCTGCTGTTGATGTGCTCGTCTTTCCGATAGCGGACAACACTCTCGGAACGATGGGTGCATGGCTTGTGGCAACCTTCTCCGCGAGTTCAAGGATTCTCTTGCCGGCCATTGGCAATACACCAAGAAGCGACTCTCTGGCGAAGCCGACAATGACCGGAAGTGCCGTGTCATCACAATCATGCCGCCAGTGAGACTCCATCCAGCCTTTGAAGACATTGTACACGCGGAGTCGGACAGGGCCTGCGATGCTCAAGTTGTCGCCAACGTATTCGAACCGAAAGATCAAGGCACGAGCAAATGTCGCAGGTGTCGCAAAGAGACGGAATGTGAGGTAGATGGTGGTGACAAAAGACACATCGGGGGCTGAGTCAGGGGCGGTCAGTCTCTCCACCAAGGCATTCAGTGTACCTCCGACGATTATGCCTTCTCGATTAAAGACAAGCTCTTGGGAATAGGTGTGAACAAGGATTTCTGCCTCGGCATCTTCTTCATCGTCAAGGGACGCGCGGCGACCACTATCATGCGATGGTCTCGAGATGGGCGCCTTCAGCGAGTGGCTAAAATCTTCATGAACCGAGGTGACCCGCGTCGACGCCGAGGATAGGTTGCTGGGATTTGATCGTCGCTCGATGCGTTCGAAGCTACTGTCACTGCTTGTACTTCCTCCGACCGCGCGTGAACTGGACTTGCGATGATGCCTGACGTCCGCAGACTGACTGGAAACCGGAGAAGTTGCAGAGAACTTCTGATGAGCCAAAGAGGTGGAGGGCAAAGGCGAGGAGCGAATGATCTCCGCAACAACGTCATCTTTTGGTGTAGGGGGAACACTACCGGTGGCTGTGGAAGGAGATTCGGCAGTTGTAAGAGAGAGAGGCGGAGTCAGGAGGCCCTGATTGATGACGATGTGAGGGCGCTCGTCTGATCTATCTGTTCTCTTAGCTGTGGCCGACGTCACCGTGGAGGAAGTTGTGAGACGCTCCGACGGCGGGGGTTCGACGTTTGTAGGCTCTGGCGTGCTGGAGCCACCTGAATTCCTGCCCAACAGGTAACTCAAATTCTCGATCTCAAAATCCCCTATTTCTTCTAGCGTCGCTTTGGTTCGAGTGACGCACCGACCTGCAGCACTGACGCAGGCGGTGGCAGCCTGTACCAGACTGTGCGCCTCATCGGGAGAATAAATCAGGTCGTCATCCATCGAGCGGATGGGCTTGAAGACTTGGCGAGCAGCGTGGACTAGTTCAGTAATCGCGTCGTACATGGAATCTTTGGCTTGAACCAGTGGTCGAGAGGTGCTGTAGTCTCGGTCAATGACCGTTTCGACCACGGCAAATAGCTGTCGACAAGCCCGAACAGCGTTTTGTGTGGTAAGCAACAACTCGGATGATGACCTGGATTGCATGTGAGATCCCAGGAACGAGGCCAGGACTGTCAGGAACTCGTCGTAAGAGCGATTGAGAAATTCAGATATCAGGTTGGTATTCTTCTGGCCTGTGCCACGGCTGTACGACATGCGATGTGTGAGGGATGAATGCCGCCGCATGTGGCTAGGATTGGTTGTGGAACCTTGGCTGCTATGTTTCGACAGGCCGGTTGTGCCTGAAGGTTTCGTTTTGACGGATGTTGAGGTTTGACGTCGGACAGTGGCTTGTGATTTGGTCGAGTGCTGAGATTGCAGAGCCGCGACGGATTCCGAAGAAGAGTCGGACGGTCTTGTAGCAGCTCCCGGTGACGCATCGGCTTGTTCGGTCCAGACATCGTAAAACAAGACGGCGCGGGTGACAATTCGGAACGCTTTTAAGAGCATGTCATCTAGCCGGATGTCGAGGGTATCCTTGCTGGCCGCATGGCCCACAACTACTTGTTGCAGTTCCTTTGCCGCACGCACAAGAAGAGCGAGATCAGAGAGGAGGTTTTTACGCGTCCTGCGTATGGCATCGTGCTTCTTAACCAGGGTACAATCTCTAGTCAGACAGTTGGAGCGTTCCAGCAAGGCGCGGACACCCGCGACCAGGCCTCTCATGTAGTCCTGATTGCGGAAAAGACCCAGGTTCGAATCACTCGCGCAGCGGACGAGATCCCAGAATTCGGTCAATGCTTTGAGGAGAGGTCGCATGGCAGCATAGTCGTAACCCTCGCAGTAATTGGTCGGTAGCCACCCACGCGCTCCTGTCTCAAGCAGCGTGCCATCCGCCCAGCCATTGATGTGCACAGAGTGTACCAGGATGATATCTCCGGCATTGAGAGGTAGTGTGACGGTGGTGGAGGAATGAGGAGAGGAGGGTTGGAAGGGATAGAGGGCTCGTAGATAGTTGTGGAATCTTGCGCGAGAGGAGGCCATGTCATCGAGGGATTCTATAGATGTCGGTCGTGGATTCGGAGTGGCCGACCCCGTCTCTTCCATTTTGACGGATGGCCCGTGGCTTTCGTCGTCGTCGTCGTCGTCATCGTCGTCACTATTCTTGCGGATTCGTAGAGGCGCAACGTAGATATTAGAAGGCTGAGGCTCGCGCATTTTGCTGCAAGAACTGTAAAAAGTCGCGGATCACATTGTTCAGTTTCGAAGTACCTGCGTCTCACAAAAGGCCATTCCCTTCGCAATCAACAGTAGGTGAACCAAGGATCCAAGGTTATGACGAGACGGCCGGAGTTGAAGAGGTAACGGCTTCAAAATATGTGTCCAAGGGGAAACAAGGGGGCACAAGAGCAGGGCGTTGATGCGAAGCGAGGGGGGGTGTTCAAGCCGTCTGCAAGGGCCAGGAGGAGGTGGCAGCTCGGCGTCACAACAACTACACGGCTGATCCGGGGTTCGATCGACGAGGCAAAGATCAGGCTGCAGGACAACGACAAAAGAAAACGGGCTAAAGAATGAACTGTACAAATTGGTAGACACCTGTAAGGACTGACCGACGATGAAAAGAGTTTGTTGATGCAGGAAGGAAGTCACTGGAACAGTGGCACCCGGAGGAGCAGTGGGATCAACCACTGGCAGGTAGTGGAGGTCGGTCCCTGCACATAGCTGATAGTACTCCGTACTCCGTACTTCTGGCTTCCCTCGAGAGCCTAGACACCCACCCAACGGGCCGGCAAAAGACGCAAAGACCCAGCCTGCCTGCAAGCCACCAAGCCACCCCAATGGACTTCCCAGACTCGTTCTGGTGCCCGCGTTAGCCCTTGCAACGCCGGGACCGGGCAAGTTCTAGGCCTCTGGATTGCTTCGACTCGACACACCTTTTCCTAAGCCTCATTAATCGTATGGTTGCTCCTGTCGCGAGCCCAACCCATGATACCAGGCCTAACGACTGTGTACATGCTGGTCAGAGACGAACCGTGTCTTTCAGGCACCTCATCAAAATCGTTAAGCGCAATATTCAGATCTTTTGCCCCACGCAATCTTGCCTCTGCGCTTCCATACCCAATCTTAGAGGCCAATCTGGGTGACTTGAGCCCCTCTTCCCTCAGACCCCCAGCGACCAACAACGCCAATCGAGCAGATCATTTGACCGGGTGTGAGTCTTGGCCAGGACGCCAGAGGTCATATCCCACCCAAACTCGTCAAAGCTGGCGGGTGGCGGGTCAATGACCAAAGCTATAATCCTTGTCGTCTTTGGCTGTCTGACAAAAGGGAGTGCATGCAGCCACTACTTTTACGTGCTCAAAAAAAAAAGAGGGAATGAGTTTTCCAGCCAAGAATCAACATCAGACTCGCTGACCCCTTAGGTACGTTTTGATGGAGCTGTCAGTGGCCTCTGGATAAGAGGAAGTTAAAATACGAGGTGCTCGCCAAACGACGGTCGCTCCGCATCCCCGGGTTACAGTCCAGGGTTTTGTAAGTCCCTGGCCTTTGCGGTCCAAAGCTGGAATTGAGCTCGTTCGAGTTCCATCTCTGCCTCCTGGTATGTCCCAACACTCAGCTTCCACCTCCCTAGGGTCACCACTCTAGCGCTTCACATCTTGGCCGTGCCCCGCAAATCCAATGATGGGGAGCAGTTCTCGTTGATTTAATGTCCGTCGAGGGTACCGCGAGACTACGGATCCTTTGACCGGACTGCTGGGACAGAAGACTGACCGCCGATGGTTTTAAAGTTCGATTGTTCGGGAGATGAAAGTCTTGACCATCCATCCGCTCTCTGGGTGGGACGGGTCGCAGACGCATCACACGCATTATTCGTTCAATAAAGCCAAACCTTGCTGACGATTGGTTTGCCCCAAGCAACCGGACGCTGCGAGTCTTACGAGTATAGGCGACCCAATTTGACTTGCCGCGGCTCAAAGTGGGAGAGGAACAAGGAAAGTTCTTTCTCGGGGGCTCGTCGATCTCCCCTGCTCCCCAGGACAGCGAACCAAGAAAATCAACTTCGAAGGTGCTTGTTTGCGCAATTCGCTTGTTTGAATGCTTGGATCCTTGCCCGCGACAAACAGCAACACTTAAAGCTGCCGGTAAACCCCACCGAAAGCCGACATATCTGCCTACGAATGATATTGGAAACGCCTGCCGACCCGCCGAACTCAATGTCCTATTCGTAGATCCGTTGTCCCATTAATAATGCCCTAGCAACAAAGACCAAACCAGTGTGAAAAGAGAAGCCCACCAATTTCGCACCGATTCCAAGCTACCCAGCCATCATCTAGCTTGCATCCAAGATAATGTGGTCCGGTACTCGACATATCTTATTGCTCGGCAATGACTTGCGAACTACGCTGCCTGGTTGAACCGTGACACCTTCCCCAATGCTGACACCAGGACAGATAACGGCATTTGCGCCGATAATGACTCCGGCAGCGATTTCCACCTTCTTTGCTACCCAGAGACCGTTGGTGCCCTTGCGATTGACGAGATCCCCATCCTGGTCGCTTGTCAAGATGGAGACGTCCTGCGAAATGATGGTGCGAGGTCCAATGTCGATGAGTGCAGCATCGTCAAATTTACACCGGGGACCAATGTAGCAATCGTCTCGAATGTGAAGGTTGTAGCCATAGGTGCAAAAAAAGGGCGCCTCGACCTTAACGCCGAGACCAAGAATGCCTTTGCTGTGGTTCTGCGAAGGAAACCTGTTCGTTGTGTCCTGACTTGGATCGATGATCCTCTCCAAGAGATTCCGGATTTCCAGGTCGCTAATGCCGCTGTCTGGCCGACAAGCTTTTTTGTAGCGCCTGAGGGCCTGCTCACACCGTTGACGCTCGTAAGACAATGTCGGATCGTTGTGGGCATAGCCTACATTTCTCAGCATCCTCGATTTCTCCACGTCCTCGTGGCCAGAGATCTTGAAATTTGAGCTTGAAGATGCCATTCTGGTGTGAGTAGGAACGGTAGGATGGGCAGGCAGGGGCTGGGGAGGACCATGTGGAGGAGGGCCATATGCATGCCCATATGGTGGCTGTTGATGCTGCTGTGGCTGATGCCACTGCGGTTGCTGTTGAGAGGGGCCCGCCGCGGGCTGATGAGCTACGCTAGGACCTGCAGACTGAGGCCCTGCATGTTGAGGAGGAAAGTGCTGTTGCGGGTGTGGCCCCAGCGGAGCTTGGCTCGGAGGGTACGTGGTACCTTGTGGCGGCGGTACTCGTGACATCTCTCGGGGATGTGCACCTGAGTGTGGTTCTGGTCGATTTAGATCCGAGAGCGGTGGGAGATGCTCTGTATAAGAGCTTTGACTCTGCGCCGGCGGCCAAGGTGTGTGCTGGCTGGGACGAAGTGGTCGGCCTGGTGGCTCGTTGCGTTGTGGGCTCATCTCATACGACAGTGGGTGTTGACCTTCCCCCCCGCCGATGGGCATTGGTCGCGACTGAATGCTGTCCTGACGTTGGAGAGGACCAGGATATTCCATGTGAGGTCCCTGATAGGGCGAGGCTTCAGACACGTCACCAGGACCGTCCCTAGACTGTAACGGAACCGGGCCCCTGATGGGTGTGGGCTTGGTCGGAGCTGCACGCCTGTTCACGTTGTAGCCTTTACAAGTGAACCCCCCTCGATGACAGTTCTCACCTGGAAAGAACAGAGTATTAGTAGGTGGAGAGAATAACATTCCCGTTTCGATGGATGATCAAACTTACAAGTTGGCTGTCCTTCATCGCACTTCTTCTTCCGTTGGCGGCATGTCAGGCACCCCGTCTTCGTTCTGTTGGAGAAGTTGCGCTTTCTTTTTGGCGCGACTGTGGGCGCGCCCGTTCCTGACTCAGGGTGACCATACTGGTCGTGATTGAGCGGGCCGTTTGGCCGGGAATGATAGTCCGGGCCCCAAGACGGTGGCTGTGCCTCTGATGCGCCTGCTTCTTGCAGCAGCATTTCTGCGTGCTGCGATTCGGAGGTGCTGACCCGATGGCCATTGATGGCACTGGCTGGCTGTACTGGCTTCTCAGCGTGCCACGTATGGCCGTTCTGCTTTGCGTCATTTTGATAGAACGCAGATGTGGCATTGTGATCGGCGTTCCCCAGCGCACGCAGTGCTCGATTGGCCATGTGTTGTGGTTCAGGACCTTCCCGGGGACTGTACTCATACCGCCGCCGCTCAAGGTAATGGTCGTCTTCGCCAGACCCCGACCGTTTCCGCCTATGGCCCGCACGTTCTTGGGCATGCGGGGGCGGATAGGTGCTGCCTGAAGTTCTGGGCATGGGCTCTTCCCTGAGAGGGAGGTCATGTGGAGATGAGTGGCGACTGTCAAGTGAGGCTTCGCTTTCTGGGCTAGGGTCAATACAGACATATGGGAGACGGGACACGATGACAGACCATTGCTGGACGCATGATTGACGGCAACAAAGCCTCGGGAACCCTCATCTGGGCTTGGAGTCAAGTCATTGTCCGACTTCTGACTCGGTGGAGGAGCCATTGTCAGGAGCCAAATGATGGTCTTGAGATACCAAGAAAGGCGAGTCGGTCGGTCCCAGTGTGGCCGCGGTCTATAAGTTTTCCTGAAAGACTCTGGCCTCCTTTTGAGTGCCGACTCCTGAACACAAGAAAGGCTGAGGCTTCAAGCAGGGATATGAAGATCCCGCGAAAGTGGGCGCTTGCCCTGGCTACCCCCTTCTTGTGGGATAGGGAGAATGCCTCTTGGAAAGCACGGATTCGCCAGCAAGAGAGTTGACAACTCCTGGAGTGAGCGAGACAGCGAGACGCGCGGCGAGAAGAGACCTGTATGGGGTGTGGGCGCTTATGTTCCGTCACAACCTGAGGAGAGGTAAGCGCCGAGGACGCTGGCGAGCCCGAAACCAGGGGGATCACGCGCTTAACTGTAGCGCTGAGGTTGGGAAGGCGGGAATCATCAAGAAGGAAGCTGTAGAAGACCTCCTTGGGATCCGGATGGGAGGAAACTCAGAGAGAACAGCAGGATATCAAGAAATGCTGTAGAATGTGGCTATTGAAATGTTTGCTGGGAATTTGTCGAGTTGCAGGTAAGCGGCAGCCGCGAGAAGCGCACGTGGAGCTGGTAAGAGGAAGAAAAAGAGGATTTGACTGATGATTGCTTGCCGATGCGTAGTAAGCGGAGGGAGCCGCACTTTATGGTAGTAGCAAACTCGAGGTCCGGCGGCAGAGTAGGAGACGAAGACAATCAATCTTGTAAAGGAGCTTCGAAAAGTGTCCCAAGGGCCCAACTTAAAGCTGTCTGCAAGGAGCGGAAGAAGGGTCAAGAGGCAAAGAGGCCTAAGCACATCCTTTCCCACTTTTCGCAACTGATACTTGACAGCTAGGTGAGAAACGAGAGAGAGAGAGAGAGAGAGAGAGCCACAAGGCAGGAGGACGTTGGCAAGGGTGAGGGCGGGTGTGGGTGGGCGAGCGAGGAGCGTGTTTGGTCGGGGAGACTTCCACCACGCCAGACAAGGGGCCCTCTAAATCCACGGGGCGCTTGGAAAAGGCGCTTGCCGCATTCTTCTTGCAGCTGCGTTCTCGACGCTGACTGGCCACCCAAAGAATTGCTCAAGCCATTAGCTTTCCCAAGGGGCCGCGGGCCACCGGAAAAGCAGGCGGCAGTTGTCTGAGGAGGATGATCGTGCGGTGTGTTGAGACATGCTGAGCACTTTCATTCTCCGTCAGCAAGTTGTGCCCAGTTTTCGTCAATCATGAATCACCACCACCACCCACCGACCAACGCCAAATTCGGGCTCTGAAAGTAGGTACGTCGTGAGTTCTCTACGACTCGCAACGGGCGGGTCACCTAGCTGACGCAGTATGCAGCTGTGTGCCTTGGTTGCATGGCGTCCGCTCCTCTGTTTCCCTCACCGTCTTCTTTCCTCCTCCGTTCTTCTCGTATCGATCCCTGCGAGGTTCTCGTGATTGACAGTCCTTTGTGCCATTCCAAGAACGGGACTAGCACGACATTTTGCCTCCCTTGTCCGAGGGTTGCCTCCCGTCACAGCTGCGCAGTTCCAAAAGCGAGGCAAGGGCTGACCTGGAATCATCAAGGGCCAAAAGGGGCCTGGGGCTTTAACCTGGATGCATGTGATGGAGGTCCATCAAGAGCAATGATTGGGCGCTCGATGTCAAATCCGAGCTCAAGTGACGCCCGCTAGCAAAGCCGCTCGTCAAAAATGCCGCCTAGACCGAGTTGCCTACCCTACAGAGTCACCTTGGATCCCGCCTGTCCTATTCTCTCATTGGACACGGCATTGTGACGACGGATCATGCACGCGTCTTGCCCCCCTCCTTGCATTTGCGTTTCTGACGAAATTGTTTCCAAAGTCACTTCGCGCTTGCGTTTGGTCTAGCCGACTCAGCCGCTCGTCACTCGGGCCCGCCAACTGCTCCCGGGTGGAGATAAAGAGGGCGAGAAGCATGAAAGACGGTGGGTAGGTGAGACAATGGCTTGCAAGCTTCCAATTGAAATGCGCAAATGCTCATATTTTGTACGTAATACTTCTGTTATCCTAGGACGCCTACTTGGCCCAACCTCTCCAGGCGTCGCCAAATCCAAGCGCGACGGCGCTGGGATCAACATCTGCACCCATGCCAGGGCCACAGTAATCCCCGCCACCAATGTCTGCCAGCACTGTTAACGTGGGTCGTCCGTGAGCGCATTGGAAAGGGAAGGTGCACTGAGAGAGTCTTTGGACAAGTTTCTGGCATTGCCTCGTATCCAGATGGTCGTTGAACATCACCGCGGTGCGGCAGGATCGAGACTTTAGCATCTCGATTATGCCTTTCGGGCAGTCCGCAATGTCGGACCACCAGGAAGGCGCATCAGATTGTGGAGGATGGGGTAAGGGAGTGCGACGCCGCGTACGGCCTAACCATATCTCGCCTCTCATGATGTCAGCCAAAAGCTTCGGGTCGGCGCGACAACGCTCGATAATGAGGGCCGGCAGTGCGGTTACCTCCACTGCCCAGGTTTTGGGGCTGCGCGAACATTTCGAAGATTGTTCCGCTTTAGTGTTTTCAACAATGCGATAGCTGACACACCATTCCCAGAAATATTGCCTGTGCTCTCCCAAAACCCTGGCCTCAGTCTCGTCCACCTCGAAGACCAATGGTTTCGTGAGACTCATTGAAGTGCGCTTGCAGAAGTCGTCACACAACTTTTCGAATTTGACTCTTTCATCAGCCGCATGCTGGTCGACAAGAACCAGAAGTCTCCGAGACGTCCTTTCTGCCAAGTACGGGTCGCCTTTGTCCTGAACAGCAAGGATGGCTAGAATGAACTTTCGGTCAACCTGTTGGATAATGGTGGCGTTCTGCAGAGAACCTTTGGTGATGACCTGTGAATCCCGGACAGTATCGTCCTGCCCCCCAGCAAGGTGTCGTTTTACAGAAAACCCCGGAGCTAGCCCCGACATGATGCCAGGGATTGGTGTCTCAGGTTGGTGATGAGAGCTCGTTTGCAGATATTGCTGCAAGTTGAGCATGGGTTTTGCCCAAGGACTTTGTCCATCATTTCCCTTGCAGAGTCTAGGCCACTGACTCTGCATTCGAGTAGAACACCCGCGGGTTCCATCTGGACGCACAAGGTCTAGATTAGCCAGAGGCAAGACTCCTCCTGTGCGAGGATGGAGGTAAATGACTTGACCATAGCGTGAGTTGACCCAGGGGAGGCCAAAGACAGACTCATCATGATCGTCATCATTGGAATCAATCTGGGTGTCACCCACCGCCTCCTCTGGGTCCGGCTCTTCGATGTGCAGGGTTCCAAACAAGAGATGTCCCTCGGGCGTTTGCGTGGATAGGGAAGAGAGGTCGTCTGACTTTCTCAAGCCCAAGCCGAAGCGAAAATCGTCTGGTGGGGGTCGAGCACTCTTGACGCGGCGCCAATGATTTAGATACCGGGCCTCAGTTGCAAGTTTCGAAAGTTTAGTGGTGGACTCCTCAACAAGCGGATGGCAAGACCCATCTTCATGTTTACGTCGACCCTGTACCATTCGCGATGCGTTGCATCCTGGGCCGGCTGAGTATCCATAAGCAGTGAGGAAATTAGAGACCAATGACTCAACCGCCTTTGTCACATGCTCGATGACAGGGATCATATCCGCCAGTGAATGTCCCAACCCAAACTGGTGCGATAATTCCTGGGTCCTTGGCTCAATGTGTATGTGGAACATGGGCCATCTATCCACGGCCCTCTGCAGCTTGATAGTTTGGCCAGTGCTGTCCTCAGGTTTCGGTCCTCTGGTTGCGCCGTGCGGCGCAACCAAGTCAAGATCCAAAGACCCGAAGCTCGAGTCTTCGTAAAGCCGGTCAATGGCATCAAATAAGCAATCGCCCCTCTGCCCTCTCCGAATAGGTAAATTTCCGACAGATATAAACTGCGTTGATTTGTTTGGGCATGGTTCGAGAGAAATAACAGCACGAATGCAGAAGTGGCTCGTGCGAACGGAGGCTGAGCGCCAATTCGTGGCATCAAGAGACATCACAAGTTTAGCTTGGGACAGTGTTGTTAGGGTCGACTCCAGCGAGAAGTTTCCTTTGCTCAAGAGGGGTGTGCGGCAATGTAGACTGTGCAGTCTTTCACATCTCGTGGAGAATCGTACTTCGACCGGACGAGACTGCGCAAGCAGGTACCCAACAAGCATTTCCTTCACCCGGTTGAAAGTTCTTTCAGTCTCGGTCGAAGAAGAATAGAGTTGTGACAGGTGTTTGAAGCGGACTGGCACATCCCCGAACAGATTGTGGACTGTAATGGTTGTGCCTTTTCGCATAATTCCCACATCTTCTCTGTCAAGTCGCAGCTGTCGACAGACGGCATTACCACGGTGTAGAATCAATCGATTCGCAAATTCTTCCGATTGATGTTCGGAGGCTATGGACAACAAAGATAGATGCGATAGGTTTGATAAGAAGCGGCCATAGCGGCCGTACATGGAATCCGAACAATTTAGTTTAGAAGAACCTAAAAAAGCGCAGTCAGATTCCTGATCATGAGGCACAACTGGCTATATCATACAGTGAAGTCTGGCCAACTGGCCTTGCTCTGAGAATTCCACCTGCTTGATTCCACTCCCATTGTCGCAGATTGAAATGTAGCCCTTTGAGAATTCTACCTCGATGGCAATTGACGAGGCATCAGCATCCAGAGCATTTCTGAGCAGACCCTCAATGACATGCTCTGAAGATGTGATCTCGCAAGATGATGAGACCTTTGCCCAAACTTCGTCGGGAAGGAGATCGATTCGTGGACAACTCTTAGCCATCATTGGCAAATGGAGTTCAAAGAAGTGGCAAAGTCGACGATGCAGCAGGCGGAACCTTGGACTTCATGGAGGTCGCCGCTGTGCGAGATATAGTCGAAAAGGATGGAACACTGGGAGCAACATTTCCTTGGGGGGCGCCTGCAATCCTGACTGAGGCGTATCACTAATGATGCCGAGTCAATGGCTTCAAAGATTCATGGAGATGAACAGGACCAAGACAATATTACCAGCGCCGTGCCTCCCTTCTTATTAAACTGTGGCGCATCCGCAATGTTTGCGTCGTTTGTAAGGTTTTCAGTGTTTGCAGCTAGGTTATCTAGCGCGGCACTTGCACGGTGGCACGCTTGACAACTCCGTACCAGCGAACGACTTGCTCCATTCCCGAATTATTCGGAAACCGCTACAACCCAGAAGCATGCAGATAGATATATTTCCTTTACATGCTCTTGAATGCGTGGGCTACGGAGTGTCTTAGTCGAGAACACTAGAATGATGTTTAGCCTGCAAGCTCAAGACGTCGAAAAGAATATTTCCTGCAAAAGGAGGTGAAATAGCCCACAGCAAAATATCCGCACAACCCTTTCAGATCCGGCATATCACAATATCATGACGGTCTCCAGGTGGCTCGCTCTAGCTCGAAAATGTCTTCTTCATCGGATATCCGTGCAACAATTTGGAGACTTGCTGCGAAACCACGGTGGTAGAATCGATGGGAAACAATTATTCGGAGCCCTTGTTGAGTGCCGGGAATGTTTTTGCCAGCCAGGGGATCCTCTCATCTCGCTTTATATCGACTACCTGGCAATCACTGGGCTTATTACCATTTCTGATGGACTCATTATCCTCACGAAACGATGGAACGACGCAAAATCCCCAACATCAGAAGCTGCTCTTGCATGCTACAATGACACACTTCAAGATTTGACCATGGTGATTGTTTCACCCAAATATACAGAGAATGCATTCGAAACACGTCTAGCTCTACAAATATCATCAAGATGGCTATCTGCCTTGGCACGGCAGGCATCACAGGGAGATGCCGAATCATTGAGGCTGGAGCTCAACGGCACCATCGAATTACTCGCGTTTCTCATGGCGTCTATTACGGCAACTGACGCAGGACTCGACGCTTTATCGCCGGCCGACAGTCAGGGACAAAAGATCAAGCATGGGTCTGTTAATGACTTGCGAACTTCGGTGAAGCAATCATTTGAGCTCTGCCTACCATTATATTCCATGCTCTCCTCTCAGCTCATGGAGCGGATAAACACAGTCTTGAAACACATCAGCCTTCTTGATGAAGGCATCTCGCAAGCGGGCAATGCACCAGCCCCAGCGTCCGAGATTCAAGCGCTCCAATTCCAAGTCTCCATCGCAGATAGCCAAATAGTGGCTTCCAAAGCAGGCACTATGCTTTATCTTGAAGGCCTTCTCTTCACAGGATCTACGATCGACGACGGTGGGATGGTACATTGGCTTTCTTCGCGTCACCAGAATGATTACCAGTCAATGTTCAACGACGTCTTTACGTCCTCGTTCTCGATATTGAAAGCCCAGAGCACCGTACCAGGTAGAGCTCTGTGCACGCAGCAGTGCCAAATCTTTATCCAGAACAAACTTCCGGCACTTCTGTCCATGATATCGGCTTCTTCATTCAATAGTTTTAGCACCGAACAAGCTATAACCGAAGCATGGCAGCAAGTGGTGTCACTGCTTTCCTCACAAGACCTTCTTCTGACCGGCGTCCGCCTTTTACATGTCTGTACTTTACATCACTTGATCCCGGCACAAGTCGCTTCACAGCTCGTTGGAACCGAGGATATGCTGAAAGGATTGAGTAAGGGGTTGTTTGGGAAAGATGACCTGGTGGCTCAAGTCAACGCAAATCATATCAGAGGACCCAAACTTGTAGAGGAACTGATTCGCAGTGATGGAAGTGCGAGTTTTATCAGCCAAGCTATTGTTGAGGTCTGTGCTTCATTCACATGAGGAAGTCTGTCTGACAAAGTTTAGATCATGCATAGTTATTGCCAGAACAAGGAGACTCAGTATCTCAAAGATCTCGCCAATGCTATCCTACGGAGACCTGCTGCGATCAACTGCATTGCTCTATTCGTTCGTCCTGCCTCTTTCCTCGGTCCACTTTGTGGCCTTTTGGACGAGTGGCGGTGGGATGAAATACACGGTGAGTAATATCCCAATGAATCCATTTTTCGCTAATCGGGGGGAAGGGGAGGCTCAACCAGTATACGACGATTTTGGCGCAATCTTCCTCCTGATCCTTGTTACTAGGGGTCGTCTGGGGCTGTCGAACTCGAGCCTGGGTATACGCAAGAAGGATGGATTCTTAGCTCAATATCTGGAGCACGAGAACAATGAAGAAAGCCTGGAGAACCTCTCTGAAGAAAAGAAATCGCATCTGGGGAACTGGATCAATGCCCTTTATCTCGCCGAAGGCCTGAGCGACGAACTGTTTACTAACTGTAGCCCGCACGACTTCTACCTCCTGATTCCCACCCTCCTCCGACAATCGATGACGGCTCATCAGCAGGGAAAGTTAACTCATGACTCTTTGCAAGCTGGCTTAGATTGTAAGCATCACCTTCTCCAGTGTGACTCCAGCTCATGGGATCTAGATCTTCTTGAGCCTTTCTTGCTACCTTCTTTGATACCTGCGATGAATTGGGTTGCAGAGGTCTTCCAGCACGAGCGCATGGTTGCTGGAAAGGTGTTGGAAGCTCTAATCAAACCGCCAGGATCACTAGAGTCTCGAGATATTCACCACACCATATTGACATTGTGTGCACCTCGGCTGAAGATTCACCTCAGGTCTGTCGGATCACAAGATACCAATGTCGACTCCATTCTGAAGACCTTGGGCCAGTGTCCGGACTTTTCCTTCTTTTCGGAGCGAGAACGAGAGACTCATGGTACAGGCGTCATCAACATTCTCCACCATAGCCTGGTTACACTTATTACGTCAACGACCGCCTTGGACATTGGGGCGGCCGCGCCTGTGGGGGACATTCTTGCACTTGTGGGCCGCGCCGTTGAAGTTCGAGGCGCACACACAACCCTGCGGGCCATTGTTGGGGTGCTCGTGCAGCTGAGCGGCAACCACGTGTTTCTTTACGCTCTTGATGCACTCACCACCATCGTGTGTATGGCTGGAACCAGTCTCCGTGACGCCCTGCGCTTACAATACAACGACCTAGGTAGTCTCTTGAAGAGTGGTGAGACCTTGACTGCTGAAGGGGTGGTTCGTTTACATCGGCAAGTCGAAACGTACACAAACCTTCTTGCCGTGCCGGAGATTGGGTTGGACTCGTTCAACTTTGCCCAGCAACTCACAAATATGGACACGGCGAATCCAAACCTTGATGCCGCTACTGCTGTCTCGGGTGGAATGGACATACAGACAGAACAGGGGCAAACCGACGGAATCGACCAAGTGCTTGACGAAGTCGCTGCCATGGGAAATTTGGACTCCAACGACGCAGACATGAGCTTTGATGCTCTTTATGACCTCCAGGGGAACGACATGGATCTCAATGACTTGGATTTGGATATGTTCTGAACGATCTTGGGTTCCAAACGGATGGAGGTTCGGCTCCTGTCTCCTTGATACGGCTCAATGTTGTATCAGCGTCTTGAAGATTCAGTTGGAAACGGATGTGTCGTAAAGGGTACATGTGGGGAGATATGTGTATTAACTAATCCAATTATTACACAGTGTGTGGTCTGTCTACAGTACGGACCTTTCGTTCCTAGTAACGTCCATTTTCATCTTACGCTAAACTCCGCCCGAATGCGCTGTAGAGCTAGAAACATAGCTTCTCGCTGTCCCGGCCCGAGGTATTTCAAAGTAATCAGATGAGACAAGGGTGCCTGCACCTGCAACGTGCTGGGAATATCGATACCGCGCTGCTCAGTCGACGCCCCATCGCCGACCACAGCAGTCGGGGTGTTCCGCAACCGACCGTTTTTGTCGACGTCTCCAAAAGCATATGCCAATGTCCCAAGAAAGTCCTTGACTATCTCGTGAATTACTGCGGTGTGTGTAATGACCAATTCATCGGTACCATCCGTCGAATCCCCATTTCCGTAGCGTGGATGGTTGCGCCCAAGACTTGCGATAGCATCGAGTAGAGCAGCATGCAGACATATCTTTGCGACAAAATACCGGTTCCAATGGAAGAAAGCCTCCCAAGATTCAAAGCAGTGCAGCCTGAAGAGCGTTCCCGACGTCCACGGCGTGCGAGGAAGATATCGGTGTGGTGTGTCCACCAACACCTTCCGAGGAAGCCAATCGAGAATATCGCACCATCCGCTGATTTTGTCTTCCAGCCTAGCTGCAGCTCGCAGGTAGGAGTCCATGGTCTGGAATCTATCCACAGAAGCATGCTGGGGCATCAGAAGGAAATTCCTGATTCGGGCTCGCAGCTTAGTGACACCGTGGAAAAAACTTCGCAGTCTCAAAGATGCCGTCGGGACCGCAGATGTGGCCTTTGGTATTTGTGATTCGAGCATAAGATATTCTGGTGATGGCTCCTCGCTGGCGAACAGAGGCCTCCAGTGCTGAAACAAGTCAGCACTCAGCATCCCCAAGTTCTTGCCTGGTGCCCATACCATGGCGGAGAGAAGTGTGTGATAAAGGTGACGACCGGCGGGGCGGGTAAACTGCTCTTCGCCGCGTAATCGTAGAAGCATGAGAGTACCGTCGACGTGTGTCTGGTGTGCTGAGCCTCCGTGTGGTCCATTGACACTGGCTAAAAGCTGGAGAATTGTCAGATCGGGGCGTAGACGGCCTGTATCAAGCCACTTTACCTCTCTGATCCCAAGCAGCCAAACTGCAACAAGAGTCTCGTCCTTCAGACATTGTTCAGGATCTGCCAATGCGGCAGTCACCCTCGATACAGCTCGCGCATATTCGGATTCGATGATGGCGTGCATGTCGACGGTGGGTGATCGGTTGGCTAAGTTGATTGCCGCAACCGATCGCATGGCGGCATAGAGATAAGAGTCTCGCCCCGAGCTGGAAAGTATTTCGGGCAGGAAGTTGAATGCATGATTCCCATATAGCACGCGAGAGTTCGCGTCGAGTTGTGTGAGGGAGTAGCAAACGGCGTTCTCGGTCAGATCGCCAGACGGACTATTCACTAGGCGGAGCCTCTGGGTTGCACGTGAGGTCGAGTGAAGAATCGAGTCGCTATTGGCAGAATCACTGTCATCGCCCTCGGTCGACGTCGAGCGGGCACGAAACAGCGCTGCTTGAGGAAGGTTCTCGGATGAAGACGATCTTGGGGTCGGGCTGTCGCCTTGGTTCGAAACAAAGATGGCCGTTCGAATAAAGCCGTAGCCTGGTTCTCGATATCCCGGACAGGGCTTCTTGAGCCTCGCACAATTGCGGCATCCGGGGCGGCCTTCGTCACACTAAAGTCATCATCAGTCAGCACAAGAAACGTTTCCAGAACCCCAGCGCGGCGTGGCCGACCTTGACTCTCCGTTTACGACACAGAAAGCACCCCGTGCTCGGACGACCGATGTTTCCCATCCGGTTTGGCGGGTTGCCCGTGAATTTGAAGAGGATGCTTTGGGTATGTGGACTCCGAGATAGGATTTACGATGCGAGATGCATGTCCCACTACCAGGTAGGTGACTGCTATGACAGGTTCGAGGAGTCCGTTGATTGTATCTTTTTTGTCTCGAGCGACTGCTCTTTCGCGGTGTCCCTGGGATATTTAACTTGACCGCCCTTCGGTGGATTGTTGACTCGAAATCCCGTGAACCCAGATAAGTCGTGAGCGTGCCAAACCGGTTCTCAGTCAGGGGTGCGGATGCCTGGAATGTTGCGTCGCATCTTCTCCGTGGGCCAGGCTGTGAGTTGGGGGCGCAAGCAGGCGAGTGTGTCAGGAATCTCGTAACCACGACTCTGTCCCTAAGCCTTGGGCGCTTCGAAATTCAAGATGGAGAATTTTCTCCAGGATTGGAGAGCCTCGTCGCATGCCCTGCAGACGTGATAACGGCTCAGCTGCACGTCGCATGGCTAGCCAGACGGGGTTAGCAAAAACTGGAGAGGGCTGAAGCCAGGGCCAATACCCGTTGCGTCGTTCCTGAAAAGTGCTGGGCTGCCACGTGTGAGCGAGGATCTTTTTGACCCTGTTCGACGCGAGAGGATGCCGGGGGGTTGTGATGGTGAGAAAACGCTTACTACGCACACGGCACGAAAGACGTCGCAGCACCAGCACCAGCACCAGCACCGCCAGCACCAACCACCACCACGACCTGAGCACGCAAGCTGACAGAATGCGACGACAAGGGGAAGGGCAAGCGAACCTGTCACCATCTGTGCCGGATTTTCTCGCTTCAACTGAATGCCCCAAAACGGCAGCAAGGTGGCCTGTGCTTTGCCCCGCCCGCCTCCCCCCAACTGCCTCTTTGCCTTGATTGCATGGATTCCAGGTGCCGTATTGGGACCATCTCTCCCCCCTCAAACCAATTAATGCAGATCGAGTCAGTGTCTCTTGTCGCTCTCTCTTCTCCCGATCGCCCCGCAATTTAGCCCAGGTTCCGGAGACGCTTGGGCGCTCTTCACGCATGCCTCTGCCACTGGATCGCCACTGTGTTGTTGCTGTTTTTGGCCCTCTGGTACCGCTTATCCTTACCGCCTTGGTGAGGATGACCCCCATGGGTTTCGGCTCAGCTGGACCACAGCCGACTCTCAGAACCTTCTCTTCTTGAACTTGGTGGCATGATAATTTTCCTCCTCCTCTCAGACCTGATGTTGCTTTGTGACGTACATGAAGAGGAAAAATTTCTGTCTCAGCCCAGCTAGAGCAGCCACTGAATAATCTGGCTCCTGGCTTCTGGTTTCAACTTCGGGAAGGTGGCATTGCCTTGCGCTCAACACAGCCTCGATGCCGTAGAGTCTCATGCACCAGAGTGACATTCATTCTTGTCGATTCGGCCGTTAATTTGCTGGGCGATGGAGAAATGTATCACCAGCTGGCCTTCTGGGTTTGGCGAGACATAGAATCGCTTGACTTCGGGTCAGTCTTCTTTGAGAGACTGGACAGTCCTCCCCCTTCATCCACCTAGGCCGCAGATTCTGCACCTCGCTTCATCAGCCTCAATGCGAAGAACTTTTGCGACAGTCCTGGAGTCAGCGGAGCTTCAGTCTATCATTCTGCTTACGACAGGATGATTTTCTTCTTTCAAGCAAATCCAAGCGTCGTCGAGGAAGGGGCTATGGGGAGACACAAACTAGCCAACACGGCAGTTGTGAGACTTCACGTATAGCACCTGGACCTGTACGTCTGATACACCGCTAATGCCCCCGATTAACCCCATCTCAACATCCGCTTTCTCTCAGAATGTGTTATTTTCGTCAGCTACTCCTACGCAGCACGCACAAGCCGTTGTCGAGGACCGAAACTGTCTTGTGTGAAGACCATTGCCACCCCATGAGTCTGCCGGGCTTGTCCAGTTTCAACGTTTCAATGCCACAATTGCTCCCCTGAGCCAGCATATCCAGGTGGCGCATATTCGGGACGGGGGTTCTTGGGTGGTGAGTACGCTCGTTGTCACTAACGTGATGGAAATAGCCTCTTCGTCCACCGGCTACGATGTATCCGCGGAAGAACGACATCACGAATTTTACGTCCTTGAGAACTGGCTTATCAGATAACTTATGTCTTAACAACATTCTTGTCAATGGACAACTTGACATTGCGCCTCAGAAGCGACCAAGTCTCCATCCAGACATTCCAGCTTCGGCAACAATTATCTTTTTCGGTCACACCTTGCCATACGGCATGCTAGGTTCAGGTAATGTCATCAACAATTGCTCAGTCCGCGTTGACAACAACCGAGCCGAACGAAATGAGCACCTATTTTATCTCCGAGTTTATTTCTGGTCCATGACATCGTGCCTCAGCTCCCTAGCGTCCTGCGGTGGGTTCATCGCACGACGCTACATGGTAAACGAAGATAAGGAGGATTCATTCTCCTTAACGATCCACTACATGACCAAATACCAAGTTCGGTAAGATTCTCTTTCTTCTCAGCCTTGATTAGCTTATCAGATTAACGGGTGGTCTGGATAGTTTGCTAGCCGTTTGCGTGAGACCATTGTGCTGGGCTATGACGATTATGATTGACTGTTACTGTGGTGATTTGCAAGCTACAGTACTTTAATAGGGGTGCCATCTGAGCAGCCACCCATGTCAATCCCGTGGGGAGCAGAGAGTGTATTGCCCTGCTTGTACTACGCCCAAAGGTGTTACGAGCGGCAGGTCGCCTCGGCAACGAGGAATCACAGCCGTTCCCCCCGAGGCTTTCTCGAAACGAGAACGACACCTAATGTGATCATTACTTCAAGCTATGGAGTTATATGGTCCCAACAGAGCCTCTATGCTTCAAGGACTACTTGTTCTCTTTCCTTGCTGCCAAGTTACCCCCAGCGCGCTCTAGCAATCCTCGTGCCTTGTCCACCTTTTTGCTGTCGAGAAACTCAAGAATATACTGAATTTTGTCGCCGGCTTGATTGAAGGTGAAGACGAAGATGTATTCTCCGTCGTAGCTCCAGTCAACCGTTAAGTCCTCATCCTTTCCTTCCTCGCGAAACGTCGTCTTACTCGTTGCCCAGATGGTGACAAGATTGCCTCCCTCAAATATCTCCTTGGGAGTGACAGGGATTGCTGAAATCTTTTCCTTCAGTGACAAAAGGTGCGCCGCGAATTGTTCGTTTGACATACTCGGCTTCATGTTCAATGTTGCAGGAGCGATAGTGTGGACGCAGTCGGGCGTCCTTAGAGCAAGATTAGACTCGAGATCGAGATCCTTGAATGTGTCCAGAAAGGCAATTGCTGTGCGGCGTTGAATGGATGCCATCTTGATTGAGATGATTCAAACTAATGGTAGTGACTGCCTGGGCACTGAGTCCTCAACTTAGACAGACCTGTGTCGATATATCGTTCGGTAAGTCCGCTTTCGACCTAACTCCGGTGAGCACATCCGACTGTCAAGAGCATTAAACAATGGTGGAACCTAGCCCCCAGAGGCCTTCGTCTCATCATGGCAGGCTATCATTGGTCTTGTCATGAAATCTAGCTAATAGTGCAGTTTGGATTCTTGGAAGAATACCAAGGTGTGTTTGGAAAGCGAGGAAGTAAATTTGAAGGTCGTCAAAAATCGTGGTTCTTGAAATGCCTTCGTTCTCATCACTCAGAACGATAGTGCATGGAATGATGCTTGAGGACCCAGAGACGTGCTGCTCGTGATGCTACAGCACGAACTGTGTGCCAACGGTCGACGGGGCTAGCCTTCCGGGCATTACCCTTTCTATCTCGTACTTCGCCCTCCAACCCGAGCAATGTCCTGGCATCAAGACGCGAGGGTGGAAGGCCTTCAAGTCTGCAACGGTGTCCTGCACATACGCTTCATTTGGTCCCACAAGATGGTATCCGCCGACCACTGCAAGCAAGGGAACAGTTCCGCCGGCCAGCTGCAAAGCATTCTTGACCACATTCACCACGCCTGCGTGGCTACATCCGGTGAAAACTACGATGCCTTTCCCTAAAACCATTTTAGTGTCGGTTTTGAAAACAATGTGGACTTCTTACCTTTCACATTACACATGAGGAATCTTTCATCCAAGATTAACTCGTCACTTTCCCAGCTGCCGCTCTCGGGGTTGAATCTCATCCCACGCTGGAAGCCTTTTTCATACGGGGTAACCCGAGGAATTTCTCCCGAGACAAGGAACATATCCTCGAGTATCGTGTGCGCTTGGTCATTTTTCTCTATTTTGGCCCCAGCAGACTCGATCTCTTCAAACGTGGGATCTCTCTCCAATGAGACTGGACCGGCCGGGCCCAAAAAGCCTCGATATGTCGGTCGATGCGGATGAAGATCAACTAGAATGCCTCTACTCCCTTTTGCCTCATTTATCATGGAAATTGCTTTCAACATGCCTCCGGAATGATCACGGTGCCAATGGGACAAATGAATCCTTTCGATCGAGCTGAGATCTGCTCTCAAGCGCTTTGCATTGAGTTCCCAGATTTGTTCTTCCGGGGCAGTATCGAAAAGGACAGTATGGCGCTTGTCCCCTTTGATGGCTGTCTGAGATATCATCAGCTTCAAATTACGAAGAAAGCTCTGCTTACAATCATCAGCGACAAGCCATGAGCACCGCAGCAGACATTGTCGAGGCGAATCTCGAATCTCGAGCCGCCTCTGGTTCCATCCTGAAGGGGAGCCCTTGAAGCGACATCCGCCAATTGTCCGGAGACCTTTAGATCCGGGTGCTGGTATGAGGATATAGGATCAACTTCGTTATCGACGATGACTAAGATTTCCAGCGAGTCGATTTCAACGAGTGAAGTCATGATTAGGGCACCATAGAACTCTCAGAAGATCCAAATACGATAATAGACTGAAGATGCAACTTGTTCCGGGTTGTCCGAAGCCACCCTTCGATTTCGGCGAGCATGACGCTGCTGCTTGGCAAGAGCCAAGCGCGCCGATCCTCTACCGCACGGATTCGTGATTCGCACCTAGTGTTGACTGGGCCTGAGAGGCATCCCGCCAAGTCGTAAGACAATTGAGCGTATTCGCGTGTAGCCTGTTCAGGCAGCCTGTGGCCTGTGGCGTCCGTGTCACAAACATCGAGAGGTGGACAATTTCAACTCAGATTCGTTCGGTGAGGATTCAGGCGCCCTGTCCTTTTCAGCCTGAGCATTGGGACTTGCCGGGAGCGATGATAAAGTCCAACGAGTGATAAGCAGAATTTGTCTTCTTGAACAAGCATTTTCCATCAAGTACAAAAATGGCAGAGACACAACTCGCCAGCCTTCTAGCCTTGCTGTCACCCTCCGATATCGTGACGCCAGCGTCGTCGGATTATAAAGAGCAATCAAGAACATGGGCTGTTCAGGCCGACAAACATCCTCTAGCTGTGATCACACCTAAAACCGTGGAAACGTTAAGCAGAATTGTTTCACACGCTAATACCACTGACCTCGACATTGGGATTCGTTGCACTGGAATTGGAAATGCGACCAGTAAAGACGTACTGATTTCACTATCAGCCTTCAAGCTATTCGCGTTCGATCAGGATGAGGAGACCATCACATTCGGATCGGGGCACTGCTGGGGAGAAATTGACCAAAAGATGGAAGAAAGCGCCCCGGGATATGCTGCAGTCAGTGCTAGATGCACCTATGTTGGAGTTGGTGGATCAATCCTTCATGGTGGACAGAGTTGGCTGAGCTCGGAATATGGCCTTGCCTGCGACCCAAAAAATCTGCTTGATGTCCAGGTAGTTAAAATGGATGGTAGCATTGTTTGGGCGAGTGAGGAACCGGATCTTCTCTGGGCCCTTCGCGGTGGGGGTGGAGGGTTTGGAGTCGCTACCGCTTTCAAGATGCGAGTTTACAAGTATCCATCTTCGATATTCTGCGGACAGATCATCTACCCTCCGACAGCACTGAAGGATATTGCACGAGAAACTGCCGCCTTTGCTTCACGTTGTAGTGATGCGAAGATGGCTCTGCATTTGTATTGCCTCGACATGACAGCAGGTACATATGCGGGCAAGGAACCCAAACCTGGACTGGCAATTTTCGCATATGATGCCAACGGGCCAGAACATGGCCGGAGTGCAGACGGTTTCAAATGGGCCTTGGATATCCCCGGAGCTGTTGATCTCACCAAGACTTTGACCTTCCGAGAGGTGAACCGTCAATTTGGTAGGCGCCCTTCTTCCTCCCGTGACACTTCTAACCTGTGATAGATGCGTCCAAAGCCCCATTTGGGAAGATCAATACCTGGGCAGCTGGTGTTACAGTTCCTACCGTCGATGAAAGCTTGATAATTCAAGCTTGGAATTGGTATTTGGCTCTTCTGGAGAAGGATCCGAGACTGGTTATGGGGACTTATGTGCTCATGGAAGTAATGCAGAAGGTGAGAACTTCTAGATGCTGCTGTTCTATGTGCTGATTTCTCGAGGCTGTTTATCAATCCCTTGGATTTCCCAGCCTAGTTTCCGCCTGGCCTCATACAAGAAACCAACACAATCTTCAGTTAGGGACAGGGGTTGTACCGGGCTATCCTGACAGTGATGCTTTGGCATATAGAGCGATGGCAGAGGGGCCATTTGAGATACGTCCGGGTCACACAGGAGCCGACTACTTCCCTAATTTCCTGGAAGATTTCGTCGACCCAAAGAAGGTACAGGCTAAAGTATCGAGGCCGGTCTGTGAAGGCTTCTGCTAACGTCTTCAGGTCTTTGGGGTAAACTTTGATAAGCTGGTCGAGATTAAGAAGAAATACGATCCCGAGAATAAGCTAGGCGGACCATTTACTCGGGGCTAATATAAATAACGAAGCTGCTTCAATATCGCGGTCTGGGTCACCTAAGGAGCTGGAGTGGAAAGGAGGTAGCGTCTACATCTACCACGCTATGCAGGATTGTATTCTATACTGGTAATTGCTTGAAGATGCAAGGAATCCTTCAAAGCGCTCGATGCCTTTTCATTTGAAGCATCTCTTTGGGGAATCAACCTTAGAGATTGAGCAAAATATTCTTCCTTCGAGGGTCCGTCTAGACAGTCCGGTCTTTGCCTCTTTGTCTCTCCCTTCCCGCTCCTTTCTACTCTGGCGCGAACTTTCCCAGTATTGATAATACCTTTTATCAGAGTAGATAGTAGTATTAATAGATACAAAAACGAACCTGTGCTTACGTATGTCATTCCTGAACTTGGGATGGCGTTCATTGTACAGATCTCGCAGCTTTACAGAATAAATACATACGGCGGATCAATCATTCGAAAGTATCTTCTCTAGGCTCTTTAGTTGATTCACACTATCATCTGGACCATTGCTTGACTATTTCACATATCCAAAAATAAGTGCTCAATATCCATATCCAAGCTTCTGGTCGGGTTCCCCACTGAGTATGACGCTTTGCCACCACCGATTGTGCGTGATATTTAACAATCTCCGGTGCGTCGCACCAAACATTTGCCCGAGTTCGCATCGCATCTGTTGTCAAATTATTCCCTTCCACTGCATCCACCGACAGTGGTGCTCAGCCAGTCGTGTTTTGAGCGTCCAAATTGGCAGTAGCCATCAGTAGAGGGTTGTCCATGAGGTTCCGTCTTCAGACCCTCTGAAAACCCATGTGCATAGCTTCTCCTCTCACCAGGCGCCTTCCATAGATTATTGGCCCTGCGTGTACTCTTTGCCAAAAGCGTAGCGTCATCATCTGTTCATCCATCCACACTATAACGTTCGATAGCGATGCTATACCTGATGTATCTGGAGATTTCATGTCGAGACTCTGATTGAGTAGTAGTACCACTACATTCCTTTGCTTCCACTGATGGCACTCCGTCACATTTTCATCTTACTGTCTACCCCTTTGGACTTTATACCACCTCCTTCATGGAGGAGGAAATTCTCATCCTGTTTTCTTCTCTTCTCTAACTCATCCTGGTCTCAGCAAGATTCGCGATTGTCCTGAAGGCAGATTTTGCAGTTGATGCTCCCAATGCCAGATTTACAACCCAGAATAAGTCGATAGTTGTGGTTTCTGCGAGTTACTTCAATTTGCCACTCCACAATCTCGCCGCCATTCCGGTCAACACTTGTGCGGCCTCATATTAACGTCACCGGACAATTTGCGACTTTCATGCTGGTACCGCAAGGATGAGGCCTTATGCTCTACAGTGCCCGGTGGGTTCTGAAGCATTTGAGATTGCCCGTCGTACTAGTATGACGCAATTTTGATTTCAGTCTTCTCTTTTCCATCTTTCACCGCAACTGACACACGATTGAAAAAGCAGAGGATATTCCCACACTATGACTTTCTCATCTTCAAGCCTGGCTGTTGCTGCCACCGTTCAGCTCGTTCCCGTATATCTCCAGCAGAGCAACAGAGAAACAATCCAGCCTTCCTATGATCGCCGCCTCGATGTCATAAGCCATGCGCGTGTTTGCCACGAAGCAAGCACGACTCCATGGACTGAGTGTACCGTTGTCTATTTCAGGGTCGAGAACTACCGCCAGGGGCGCTTTTCTCATCGTGGATTCATCCTCAGACACAAAGGGCTTTTCACCACGCACGTGTACGACTGCGTGAGCGTCTATGTCGCACTGCCTCGAACCCCCGGCCAAGTGTACAATACCTCGGCGGCCGTATGTCTTGATACGAACACAGAAGAAGTGATCTTCTTCGGCTGAAACCACCAACCACACGTTGCATTTGTACCTGCCATCATTGAGATCCACCTCATCAATGATGGTAAAGACCACACCAAGAGCAAAGGCTTCTCGCGAATGATGACGCTTTAAGGGATGCAGCGATTGCACTGAAGCACGGGAGCTCTCTTGCTCATACGTCCGCAGAGGTTCCTTGTAGGGAGCAAGGCTAGCGTCGTCCCAGTCAACCTCACCAAAAGAATCATAGATGGCGGTGTCGGCATCATTCTTCGGGCCATTGTACAAGTTCTGGGCTGCTGAACCTCTCGACTGGACCCGCAATTCCCAGACTTTGCTCATTTGAACATCAAATTGGTCCTTTCTAGGAGACGGTTAGCACCGTCATCGGCAGGAGATGAGTCAGAATACTTGACTACGAGTCCGCATTGTTGCAGAAGGATTTGGATTTGTGGCTTCGTGAATCCTCTTGCATGCCATTGAAAAATGCGATTTTTTGTACTTGGCCCATTGATCGTCTGGGATGTGGTGTGCACGTGGTGCGGTGGGTTGATCGGGCGTGGCTATTCTGGGCTGGAAAGCATCTGGGTTGTTCTTGTGCTTGTCTTCCTGCTCTGATTCTGGGGCTAGGTTGGCTTGAGGGTCATCCTCGAGCTCAGTGAGGTTGCTGATGCTGCCATAACCTGAGGCAAGCACGCCCTTGACAGTGGTTGGAGGGGCTTCGTCGAGGGCGTCGAGAGCGAGAGGAAATTGAGCCGCCCATGTTGGTTGTGGTTTCTCCGAGGCCTGCGAGCTTTGTTCTGATGTCTTGAAGTCAGACAGGTGGGATCGAACTGATATGTGGCTCCGACCGTCAGCAGCAACACTGCTCCTGGGCAGGGATGACTGCTCTTCTTCCAGGATTGAATCTCCAATATCCTCTCTGCCCGGCAAGGCAAGCATAAATATGGAAAGCAAATGTCCGAAAATATGGCTCTGTAGTCTGCTTTGCTCAGCCCTCGTGGGTTCCACCGTGCCGCTTGCGTGCGCAGGCCCGGCACTACGCGGCTCAAAGTCACAGAAAGGGCAATTCTTGAATGGTTCCTGGGATGGGCCTCCGCCTCCTTTGACCATTCGGTCGACGTCGCGCAAGGAGAGGTTTGACATGTGAGTGCTCACTAGATGGTCCCTGTACTCAAGTGATGTCGTATATTTAGACGGAGGGTGACCTGGTCCCATTCCCTCGCACCACCACTCCGTAGAATGGATCCATCTATGGTGTTCCACCCAATCATCCCAAGTCTCGAGGACTACATATGGGTTAGGACATGTTGATTCAGTGCACACGAAAGGTTGCAGGTCATGCATGACATGTTTTCTCCAAGCTGGTGCTGCACGCTTCTGCGCGTCAACCAGGAGACAGCAGTATGGGCATTCGAAATGTGTCGCCCTGTCCGAAACAGAGGGTGGTGGGGGAAAGTCTATAGTGTTCAGAGCAAGTTTCGTCGTGGGTGCCACGGTTGTCGAGCAGGACTGCCTTTTTAGAATCGTTCATTTGGAATGTCGTTGCGAGAGTTGGTGCGGTCATGCCACTTCGAGCCGACTTGCGGTCGGCAATGACATTGTTCGGAGAAGGTTCCTCTGCCTTTGCATTCTCGACGGTCGGCAGAATACTAGCAGACTCCTCAATGTTACCTGACAAAGTTACACCGTAAGCGAGCCGCTTTTGATGCCATTGTTGGTACATAAATTGCCGTCGCCGGGAAGAAATGACCTTGCATAGTCTTGATAGGAGAGGCCCTGTAATTTGGTATCAATGACGAAGAACAAGCGGCAAGTATGTTTCCTCAAATATTTTAGTTTGATTGATTCCATCCTCGTCATAATGCACGTAATTTGCAGCTTTGGTGCCACGACTTTGTATTCCAGAAAGTCGAATAACGCGAGCGAGATGGATAAGCTTGGTGATAAGATCGGAAATGTTTTCGAGATGATTCTGTATTTCCAAGCATGTAATCTCAAAACCTGTCAGGTGTTCTATCTCGCTGGCCGAGTCGTCCCCTCCATCCAGGTCGGATTCTTCTACAGCGTTATCTGTGTATTCTCGGTTCTCCTTGAGAAGGAGCGATACTGATAATCATTAGCGGTATTCACGACTTGCACAAAGCAAGCTACCTTCCACAAGATCGGAGTCGAGCGACTGGAGCAAGGACACAATGCCCTGCTTGACTTCGCTGGCTTCTCGTAGTCTGTAGTTAAGAGATGCATGATCAGAAGCAAAAACGCCAATATTACCAGCCCACACTCGGAACTGTTCAAACTCGTCACGGAAGTCAGAGATGGTGAGGAGGGGCGCGCATCCCCAGGCTGTTCAAATAGGAGTGGAATGCGATGACCGACAGCCTCATCCTTACTGGCGAGGCCCAGTATTCGACGAAATCTCCTGCGGCACAGCTCAGCATGACGTTGGATCAGGAACTCGTCCCCCGCGGCTAGATCAGTCTCAGTCTGCATATTTGGCATAAACAATACTAAACGGGCACTGAGAAGTTTTGCTTTGTATCAAGTGGGAGATGTTCGAGCCTTATCCAATAATCCTCTCAGAAGAATACGCCCGGCACGCGAGTGTGGCGTGGCAGATACGAGGCAGATTTCGATATCCACAGACGAAGACGAGGCTGCGGACGTTGTCAAAGGCGCGTGCATCAAACAGCGAGCGGGGCAATCGGCTATTCCAAAGATGGTTAGCAGTAGGTGGCGCAGCCAAGCCAGGCGCAAGCACCGCCCCTTCTTCAACTGCCTTCTCGCTTCGGACCTTGTAGTCAGTCACAAAAGCGGCAAATCCCCCATTCAGAGGTTCTGCAGTTCCTTTCAAGAATATTCAACTATTCAAAAACGGCCCATCCGTGTCACTCAACTTCGTTAGTCCCTGTCCGGGATCGAGATTGTTGGCCTGGTGCTGGGTGCTGTGCCTTTATTCATCTCTGTCGCTGAACACTATCGCGGCGCTCTTCAGTTCATTATACGCGCTATCCACCAAAAACAATTCATCAAACAATATAAGGATGAGCTTGAACTCCAGCGAACCTTGCTGTGCTTATATGTCAAAGCGGTAGTAGGGAGGACGGACTTGCCACCAGAGGCGCAGGCGGAGCTGATTGACCACCCCGACGGAAATGCATGGCGAAGACCCAATGTAGTCAAAGAACTCCGCAATGAACTTAAGGACGCTTATCAGCCCTTTATTGCTCTCCTGGTCATGATTTGTACCACTTTGGCGAAGCAAATTCTGACTGACGATGCCACAGTCGATAACTCAACGAAAGATGAGCTCGTAAGTCCGCTGGCATCCTTCGGAAATTTTGTTCTGCAGACCTGACAACAGACGAGGTCAACAAATTGGAAAAGCTTTGCCTTGATGCTGCGCAGCAGGACGCTTCAGGACAGCAAGATGTTTGGAAGAGGATCAAGGTTAGTCGGAAACAGGCTGAAAGACTGTGAATGTTGGCTGAGCTGAAGTCTTATAACGTTTCCTTGGAAAAGCTGGGAAGTACCGCAAATCATGTAAAGCCATACGAACGGAAACAGCAAGTGAGGAGAGCCCATACCACATTCCAACTCCGAGGCGACTCTGAGAAACTCTACAAAGTCATCTGCAGAGCCTGCAACTGTCAGCCCCTCAAACAGAGGAACGTTGGCCTTGGCTTGGCCGTGCACGATCATGACAATGCCTCTACGGAAGACCTATGCTTTCAACTGCTGCTATTTGGTCCTGATGACAAAGTTTGCAAAGTGTCTATCAAGATGATGAAGGCGTCGGAGCCAGCAGAACCACCAGCGAAGAAGGTACGGATCGCTCTTCCAAAGAGTCATGTTATGAGCGAACCATGCGACAAAGTGCAAAGGTTGCATGACATATGCAAAGAGACTCAGCTGGCTCAGCAGAGTAAGGCCCCCCTTCAGCTCGTTATTGACGAGAAAGGCGACCTGTATACCATCTCTAGCGCGCAGTCGAGCATCACGCCGCCCGTCCAGGACCCTGTTCTGTCTCTATGGGAGGTCATGTCAAACTTCAAGCTCAACGATCGCAAGTGGTGGCTACAACGCGAGAAAGCTATTCTCGCAGTGATACTCTCTTACTCACTCCTCCAACTGCACGAAAGCTCATGGTGGCAGACCTTGTGGAACTCTGAGGGTATCTCATTCCACGGTGTGGGATCTTCTAACCTGACGGCTGGCCGCAGTCCAGATCAACGCATCCGACTACGGAGGCCGTTCGCTCGCTCGGTCATCACTGAAGCGGATGTCTCAGGAGGGCCAGGCGCCGCACCACGGAGAAATGCACATCTCCACGCCCTGGGGATCATCTTGCTTGAAATCTACTTGGATCGGCCCATCAAAGACGATGTCGACGCGGTGGGTGGGACTGACTATCGAGCGGTCGCACAAGACCTGCTGGAAAAACACTCTGATGACATGGACATGACGCCCGAGTATCTTCGCGGGATCCGCTTTTGTCTGTGCCCGCATCCAAACCCTTACTCTGGCTCGTTCAGCTTTGTGGATAAAGGGTTCCGCGAGATTTTCTACACTGAAGTGATCTCCCTACTCGAGGACAACTTGATGTCGAGGTTCGAGGTCAATGATACCATTTGGCAGAATAGAGAGGACTAGGCCGTCGTCATCGGAGACTCTTTCGTTGTAAGTTCAATTCAGTCGTGTACCTACAACCCTATGGAGTGGAAAGTTTCTGCCATTGGGAATGGCTCTTTCGAACGTGTGATAGACCAGAAACGGAGAATCCTCGAGCCACAGCTCCGGTCAATGGAGAGTGGCCGATGCTTTGGCTAGCGAGGCCCTCGCAATTTCAGAGCACCAGTTGAAGGAGGCCAAGTATTAGTGTGACTACAGCGCCGAGCGGAAATTCAAATATTAGAAAAGTATGCCGAGCGCACAGTTTTATCAGTCTAAGGATGTTGCAGTTGTACTCGCAACGAGGCTGTCGTAAATATTTATTGTACAAAAATTCGGTGTCCAGAAGGGCTAGATGACATCAACGCAGCGTGCGGCTTCGAGACAGCCGCATAGTCGCACTGCTGTTATTATTCAAAGACGCGGAAGGCTGAGGCGGCATGAGCCTGCATCCATATTTGTTGATTTGTGTAATCAAAATGTATACACCCAGAAATATCATGGCTCCGAAGATATTGTGCTTGCTCCCAACCCGCGCCGTCTTCAACAGACTCTCCGAGATTTTCAACCTCCCATTCACATTTTCAAGGTGATGTTGTCGAAACAAATAGGACGCTCAAATGCCAGTCCTCTGTCTCAGGTGAGGGGGATGCGATTGCTTATTTGATTCAGGCTCATTCAACATCAGAGCGTCGTTCTCCGATCGTGTGGTAGCAGCGCAGGGGGTCAGATGCGGCTCGGATGTGCTTAAGACGTACAGTCTCATTACACTGCAGACTTGTACGAGGTCTGAGGTGGCGACCTCGAGTCCTTCGACCGTTTGCTCTTTCTGCCGTCAATTTCTCAGACCCAGTTGTCACAGTAGATTTACTGAACTCTAACCCTTCTGAGAGAAAGCGTTCCGGCGAAAGACGTAGCGCAGATCAAGAACATCGAGATGAGGTTCTCCGCAGACAGTAATATTACGAATAGCGGGGTACCGCTCGCGGCAACACATGGGGCAGGGAGAAAAAGGGGCCCAAGAAAATGAATGGGGGTTGGCCTTAGCGTTGCCGGCCCCAATGTCGCTCCCAGCTCGGTTTCCCAAAGTTGCGGGGCAATCATGCTGGGGGTTTGCCAGGACTTGTGCTACCAATGGAAGTTTGCACAGGAAACATATGAATACTAACCGCGTATTCATGCTCAGTGCTGGCAACCTGGACGTGAGGTCTCAACCATTCCCATCCTCCACAACATTTTTGCCTTTCTCGCGACATCTACCGTGATGTCCTTCTTACTTCTATCCAGCGCCCTTCTGGCGGCGAGCCTCTTGCTGTATGTTTGCTTGTTCGTCGGCAGGCGAGGCCGCAATTTTCCAGATGGTATATCAACGTTCTATCTACCACATGTCTGCATTTTCTGACAATGTGACATAGGTCCGCCAACATTGCCAATCATTGGTAACTTGCACCAGCTCCCCAAGCAGAAGCTCTACCTTCAGTGAGTCTCCTCCTTGCCAGGCTACGTTCCTGCCTGACAATTATAGATTCACTGAATGGGCCAAGAAGTATGGCGGTTTGTACACTATTAAACTCGGACCCGGTACTGTAGCTGTTCTCACAGACCGGCGGATTATCAAACAACTTTTGGAGAAGAAGAGCGCCACGTCCAGTAACCGACCGCCAAATGAAGTTGGCCGGATTATTGGCGAAGGCGACCATGTGCTTCTCATGAATAACACGCCAACCTGGCGTGTTATGAGAAAAGTGATCCATCAGGATTTCACGGAAACTCTGTGCGACAAAGAACACACCAAGATTCAGCAGCAGGAGATGATCCAATTACTTCATGACATGCTTGAAACCCCTGAAAATTGGGCCGGTCACCTCAAGAGGACTACCAACAGCATCGTCATGAGTGTGGGTAGGCGCATCCCTGGTCACTATCGCCGCTTACTTAGCCCCGTTTGATAGACGTAACGCTGACGGTTACTAATCGTACCAGTATATGGTATTCGCTCCCCATCGACCAAGGCTGCACATATGGAAAGACTCGAGGCGCTGCTCCAAAAGTGGGCCAGGATACAGGAGTTCGGAGCCACTCCGCCTGTTGATATTTTTCCCTTCTTGAAGGCGATCCCAGAACAACTCCTCGGTAACTGGGTGACCAGAGCTAGAGTGGTCCATGACGAGATGCATGACCTTTACACCGGTCTTTTGAACTCAGTCATCAAGAGGCGACAGGCCATAGGGTCTCAGCACACCGTCCTTGACCGGCTACTGGATCAGCAGGAGAAGACAGGGCTTACGATCCATCAAGTCACCCTGCTCGCCGGTGTCGCTATCAAGGGAGGCTCCGATACTTCGGCTTCAGTCCTGACCTCCTTTGTCCAGGCCATGGTGGTGTACCCGGAGGTGCAGAGAAAGGCAAAACTTGAAATCGATTCTGTTTTGGGCGAGGATAGGATTCCGGAATGGTCTGACTACGACAAGCTACCATACGTGGCTCAGATCGTCAAAGAATCCCACCGCTGGCGGCCTGTGGCTCCTCTCTCAGTACCACACGCTCTTTCTGAGGGTACTGTGCCGTCTTTCAGAGCATACATACATGTGTGGCGCTAACTCGTCTCTGTGTAGATGAATGGATCGATGGCAAATTCTTGCCAAAGGGTACAATATGCTTCGTCAACGTCTGGGGCCTCCACCACGACGACACAAAATTCCCCAATCACGAAGCCTTCGATCCAGACCACTACAAGGGCCGCACGCTGCTCGCAGCAGAGTACGCCAATTCCCCCGACTATGAGAACCGCGATCACTATGGCTATGGTAAATTTCACCCCACATTTACAATCTTTCTTCGTTCTGACTAACTCCATTGGCTCCTAGGCCACGGCCGCCGCTTATGTCCTGGCATCCATCTAGCGGAGCGCAATCTGTTCCACGCCATCTCCAAGATCCTGTGGGCCTTCGATATCGAGAAAGCAACCGACCCGGAGACCGGCAAGCCTATCGAGCCCGACACGGACGTCGTCACCGGGTACAGGGAAGGTCTGACCGCTTGTGCGTACGACTTCCCCGTCAAACTCACAGTGCGGTCCCCAGCGAGGCGCGAGGCCATCGAGCGGGAGTACAAGGAGGCTTGCGCCAATTTCTTTCCACAGTACGAGAAGGTCGGTCTGGAAACTTGCCTGGAATGACTTCCCTCATGTATGCAGTCTAGGTACTACTTAAGTGGTGGACCATTCGAACTTGGGATGAATTATTACGACGGGTTCCCAAGCGTCGTCTACTTTGCAACGATGGTACAAATCAACTTATGTAGAGTCATCCCATATCAACACTGTTTCGGAGGACGTTTTCTCTTGTTCTCACATTCGCACGATAAATACACAAGCCCTCAAGTTCTTCTAGCGCTCATCTCGTCTTCGCTGTAAGTGTATCCACAGCTCTAAAAGAATACCCTCCACTCGAAACCAACGGAAACGGAGCGAGCATATGTATGTTGCTCCAGCCGTACGTGTTTTGGGCCCATGAGAGTCCAAAGCGCAATAGGACCGTGCTGGCTGTCAGGAGAATATAGTCTATACAGTCCAGAGAGATAATTTTAGCTCATCGAAAGGGCAATCTGCAACTCTCGTGGTGGTGAGTTATACAGCACCAGGGTGGTTTTCGATACCTCGGGTATCGAAAGGTACTAGTATAATACTAGTATTAGCGTGTATTATAAGTATTATAAGTATTATAATACTTCTTAGCATTCCTCACACACCGTACACACCGCTCTTTAAAAATCTTTCCCTTTCTTTTTCTCGTACGCACTTATTCTTCTCAAGGATAATATATGGATTCTGAGATAGATTCATCTCTTCAGGAGCCTTCTACTATTACAGATTCAGTTTCAACAACCTTAAAAAGAGGTATATCTACTTCAAAAACATAGGCTTATACTCGTACGCTACTTAAACACGAACCTAAATATAAAGATGGACATTGACTCCTATATTATACGCATTATCTTCTCGATAAATCGTACAATACTATAGTCACTATAAACTTTCGAAAATATCTAAAATTATAGCATAAGATCGACGTTTAAGAGGATCCTAGTACGGTTCAGTTATTAGTACTTCAAAATCTTCAAAGGCTTTATTAATAAGCAGCGATTTATAAATAAACGTACGAAATAGATTCTTAAGTCTTTTCGAAAGTACTTAATTAAGAGATTATTAATGAGGCACTCATCTCATTAATTATCGTACGAAATCTTCCATTCCGAACCGTTAAATCGCCTAAATTCCATACCTTTTGTCAAATTCTTAATCTAAAAGTCTAGGATTATCTCTATACGGCACACTTAATAGTCCTAAACCTCATTAAGCGATCATACCTTACTTAGAAAGATATCGTACGGAAAAGACTTTAGTTAGTAACATTAAATATTTATGTCTCCGTTAATATCTAGACTTCACTAAATTAACTTCTACTCCTAGGAATCTACGCTCATTTTATATAGTACGATTAAAATACTATATTAAAAGCCCTTCTCGCTCTTCATACGGTTTTAAGTTATACTAGATCTAAATAATTCAATACTCTTCTTCCAGTCCTTTAAGAATATAGGATCGTCTAAAAGCTAAGTGTAATTATTAGTAATAATGTAACCTTAAATAATATACTTTCACGTACGATTATCGATTACTTATAAGTGGAAGAGGATCTTAAATAGAACCCTATCTATTAAAGAATTCGCTATATAGGTTATATTATTAACCTAGCCGTATAGGCTTTTCTATTTTAAGATCTTATTAAAATCAGTTAACTTAAAGCGTATAACGAATAAGAGATATTAACGGAAGATTAAGAGGAAATTAAATAATAACGAATACTATTTCGAAAATTTAGACTACTAGGCTAACTTTATAATATCGTTATATATATTCGAAGTTCTTCTAGTCGTACAGAGAAATTCAAATAGCTTATAAATCGAATAATCTCTCTCGATAACCGTACGAGATAGAATAGCTAGTACTTAATACTTACTATAGCTATTAAAAAGTTAGAATTAATCGACTTATATATAAAGAATCACCTATTAGATCTTCAAGCGGATTATCTTACTCTCGAAGCCTAGGA